CTAATGACCCTAATGACCCTAATGACCCTAATGACCCTAATGACCCTAATGACCCTAATGACCCTAATGACCCTAATGACCCTAATGACCCTAATAATACCCTAATAAAACTAGCTTATAATAAATTTAATCTATTAATAAAGAATTTATTTATTTATCTAGCTTATATAACTCTTAGTAATAATATTATAATAAATCTTTATATTATAGTAATATATATTAAATATATATTATATAAGGATATTTATTTTCTAGACCTTATAATAATCTATAAATCTCTAGATCTAGTTCTAGATAAACTAAGAGCAGCCCTAACCCTGTATTAGAGAAAGAGATCTTATAAAAAACTACTAGCTAAACTAGAATAAAGACTTTATAAAAAGCTATAAGCTACTAGATTAGAGCTACAGGCCTGAAATCTAATTTAAACTAGCTAGAAAACTTCTAATTTCCTAGTTATAATATTCTTTATTCTTACTTAAAAAAAAAAAGTTTTTATTTATTATAGTATTTATCTCCTAGACAGGCTTAATAAAGATTATATTCTAGTCTTACTAGTAAGTCTATTTATATATAACTAGTCTATCTAGATCTATAAGAATAATCTAATAAACTACTATAAAGCAGGCCAGTTTAATAATTTTTAAGAGAATTAGAAAGTAATTATAATAATCTTTTTAATCTAAGATTTTTTAATTAAATATAATAAGAGCACAGATTATAAGACAGGTCTATTTTATTAAATAAACTTATTAATTTAATAAGATAAGATAAAATTAATAATAGATCTTTTCTAAGAGAGTTATATATTATAACTAGTCTATAAATTCTTTATAAGATTTTTTATAAGATCTTTTATTAGACTCTGCATGAGATCTTATATAAGATTCTTACTAGTTATAATTAAGATCTTATATAAGCTTCTAGATATACTCTTATACTTATATTTAATATACTTAAAATTAGTATTACAAGCTAGTCTAGTTATAAGATATTTATATATATATAAAAAATATAAGAATCTATTATTATAGCCAGGCATGCTATATAATTATCTCTAGATCTATATAGACTAATAGGAGCTATATAAGTATATTCTTTAGTTTAATTTAAGTAGTCTTAAACTGAATCCCCTTATTAGCCTGTATAATTACTTATTATATAATCTATATTACTTATCTTATAATAGCCTAGATTCAGGCCTTAGTCTATTTCTAGGAATTCTCTAGATCTCCTAGATCTAGGCTAGAAGATTATATACAGGTTATTAAATTATAAAATTAGCAGTCTTTTAGATATCTAGATTATCTAGTTAATTATAATTATAAGTTAGTTATATCCTACTTAGCAGGCTTAATTACACAGGGCTTGAACTACTAGTTCTAGTAATTATTTATCTTAATAACTAGCCCCTAGCTATAGGCTTCTAGCTTTATAAATTCTTAATTAGACTTAAGCTTAGGACTAGATAGTACCTAAATATAATATAAGTTATAATAGGTTAAAAAGATTTATTAATAGGCTACTTTTTTAAAGAATCTTTAACTAGATTTTTTAGTTTATTAAGAATTAATCTATCTTAGCTAATCTAGATAATAATATAAAATATAATTATATAAGATTTACTAGTATTCTTTCATAGACTTAAGTAATTAAGTTATATATAAATAATCAAACTTATAATAACACTGGATTCTATTATAATATATCTTAAGAATAAAAATAGGCTAGATTATAACTTAAGATAAAACTAGCTATATAAAATCCTAAATTAAAGTTAATCTCTGAGTTTCCTAAATATAGCCTGATATAATCTTCTTAGATAGATAATAAGCTTAAGTAAGATAAGTAGCTAGCTTATAAGATTATATATTATATTTATATATATAGTAGATTAGAAGCTAGTAAGAAGATAGATAAAAAAAAACTTAATCCATGATTAAAAAAAGAGAAAAAGTTAAAAATATATATAAAGAGAAAAAAGAGAAATAAGAAAATATATATATAATAAGTCTTTCTATCTAGTAGAATTTTAGTCTAGTAAAATTTTACTCTAATAAAATTTCTTTCTTAATTATTAATATTTAAAAATTTCTTAAAAATCAAGGACTAGAGATTAGATTCTGAAATTTAAATATAATAAAATTTAATACTAGGAATATAACATATTCAAGTTTTAGATTTATTAAGATAATATTTTTAATTCTAATACAGGGAGTGAAAATTAATTCTAAGACACTCATGACCCAGGTAAAAATATGCTAAAATTAATTCTAACACACTGCGTTGGAATTACCGCCATTGGATAGAGATATAAAGGAGGAGATATAAAGATAAGTAATTAGCTTATTAAAGAGATGTAAAGAAGAAGACATAGAGATAAGTAATCAGCTTGTTAAAGAGGTGCAAAGGAGAAGACATAGAGACAAGTAATCGGCTTGTTGAAGAGGTGCAAAGGAGGAGACATAGAGACGAGCGATCGGCTCGTTGAAGAGGTGCAAAGGAGGAGACGTAGAGACGAGCGATCAGCTCGTTGAGCACTATGTATATATAAGCTTCTGATCTCCTTATCCTTTCAAGAGTTAGTAATTAGTTCTAGTATAGACTCCCTCTTACTATCTGATATATAATCCTTTATTACTACTCCTAGCATGTTACCTAACCCTTGGTGCGACGTCCCTGGACTACCGCATAACAGATTCTACCTGGGGAGAAACCGACCCTAATCCACTCTGAATAACACTCTACTAACTATAAATATCTTTATAATAATAAATAATTATTACTTAATTAATATAATTTTTATAAATTTAATTTATTTTTAATATTATAATTCATTACTTAAACTTAGTCTATATTTTATTAAGATTTTAATACTTATTTATAAAATTTAATATAAGTTAAATTTATTCTTTACTTTTATAATTTTCTTCTTATAAATTTAATATATAACTAGTATTTTAATTTCTATAGATTTATAGATTAGAAATTCTAATCCTAACTTACTTTATTTAGATTCCTGAATCTATTATAAATTCTTATCTCTTATATCTAAATCTGCTATAGATTCTGACCCCCCCTATCCAAATCTAACTTGTTACAGATTCAGTGCGGATCAGATCAGTTTTTGCGGATTGGAGATGACACTCTAGTTCCACCCATTGGCCACCCTGGAAAAAAAGCGACCTTTGTATTATTGTCAAATGCGAAGTGCAGAATTCCTTCTTGGTGTCTTGAGCCGGTGATAGAAACGACTGCCACAAATTTTTGGGTTTACCAAACCAAGTCTGTCTATAGCTTTATCTGGAAGCGAGGACTTGACCTGATCCTCTCTCCATACTTCACCAGCAGAAAAGGAACGGGAATAAATACTAAAGAAATAAATCCTAGCAAACTGTTGCCCCACCCCAAACCGAGGGTCTGGTACATCTTTTGGCCCGCGAGGGGAAGGACCGCACCAAGAATGGATCGGAGAACCGTGTTGCTTGCGATGGCGCTCGCTGCGTAGATGGTGTATGTTTCAACGAGGTACAGCTGAACTGGCATGAACGCGCAGAGCATACCAAGGCCGAAAAACCCACTACCGATGATGGGTACAATCCAGTGCGTTTTATAATAAGCAGTCCAGCCGTAGAAGAAGAAGCTGATCGGAATCAGAATAGCACCCAATATCACTGGAACGAGATGGTCTTCGGGCTTAGGAACTCCGCTCTGTCTCTTCCTCTTGACGAATGTGTCCGAGTAGAACCCCGTAGCAAAAAGACCAAGAATGAATCCGACCCCGACTCCCAGGTATGCAAGGCCCGCCTCTCCGGAATTAAAACCGTATTGGCCGATGAAGATGAAGGTAAATGTTGTGAAGAGCAAGTACATGTATCCGTAGATCAAGGCTATGTAGACGGCCATGATCGTGACAATGGGAGCGAAGAGGAGCATCTTAGTCGGTCGAATAATGGCCGTCGCAAAAGTCCGCAGAGGATTTTTCGCATCGTCATATTTTGAACCCAGGTTGGGGTTGCCGGTCTCCTTTCGCAGGCGCGCTGCTTTGCGGATTAAGAGGACGGGGGCATACGTCTCTGGGATGCAAGCCAGGCATGCCAGTGTCAAGACTCCGGACTGTGTTGGGCATTAATTAGCCATATTGTATGCCAATGAAGATGATGCCGGAAACTCACCAGAATGGCAACAAGCCAAAAGACCCACTGCCACCCAGCTCCTTGGGCAAGGTAACCTCCAATGACAGGACCTGTTCAATTACACAATCAGCGAAGCCCCGAACGAATCCACCAGAGACATCATTTACCCAATACAGGGCCCTGTGGATTTTGTTAGAATGGTAATACAAATATTGAATAGCGAGCAAAATGTACACACCAGTAAGGGGCCCGTCGTCCAAATACTCAGAGCTTTTGCTCGAGACTGGGCAGCCATCAGATCGGCAATAAACCCTCCCCCCAGGGTTAAGGGAGTACACGCTACCAGGCCCATCAGCAGCCGGAACGCGATGAACATGCCCAGGTTGGTGCTCAAGGCACCGATAATGGTGAAGATGAGGAATAGGACGTTCGTAGAATGCAGGATGATTGCACGGCCGTACAATTCACTTAGAGGGGCGACCACTAGGGGACCAAAGACGAATCCGATAATGTATACCGAGACGACAAACGATTCCAGCTCCTGGTTGCTGGCCTGGAACCGCTTCATGATCAGAGGCACCGCGGGCGCCGTCACAGTCGACGCCATCGAACTACATGATGCGTCGTGGCGATTAGCCGATACCCTCTTTTCCTTCCATGTATTTCACCTTTCAGAAGATGACATTCGATTTACTCACATGTTGAACGTGACCGCTGAAACCAACCCAACGATGCACCACCGCCTCAGACTCGACCAGTTTTGCGGATTCCGTGGATCATCGGGACCATCCCATTCCACCCATTCCGGCTCGTCTAATTTGGCGCCCTCCTCGAGCTTTGCGACCGACGCATCGCTTGTCGCTTTGGAATCCGGTAAGTCGACAACTTGGGGTGTTGTAGTGTCACGCTTTTCGGACCCTGATTCTCCCAAGGAGGATGTCGACATGTTGCCTTCTGGTCTGCACACTGACACCGAATGTATTAGGATGATGTGCAAGAGGATGGAAAATTAAAAACATCTAGCCTCTTGTCCAGAACCTTATACTAAGTACCTTGAGTGGCTTGTCGGATTTAAGAAAGGTACTAGGGGTGAACGGACTTAGTACAAAATCCGGCGCCCATCAATCAAGGAGAGTGGTCCGAAACAACGCTACAAAAGTACATTGACGTATCGAGCATGTCATATTTGACCAGCGAGGGCTAAGCTTTTGCGGCCTTTGATCTTGATGATCCAAGATACGACCGTCTAGACGGGGATGGCTCCCTTGGATAAACTTGGCCCGATGGATACCAACGAGACTTATTGGTGGGCACCGCGTTTCATCGCTCCTTCATGTCTATGAATGTGCAGATCCTGCTGCATCCGCCTACTGATACAGCTGAAGCAGGGATGGGCTACACAATTGTTCGCTAACACAAGGGTCTGTAAGGTGTGAGTCAGCCGTACATTCCAGCAACTAATGTAGGGCGTGGCGCGCTAACGTCAAGTACAGAAGAAGTAATTCCCCGTGCTAGTTGAATGGACCATCCGGCCGTTCCCTCTTTGAGTAAGGTGGTGCTGGCACGGAAATAAAGGGATTCGTGTGAACAGAGCTAGTGTACACTATATTATCCTATAGTATATGTAATATGAATCTCTCTTCCTATCGGGATCTCAGTATATTAGCGCGCGCCGTGGCTTGTATTCTATAATGCTAGTCCAGTCTCTAGATTAGTGCAGAGATGGTTTATCCTGTACAAAATATCATACTAAGAATCTTATTAGTCTCCGGTCAGTCACCTGTCAACTTCTTATCAGTTTTATTAGCTTCGTCTATTGGCTCATCCGTGAGATTTTGATAATAAGTTTATGTAAACACCTTGGCCTTCCCAGAGTCTAACAGGCAGTTAATTCAATTCTACAGATCATATTTGAGTGTATTACTCCCTACCCAGTCTGTGGCCCATCTTACGCTTAATTTATGGATGAAGCTTGATTTAGCCCCGTAGTAGATACTAGAGATTTGGCAATCTTATGGAAATCTTGGCACTCTAAGTACTCTCCGTGCTATGAGTGTGGTCAGCTGTTTATCTCATATCTTATTTGGTTAGGTGGAATACGCAGGGTAGAAGAGTCAGATGTGGAACACGCAGCAGAATGAAATGTAACGGTATCATTTAGCCCCTGCATGATGGGAAAAGCGAATACGATATAGACGTGACGATGTCTCGATAGTATCTTCTCTACAACTTCTACCAGAGGGTTATTTTCAGGTAACCATGGAGACATGCGTGATTCCAATTAGCTGGATGTATATCAATGTATACTCTAGTGGGTGGATATGTACTTCAATGCCTAAGTTCTATAATACGCATCGACAGACGCCAGACAGGACAATACCAATAAAAATACTTGTTACCCTTGATTAGTCCTTGTTGTTTCGTCGTACTAGCAAGCGTGCGACGAGTACTTCTGAGATTGCCTGGAATCGACGTTCCAGCTTCAGGAACATGGTTAAGGGGATGTCACAACCGCTTGTTGTCGCCCACGTCTTTGAGCGGACAATAAACCCACTAAGTCTAGCTGCATGGAGATCAACCAGCATTTTCACAAAGGATCTCCATTCATTGCAGGAGTCGATCTCGTAGTCGCCCACAAAGAATCTGCGCCCGCCGCCTCGTAGGACATGCGTGGTTGCGCAGCTATCGAAGGCGGGCTCCGGGTTACATCCTGGTCGCAGTGGCCTCGAGCAGATGTTTTGGCCAGGCAAAACGGCCAAAATAGACTCGAACTCAGTAAGCAGCTTATCCACGAGCAGGACCACCATTAGTATCCGGTCGGGCGACGATTGGCAGTGATTGCAGTCTAGCATGAGAGAGCATTTTTCCACCGCATGTTTCTGGAGGGCGAGCACCGAGTCGACTGAACGGGGCACTGACTGAGTGCTTGTCGTGCTGTTCGACATGAGCGTTTCGAGAACATGCATGACATCCAGCAGACACGTGCAGGTTGCTTCGGACTGCATTGCTCTCCGGCCATAGATACCTGAGAGAGCGTAAAGAGTCATGGAGGAGGCCAGCCCGGCCGGCTCTCCCCGAGACGGTGGAGGGGTATTCTCCATCGATGGTCGCGTCGAGCCGTATACAGTCTGGGGCATTGTGGGTGGCATGCACGTTGACGCAAACTGCTGCGGTGCGTCATTATCTTTAGTTAGGTTGTGATCCCAGTCCATGCGTGGCTCTTGGTCTGCAGAGATAATTAGCGGCGATAGGTTGCCAGGTGAAGCCGAGATTGTTGGCACATACCAGAGACGCCATAATTAGCAGAATTGCTTCTGTTTTGATTTCCGCTAGAAAGGAATGGCGCCTGGGCGGTACATTCTGAATCGGCGTTGGTTGGCTCCGAAAGAGTCACCAACATATCGTCAAGATAATTGATCGATTCTGTTTCCAGCTCCTTGCCCCCCCAGGTCTCGAAACCTCGCGAGAAGGACAGAGGTTCCTCGTCGGAGCTGGGATGGATGGGATAGTTTGATGCATTGTCTCCCGTCTGTATCTCGCCGAGCGGATCAGACGAGACGCTTGTCATTGGGTCGGCTTCTGCATTTGCACTGTTTGAAGATAAAACCGAGTCTCTGGGTGTACCATTGTTCCGATCCATCTTGGGACTTGATCCCGTGCATTCATCCGTCATATACACGCACGCGGCAGATTTGGCTTTACATCGGTCACAGCCTGTCTTCTGGCCGCTGCAGCGCGACTGTTGACAGTCAGAAAGTGTACAACATAAGTTTTCTTTGGCATGCATAGCTATGCCATGAGTCTCCGGGGTTTACTCGATTTCGAAAGTATTGCCGCAGGTTGGGCCCTCGAACTTTGAAAAACTCACCTTTTTCGCACGACAACTCTCGCAAGCAATATGTTGTTGTCCGCGCCCACTGTTCCATGGAGTTGCAAGGCATTGTTTCTCAATTCGGATGGGTCCGTTCCCCTGTTGATTATACCGTAATGTTGTGAACATAATGGCAGCTTAAATCTCCAAACTCGTTCTTTTCCTCCGCTTCCCCTTATGCTTAGTAGCGAAGTATAGCCTCGCTGGAGGGCCTTTGATAAAGTATTTTATTTCAGACCCTGTGAGCAAGAATACCCTAATAATCCTCGTATTATAGCAGTCATAATATAAACGTCGTTGGATGCCACCAATCCATCATCCCTGGCCATCGTGGCCCGTATGGGCTATCCTTGCAACACCGAGCCTCGTCCTAGTGTCAATCGGTTAACATAACGAACCCGAGCAATACAGGGCAATGTATAAAATGAGGGGGTGCTGTGATAGTTTGCGGGAATTTTCCACTCGGGTTGGGGGGTGAATTCTCATGGTCGTTTGGGCTGTATACTTGTTCCGCCAGCATTCAGACTAGGATAATCTATGTTTACCCCGCCACCGGCGCGACGCAGATCACCATATCGAGAAAGTTGTGGGCGGCACACAGCCTGGCGATCTAACCCGCACGAGCTGGTAAGGAAAATCTAGGCGATACTTGAATCTTACAAGCGCTGCACTATTACCATCGATTAAATCCTGGTCTGTAGGTGAGTTTCTCTGGCTTTTTTTCAAGCGGGTAGCCCTTGGATGACATGGATTTCTTCCATCTTATACGAGAGTGGGGTGGCTAGCCAGTGGGCCACCAGATCAGCCCTTGTATGAAATCACGAAACGCACGTGCGCCTGCCACCGGAATACCATTAGCCTGGAGCCTGTGGCTGACACGGTATCTCGTATTATGGTCTGAACAGCGGTCAGGCACCGGTTCCAGTTCCAGTTCAATTTCATTCATGCGAGGCGGGGCAGACAGTACGGAATCAGAAACTGAGCCTGAAAAAACACACCAACGGAACTTAGTACTTCGCCCCTAGCCCTAGCAAAACTTGACCAAAGGCGCAATCTGGTAATGGTGCCATGAGAGGAACCAAAACCCCCTAGCTGCTGAAGCTCATACTGGGATCAGTTTAAGACCCCAAATAAATATCCACCAAGCATGTTCAAACAGAATGTGAGTTCTCGTACTAACCCGTTCAAGAGTAGTTTTAGAATCTCTCCAGCACTCAGTTCTACTGCAGAACATAGAACTGTACATTCATTCTCACCTGCCTCGGAATATCGGGCTCCTCCAGTGACACACTGTCTCCACACAAAGCCACAACCAAATCCATATAGTATATACGACCCATCTCCACCCTCTTAGCGGGGCGGGAATGACGGGTATTTTAGCGTTGTCAAATCCTCCGGAGGTACTCACGCTCTAACCCTAAGGATTCCGGTGGGAATCCGTCTCACTCATCCTCAACCACATAAGCTTGACTACGCTTTGGCTGCCCTAGCCATGCTAGTTTGTCGCCAAGGTTGGATATTTAGAATACCCCCGTCCTTTAAATACCAAATGGATTGTTTGGCCTTGCCCTGCACAGACCTCCACCGGCTAAACCCTGCAACCTCTGCGCCGCATTATGGATCCTTGGCTTCGTACAAAATTAAAATGGCATATTTGATCGTTTAGAATGTTATGCTAGCATACTCTAGTTTTAACAGGGGTTTTTACGGCAAACTTGCAATACCATAAGAGTCAATCGCGCAGACGACCTTGCCAGTCGTCGCATTATTTTCCAGCATCTGGTGGGCCTCTCCAATTTTCTCCCACTCAAACACATGGTCCACCACGTGTTGAAAGCGACCATCCACCAACTTCGGCAGGACTTTCTCCACGAAGAGATCTCGCAGACAAATTTGGTAGTCCAGAGATCTAGTGCGGAGGGTGCTCCCTTCGACTCTTAGCCGCTTCATAATAATGGGGCTAATATCCACGGGGCCTGGGACGGTGGGACCCCCCAAAAGTCCCAGACTAACCATGGTCCCGTCAAGGGCGAGGGTACCGAGATTGAGCGGGAAGTAGGCTCCACCGCCGACAAAATCAAAGATGATGTCGATGCCATTACCGTCGTTGAGCTTTTTGATCCCCGCCGCCCAATCGGGCATTGAAGTTGGATTCACCGCGGCTGTGCATCCAAGCTTCTTCACACACATCTCGCACTTGGCATCGCTGCGTGCGGTGGCAAAGACTTTAGGCGGCTCAGCCCGTGTGCCTTCACCAACGCTGTATTCATGAGCAGCTAGAGAGAGTTGAATCCCTGCGATCGAGACCGAGGACCCTCCCGCGTGCCATAGGATGGACTTGACGCGCTTCGCATCGTACGCCGCAACGAGATGGAGGGCTTGTAGTGCTGTAAACCACACCTGCGGTAAAGTATCCTTAGAACCGGCTTATTTTCTTCATGCTTGTTTGTTCAGAAGGAAAAGGGCGCACCTCGCAAAGTCCACCACAAACCACCCAGCTCAGCTCCTTTGTCTTCGCGATCAGCATCCTCTTGTCGACCACCACAAACTCGGCGTAGCCGCCACCATATAGCAGACCAAAAACTTCATCCCCTTTCTTCCATTTCTCCAAACCCTCGTCTGGGTGGCCGTCTGACCCGATCTCTTCGATGACTCCCGCGAACTCAAGTCCCATAATGTTGGTTATCCCGGCCGGAGGCGGGTAACGGCCTTCGCGTTGTAATGTGTCTCCCCGGTTGAGGCCGAAGGTTTTCACCCGCACAAGGCATTCATTCGGAGAGGGAACCGGCTTGGGCGCGGACGGGTTGATGAAGAGCCCTGCCGGGGTGCCGCCCGGTCGGACATCTATTGTACCCAACGTTAGTGAAATCCATCCCATATATAAAGCCAGATCAGAAGATGAAGCAAGTAGATGGAATAATTACTCCCGACGGAGCCATTGTAGGTGAGATACCTATAGCGCGCATTGTATGGGCCATTGTTCTTTCGGGCCTGGATGCTCTCGTTGGGAAACGTTGAATAAACTGGATTTCCAATGACGATGGTATTGTCTCAGTTTCCACCGCCGTCTACTTCCTTGCTTTTCAATGATCAAAAGGAACGCCGTCTTTTCCCTTAAAGGGGACGACGCCGCCGGAGATGTCCAAACTGGGAAAAACGGACGATAAAGTCTAACCAACCCGCCTGACGCTTGTCCCAAGTGGACCATGTGGGTTGACTAAACGTGTATGCCTCGAGTCTGCTGCGAAGAAAACTTCCAACCGAATGAAACAAGTTGCTGTCTACCAAATGTTCTAGTTACAGTCGGTGCCCAATAGAGCAGAAGCGATCTATGACCGTCTTTTAAATACAATATTCAACTCACCTTTACTAATGGTGAACTGTTCTGTTGCGTTCCCTTCAAACTTACTTCCATCCTCGCCGGGCGCCAACGCAATATCAAAGGCCATGATTAGCTGCGCCAGTGTAGTGCGGATGTTGAGCAGCGCCAGGGGTCTTCCTATGCATCCGTAGGGGCCTGACGAAATTCACAGAATTAGCCATCCACCTCAAGTGCATTGCTGTAGGGAAACCGTACCTTGTGAAAACGGGGCAAAAGCGGACTTCTTTTTAACCATGTCTGGGAACTGATACCAGCGCTCCGGGATGAAACTCTCCGGCTTGGAGTAGCAATTTTCGTCTACAAGGTCCAGTCAGTCGTAACTGAGACAAATAGGCTTGCGGCGAATAGACATACCACGTCCAAGCACGTATTGCGGACACCACACGGTCATATTCCCCGGAATGTAGGTGCCGTCGATCTCGATACCCTCGGGAGGAGTCTTTCTATGCAGAGCTGTTGGGACGGGAGGGTGTAATCGCAGGGTTTCGTTGATGACTCCGTTTAGATGATTCAGGTTCGGTATCTTTTCATCCAGGAGTTCACCGACAGGGTGGTCGGCCTTATAGGGCGCGAGTTCTTGTCTTAATTTGTCAATTTGTTGGGGATGTCGCACCAGCTCATACAGGACGCTCGCCATAGTCGTCGCAGTCGTATCACTGTTCAATTTCCGTAAGCAAAGCAAGCAAAAGGCAGCTGTGGATTCAAGCATACCTGCCGGCAACCACGATCAATTGCGAATCTCCGGTCAACAGGTTCAAGTCATCTTTCGTTAGTTTTTTCCCTTCCAAAGGGGCCAATATCGCTGAGGCAATATCCGGAATGGTTTGCTTAGTCTAATCATGGTCAGTTACCAGCGGCATGCCGCCAGAAATCAAGTCGATATCCTTCCTCACCTTTAACCTTTGCTGGATTCGCTCGCTACAAAAGTTGATAAACCGCCACCAGTCTTTGGTCAGCCCAGGAACACTAGTCATAAGTCTAAAAAACCACATTGGGAGAAAGAAACCCAGGGGCTTAATTCCATCATTGAGCAGTTGGATTGCCCAGTGCTCCTGGCTCGTCTCCAGCATGTCGAAGCTCCTCCCGAAGGCAAGATCTCCCATGACATCGAAACTGTACAGATTAAACCATTTCGTCATATTGATCGGTTTACCATCGAGACTCCGGATATGACTTATAAGTTTCCTGCGGTGGACCTCGATTCGTTGTTCATATCCCCGCAGCCCGCGATCACTGAACGCTGAACTCCACACACGGCGCCTTCGGTCATGGAGAGCTTTTTCCCGGTATGTCTGGAGTGAGGTAATCGGCTTTGTCAGGTCGTACCATGCGGCCTTGGTACATTTCGAGCCTTGCCCGTAGATGACATTGACGCCTTCGGGGTGCGCAATGGAAAGCTCGGAGGGCCCAACGCGGACAAAAGGGCCATATCGATTGTGCAAATTCTGAAAGTGCCTGAAAGCATCACGCTTGAACAGTTGTGACGACAGCCGAACGCTCGACATCCGGTAGCCGACCGGTCCAGGGAATTTGTTCAGAGGATGGAGGAGTATGCGGTACACTAGCAGGCTACCGTACAGACCGCAGAGATAAGCGGCAGCCAGGCAGGAAACTTGGGATGACGCGAGGCGGACATCGTCGCCTTGTCCGTACACTAAAAATCCGAATGCTGCGGCCACCGTGAGAGCGAAGGCTTCGACATATAGTGAGGCATAGAGGTGATGTTCGCCTCGACGAAAGTAACCAACATGAGACGCAAGACCAGCTAGCACTGCAACGAGATATTCGAGTCGCATAGTCATCGAGACTATTTGCCAATGCCTGCACAATACCAGCGTTACGGAGAGATGGCGAGACACCACTCGAAATTATTTAAGGATTCCTACATGCACTATGATCCCACCGATCATGCCAGACGATCCCAAGTGGGTAGTCTCCGCGGCCGGGACAATGGTCGATCCAGGGCTCCGACCGCTGACTGAAAAAAGGAACCCGTCATAGGGTCACGCATCTTATACGCATCAAAGCTCGTGTCTGCAACTGCACCGGTCGTCACTTAGGCCCTGGTATCCGAAAAGCCGCTCGAAAGAGTGGAAACATTGTAGTTATAGAAGGGCAGTATTTTATTTACACGCTTTCTCCCGCTTCCAGCTCGGTCTTCTCCCTCGCTACTGCAACAAAGATCATTCGACACACGTCGGTGCCGTGGTTGAACCAGGCATGCTCCGTTCCCCGCTGAATGACCACATCGCCAGGCTTGAGCAAGGTTTCCTCCCCACCATCCAGGACCAGAGTTACCTCCCCACTAAGAATTACCCCGTAGTCCAGGCTCAATGTGTGGTGCATGGCCGTTCTGAAACCGGCAGGGAAATCAATGCTGCCGAACAGGACGCCCTCGGCTGATGCACGAGGAATTGGTGGCAGATTTTCATGGGCCTTCTGGAACAGTTCAGCCCTTTTCACAGGTACGTTGTGCAAGGCGTGGAAGGGCGAGAATTCCAATGCATCGTCGCCGTCGTTGTTAGGCAATCTGATAGGATTTGAAACGACATCAGAGTCTATGATTGATTTACCGCTCTTCTCGTAGCTGGTAACAACGACGCGAGAACCTGGATTTGCGGCAGACATGCTGGAATATGGTAGTCGTACGCTCGATGTCAGGATGCGGATTAGATAATGAAGAATATTAACGGAATGGGTTAAATTGAAAATTGACAACCGGATGGTATTTTCGCTTGGGTTCTAATATAGTAGCCCCAAAGTCGCACTCTAACAATGTAAATTTCCTAACCTAAGTGGGAGCTAGGCCGATTCCGGGGTTGCCCATTTTTGCTACATGAAGCTTTTTTCTTTCTCTTCCTTTTTCTTTTATTTTTAACTTTGATTTTCTTTTTTGACCCTTCTTGGCTTCTGCGGAACAACCCGAGGACCCACTGCGGATTTAACCGAGCTCCAGGCGCTACGGTATACTCCATTTGGAAGTGGCCGCCAAGTCGCCGCAGGAATTGGCTTTAGAACGGAGATAAGGGGGGGAAAAGGAGATATGCCTTATTTCCGTCGTTAGTCTCGCTTTCAATGACTAAATTTGTGATGGCGACTTTGGCTTTGCAATTAGTATTTACCTGCGATGTACTGGCATCTGCGCCACCTGATGTGCCTGCAGGATCCAACATCCCAGCTCGATCCTGACAGGCTCCGGAGGACTTGGAGGAGATTGCCCCGTATGGCTCGGTGAGAAGCGGATTGACTTCATTCAGGTACCTGTGTTTTTGTAGGTTAGGATCTACCCGCCAGGAACAGGATCCGCCAGTGGAGCAACAGTAAGTTAGCGGGCGAGACCGTGCTTCCGATGTCCTAGTCACGTGATTTGGTCAATTCAGATACCATCACGGTCTGCCTCGTAGGTTTCAAAGTGAGGGTTGCTAATTTTTCCGAGGGGTTACTTTTATCTACAAGTCCAAGAAGGTACCTGTATGCGTAATCCTGCATTTCTCTGTCCTATATTGTATGTATCATATTTAGCCGTATACATATATATATCTCCGTAGGCTCGGGGCGACTGCTGGGATGTACTGTAACGTCTTCAACGGAGCCATCACAGTTGGATCAGCAATTCCGATAATTAAATGTCTTCATGTGAACGGGAAATGCTTTTTGTCTATGCTTACTGTAATCTGGGCAAGTTCGTAGTTGCAGTTCACTGACTGCCATAATGCACCGGTCAGATGCACACTCTTCAGGATACGCTTGACGGATGGTACTTTGATTCTACACTTTTCTAGTAAAAGACGAATACCCTTGTTGATTATGGCGAATCATCGTCTCACACCACATCAGCGATGCTTGAACATAAACTGCACCGAACCATCAACCTTGTTCAGAATGCCTTCGAGACCGGCCATCACCGACTGCTCCTTAGGGGGATTCTTCAGCTTGAACTCATAGTTGCGGAGGATTCGAGCCACCACAACTTTGGCTTCATGCATGGCGAAAAACCGACCAGGACAAGCTTGGGTACCATACCCAAATACGAGGTGGTCCGCTGCGATGGAGACGGCCTGCATGTTATTAGCGAGCAATACGAGCCAAGACCTGAATGGAATTACACGTACCTGGTACTTTTGCTCGTTACCAGGCTGTGACCGGAGTTTTTCAAACCTGTTTTTTTGGTGAGTGATTGGTCTTTTCTCCCACTGGAAGGCAACAAGGGACCCGCTTACCGGAAACCATCAAATACTTCAGGATCCTCCAGATTCGACCGGCTGAAATGATTATAATGGGTGTCCACGCCACAAATGACCCCGACTGGCAGGACTTCGCCGGTTGCAATCTTCAATGGCTTTGTAACCTTGCGAATAGTCCCCACTGTATCCATTGCAATCAGTTTTCTGCGCCTCATTTGATAGACCATGTAGCTCACCTAGCATAAATTTGTTGAACCGTTGCGCTTCCCGAATAAACGAGTCAAGCTTGACCAGCTTGGCGACATTGGCACGGGTCATGGAGACTTCACCGACATCGAGAGCTTCTTTCCTCAAGGGTTCAATGTATTCCGGGCGAATACATAGGTCGTACAAAATGTGGAAGACAGTTGTTGCTGTCGTAAACAGCGCAGCCCGGCCCGTGCCGACCTGAGCGGACACTTGATAGTCGAGATTCCGTCCCTTTCCATCTGGAGATCCGTCAATCACGAGCTGGATTAGATCAGGTGGCGTTTTGAAGTCGGGCTTCTTCATGTCATCCAAACGCTGTTCCAAGATAGGGGCAAGTAGGCTGAATACACTGTTAGAAGTTGATACAGGAATAATAGACGTCTTGGGAGGGAAAGTGAAAAAAAAAAAAGAACAAAAAAAAAAAGGGAAAAGCAGTAACACTTACCGGGCGGCTCGTTGCTTGTGTCTCTTGATAGCACGGAGCTGAGGCATCCGCCACGCAACAAATGGCCTTATGAGTGGGTGATACTCCCACAATTTGGGGACAGCACTGAATGCGCCGCCGGTACAATCTTGGATTGCTTTAAGCTGAAAATTGGATTCAGTAACGGCAGGAGCATTGGGCAGAGTCTTGAAGATGGACTCACCCATTCAGGGTTGCGGCACAGGGGCTCCCCCACAAAAACCCGCTGGGAAATCTTGATGATCATGCGGACGATTCGGGGGTAAAGGACCATCTCAGTCCATTCTGAGCTATAAGCCCTCACCACACATACACCCAAGGTGATTGATTACGTACCTTCGCAGGGTCCGATTTCCTCCAGAATAGATGTCAACGCTGCATCCTGGACAATTTCGTACACCTGGTCAAGAAGACGACCAACGTCGCGACGAATCAACGTTGCAGTGGCCTTCTCGTGGCCGGTGATGCCGGTGAAATCCCCAACAAAGAAGTCGTAAGAACCTTGTTGAAAGCTCAATTTCGATTCTGGGTTCGCTTTGATATCCTCCACACAACTGGCGGGCAGGATAACTATTTCGTCGGGAAAATGCTTGATCTTGTAGAGCCGGTCGGGATACTGGGTGAACTCAGCTTCTGATCAAGCGCACATGGATAGCAACCCATTGGAGCAACCACAATAGTTCGAGACACTTACCATAGCGGACCCTCTGGCGAGCACCTCACGGTACGTCTCGCCAGGTCTGAGTTCGACCAGTGGTGCATCGAACTTTGGCTTGCTGAAGTATTCTGAGAGCTTCTTGCGGATAAAATGGGACGGCCGTTTGATGTACGTCTGAGAGAAATCATGGTATATGAAGTAGATCAATGCCAACGATAGCGTCGACAGTATAACACTAATGGGATCCTTAGCGGTCTCATGGAAAGATGCAAACTGGATGAGCGTCATGTTGCCGAATCTAGATCATGCAACAGAAAACACACCAATGGGCAACGCGGGGGAAATTATATGTTTTGATTCATTCATACTAAAAGGTTCCAGTCCGCGGTAAGCTTGGCGAGTCTTTTTCAAACACCGGAGAATTCCTTATCTGGACCGTGAGTTCGGCTCATTTCTCGATTTGGTTCGTGTACAGAATATGCACTTTCTGGGTTTGGATTACAATGATGCAACGGATATCCGGGCATGTTTCGTGTCGGAGAGCTACAGCTGCGTACGGCCTTAGACAGTACTAACCTGAAAAAGTAGCACGGCTTATATCACACACGCCTACGCTATACTTGCTTCGACTAGGACCAAACTGCTCGGTTGTAACTGGATTAGGAAGTGACCGCCGCAGGTTCGCTGCTCGGCCAGAGGGCATAGCACGCTGTTCCTGTGCTATACACAAGTTTAGATATTCTTAAAACAGGTATACAACTGGCGGGGCTTACTTTCCTATGACTATGTCTACGTTTGCCCTGCCTCAGCCTTTGCCATACCCGCGTCTCTCTCGATGATTCCACGGCGTGGAGACCCTTCATACAGATAGTTCATTCATAGGACATACATGAGTTCCAATATGACCGCGTCTACCGAAAAGACAGAGCCGCAGAGCTCACAGTGCAGCCATACAACCCCACGCGCTTCTGTGAGAAGGCTCCCAGTTTACTGTTCAGGCAAGGATGAGATGGCGTTAAAGCACAGAGCTGATAATATTATTTGCAGGTTAGACCATGGACATTACCATCCTTTGCCGTGAATCTCTGGCTCTTTACCGAGAGCGACTTTGCGACATTCGTGTTTCCTGACACTGCTTTTGGTATTTTCGCCGCCCTTTCCGGCAAGGCCATGACCACGAACCCTACACCGGATCTGCTAGCCATCATAAGCAAAGTACCAAAGGTGTTGCTGTGGAACTGGCTCAATCTTCTTATATTTGACCTTTCCAACCAGCGTCACCCTGAGTCGGTCATCGAGGACACCATCAACAAGCCATGGAGACCGGTACCATCGGGCCGCATGACCGTGGCACAGACGAGGCGGCTTCTCTTACTGTCTGTGCCCTTCGTGCTGGTTATCAACTATTTTCTGGGATCATGGGAGGAGACGGCCCTACTATTTAGTCTGACATGGATGTATAACGATCTGGGAGGGGGGGATGAGGATTTTGTCACCCGAAATCTCATTATCGCGATAGCCTTCTCTCAGTACAACAAAGGAGCTATGCGCGTGGCCTCGGGTTGTGGTTTTGATGTACCACCAAATGCATGGCAGTGGCTAGCTATTACTAGCGGAGTCATATTGACTACAATGCATGTTCAAGACATGAAAGACCAGGAGGGGGATCGGGCCAAAGGTAGACGCTCTGCTCCACTGACCATTGGCGACGGAGCGGCACGATGGACTATTGCAATCCCTACAGCCTTCTGGTCCTTTGCATTTCCGGCGTTCTGGGGCCTTGGTCTGCTTGGATACGTCATTCCTGTGAGCATTGGGCTTTTAATTGTCTTCAGAATCCTAGCACTTCGAAATTTCAAAGCCGACAAACGTACCTGGTGGCTGTGGACATTCTGGACAGCGATCATCTGGATGCTTCCTTTGTGCAAAGAATACAGCGTCTTCACAAGGTTCTTCCAGCAGATGATCAGCTGAATACGTACGGAGAGGAGCATTGGTTGGCTAGCTTGGGGGTTACGACCACATGGTGGAACCAGCAGTGAGATCATTTGAAACAATGCGCCACTAAGACAGAGGGTATTTGCTTCTTATTTGGATTTATGACATTTTCATTTTAGCTCAATTACATGCATGATTGGATGATCAATGTTAGAATAGACTTGCGTTATGGTAGCATGTTGCATTGAATACGCCACGCCGCGCCGTTTGCTGACTGGTTTCTAATGGGACAAATGTGGTGCGCATAGAAAGCGTCCTAACATGGCAGAGGCCGGTGAGGAGGCGCAGTGGGAATACTCCAAATTGAGATATATATTAGATATACTTATCAAATAACTGTTTATTCAGATTCCGGTTCTCCGTAATGATGGTCGTTGTTTCTCGCCCTTTTCCAATCCAGACATATAGGTTGCATCCCACTCACCAGGTAGTCCTGCCGCCCACAATCAGCTCAGCATGGCAGCAAGTATTGGTTTTTTTCTAATTAGTGGCGCTTTGACGATTCTTTTTGTATGTTTTACAGACCTGATGTCCCAAAGTTAACAGACTAACTAAGCGTGCCCTGACTCTATGAACCGCAGTTCCTATGCAGAGTCCTATACAATATATATCTGCACCCCCTCAGCAGATATCCTGGCCCCTGGTACTTGGCTAGCAGTGACATTCCTCGTCTTTTTATGGTGTTCATTGGTAAATATGTGCATTTTAACCATGAACTTCATCTGCATTATGGAGATGTCGTGCGAGTTGACCCCAACGAGATTTCCTACACCAACGCGGAAGCGTGGAGAGATATCTACAACCACGGCAAAGAGCGAATCATCAAGGATCCGCATTTCATGGGAGAAACACCCAACAAAACACCGCACATTGGCACCGCCGATCGATCGACCCATTCAAGGATGCGGAAGGCCTTCTCGCACGCGTTTTCGGACCGCGCTTTGCGGAAACAGGAGCCTCTCATCCAGTCGTACACCGACAAGATGGTGTCAGCTATCAACGACATAATCGAGAAAGATCCAAGCTCATCCTTGGATATCGTGGATATCTACAATTTCATCACGTTCGACATGATGGCCGAGCTAACATTTGGGGAGCCCCTCCGCCTACTCGACAATAAGACTTACATCCCATGGGTCACGGCTATTTTCCAGGGCCTGAAATTCATGACCCTTCGGGGCGTACTGAAGAAGATCCCACTATTGGGAATCCTGAGTGAGTACTTGATCTCCACGACGCTGCGGAAAGAGTTCGAAGCGCATTTTCGTTTTTCATCCGATTTGGTGGATCGACGTCTTGCGCAAGGCGAAGATACTAAGCCAGATATCTGGCACTTTGTTTTGGGAGCCAAATCCGAGGCAAGACTCTCGGTGAAGGAAGTGCATTCGAATGCTGCAGGACTTATGGTTGGAGGTGGAGAAACCGTCGCTACGGCGCTCAGTGGGCTGACGTATTTCCTTCTCGAGAATCCTGCCGTACTGAAACAGGTTACCGAGGAGGTGCGAAGCGCCTTTGCCAGCGACGGTGAAATCACCCTATTGGAGATAACGAGATTGAAGTATCTTGGGGCATGTCTCTCCGAATCTCTACGCATGTACCCTCCAGCTGCTGTGGGACTCCCGAGGATCATCCCTCCAGAGGGTGCAGATGTCCGCAAGGAATTAATTCCTGGTGGAGTACGTATCCACCATACCATCAATCGATTTCTTATGATGCGTGCGTTTTTTGCAATAGACAGGAATGCTTTCACCGTGAGCTATGGGCCACTACATCGAGGTAGTTGCAATGAGCCCCACTCCAGGAATGGCAAAGGCCATAGATTCGTCCAGTTCGAGGGCCCCGGAAGCATCGATCAATAACTATAAGCCCATTCTTGTATCTGAGTTTACTACAACCCCCTTGACCATGCCAGTAGACATGTCCAATCCGGGCCTTTTATAGTGAACTTTTGTCACTGTAGTAACCTATCTGTAGAAAATACCTCTGGAAAGGCCCTTCAGCCAGCCACTTGCAATTTTAAACATGAAGGGATTGTTACTGTATCATTCCCTTTATCCACAAGGGACATTCCCACTCGACTATCCCTACTGCTATTACACAAAAATAGAACCCAGAATGCCCCAATCCAAACAGTAACAGAAAGCCAAATGTTCACATTTCTTGGCTGCAAACATACAGAAAGGACAGACGGTTTGCAAGTTCGGATTGCTTGAGGATAGTTTCTAGATGTTTAAGCTTCATAGATCAGATAATAACAAGATGACCAGGCAGGGGATAAGGTCATCAGCTGCACAGCCACAGACTAGAAGTTATTAGGGCAAGGGTATACAACATCAGTATTAAAGACTGCTTCCTTTAATACACAGGAAGCATGAGGTAGATGGACAGTGATCCAGTATATTCATAACCCTTGTCATTTATTTCCGTGCGGGTTAGGTAGACTGATAATCTACAACTTGGTATGGTAGCTACGTGCCTGTACACTGCCTGAATCCTGCGTGGTATAGAGTTAATAAAGCTGTTCATCACGCTCTGGAGTATTAGCCAACATGCTTGTTAGATAACTTGAACAAAGTTATTCCAATCCTTCCTTTTAGTTGTAATAATAAATCAATGTCTAGTATTCTCCGTAAAACGGAGTTCAATGGGTCTAAAGAGATTCATGACTTTTTTGTTTAGTACAAATGCTGATATTCTTAGTCTGGGACTAGGGGGCTGGGATAGCCAATATAATTAATAGTAATACCATAGTAAGGATCTTATGGTAGTAAAGTCTTCTTCCTATTAGTAGCCCTCACCATCACCCAATTACATGGTTTCTGGCAGCTAATCCTTTGCGTGGAACACTTTGAATTTAGGTAGAGTAATACTATTTCTGGATAACAGTCCACTATTCTAGCTCGCATTAGTTTAACATGATCTTGTGGAAAGAGTGGACAGTTGAAATTTGTTTTGAATATGGCAATCCAGAAGCCCGCAGCATACACCTTGCAGAAAGGCCTTCGCCATCAGCCATATAGTCAGCCACATACAGAGCTTACGAGGCCTAGAGAAGAGACCAACAGGAACTATCTGGATTTAACTACCTCTTTATTTGAACTAACATGTCAGGAAATATTTTATGGAAAGCAAAAGCCGATGACATGGCTCTAGGCACCTATAATTGTCTAGCAAGGGCAGTAAGAGACTACACAAGACAAGAGACCACATTCGCATAATTTAGCAACACGACAGCAATGCCATATATGGATGTCAATGCCATATATAGATGTCATGAATATCAAATCAATCACTGACACCACTTTCCGCGACATTCACAACCAGCAGCATTCTATCCATGCCAATGTCCGTCAGTACGTAGCCATCTAATGTCAAATCATGAGAGCACTTACAACACAGGTTTTAGCATTGTCAATACACTCTTTGATAGAATAAAATCCGTTGTGTGACTGGGAACATTCAAAGAATTTATCGTCGAAAGCGGTTCCACAAGCTTTATATAGGGCTTGCTGAGATTCGTGCTCCTTGGCTTTTTCACACGCAGTTGATTGTTCCCCACATCTCCAATAAGCGTCATCATCGCATGCTTGTCTACCTGACTGGCTGGGCTCCTTCTTTTCAAGAGAAGTAGCCATGGCGGAGGCCGCAAGGAACAAAATGATATTGGTAGCCCGCATGGTAGTGGCTTAAGATGAGAGTTTCTCGGAGAAAGATATGAGCGGATAAGAATAGAGAAGGACTTGTTAAGATACCGTGGTAGTCGCAGAGCTGAGGGTTTGGAGCCCAGCTTTATAGGTATGGCTACTATATGTGACTAAGGGGTGGTGAGACATGTTATTTACCAAAATGAACTTGCGAAGCAAGGCTTCAGATTCTAGTCAAGCCACCATAGGGTTCTCTAGCAACCTGATGATCCATGATTTGTCCACTGCCGTGGATCGATCAGTATGCAATAATAAGTAGCTGCAGCAAGTTAGGATAGAAACAGCGTCCTTTTTTGGATACATGGACTGGTTCCACTCATGATCTTCACCTCCGTACATAATTAGAAAATGAGTCGGCCAATACGGAGACGTCTGTGCCTCAATCACAGAACCTAGCCAATGCAAAAATCCATGAAAACATTCAAATTACAGCATCAACATGGCATCCATTGAAGTAATTCAACATGGCACCCCTAAAAAGTTTGAGTATAATCAGAAGACCAACCCCTTTCACCATGTTTGCTATTATAAATCAGGGTATATATATATATTTTTTTTTTTTTCTTTTTTTTTTTTTTCAGGCAGCCACTGCCAAGGGGAATGAGAATTCCATATCCGTCATTAGCTGCCTTGCTCACTGTTCACTCTCTTCAGTCAGGAAGCTTAGAGTTCTTCTCCATAGTTCTGTTCTTTTATTAAGAAAGTGAATGGAGAAAACACTACTGGGAATACACTATACTCAAATTTTACAAGAAATCTTAGAAGTGAGGCAGATGGCTTTCGAATTAAATTAAGTCCAGATTTGAGTTTTGCAGTATTTAGTACTAAGTGGAGCCTACCTTCCGTTTATAATACCCATCCGCGGAACCATCCACGGGATTAGAACTAGTTGCAGAATCCAATCAGCTGTTCACCCAGACTAAATACCAGGTAATTTTCCCACCCTTCCAAAGTAGGGAAATATATCTAATGATTTTATCTATAATAAAATTCCAGAGAAGACAGGTATACCAGACTAGATTTAGTAATCCCTATCCACCCAATCTCACAGCATTATATCAAACCATATTTAAAATGCGCGGCCATCCAAAACCTGGAGATATGCATTATCGGTGCAGGGATCAGTGATCTCACTGCCAGTCTCGCCATGGCAAAGGCAGGATTCCAAAACATCCGGATCTAAGAATATGCTTCGAATCTGGGATTTGTTGGTGCTGGTATTTAAATGCCACCTAAAATAGGTCGGATATTGGCGGAACTTGGGGTATGGGAGAAAATAGCGGCAGAGAGAGTATCCTTTGACTTCCACAGCATCCGAGGTATACTCCATTCCAAAGCAGCCTAATTCATCAAAGACAGATAACTGACCAGCTGACAGAGGGGTCTAGTGGAAAGGCTTTAGGGGTTATGGATTGTAGGAACATTGAAGGAGAATATGGCTACTATCAGACAGGTGGCCATAGGGCAACCTTGATCAATACCCTCTACCATGCATGTTTTCAAAACAGAGTCAAATAATTCTTTTCCACCCCAGTCACTGCACCGCATGAGTTCCATGACAAACCAACGTTTTGGGTGACTCCTCGCGACAATACATCATATCAAGTGCGATGTGATATCCTGCTGGGGGCAGACGGCATCAAATCTTAATCTCGTGAGGCCATGCTCAAACAACTCAATGTGGAAACACAAGTCCGAGAGACTGGACAAGCCGCATACCACATCATGCTGACCCGGGAATAAGTGAAACATAATCCAGAGCTTCTACAGCTGCTAGACAGAGACCAGTCAATTCAATAGATTAGAGAGAAACACCATGTGGTCGCCTACCCTATCTCTGGACGGAGCATTTATAACATTTCGACAACACAGCCTGATGTGAATTTTGCACCTACGCTCTCAGCCACCTATACAAGTCAGGGTTCCGAATCAACAATGCTGTCGGTATATGGCAACTTTTACCCTCTCGTCTTAAGAATGTTGGATCTGGCACCAGATGAAGAGGTCTGTGAATGAAAGTTGCACGTCCACGACCCCCTACCCACCTGGGTTCAAGGGTCTTTTGCTCTTCTTAGAGACGCCTGCCATCCAACCCTCCCATACTTGGGCCAAGGGGCTGCCCAGGGGATTAAAAATTCTGCTATTCTTAGCATCTTTCTGTCTACACTCCCTGATGCATTCCTCATTACCATCAATAAAACACTACCAGCTTTTGAAAAGGCGAGAAAAGGACGAGCGGAACATCTGGTCCACTTAGCCACAAGTCAGCACGCGCACTCCACATGGGAGAGGAGAAGACACGCGAAGAACAAGACCAGGTGTTTGCAGCAATTAAGACCGGGGTCCTAGAAAAGTGCCCAATAAAGTGATAGATGGGGACGCACATAAAATGGCTTATGGATTTGACTGTATGGAGAACGCACGTGAGAAGATTCCAGATGTTTTTGAAAGGGGGGCTATCTGAACAAAACCCCTAACATTTTATTTTATTCAATAGATTCTTCATTATTTTTCTATGTTCGAGATCATCAATGAGGTTTGAAGCTTTCCCATATCCTAGTCATATAATTTTAGATAATTAGCGACCGCGAAGGCCCAGGCGAATCAAATCACACTCGTCTCTAATAGATATCCGGAGGAAATAACGCAGCAGATCAGCTGGCTAAGGCCGCGGCAAGCCCGGGCAAAACACACCCCTTCTATTCTTTGATGATAAGAAAGATAGCTATTATCCGTGACAGCATCTGCGCTCAGTAAGAGCGGGAATAGAATACATCCACTAAATACTCTACCAGCAGCCTACACTAGGAAGCTGTATGGGGATTTATCCGGGGGTCGGGCGGTCCTGCTGACACAGCTACCCACAGGCCATGATTGGTTATCCACCCATGCCAAGACCTTCAGCTTTCGTGGCAATGATTAGTGCATGTGCAGCGCGGAAGAGACAGTTACCCAAATCTGAGGGAATAAAGGGTGTTAAGAAGTAAAGCTGAGAGTATATAATATAAATAAACTTGGGAGCGATGACCCTTAACACATTAATACATACAAAACCCCGCAATTAATAGACCTATCAAATTATAACCAGAAATTACGCTATCCTGGTGACTATGGTGCACCCGTGTGCTTTTCAACTATATATTGGCAGTGTGATCCCTTCTTCATACATACCCAACTGAAAAAGTATTAAAAAAGATCCTTTGATTATTAAGAGACAATATTTCCATCTTGGATCATCCAGATAAAATTGTATAACATGGCTCTCTTCGTGACTGAGATAGTGACCGTACAGGCCCCAGAAACTACATTGCCGGTCAAGATAGAAGAGGGCCACAACAAAAAGAAGTTCATTAGATAAACATGTGAGATAAATCATGAGATTAATGACACAGCCAATCTTCCTCCTGCGTCATACCCGCACTATCTGCCTGTTAGGAATAATAAAACAGAGAGGTACCCCTCCGCTGTCCTTTATAAAGGAATATCGCGACTAACAGTCTGACAGATATCCTCCTCTTGAGCCGTTTAAGCATCACGACCACGGCAAAGATGCTAATCCCACTTTCCCAGACCTACTGCCTAAGGGCCAGGTTAAGGTCGATAATCTCATGCCATGCATCGGGCCTGAGATCCACGGCGTGCAACTAAGCCAGCTTTTTGTATATAAGAAATCAAGAGTAGTGTTGGACTGGATTGGTTTGAGTTGGATCGGTGCCCCAATGGATCGGTTTATCGGATTGATTTTTATAGAAACCGATCCGACCCAATCCAACACTAGTTGTGCCGCCTCTGCGGGGTGTCAACCATGTTAGGTTTCTGTAACATTCAGTGCGGGTTTTTGCGTTTAGTGATGACACTCTAGGCTCTAGAGACTAGATTTATAAAGAAGAGAGATAGTATTAGATAGTAGTCTTGGATAGCTTGTCTACTTAGTTATTAAAATTTATTTAGAAAGATTAAGATACTATAAGCTACATGTATATAAGTCCTTGACTCTCTTATTCTTTCAAGAATTAGTAATTAGCTCTAGCATAGACTCCCTCTTGTTGTCCTCCATATGACCCTCTATTACTACTCCTAGGTGCGGCGTTACCGGACTACCGCATAATAGTCATACCTGTTTTGCTGTGTTCCTCGGAGCCGGGCCGTGTCTTGCTTGGCTATTGAAAATAATTTGACTAAGCCCGAGATCTTCCAACCCCGCCCATTTTCTTTGCGCCTCCCATTGCAACCATGCCTCCCAACGCCAATCTTACCTAAGTCTGACATGAGGTTACTTTATATAAGTTACTCTGACCTTTGCCAGTGGCTTCACAGAAAATGGCGCAACGGCACCGTTCTTTGACAGGTTGTGGCGGTTGTCGCACCCGTCACCTCAAATGCGACGAAGGCCGGCCAGGATGCCAGACATGTCACTTGACCGGAATTGCATGCCCGGGATACAACGCTCAAATTAAGTGGCCTGTCGATGTAAACAAGGTCCGAGGCCCTGCCAGCGAGCGACCTAAGGAGAGTATTTTCCGTCGGCCGCTATATCAAGGTTAGTAACAACCGCTTTCTTGTATCAGAGCCGCCCTCATTAACGCATATATAGTTATTGAACAAGAGACCATGACAAAAGCTACTGTCAATAGCCTTGGGGAAATTACTACTAATGCTGCATTGGACAACATTGAACATTGGCTGGAAAGCAGTTCTGGTCCGTGTCTGTTTCAGGGACCCTTTGGTGTTTTAAATTTCATGCATCATCACATGTCCAATGAACACGCTATTGATGATGCCAAACCTGGCGGCTCAAAAAAAGAAAACAAAAGTCTTGCTGTCAGCATGAATTCTGTCACTGACTTGTCCGCAATGGAACAAACAAGCACTCACCAACAATTTTCTGAACCCACACCACTATCTACTGTGGTTTCTACTGTGGTTTCCACCGGTGAAGATAGTTTCCAAGATATCTTCAATTTTTACTCACCCACAAGTCCCGTGCGCCCTCCTACGCAAGAACCCGAGCTGTCTTCTGTAGATGTCCTACCACGGGCTCTCGAGCTTCTCCGTCACTTCAAGGATAATGTCTGTTCATTTTCTTTTCCATTAAGGGGTAATCCGGAATGCCCTTGGCAGACGATTCACCTCCCTGCTGCAATGTCAACGTACGCCGAGTTACTTGTGAGTCAGAAGGCCAGCCACCATAGGCTGTCTCTATTCAATTCGCTTGTCTCTGCTAGCTGCCTTGACCGTGCACGCCGCTCGCGAAACACAATAGATTGTGAAATGTATAATCAGAGTCAATGGCATGCTAAGCAGCACCTTGAGCTTGCTTTGAAAGAAGAGATCACGAGCAGAAAACCAGTAAAATATAAGGAACTGCTCGTGGCCATACTTTCAATGGTTTATCTTGAGGTTCGTCAACTTCATCCTGTTATAGAACTACTATGCTAATCTCATTCACAGGTTTTTTCTGGGGAATACAGATTTGCTCAAAAATTTTTGATTGAAGCAGAATGCTTGATAAGAAGGCGAGGATTTTCAAAAGCGCGAAAATCTTTCAAAGTTCGAATTTTGCACCATATCTATACCTGGTTGCGTATCCTCGCCGAAAGTACCTGCGGTTGTGCCCTTGTCGCAGTGTGCCCGGCACGCCCTAATTCCAGTCTTGTATCTGATGGGGAACTAACACAGAACCTTCAAAGTTTCCGGCTACCAAACGCGGCCACACTCAACGAACTTGACAAGGGAGTTGCAAAGTCTGATCTCATTGGATATCAGGATATACACCTCGAAGTGATGGGTCTTTGGAACAACAGTCTTTTTCCCATCATGTACGGGATACCGGAGTCCTTGATGGGTCTTCTGTCACAAGTCATCCGCCTAGCCAATGAGCAGGAACTTTTTACGCGTGATACTCTTGTCGATGTGGAAGTTGTGACGAATCTTAGTAAACGGACAAAAAAATTGGAGCACCACATTTTGACCTGGGAACTGGAACAACCACCACCACCTAACTCACACCATTTTGTGGACAGCGACAGCAACGGTAACAGCGACAGAGCCACCCCAAAAGCATTTTGCCACAACGCATTTGCCATGCACCAAGGACTGATATTATTCTACTATCGTCGCGTACACAATATCAATGCTCTCATCTTACAGGAGACTGTCCAAAAGGCATTACACTTTATCGAGGAGGCATGCAGCACCAACCAAAAGGAAGGTCAAAATCTGCCTCTACTATGGCCTTGTTTCATTGCTGCATGTGAAGCTGTTGACAAGTCTACACAAGTGCGGCTGCTGGGTTGGTTGCGTGACATGTTCTACAGGACAGCTGTTGGTACTTTTCTCACAGCTGCGGATGTTGCGCAAAGAGTCTGGAAGGCACGGGAGGAAAGTAGTGATTTTACACTCAGCTGGTTTGATGTAATGGAGCATGATCGGTGTCCTATTATTATTGTATAGAAGAGGGTATTGCCATCAAGTTATGGAGATGCATGGGATTCAATGTGGTTATTGAAATAATTGATCGCTAGACATGGTGTGCCACTAAAATAATACAAAATTGCAAGGCAAGCTTGCGCGTAGTGTGATTGCAAGAAAGTACTATTCGCGAGATATATAAACCATGGTATTTAATGCTGCACACAATTTTACTTTCTGGATATTACAAATATCATGGGCGCGGGGGAACACAATCAAGCGAGCTTCTCCGTCGGTCGTGAGAAACTCCGTGACGCCTCGGAGAAGACGACTCGCTCGATTTCTTCTTCGACCGAGGGTCCTTGAGGCAACCACTTTAGAATCTCCCGCGCCCGAATAGCTTGGTATTGAGCATTCGTACCCCAAATCACCGATCCATGAGGAGTGAGTCTGTCAGCAGCGGCCGCATCAATCTCAACCGCCTCGGGCGTCCTAATGAAACCTTGAGAGTGGGCGACAGTAGCGATTCTTCTGCCGATATCTCCAAAAGTCTATCATATCATCTGTCAGATGCCAAAGCCAGATACTGGTTTTGAAGTGTTAAACTCACCATCTTCCCAGACTCAGCGAAGAAAACACCATTTTCATTCCACAACTCCGGGTTTGAGGTTCGCGAGGATTCCACAACCAATTTCACAATTAGTGCCGTCAAATCTGAAATGTGAATAGTATTCCAGGCGTTTAAACCGCGGCCTAGATGGAGGCCGTGTCCATGTTGCAGAGTTGCCTTGGCGAGGTCGGGAATTTGGATACTCCGCTGATTCACTGGCCCTCGGCCCTTGCCGTAAATGAGTGGCCCGTAGACCATGGCCGTCCTCACACGAGAGTTAATAGGATGCATGCCGCGGAGAAGATGGTCCACGGCACGCTGGGGAGAAGCATCGAGAATGTTGTGAATTTCCTGAATACCGTGCAAATCGTTGTAGATCTTGGCTCCGGGCTGGCCGAAGTTCTTTGCCTTTACTTCCGCACCGGCCAGGAAACTCGCGCCGGAGATCTGGATCCACGCTAAGAGTAGGTTAGTTTCAAAAAACTAATCGAAAGGGCTTTGTTTGTAATGGAAGAATAACATACTCGGGTTCTCACGCTCGTTCTTAGCCAGGCCTTCGGTGATAGCCTTAGCACTGGGCACATGACTGGAGCTTGCCAGATCTGTATTCATGCCCTATGTCAGCACAATTTTCAAAGCATTGATATTGCCTGGGTTGGATTTTGGCACATACGAAGCACCACATCAGCTTTGGAAGCCGCTTGTTGGATCTCTGCGCTGGAGTCCAAGTCTCCAATGAGCGGAGTCACTGTAGGAAACTTTCCTGTAACGACAGCCGCCTGGGACTTGTTTCGTACAAGAGCAACGATGCTAGAAGCTGCCAGTGCCTTAGTAAGGCCGTACAGGACGTCTCCACCAATAAAGCCTGTAACACCTGTGCTGTAGACAAATGAGCTCCAATCCACTAAACGGCTCACTGCTGGGAAATGCTAACATGAAGATTTTCTGACTCATACTGAAATTGAATAGAACTCAGCGTTTTGATTCGAATGGTCCTATTTGAAACTTAATTCTAGGTTCAATTCACGAGCAGAGATCAATGTGCGATAACATTTTGATCAATAACCTCTGGGATTTCAGACACTCATATACTCCCAGAGCATAGATACCTAATCGGGGAAACCTGCCGAAACTGATATGCCATTAATAATGGTAGCGGGTACAGTGGGTCCAGTCGGCTTCGTTACTGCCTTCCTTATATTGTTGCCTCCTCCATCAAAAGTGATAGCGGGGACTAGGCCGGAAGAATACTGCTGGCAAAAGTTGGGCGGTAAATAATTGTGGTTTCGAAGTCACTAACAACACTAAAACAGGCGTTGCGGAGCATTTTCTGGCTGGATCAAGCTGACTTTGGCAAGTGACCCGTCACTTAGCAGGTTTTTTTACCATCAACATGTCAAGAATTGTCACAAAAGATTGGAAGGTTATCGCGAGCAAACCAACATCTACCATTTACTTGTGGTGGCGCTTATGTTTGTAGGCGGGACCACCAAATATGGATAGAAAGCATAAAAGGTCTCGATATTTCTCATAGGTTCACGAGTCGAATCAGTCACAAGTTTGTCCTGGACTTCTATCTTTCAGAAATATCACACGCGAACACAATGGTTTCAACTCAATATCCCACTTCGCCATCCAAACAACAACATGACGTGGTCATCGTCGGAGGTGCCACGAGCGGCGCGTCGATTGCCTGGCACCTTGTCCATAACCCTGACTTCAAAGGCTCAGTCTTGGTAGTTGAACGTGACACATCCCTGGAGTACTCCGCCACGAAAGCTAGCAACAACTGCATGCGCCAGCAATTCGCAACCAAGATCAACGTGGAAATCGCTCAATATGCTGCTGACTTCGTCCGCGAGTATGGTGACAAGTTTGGACCCGATCCCTGCGTTCCCAACCCCCCTATCCGTGACTTCGGCTACCTTTACTTGTCCGACTCGCCCGAGTTGACCGAGGTCTTGCAGAAGGATCAGCAGTTGCAAGCCAGCTGCAACGCAGGCACTACAATGATCCCGGCTGCATCAAGGAGAAGTATCCCTGGTTCTATATTGATGATCTCCACTCGGGAAGCCTGAACACGAAAGATGAGGGCTGCTTCAACGCTCTTGGCATTGTTGAATGGTTGCGAACGACTGCTTGTGAGAGGGGAGTTGAGTACGTGAGCAATGAAGTGGTCAACATGGCCGTTGAGCGAGCTCAAGTTGGCTCCATCACCTTGCGCAGTGGTGAGATGATTGCGGTCAAGAATGTGGTCAATGCTGCGGGTACCCGTGCCACCCAGGTCGCTCAGCTAGCGGGAATTCAAGTCTCAATTGAGGCTCGTCGGCGGTACACATACATTTTCGAGGTAGACGAGCCATTACCTAAGGATCTGCCCTTGACCATCGATCCTACAGGTGTACACTTCCGCTCCTACGCTGCAAAAAATTACCTCGTTGGTTGCCCACCCACCGGTCCCGACAACGCCGTGGATGTGAGCGATATCAGCTTTGCCGAGGATGCTTGGACCAACAAAATCCTTCCCATCATTTCTCGTCGCGTCCCTCAGTTCAGATCCGCTCGTGTCACTGATAAGTGGGTGGGACATTATGAGTTCCACACTTTCGACCACAATGCCATTGTAGGCCCTCACAAAAACATTGGCAACTTCTTCTTCTGTGCTGGTTTCTCAGGGCATGGGAGCCAGCAAGCACCTGCTTGTGGGCGGGCAGTTGCTGAGCTGATCGTCCACGGCCAATTCAAAACCCTGGACCTCGGTGTTTTGTCTTATGCTCGCATTTCTGAAGGCCGGCCACTGACTGAGCGCGCGGTTATCTAGTTACGCTCTGGGAGTTTCAGATAACCACAATAGACAGTTCAATTTAAGATCAACTTCGACGCTTCGAAGAGGAGTTCCATTCCCTTTAATTCCAATACAAAAATGTCTATATCTGATCTACTCTGGGATTCTCGGGTGGTTAAGCAAGGAGCACGACCTTGTGAGGAAACTGTAGTTGTTAATACTGACGCGTTGGCAAGAGTAAGACAAGCACGGGTCCATTCGCATGATCATTGGCAATTAGTTACTAATTGGAAACCTATAATTCGTTCGATCTATCCTAAGCATTAGTCCCTGGACCATTTATACTATCAGGCACCAACTTTGTATCAATTGTCTCGCCTCAGAACCAATGATCGTGCCTTGCCGTCGACTAAATTCTTGTCGCTCTCTAGTGAGTAGCATGTAGCCAGTAACTATGGAATCGTATGAAAAAAGAGAGGTGTGTACAGAAATAGATCTTCTACCAAAGTGAGCAACTCTGTCTCATATCTACTTCTCATCATGTTTCATGGAGAACCTCATTGCTCTCAGTGTACTTCACAAAGCAGGGAATAGGACCTGTAGCCTTTTGTGAGTCGCAGCATTGTTTTCAAACAGAAAGATATCAAGAACCCTGGAAACATGCCATTGACATTACAATTAGGATAGATTTTCTTAGGTCAAGAAACTGGCACCTTACTATGCATGCTCGGGTGGAACCCAATTGGCCGCCTTCTGAGCGTGCGGCCGGCTTGGCAGCCGAAGCTCATGCTTATCCAAATTAGTCCGGCGTTTTCAAAAAAGGAAATTTACCGCGATGAGTAAGCTAGGGACCTGGAAAAGAGAACTACCGTACTGTAACTGCGCATTGGGTTGGTACCTTTACCCCTGACGAGTGTGCAACTAATATGCAGCTACTGTCAGCATATTTTCGGATTATGCGGGTTTTCGCCATTAAAACCGCACCGAACCGAACCGAATGACACTCTATCATCCTCTATTACTACTCCTAGCATGTTATCCAGCCCTTGGTGCGGCGCCCCCGGACTACCACATAACAAATACTAGTATGGCAGAAGCATCAAGGGATCCTAGGGTCTTAACATAGTCATGTTTTGTGTACTGGTGGGTCTTTAACCTCGCCTGACCTGGCCATTGCCCATTCTAATCAGAACATATTCTTTTGAGGTCTAGACCAGATGAAAGAAACTGCAACCATCTCGGGTGTAGTGGTGCCTCGAAGCGCGACAGGACCAAGGCAAGTTGGGTGTACGAAAGCGGTCCAAGCACGGATTCACTAAAGCTCTCAAAGGACACTATATCACATCTATTAGTCTGTAACATACTAGGTTACGTTGGAGTAGACTCCAGTAACTTACAAGTAAGCAGCCTCGCCTGTGTCCAGATCCCGCCAAAATGCTTGAGCTGTAGATGAAGAATAGTGATTTCATGGTCGATACTGGCGCGCAGACTATTATGCAGCATTCCATTCGACTTTCTATGAAGATCGAGGAAGATAAGCGTCGTGAAGATGGTGAATGTGATTGCCGGGTCTACAGCGAGGCAGAATGCAGTATCCCATTGACCCGCCAATGAGGCAATGTCCTGACATGTCTCGAGAACGCGCTGCCAACTTGGCAGCCAGTTATCCACTCGCCCGTGACCGCAGTCCACGACAGAAAGGAGCAATTGCGCCATCCGCAAATGGAAGACGGTGATTAGCCTTTCATGGTGGTCGATGGGAGTCTCGTTTGTGAATGCATTGCGTCGGGGGTTCAGCCAACCCGGGGGAAGGGCAAGGCGGAGTGCAGTTAGCTGCCGGTCGACCTTGGTGACTTGTGCCGCTATCCCCTCTTGCCATCGAAGTAGGTGCATGCGGATGACTAGACCTGCCTGGCGCAAGGTGGCAACAGTAATATTGTGAATGTTGTTTAGCAAGGTCTCTGGATTTAATGTGATGGTAGGGAGAAGTTGAGATAGATTATCTGAGTTAGGAGGCAGGAAGATGCCGTGGGAAGCACTCTTTCTTTGACTGATGTTAAAAGAGGTATTGATGACCGTATCGTCAATCAAGTATGGTGTTCCGGAGGCGAGGTTGGAGTATGTATCGAGTCGGTAGATACACCACCATAGTGCTCGCCACTCGTCAAGATCTTCATCGCTAATTGTGCTCCAATCGGGGTAGAGTGTGCGGATATGGTCAAGGCGATCAAGGCCGATACGGTAGGCCATACGCGTTATCCTACCAATACGCAGCCAGGAGTGGTGCCCGGGGAACTGATGGAACTCATAAAAAGCCAGTATATATGCTTTGCGGAATTGATCGAGAGATGGAGCGTCACCAATAAGATCATCCTCTAGCTGGCTTGAGCTGAGAAGTGAATCTAGTCCCGCATCTAGATTTGGCCCGTCATCATGAGTGGTAAATTGGGTTAGTTTTGCACTAATGATGGCCATCGTCGAGACGAGATCTTGGTGGCATTGTGAGCTCCGATAGCGGCGAAGAAACCGTTCTTTCAAAAAGATAGGATTCGCATCCTTGGCAATATCAAAGAAGCTCTCAATGCTGCAGGAGTAGCAGCTTGGATTAGCCCTGGGATCATCCTCGAAGAACAAAAGAAAGAGGTCACCTACAGGTACTCCTCCTGGGACAAGGGGAAAGGCAGAGAGCTCGAATACGGAGGGCTAGTATCAGTGTTCTGCGACGGCTCTCCACGGATAGACTGTGCAGGGTAAACCGGGTCCACGGGAGTGGGGAGTAAGGCTGACGTAGAAAGGATAAGTTCGGGCTGTTGAAGTGTGATGTCACCGGCTGGTGGTACTTGAAAATTGCGCATTAGTTCTCGACCATTTTGTTAGGGAAATCGAACAATTACCAGATTTTGTGCGTGATTTGGACCGGCGAGTTGTATGATGAGAGCCACGAGGAGGGCCGGGTCTGCGTTTCACTAACGTATAGGTGCATGCCTCCCCAAGCTCAAAACAACGAGAGCAGGTCGGTCTTGCCAGGTTGCCTGCCGAGAGTTAGTGGATCGGTAGCTTGGAGCTTTTGGTTAACGGCACTCGGCGTACACTTGACCTTCTTTCAGATCCACAGACCCACCCTCAAAGGTCTGATGATTGGGATCAAGTAAATATCGACAACCGAGCCGTCCAATAGAAGTCCCTCTTACACAACCTAACGACTTGAGAATGGTGATATAGCATCGACAAATTGTGTCCACTTCCGGGCGATGGGATATTTACTCTCGATGGTGCAGGCTCGTCATATGTGCGAGCGATAATCAGGCCGCATTTCGCCAGGCACCAGGTGTGAACGATCCAAGCTTATTTCTAGCTATGATAGCTCGAGAACTACGCTTAACCTTTGACTGTTACATTATTGATATCTGAATTTTCCATCGGTACTTTGCGCAAAACATCAAAAACTCCCCACGTGATCGATCAGGTTTCAATATTCAGGAGCTAGCTCATCTTCTCATCGTTAACTCTGCGACGGGATTCCTCTTTGGTAAAACTGCTGGATTGTTAGAGTCATATAACAACCCAATAGGAGGAACAGTCGTTGAAAGCTTCGCCAGGCTTGCTACAGCTTTGATACTAGTCAAGACTATCTGCTCGGACGGAGACTCGCGCAGAAGTTCTACTGTGCGATAATCCCCTCAAGATTCCGCAAAGCAAATGCAACTGTACACGAGGTATTAGATCGATACGTGCAGCTTGCGCTGCAAAACAAGCAGGCGAGCAAGCCTCAGGAATCCGCTCAGGAACGATATGTGTCCCTTACGTGTTGGCCTTAGAGACCAATTTTCCTAAATGCACCCGGGATAGGCTACTAAATATACTACTTGCAGGTCGAGACATCACGGCAAGTGTCCTGAGTCCTGCCTTATACTTACATGTAATCCGCGGTACGAGATAAGATACGAAGGGAGATAGTCGGCGAATTTGGTGACTATTAGACGTTGGAGAAGAAATTCACACATTTAAGACTGGGGGACCTTATCATGAATGAGAGTAAGTCCATTACTTTTCTATACCCATGCCCAACTAAAAAAGACCATGATAGCACTTAGATTACTCCCACCTTCCTCAGTGAGCTTCCGTCAGGCGCTCAAAGACACATCCCTGCCAGTCGGAGGGAGCATAAATCGCGACTCACCTATTCATGTTGGAAAGGGTGACTTGGTAGCCTAGAGTGTATACGCGATGCACCGCAGGTCCGATACTTAGGGTGAGTACCGGCATTTCTTCCGGAGCGATAGAAAGGAAATCCATATAGGGGATTGGAGTGTTTTCCATTTGATGGGGTTCCTCGAATCTGTTTAGGACATGAGAGAGAGAGAGAGAGAGAATTACATTATACTTGATTTTATCTCCATTTCCAGGATCCTTCCGAGACACTGACGGCCAAAGGGCCTGAATAGAGCCGGTCAGCTTGTATTAGTAATGTGATCATGAGTATATAATAATATTAGGTACTTAGTATAGGAGTAAGAGAGTAGTAATACTAGTAGGTTACTTAAGCCTCTTTATACAGGGCTAAAACTATATTTCTAAGTCTATCTTAGCTTTAAAGATCTAGAATTAATTATAAAAAGAGAGGTACAGCCAGCTAGACATATCTGAAATTTTAATATTATATATATTTTATATAAAAGATATTATTATTTTAATAAGATTAAGATTTATAATATATAAGCCTATTTAGCAAAAGGTAGTCCTATATAGGACTCCTAAGTATGTAGCTAGAAAGAATCCCTAGATATATAGCTAGGAAAGAGGGTTTTTAGAGGTATTACTAGTCTCCTAATAATGTAGCAAGTTCTCTAGTGTATAACAGATCTCCTGATAATATTAAGTAATATAATTATCTTCTCCAGGGGTGCTGGTTGCGCTTGTTTTAATAGTTTTAAAGGAGAAGACATGTAGAGATGAGTGTCTGCGAGTTAAAGAAGAGTGTAAAAGAGGAGATGTGTGGAAATAGGCATCTGCGAGTTGAAGAAGGGTGCAAAGGAGGAGATATGTAGAGACGGGCGTCTGCGAGTTCTGTTTAGGACATGAGAATCCCCCTTCTGCCTTGCATCAAAAGTCTGTTATGACTGATGTGTCTACAACGGAACAATACGCACTTGCAGAGGCTTACTACAAAACTGCAAAGCCCCTCCAGGATTTTCAATGTTCTTGATTACGCCGGAGGATATGAGTCCTCAATGCCAAAATTGAAGGCAAATCTAGTCCTGGCGCAGCGCGATAGGGTAGATGTGAGGCTCTATTCTTCTACGCTGTTCCGAGCGTAGAGAGCAAGTGAGACACAATGGTTGGATAATTTTTGTACAGAACCTTCGCGGCACCTGGTGCTATCACTGGAGGAAGAGAAGTATCGGAGTATGCACTGGATGAATTATTGATCTGTTTGAGAAAATGAATCACAATGGGCTTGAAGGTCCTCCCTCTTCATCGGAGGTGTCATTGGATATATCCAACTAATCTTTCCCCTCATTCGCTCCTCTTTGGCCACATAAGCTAACACCTGCCCCTTCCGAAACTCCGGTGCCATAACAAAGCGCAATACTATGTTTTCAACCACCTTTGGAAGCGACAGGTACCGCGAGAAAATATAGTACCAGACATTATGCCATGCGTGCATCCTCGTCTCCAGTCCAGATTTCAAGACATCCCCCTTGAGCGAGCACACAGAGCTCATCCGGACAGTCTGATATTCCTCGAAGAGATTGGTAAGAGCCAGAATGTCGAGTTTTCCACTAGGCGCTTTCCGAATCGCGTTCCAAAGGCTATTACACAGCACAACCACATCTTGGATTCCGTGGTTGAACCCTAGGCCCAGATGGGTTGTCATCTTGTGGCAAGAATCACCAACAAGTACAACGCGCCCAAAGCTCCAGTTGTGAACAATTCCTTCTTCCAGATTCGTCAGTCCAGCCCCTAGCATTCGCGGCCAGACATCCTTGACCTTGACTGTTCTGGTCAGCGGGAATTCTGCAAATTCCGCTGCGAGAGCTTCGATTTCTTCATTCGTATAATTCGCTCGTTCGCTCGTTGGCTTTGGTAACCTCTTGTACAGGAAGAACCACCCCTTCTCCGGCCCGCTAAAGTACATGATCGCCTTCCCCTTCGACTGGATATCATACCCCTGACCAGCTGGTGCCGGCGACGGAAATGATCCAAAGAGAAGCTGGTATGTTGCTGTATACGGCCGCTGGGAATCCCATACCCTTGTTGGGTACTCTTTGAGAGCAAGGTCGCGCATTATTTGACGCGTTTTGCTGTGGACACCGTCGGCGCCAATGACGATTGAACCATGGAAAGTACTGCCGTCGGTGCAGGTTACAGTGACTCCATCCTGAGTCATTTTAATGTCCGTTAAATCCTTGTCCGTCAAGACCTTCTCTCTAGCGGTTGGGGATAGGCCGTTGTACATGACTTCTATCAATTCGGCGCGGTGGAAGGCAACTGGGGCAGAGCCGTGACTAAGCGAAATAGATGTATCTCTTAGTCACAATGTCCCATTCAAGAAGACGTGTAACAGTGCGATTGTTGTAAAAAGACTCACTTCTCACGTATCTGGTTATATCGATTCCCCTCACTGAAGACCTGTCCGTCGGCCGTGAATGACAAATGATGAAACAACTCCCCACCACGCGGTAGTAATTCATCTAAGATGCCAAATTGATGCAAGACTCGGAATGTATGAGGGTAGACAATAAGACTGGCGCCCTTGTCTTCAACGATGGCGGGCCGACGCTCAAGGACGACGAAGTCGATACCAGCCAGGTGAAGAGCGTGTGCGGCCGCGAGTCCGACCGGGCCTCCACCTATAATTATAGCTTTAAAAGGGCCTTTTTGGTTCCTCATGCTGAGCGTACAGGTTTGTATCTCAGTCCTCGGCAAGCTACTCTTTAGTACTTTGCATTTCCACACAGATAGCAGTTACCCTATTGTCTTTGGGCCGAGGCATCAAGGTGTCTCAAGGATGGCTCACCCCATTTTCAGTACTACCCCTTATGGTTGGCGGTTATCACTAAATCCGTGTGGGTCTGGCGAGAATCCTCCGAAAGTTGTCCCGGCACTAGCCCTAACTTGATGTCCCTCAGCCGGAGGATCTTCAATAACTTGACTTCATACAAAATGGGCGAAGCGCGCTCCTTGTTGAACTAGTGAACAAGAAAGTCAAGTCACATTCCATGCCTAAACGTGTCTCCGTAATAATTGTCGGTGGCTCCCACGCGGGACCCGCAGTAAGCCACAAACTCCTACGACAGACCCCTAACGCCACAATTACCCTAATCAACCCATCTGATGAGTACTACTTCAACATTGCTGCTCCTCGATTTCTCGTCAAGCCAGGGTGCTTGCCACAATGTAAATATATCTACTCCATCCTGAACGCATTTCGGGAATATCCCGCTGGCGCTTTCACATTCGTCAAGGGATTGGTGACCAGAATTGACAATTCAGTCAAGTCGGTTTCAGTTATAACGTCTGCCGACTCCTCGAAAAGTACCGTTGGTTCGTTTTGTTTTGATTACCTTGCCATCGCGTCTGGAAGTACGACCCCTGCGACGCTAGGACAAGCTAGAGTGAAACTCCCGTTCAAGGCTACGGCGTTCGAAGATACGATGAAGACAATACATGTGGCGCGGGAAACGCTGAAAGCGGCTCGAATGATTGTAATTGGTGGTACGGGGCCTCTTGGTGTGGAAATTGCTGGAGAACTTGCTGAAGCTCCGGAGTTGAAGAAGATTACGTTGTTGTCGCGGACAAATGTGTTGCTGGAGGGGGCGACTGAGCCTGTTCAGAAAACAACGTTGTCACTCTTACGGCGGCGGAATATCAATATCTTAACCGAAGTCACAGTTGAGGGTGCTCAGTACAAAACGAACGCCCAGTCTTGGAAATTCAAGCTGTCCACTGGGGAGACAATCACGGCAGATGCATACATTGCCACAACAGGCACTATTCCGAACAATGGATTCATTCCGAACAGCTTTCTGAATTCCGAGGGCTGGGTAAATGTCGATGGATGCCTCAGAGTTGTAGAAACTGGTGTAAGCCGCAGTGACACTTATGCTATCGGTGATATTACCTGCCATCCGTATCGACTGCTCTCTATTGTGGCTGGTCAAGACAGCGGCATCCATTGCGCGAAAGACCTAGCTCGTTACCTATTCAGCAGAAGCACAAAAGAAAATGATAGTTGTTCTGGTGGGACAGACCACCGGGACAGGACACCTAGGGGGTTAGACGCTTTTTAGGTGTCTGGTTTGGTTCTTCAAGGGAAAGGACTACTTGACTTATAAGGCGCCTAAATTCCTGCGAGGTCAGATTCGATGGATTGATGATAGAATTGTTCATATAATGCTCATGTAGTAAGATCTATGTCCTTTATTCGTAAACAAAATTTACACTAGGAAAAAAGGAACTATCCCGCCTTGTTAGCCCCGAAATCCCTGGGCAGCTCAGGCCCCCAAATAGACAACGGCCCAACAGGCTCCCTACGCGTGACATTGTATCGATTCACCACATCCCCGTCCGCATAATGCTCGATCTTGAACTTCGAAGTGTCATACCAGTAATCAAAAATCTGACTTCCAAGAATATGCCTTCCCACCCCCCAAACACTCTTCCACCCCTTTTTAGCTAGATAATGGTGCCCCATTAGCTGCGTGTCGAAGTCAGCCACCTCAAACGAGGTATGATGGACGTATGTCTCACGCACAGTCGGTGACGCCCGCTGCAAGAAAAAGGTATGGTGGTCTGTATAATCCTCACCAAGATCGAGGTGCATGAAAGTCATGACATCCATCTGCCGAAATTTTGGAAGATACAAGATATCTGAGTGCACAAAGTTGAAGTTACAAGTGTAGAACTCAAGCTCCGTCTCAAAGTCTTTGCACACATAGCCGTAATGTCCGAGCTTATGCACCAGTGCCGGTCCATCATGATACCGTTGGAACTGCCCCTTTCGCGGTTTCTCAAACGGGGTATTAAAAGGTCCCTGGAAGTCGTGTGTCGCTGTTGGTGTCGACTTTACCTCAACGTCCCGCTCAATTTGCCCCCACACCACATGGAACAATGTCCCATTTGGCCTTGTAAATGTAACAATCTCTCCACCCCCTGGTGCTTCAACCAGTGTCTTGCGAAAAGCCCCTGGCATCGCGGCGGCTTTGGTAAAATTCTCCTCATCTCTCGCAGCAAAGGCTGCGCCTAGAAATTTAGATTTCCGCGCTGAGCTCTGAGACGCCACATAGACGTAGGGGTCCCTTCCATATCCACGGTAGTAAATTGTTTTCCCCTTTCGCGCAGCTTCGACGAAGCCGAAATCCTCAGCAAACCCCGTGAAGGCTTCAAGATCCGCATGTTCGAAATAGACGTGGGTGATGCGGCTGAGTTGGACTTTTGTTGGGGAATTTTCGACGACGGTGATACTGGACGGTGGTAGGATCCACTCCTGCCATTTTGAGGGGAGGAGGGCGATGAGGTCGAGGAGCCAGAGGGACATTTTCGTGCGAATCTTGTCCTCTTGGATAGGCGATAAAAACAATGTATGAAATGAAGTGAATGAAAATGATACGACAGCGCAGCTTCTATCTTCTAGATATTTGATCCCTTATACTGCCGTTGTCTTGAAGACATGCTCCATCTTGTAACAACCCAGGATCGTCAGCGTGTATGATTAACTGATAGTGGATCCCAGGTGCCGCCGCGGAGAGACTATAGGCCTGTACATTAGGGGGGTAAGCTAATAAAAGTCAATTCACAGGGTCGGTGATAAGAGCTTTTTGCCCCTCTAAAATATGAACGTGTCTCGGCCTATGCTTGAGTCTACATCAGAAAGATACTCCTCGGAGGAATTCTCCACGAAGTAGAAACTACGCCACGAATTTTTCGAAGTCAATGGCGCTATATATCATATGGGTTATAGATAGAGAGTGGACCTTTATTACTTTATCAACTCACGGTTTAAATGTTTGGTCGACTCGTGTGCAAATCCTATCTTTCTCGAAATCTTGAAATCCAATCCTTGGCCATTCAATATCCTTGTTTGTATTTCTTCAACAATCAACGATGAATTCCTTTCGCTACCTTTGTCACTTCGAGACAGAAAATGGCAATAACCTATTCACGGACTGTGCCTCAGCCGATCCTACGATCGGATCAGTGGTAGATGCATATCCGACATATGAAGACCTGGTGCAGGGCCAAAATGCGACAACGGCGACAATATCCAAAGTCTTGTGTCACGCCAATCCCTCTGAAGTGAGATACACAGCTAACTGTATTTTTTATAGCTACTTCCGCCTTTGCCTCAAACAAAAATCCCCATTTATTGTGTTGGGCTTAATGATAAGAGCCACGCGAAGGAAGCAAATGTACGCCACTGAGCACGGATTATCTACTAATATCACGTCTAATTGCCAGAAGCTCAGTGTCCCCGCCAACCCACCTGTATGGACTAAGCCACCAGCCACCCTTGCATCACCGAACGAAACCATCTCCATGAGCCGCTTCTGTGCCTCGCATCTTCCAGACTGGGAGGTGAGCTTGTCTCAACCGCCTAACGCGGCCGTCATTGACAGAACTAGGGCGAACTCGTATTCGTCACCTCGCGCGATTGCCGAGACATCACTCCGGAGGAAGCATCTGAATTTATCCTCGGCTACACAATTGGTAATGACCTGTCTTGCCGCTTCTTCCAGCTGCCAGAGCAGTCTGGTGGACAGTTCTTCTACGCGAAGGCTTTTGACAAGTTTGCCCCAATCGGGCCCGTCCTTGCGAGCCCCAGGACTTTTCTCAAACAGAGGTTGTTCGCTAGCCTTGTCACCCGAGTCAATGGAGAAGTAAAGCAGGATACGGTGATTGAGAAAGATATGATCTTCCCACCTGAGAGAGTTCTCAGCTGGATGAGCAAGAGTACGCTCAGTGACCTTTATTTTTTCCCTTTCGAGAGCCCCTCTCATTTATCTGACACGAACTCCAGGCACAACCATCCCAGCTTATACAGCAGTCATGACAGGGACACCAGCGGGGGTAGGTGTATTTCAGAAACCGCGGCAGTTATTGAGAGATGGAGACCAAATCGAAATTCAAATTTCAGGCCTGGGGACGTTGAAGAATGTAGTAAGATTTGAGGAGGGGCAGGACTCTATCATGTGAGAAATATACCTATTTCACATTATGGGATGAAAACAGTGAACTCTTGCTGTGGTGTTTGAGAAGTAAATACTAATTGATAATTTCTTATTTTGATAACAGAAAACTTGCTTGGTCGCTTGTGAAATCATAGATCTGGTATAGGTTTAGTCTTTGGATGATATGAATACAGTATTCGGTATTTCTATTAGTCTTTTACCAGAGGTTCCCTTTAGAAAAGAAAGCTAAATACTACACGGAATTATAACTCGCAAAAGCTTTATGTATAAAGCTGCAGCCTGTACCATAGAACTCACCCCATACCCCCTGCTACACAGTATGCTACCTGCAGTGCTACTCTGGCTAGCTCAAGACGTATCACTCTTAGAGGTCTGGCTACATTTCCAACCAAAAAGACATCTAGGGCTACACCCCACTGCTAACATAGTAGAATAACAAAGATGATAATACATATACTATGCGAGTGCAATTATAGTTTGGCTGGAGATAATAAGCTAATCATTATCTCTCTTGCAGAGATGCTGAACTTAAGAAGTTTGGTATGAAGTTTGGTAAAGACAAGAAAAAAACTCCTGTGCTAAGTTGAACAAAGGGTGTGATGAATCAAGAATAATATGACACGCCCTAAGCAACATTGGCAACGACACGAACAATGATTAAGTGAAGAAGAGTTATTGATAAGTGAGAGTGTTCCACATGGTGTTCAAGGCATATCATCAGTGAATATGTACTTTAAAGAACCAAATATTTGAATTTATCTCTTATTACTTTCATATGACTTGTTGTTATTTTGCATGAGCCAACTCAAATTGCTTATTCTTACACCCGGCTACTTTCAATTCTCAGCTTGTGGAAATACTGGATCAGCAAGAAGAGTGACATGACATATATATTACACTACCGCATGTCTATTTTGGGATAACACGATTGAATGGCTAATTTTTTAAAAAAAAATCGGTCTTATCTCACGTGAAAGAGAACGGAGCCCGGACTGAGAGAAGTGTCTGACTGCTGGCGCTCACCTCTTTTCTATACGACCTGCTGCAGTAGCAGTAGGTCTTGGTCTTGCCCTGTTCAAGGGTCCACCATGCCTACTTCTCCTGGATCGCATGCCAGTCAGTATTCAGATGCTATTTCATGACTCGTCCTTGGCAGGGGCACTGGTAAAGGTCTATCCTGGGCTAGAAATTTTTATAGCAGACCTAGGATATGAACATAATCAGCAAGGTAGGGGGTAAGGCAGTGATAGGTAATTATGAGCCCCTGGGTGTAACTTTGTTATATTAGCAAGTAAGGCACAGATAAAGGGGGAGGTGACAATAAGAATTATCACTCTTATAATTAGTTGTTTGGGGGGCAGGAGATGCTGACAAGAGTCTATATATAGTCCGTGGGAAATCCTTCAAACATGTTATTGATAGATAGGGGTCATTAGAGTCTATTAGGGGTTTATCACGCATGGTCGCTGACCAACAGTGCATTTAAATCTATATTGACAGATTACATTGTTAATACAGATAGATGGCTGAAGGTCAAAAACAAGAATATAGCATACATGCTTTTTCCCACAAAAGTCACAGGCTTAAGAAACACGTTTAGGTTGAGATGAATAAATGCTCATGTCCAGCTGCAGGCCACCGGCCTGCTGTTCCTTCCCGGCTATGATGACACGCTAGCCCTGCAATACATAATTCAATATATTGAAAAATTTCACCTATTGGATTGATTAGTTCACTAGCTAATATAAATCACAGGTGTTACTGTGTGATTTTAGTATCGTTTCTTATCCATGTATTCAATAATATCGTCAGAACTTTTAGAACCTCAAGCTATTACAAAACTCTCAATCCATTATCCCTCCTTGTGGTTGACATATGTAGATTACTAAATGAGCTATTTTGTATGCAATACAAGGTGAGCGGCTCGGTGGTGGTTTGCGTTATGGGGCTTAACCTGACTGACATCCCAACATAATCTGGTAGATCCCACCCTTCCCCCAACTCTTGAATTACAACATCAATTCGAGCTGTCTCGATTCTGACTCCTAACACCCGCCTGCCATAGCATCGGCTCCGTCGCTGGTTGGACGGGCCCCAATTCCCTTTCCCGTTTTTCCCTCCACGCAACAATCTCGCGTTGCTCCACGAAATTCCCATGTAGCCCCAGGCGCAATTTGAACGGGAGGTGGATGACTGCCAGGGGTCCTTGAGCGATGTGTCGCGCATCGAAAATGCACACATCATTCCGTAACTCATCCAACTGGTTTAGCAAGGCGATGAGGTAGCCGTCTCCTTCATCGGTACTGCCCGCCCGAGGGATGAAGGCCGGCTCCTGGAAAGTGGCGCAGGGTCCGGCCCAAATGGTCTCGGTGGTCGAGTTATCCCACGTAAAGTGGCCTAGCGTGTTGAACAATCCACCAGCCGGCGATCCACATTTAGCGAAGTCGTACGGTTGTGTCGCGTCAATAACGGCCTGCCAGTAGTGGTTGTACTTCATCGTGACGAAGCGGTCGTCGATCCGCGAGAATTCCCCCGAATCAGCGCGCTCCTCAACCGGCTCGACCCATGTGTTGGTGGCGGCTTCGGGATCGAAGATCCAGCGCGTGGTTTTGTTTTGCAGCTTGTTGCGCTTGGCCACGGTGCCCGCGGGCGTGTCGACAGAGGGCCACCAGAAGAATACGTTGCCATCAGCAATGGTCAGATCGAACACGACCTTTCCATCGGGCGTTTCGTAACAGCTGACAGTGTGGCCCTGGAAGGCTAGACAGAGTGTCAGAAGCGCGATGCGACAGGCTGCGCACAGTGCCATGCGTGCTCACCATTTTTGGACCGGAACCATCGAATGTCCCCCGACTTTGCTCCCCGGCGCGGCACAAGCCCGTACCACTGGTCCTCGCTGGGATCCCATGCCCAATGGTTCGCCCCTCGTTCCAGGCGGTCGGGGTCGCATTTCAACGGCGTCATGGGCAAGACCACCCAGTTGTCGCTGATCCCGCAATCGTGGATGATACCACAAAAGGGCGCTTGGTACCAGCATTCTTCCGTCTTGATGCCATCAGCACTTATCGTGTACACCACAATATCGCGAGACCCGTCATTGCCATCCCCTCCAGCCTAGCCTGCAGTTAGTGGTGGGTCGAGGTGACGCTTATCGCGTATGGGGTTTCTAGCAGCCCTACCTCGTACCCGTAGCAGATCATTTCCCCCGTCTTCGGGTCAAATTTGGGGTGCGCCGTCATCGTGGGGCTCTGCACCTGCCCTTCAAAGTCGTAGCGGCCGATCGTTTCCAACGTCTCGGGCTCCATCGCATAGGCCGGTCCATCCTCCTTCGTGGCTAGCAACATACCTCTCCAGAACGTGATGTTCGTGTTGGCGGCGGTCCGAATCACCCCCTTGACAGCCTCATTGTCGGTGTAGGGATTGCGATATTTGCCAAAAAGCGCCTTGTTGTGCTTTGTCTCGTAGTGGTAGCGGTCCGTGTGGACATATCGCTGCTTGAAGTGTGCGCGACCCCCGCAGAGGCGGATGGCCGTCACGTTGCCATCGCCGTTGAAGTGAATATCTGACTCAAATACGGGGGGGAAACGGTGATCTGGTTGGATGCGGAAGAAGGTGCCGTCAATATCCCTGGGAATTTTTCCTGTTACTGCGAGGTTGCAGACATCGCCTTCAATTCGCGAAGGGCGGTTGAAACCTTGAAAAACCTCCGTGGACGGGAAATTGGAGTCGTCATTGCGCTTGATACCGTCGACGTAGTTGGGCTTGGCCGTCAGACTCTCTGCCAGCTCGTAGAGATGCGCCATGTCTGGCTTGCTCTATGTGTCGACTTGGGAAATGCGGCCGAACCAATTATCTGGAAGCCTTGAAGGTCCATGACCCCTTGCCTTTGATTACATCTTATAAACATGCCAGTGCTCTTCTAACATCCCGTTTAGTAGAAGGATCCTCCACTGAAGTACGTCTCGGACGTACGAGGCCGACGCGTCGGGCGTTTGCGCAGCTGGACTTTTGAGGCCATCGCTTGATTGGATGTAGCGCATTTTCCGAGGTAAGTTTGTGGGGAAATGCGGGGTATCGCAGCCATCGGGTGCAGAAAGCCGATGACGACCTGACAGTAAGCGGATATTTCGAGAAAATTGATTCTTCATGACGAGAATCGCAAGCACGGATATATTGAGTACAATGTTGACAATGAGCATGCTGTTTGTGATATTAGGCCGAGGTTTGATTGAAGCTTTGCTTTTCTGGCCTCGGCCCTAGCATACTTCCCAGACATCCAGATCAATACAATCGAACCATGACGTTATTCTGACTACGCCTAGAAGCACGTATTACTTGGACATCTCCAGTCCACCCTTTACCCGACTGGGTGAAATTGGAAGGCGGGTGTTTTAGTGACAGCGGAGATCATACGTGGGGGGTACCACTATATAAGCCAGTCCAACAAATGAAAGGATCACAACTGCCGGGGCCCCGTTAAATTTATTTCGAGTGAAAATAAACCCCATAGAAGCCTTATATTTGACATATTTTTTGCAGATAAAATTGACATTATCCCCTAATATACCACCCTAGATTATCCCTGGCGAGATCCCGCGCTGAGAGACCCTTGCCCAGATACATGAATCGATTCTGTGTGCGGTATGTATACTCAAAATCCTGCAGACGTGGATTCTTAATCGACTCGAGAAAGTGGTTCACTGACCCTGGCCACGGCCCAACAATCCTACCGGTGGAAGTGCCGCCCTTGTACCTGTCACGCAGTGAAGTGATTAGACCAGCGAACGCTATAGGATAAGGAAAGATCGTACCAGCTATTACAATTTCCGGAAAACGTGAGCAGCTCCATGACGGCATCTTTATGGTCGTTGAACTCCGTTGTGGCGGACTGACTGACGACAGCCGACTTGACTCCTTGGCGCTGGATTTGATCCACGAAGGAGAGCGCGAAGTCGACTTGCGCCTCAATAGACGGCATAAGCGAGCCGTTGGAGATGGGTGTATTTGGACCAACCACCACTAGAAGTGAATATTGTCAGATGTTACTGGAGGAAATACCAGTCAGCCGTAGTGTGGACTTACTAAAATAATTTGGCATGTCTGGGACTGCACAGGTGAAATAAGCTTCGGCCCCTGTTTGCTTCCATCGCTTGGCAAGATCGACCCCATTGCGACCTGTCAAATGGAATCCAGGGACGTAGGAAGTATCGTATCCTGTCGCCGCAATGATCACGTCCACGGAGTATACTTTACCCTCGCGTGTAACAACTCCATCTGGCGTGATTTCCTGAATAGAAGTCCGGACGACCTCGACATTGTCTTCTTGAAGGGCCTCGAGGTAGCCCTCCCCTGGGGTGACCCTGAAATTACTAGCATCAGTAATTTGCAAACTCAATTTTACAGATTCTAGATGCTCACCGTCTGCAACCCACGTCGAAGTCGGGGATGAGCTGCTCGCGAAGCGCCGGGTCCATCTTGGCGAGTTGTTTACGCATGCTCTTCTCGACGATCTCCCGCGACATCTTCTGTGCTGGGGAGTTCTTGTAAAAGTTGGGAAACCTTGAATTGAGCTCCTGGTCAATTTCCCGGCGGTATGCTACCAGATGCTCTGGGTCCGTACGGAATCGTTCCTTCTGGGCTTCCGTGTATTTCGTCGACCGCCCGTTGGTTGCGAGTCGTCCCACGAACTGTGGTGCTACCCAAGTGGGTGACCGGGCGAAAGTGACAAGTGACTTTACAACTATACCCACTATCAGTATTGTCTCGCATGTGGAACAACATGACACGCACTTGGTTGGATCGTTGGCACAACCTGGATGGCGGACGAGCCAGCACCGATGACAGCTACGCGCTTTCCAGCGAGATCTAGACCATGAGGATAGTTCCCCGTATGCACGAGTGTTCCACCAAACGACTGGAGACCCTGGATGTCCGGCCACTTCCACTGGCTGTCGTGGTTCATCGCCATTAGCTTGACACGCAATCCGTATAGGGACAGAAAACGTACTTGAGCACCCCAGCGCAGTTGAGGACCACTTCGGCTGAATCGACGGTGATCTTCCCCGAGGCAGCGTCTTGCACCTTGACTGTCCACCGTCCGCTATCTTCGTCCCACTCTGCTCCAATGACCCGCTGGTTGAACTTTGCATGTTTGTACAGCCCGTACTCCTTGGCTCGCTGTTGATAGAAATTCCAAATTTCTTCGGCTCCGGCATACCTGTTTTCCAGTGGTTTAGCCACTAGATATGCTGTGGTTCGTTGATATATCTACTTACACCTTCGACCACTCCGGGTTGCCTACCCAGGGGTAGCTATACGAATGCGCCGGGATATCACACGAGCAACCGGGGTAACGGGACTCGAGCCATGTGCCGCCGACGTCGGCGTTCTTCTCATAGATGACATACTCGACACCCTCGAGGAACTGCGCTTTGTAGGAAAAGGCAATCCCAGATATTCCTGCCCCGATCACAATGACCTTGACTGGCTGCGGCGCGCCGATATGCTGGTCTTTGACGGTCAGATTAGCTGCCGCAGGAAGCGAGCCCATGTTGACGAGGTTTGATTAGTTAGTGCTTGGATTAGTCTCCTCACAGTCGGGGTGCTGTACAGCATATTAACTGCGTCTGCTTTATAGAATGAACCTACATTCACCAGTAGTGGTGACGGATGTATAGAACCGATCTACTTCCTTCCACTTTTAGCCCCGAGGATGAGGGGTTCACATCACTCCAACACTATGATCATTGGCGTAGGTCATATAATCTTCCCCAAAATAATTGAATTGAATTTAGGGTTTACCCCGAGTCCCTGTTTTGTGGAGGTCTCGGACATATACAGCCGTCACCAAGGAGCTTCTATCTGGCCTGGTTTGGCTAGCCTGGTCTCTTGCTACACTGTCCGATGCGGGGAATCTGCACAACACTCTGACAATCTGGAAAGTGTTGAGAGTTCATACGGAGGCGAGGTATTGCGAATCATGTCCTTCATCTCGTGACAAACCCGGGTACAAAGAAGAAAGTGGTAGGACACATCCCTAATGCCGCTACCAATGTACCCACTGACAGCAGGCATTTACAAGTGCAAAAGAAGAAACTTACCCGTCCAAGTATCAGTCATACAAAGTCTGACAACAATAATAATTAGATGTTTTGATACAGTGATTGTCATGATGTGGCGTTCAACATCACTTCCCCGTCAGTTGCTCACGATACTAAGCTAGAGCTATAATTGGTCGTGTCTCATGACTTTTGCCCTGCTTTTCACAGTCGTATTACACATGATACACTCGATCTGGATTATCGAACAAAAACTGGGAGCCCGAAAACGATGCGTCGGTGAACATTTCTATCAGGCCAGCGCTCGGATCGAGATCCAGGGTTTCAAAGACATCAAACTGGCAACCATCGAAATTTCTGGATATAGACATTAGAGAGCAGAACTGGGGGAAGGGGTCAAAATCCAGTGAGGAGCCTTACATGTCTTGATAATCCGACATGGACACAATTTCACTACTTCCAGGAACTTCAGGGCCCACCCCTGTTGTGTTGGGATGGAGTGGCTGCAGTGGTCCTGGCGGCAGCACACCACTTGCATGGACGGTGGATTCCAGCTCAGGAGAGAGCTTCTCGCACCAACCAACCTTCTCCATGCCTCTGAAGGTCTCCAGACAAAATTGGAGCATTCCCTGGTGTTCTGTATTACTTCGTTTCTGTAGTGCCATGATCAAGATCCCCATCACCTCCCCCATGAAGTGACTGTCGAACAGTACGAGACTGGACAGAGTTTGTTCCTCGCGCATACGCCTCAGGATTTTCACCGCGGACTCGGCAGCCTCAATGCACGTGTCACTCATTTGTTCGTAAATTATTTTTTTGGCGGGGACTGTCCTATCTGTTGACCGTGCCACGGTAAAGAGTAGAAAGGGGCGAACCAGGGAGATGACGGTGGCCCAAAACCGGAGGTGCAATAGAGGCACAGCCCGACGGTGCTGGGGATTGACGGACGAGTCCCATTGAAGGTGGGTGGGGATCTTGTTGTGCCATCGCCTTAGAGATGCCAGTGCTTTGGTAACGCGGCTAATGGGTAGCCTGCCTCCCATGTGTGCCGGCTCCAGAAAACATTCGTGGCCGATAGTCTTCGTCATACGGACTAGGCTCACTAGCAGTGCCTGGTACCCCAGTGGAGTGTTCGGCCCTGGGCTCAAAATCTGGTCACTGTCAATCTGGGAAACCCGTTATCTACATCGTGCAGTCTTGGATGCCTTACCTGCTCTGTTGCCGGGGATGTGCTCATGAAGACGGCGTCGTCGATAATAGAACACGGGTACCCAAATCGACTGGCCATCTCGTAGTCAAGAATGTATATGGTCCACCACAGTCGTCGGCTGCCCTCCCGCTCGACGGTCCCTTTCCCGCGGAGGAAGACATCTCGGTGTAGCCCTAGAGAAAAGGCAATCTTCACAGCCGTTCCGAGATGGAGATAGGCCGCAATACTGTAGCAGGTCGCGTGCGTCGCCAAACCCTAATCAATGTCAGCCACCTCGATCAAACATCTCCACATTCAACCAGCAGGAACACCCACCAAGAGTCCGAACGCTTTGACACTGTCTAGGTCGGCCTCATCACAGGCCCCTGCTGATACCTCCCGTGCCAGAGCCAGGTAGGCCGTAGGTGTCTTGGAATCCGCAAGCCTGGAGCCCGGGGCCTCAACCCCTTGGCCACTGGGTCGCATACTTCCAATAGCGAAGATGGAGTAGATAGAACACAACCAGGATGCGCTTGCGGAGGCGCCGCCATCCTCCATGGTTTGTTCCAGGCGAGGGTAGAAATCTTCGGCAGAATAAAACCAGTAGGTGCAGTAGACCTGTTCAAAAAACCGGCCGACATAGACCATCCAGTGCTCGCGAGGCGGGAAGTACAATCCCGTCCGGCGACTGCCCACACCACTGTCTGGACTCGGTGGGAGCGGGCCGAACTTCAGTGGGGAAATGATTTTTGGGTCTGACCGAGACGAAGTCTCTCGTGGCTCTCGTGCTGTGTGAATTGCGTTGAACCAGCGGATCGACGAGTTGGCACCGACGTAGCCTGCGATTTTCATTAGCGATGCCTTCAAGTCTAGTCGAAGGGCGCACTGACGATATTTGCCCATGGAGTCTAGGAGCATACAACCGAGGCGCTCTTGAAGCACTGGATGTTCATCGCCCTCCATCGTCTCGTTGGTGACGTCCTGGTCCATCTTCTCAAGTGGACCATGGTTGTCTCTCTGTACTCCCTCAGTGCATGGGGCTTGGGAGTTGGGTCCCCTACTTTCTGCAGCGTCCAACCTTCGGAGAAAGTCTTGTATCTTCTCTACGGTAAGCTCGGGGAGCTCCTCTTCCGATACGAAGCGGCGGAGAAGCTTGATAGAATAGTCATATACCTCGCCTGAAACGCGATAGAATGGCCGCTTGCGGTTCTTGATACTCGCCTCGCACGGAAGATTCAAAGACCTGCAATAGTGACATGCACCAGTTTCTGCAAATCGTTAGAAATCCACCAATGCTTTTGTTATGGCTGTTTAGTCCGGTGCTCACCAATGCCAATACACTACAAACCAGCATCAGTTGGCGTCCATCCAACTATCGGTTGAGACTACTCACTTTGGTCTTGCGAGCCTTGCAGGTATTACAGCTCAAGCGCGCCCTCTTTCGCGGAGGCTCCTGGCCCTCCCCCTGGCGCTCGCCGTCGCACACTGGGCTCTGACCTGGGTCGACTTCCTCCCTGTCGATGGGTTGATTCGCGATATCGTTCATGTTCTTGCTACCGGTGCCTGCGTGCTAGGCGTAGGGTGGATGCTGCCGATTACACACCTCAGGTAGTGGGGCGGGGATGGGTCGGATATTACCATGGCAGGCATGACTCCGCTTCCCGGGGTAATTCTCGAAATTCTGGGGAAATGCGGGGAAAGATTATCGGCGATTCAACACCGACGCTAATTCTTTCATCTACGTACTTGCCAGAGTGACACGGGCGATCGAAAGTGACGGTGCATTGAGCTAACTGGATAGCGTCCTTCCACATCCCGCGCGTGACCCATCTGGCCCTAACTCGTCCGTCCCCCCCCGGCCAATGAGAAAAGCTGAACGACGCATGAAGTGGGGCTTTGATTTCTCATGAGTCCCGACAATTCCCCGCCTCGGATTCATTTTTTGTCGAAAATAAGTTGTAGGGGCTTCACGCCAACGGTAAAGTGGTCCACGGTCTCTTGCAGAATTAAGCTGCCGTCCTCCCCAGAGGCAAACCGGACGTTCTCAAAGTTCTGGATCCAGTGGGTGATCAAGTTCCTCATTTCGTTCATGGCCAATGCTCGTCCGATGCACCCGTTGGTACCTGTAATCATCGCGTTATAATTTATTGTTGAGAGGTGATGTGCTTGGCTTACCGATGTTCCACGTCAAGAATGCGTCGCTGTTTTTGATCAGCTCGGGCTTCGAATACCATCGCTCCGGTATGAATTCCTCGGGGCGCTCGTAGTTTGCATCGTCGCGCTGTATAGCGTATACCGGCAGGACCACGGTGGTGCCTCCAGGAATGAATACATCACCGATCATGATTCCTTCTGGGGGTGTCACTCTAGGAAAGCCAGAGGGAATGGCCGGGTGTAGGCGAAGAGCTTCTTGAATTACACCGTCTAGATGTCGCGCCTTGGAAACATCCTTTGTTTCGAGACTGCTCCTTCCCTTAAGCAAAGGCTCCAGTTCCGCTCTCAGCTTTTCTATTTGGGTTGGGTCCATGGCCAGATGGCAAAAGAGAAAAGTCAGTGTGGCGGCCGTGGTGTCGGATCCCCCGACAATGGTCAGTCTGGTATCTCCCCGCAGCCATTGATAGTCAATGTCTCTCTTTGCGCTTTTAGAGTAGGCATCCACGAGATGCGTGAGAACCTAGATCGTTTTTGGTCAACATTAGCCGCGTCTATTCTTGGACGGATCAGGGTACAGCTCCATACATCTGCTCTTTCCACCTGTTTCTCTACGCGCTCCTTGACCTGCGATCCGACAAAATCCAGCCACGCCTTGGCATGCTGGCCAGCCTTTGGGAGTCTCATAAGAATAGAACCTAGCCAGGGAACCGGTGTTGTCGTGCCGACGTCCGCCATGCCGGCCTCGAGCAAAGGTGGGATCCACCGGTTTTGCTCCGAGGTCATCATGTGGAACTCTTTGCCCAGTCCCACATCGCCCATGACATCAAATGCTGAAGGCTGTTAGCAAGATTAGATAACGCTGCAGCAATGGCGGCCGTAGTTACCAAAGTACTTGAACCAATCAGACGCATTGAACGGCTTCCCGGCCTCGTGCTCCATTTGTCTGACAAACTCTTCACAGTGCACAACTACCCGTTTTTCGTAGTCATTGAGCGCAGTGGGGGAGAAAGCCATGGAAAAGACCTTTCGTCGCGCATCATGCGCTTTCTTGTCGCGCACCGTGTGCAGACTGACCAGTGGCAAAGATCGCGAATACCAAGGACTTTTCGTACACTTTGACGCGTTACTCAAAACGGGCCGAATGGCGTCGGGATCGTTTATCGAGAGATTGCTCGGCCCTGTCGGGTTAATAATGTCTTCTGTATACTGACCCTCCTGCGTGCACATACCTGTCCTTACAATCGGCCCATACTTCTTATGCAACTGCTGCATGAGAAGATAGTTATCCGATCCCCGTATCATGTATACATGGGTCAGATTGGATAACCGAGCCCAAAAAGGCCCGGGAAAGTGGCCCAATGGGTGGAAAAACAGGCGATACAGCGATATGCTGCCAAAGAGTCCCGTGAAGTAACACACTGCCAACAGTGTCGATATAACAGCCGTGGGGATGGCCTTGAGGCCCATCCGATAGAAGACGGCACCACTCAGTAAACCGACCCCCGTAAGGCTGCGGAGAATCCACCGATGGGCATAGGCATTGTGATCGCCGCGGATAAAGTAAAGCAAATGGCTGGCGACACCTGCGCAAGCAAAGACAGCACACCCTGCCGCCAGAGTATCATAGTCGTCAGAGTGTTTCATGTTTACCTTCGTCTTGGATCGCTCAGATCGGCCCCGAGTAACTACGCGATGGCCAAGAGTAGGGACAGAAGGAGGCCAGTCTTATGCATCGCTGGATCTCTCAGTCTCTAGGCCTTGCGTGGTCTCCAGGGCTCGGACCCACCGTAGTAACCATATCTTCGGCTCCAATAAGCCGAATGGCCCTGTCTCGGGGGACTGGTTAGTTGCGGGTCAATGCAAGCCTCGGCCTAACAGAAGACATGGCTTCCAACTATCCTGGCCCCTTGTCTTGCTGCTTGTGTGCTCAGCTATCATGCGAAAGCGTATAGAGCCACCCAGGGCATTTCTCTGTTGTCAGGACCACCTAGTTGTCTAGATCATGAAACTGTGATTCAGACAGTCGCAACATGAGTCGCAAAACTTGGCACTCCTTTATTCTTTTTTTGTCAATCCACGCAGTACAAAAATAAAAATAAATTCAGGTAAAGTGACTAGAAAAGTTGGTGACACAAGTGGCAAAAAGAGAAGGGGGCTCAAGAATGCCATCATTGTCTGATATTTTCTATCTATTTGATCATCTAATTTGACTGCAGTAACCCTAAAAATGAAATATAACAGATAAAATTCCTTCATTTACCTGGACGGTCATTTATGATTGGCGTTTGTTTTACTGGTGTGAGACAAAATATATACACAACATCAAGTGAATATATAATTGACTTACAGGTTCTGAATTCAAAGTTCATGAACTATATATATTTGCCGGATAGATTTTTCTGGAGGGGACAGAACATACCCCAATAATACTTTACTATCATGATATTACTAATCAAGATATTAGCAAAAGACAAAAAAAGAAAAGGTTGCTTACATGTCATGAATAAGAACCTACCTCATAGATTCGTGAAGTTTCATATTATTGATTGGTTTTCATAGAGAATATAAATACACCCACTCCTTACAGCTTCTGTGCATAATTTGTATCCTGGATTGCCAGCCCATTCATTGCATTGTGTACCTCTGTAGACTCCTGCTTTGGCGCCCCTTGTCGATATTGCCTGGGCCAAATTCCCTGCTTCCCCGGGCTCAGAATACCCTGTGGATCAACGGCATCTTTGATCCGCTGGTTGAGTGTCATCAAGCTCCGTCCATTGAAGTCGTACTGTTCTGCAACGAGGTCCATGTAGTCCACGTGGGCCCGATACTCGCTGTAGCCGTACTTACGTGCGAGGTGGACCAGATCCACAAACACTTTGTTGGCATTCTGTCGGTCTGTTTCGTTCTGCCGGTCAAAGTAGATCATATTGATCATGGCCAAGTGTCGAGCATAGAGATGCAAACCACCGAAATACTCGAACCCGTATTCCGCGCAACAAGCCTTTGCGGCGTGATAGAAATCCAAGGACGCCTTGCCCTCCGGGGGAAGGATGGGGGAGAAAGAGACGTGTCCGCTGAGAAAATATTAGCATATCTTCGAGCACCGCAAAATATCGAGGACAATCCAGGGAACATGACCCACCCGTCTTCGCCACGGTATTGTACCGACTTCAATGCCAGAAGGCTCGGCGTGCCCGTCTCCACGGTCCGGAATTCAACTGGAAGATCCTCGGGGCTCAGGTACTCCTTGCCATCTGGAGGGTAAAAGGCCGTGCCTGAGACCTTCGCGCCGGGAAGCTGTTCAAACGCCCGTTGGCACCTCTTATAGTTGAATTCAATCATCTCTCTTGGACCATAAAGGCCAAACCGTGCAGACCAAAATCCAACACCAAGCTCCCTCTGTATCTCCTTCAGCCTCGCATCTGGTATCGCTCCGTCGCCATCATAGAACTTGCTTCTTGGGCCCTTCTTAGCCATTTCGCGTGGAATGTTACCAATAATTGGGTGATTTTGAATGGTATCGTGCATCAGCAGCTTTCGGAAGATTTCAATCATGGGGTTGAGGTCAGCTTCGTCATCGACATCTAGGCGACAGATCATGTAGCCTTCCGGGCTTGGCGAGGCCCAGATGCTCAGCTTCGTGACAATCCCGAAGTTACTCTGGCTGAACATGGACTCATAAGTAGGGCCATAGCCGCCACGGAACAGCGGCCAGCAGACTGAATCTTCCAGGGCGCCCATGCCCGTGCGCACGAGGGTTCCGTCTGCGAGAACCACTTCCATGCCACAAACCTGATTGGAATGATCGCCTGGACGACGGAATCGAGTCAGTGGAGTAGCTGGCTTCGGGTCGTGATCTTGTACTTACCGGCGGGTGTGTATCCCCAGCCTCGGTCCAGTGCGTTTCCGACAATGGAACCCCAGCCCAGGGCCGGGCAGGAGCACCACATGTTGGCCTTTTTCTCCTGGATCGCTCGGTAGATGTCGAAAAAGGTCACCCCGGGCTCGACGGTGTAGTACGAGTACCGGTCATTCACGTCGATGATCTTGGTCATCCGCTGTAGGTCGAGGATGATCGAGCCCTAACCGTACTGTCAGGATGTGGGCGTAAGGGGTGTGGGGTGTCCGACGTACCTTGACTCTCGCTGCTGGTCCACCGTACCCGAGATTCTTGCCTCGGGATACGGTCCAGGTAGGGATACTGTGCTTGTTGCATACCTTGAGGATGCTCTGGATGTGCTCTACAGTGACAGGATATAGAGTGGCCGCCGTACCCCTCTTCTCCTGTTCTCCTTCGTCTTGTAGCTCCGCATATGGGTCGGCATAGCGAACGCGGTGCTCGTGGCCTGTCAGAACACCGTCATTGCCAAGGATATCGCAAAACGCAACAACTACGTCAGTCCAGGTTGCTGCGTCTAGGCCGGGTGGCAGGATGGCTGTGGTAGGGATTCGCTCGGCAGTCCTGATCCATGTCTCGACAGTCTCTCCGGCCAGACGATTTTCGGCCGCATGGAGCGCCAAGGTGAACGGTTCTGGGACGGTCATGGCTTTGATGGAATGACGCAAACTGCGTGTTGGGTAGACGTCAATGATGGTCTCCCAATGCTGATCTCGCGTGTTGTCTGTGCACCGGAGCCACGAATGGTGTTTCTTATACAAACAGGCAAATGCCTCGAGCCGTCCTTATACCTCATGTCGACTGGTAGTGGCGGGAATGAGATGGGTCCGCGTCGGCAGCTTGGATCCGATGGTGAATCCTTTCCAGCCGAGGACTCCACCCTCACAAGATATAACACCGAGTGGATGACCCCGCGTCGCAGTCAATTGGACTAGACGTCAATGTTGGGGTAAAACACAGTAAATCCCTCGAGTGCGTAGGAGGGGAAATCTACTTCGTCGCATCCATTCCCTGGATCCGAGACCTTTCACACGGCGACCATGATGGGTATCCTAAGGTGGAGGATAGACTAGTAGCTATACCCCGGATTTTCCCCAGACGTTTGACTGGCCCAACCTTAGGGCTAGTGGAGAAGTAATATAAAGTCAGGCCCACCCACACGAAGAATCCCTCGCGTAGCACATCCACCATTTGATACCCCTTTCAATTCTGCCGACTCGGTAGATTTTTCTCTTCTATCACATTGTTCAGGATGGGGTCGGTCGACTCTCAAGGGCTTCAGGCCCGTGAGATAGTTCATGGAGAGGGTGTGCGTAAGACGAGCCTCATCGCCAATTGGCGAATCCTCGCTGTCACTCTCTATATCGGCATGTCTCTGTTTGAATATGGCTACGACAAAGGGGCCATTGCTGGTTTCCAGGCCATGCCTGGCTTCCTTATGGTGTTTGGATATCAGGCCCCGGATGGGAACTGGGCAATCGAGGTAGGCATCCGTCCTTGGAGTCTGTCTTTTGTGGACTTCCCATCATTATTTGGATATTCGCAACGTATGTTCAAAAAGGATCGCGACATCTGTGCTTATATGTCTCCCAGGCCGGCCCGCAGCAAATCATTACCTCCTTCATGACCTTGGGCAGCTTTATCGGCGCCCTAGCGACCGGCTCAATTGGGGCCCATCTGTGTCGTCGGTACTGCCTCATGCTTGCCTCGGTCTTCTTAATTGTGGCTGTGGTGATCATGGTCGAGACCACCTCCTTCGGGGCGCTCTACTTTGCTCGGCTCCTCTGCGGTCTGGCGAACGGGGTGCTGATGAATTTCGCCTTTGTCTACCTCCAGGAGTGTGCTCCCCCACATCTGCGTGGGCTCTGCTTTGGCATGGCTGCCTTCTGGATCACGTTTGGCACCACGATCGGCATGGTTCGTCTCACCCTGGATCCTCGGGTGGCATGTTGGACTGACCGTTGTCTCTTCCTAGGTGGTCAACAATGAAACAGCCGAGATCATGAACCGACAGGCATATCAGATCCCGCTCTATGTCTGTTTCCCCGTCCCAGCGCTGCTGCTCCTGACTCTGCCCTTCCTTCCGGAGTCCCCCCGGTGGCTACTTCATCACCACCGTCCTGATGAGGCACTTCAGAGCTTACGGTTCTTCCGCCACGGAGCCTATGACGAGGTGGCCGTACTACAAGAGTTTGAGGAGATGAAAAGTGTTGCCGCCCGAGAGGCCGAAAGCACGAAAGATTGGCGGTTGATGCTTGAATTATTCCAAGGGACCAACCTGCGCAGGACCATCATCTGCGTCGGAGTCACGTCGGCCAACGCCGGCGTGGGCGCGATGTTTATCCTCAGCTTCGGCACTTACTTCTTCACTATTGTGAGTCCATATCCGTCGCTTCTGGTATGTCGCGATCAATCGATCTAACATCCGAAACAGGCCAAGGTCGGCGAACCCTTCATGTGGACCATCATCACGAACTGCCTGGGTCTGGCGGGCCTCATCCTGTCATGGTTTCTGGTGCAACGGGTCGGACACCGACGCCTCATCCTGGCGGGCTGCAGCATCTGTAGCGTCTCTATGGTCATCATCGCCATTGTGTACACCGTACCCAACCTCCCCGCCCATCAGGCTGGCATTGGCATGGTTGTGGCCTGCAGTCTCTACCTGTTCGGCTTCAACTTGGGAATGGAGTCCTACACCTTCCTGACCTCCGGCGAGCTTCCGGCCCAAAAGCTCCGTGCCTACACCCAGGGGCTGTCGGTGGGAGTCAGCTTTATCCTCGCCTGGTTGTGCACCTTCACCACCCCCTACTTCATCAACCCGACGGAACTCAACTGGGGACCCAAGTATGCTTGGATCTGGTTTGTGAGCGCCCTGATCGCCACGGTCTTTATCTACCTGATGCTCCCCGATGTCAATGGACGCAGTCTAGAGGAGATCGACGAGATGTTCCGGAATCGCGTCCCCACGCGGGGTTTTAAAACGTATGTTTGCCTGGAGATTGAGCAGGCTCGATCTCGAGGAACGAAACACGCCGTCGGTGAGGACAAGGAGCTACCTCGGGAGGATAAGCCCGTTGGACAGCATGTTGAAAATGCTTGACAGGCGATCTTCATCTCGATGCTATTGTTGTGTTGAATGCTGCCTATTCAGATCTTTTGCAGGTGCGGGGATGTATTTTGGACTGGAGAATCCGTAGAACTCGACCCATCAATCATGAGCATAACAATCGTTTAACTATTCGTATTGTATTGCTTTGTATTCTGTGCACCTTTTATGTTGATATTAGCACCCTTCTCCTATCAACGTCCCTCGTCACATAAATCCCATTCAGGCGCGCGATATACTAAAAGCCAAATGGGATACATCCCGATTGTAGCAATCTAGCAGAATGCCACCCATCCATCTTGAACAGTGATAAGCCTCGTGGCTATACCGGTGCAATATCTTTATGTGACCAGTCCATCACACAGCTGAAGTGCATCTTTTTTTTACGAGGTGGGCAATGCCACGATTCTCCACAGCCTACACAAGGCTAAGGCTAAAACCTGTTCCGTACCAACGTGATAAAAGGATCCAATCAGCAAAGGCTACTTGACGTCAGGATCGTTTACCCTAGAATATTGGGTTTGCTATTCCGCATGAGAAGAGGGGTTCAGCTTGCATGAGCTCGGTAGCTGTGGTCACGTTGGTACTGTGTCGACTCCGCGGGAAGAGCCATGTGAACATCGCCTTCTTCCTGCTTCACGTCCCAGCGCTGTCTGTCGTTGCGAGAATTTGCCATCACAGCTACATCATGTTCTTCCCACATCAAGCATGGTATTCATTCACGGGTGTTGGCCAGGTGCGCCGGGACTCGCCTGGAACTGCGACCGTGCCGAGCAAGTGCTCGAAGTTTGCAGTAAGGCAACCCGTTCGCTTGACGTTTTATCGCAAAGCACCACCCTCCGTCCCAGAGGTGTATACATGGCATCCCCTAGACCTCCAGCTAATTGATATAACCACGTCACGAAGATGATGCAACGGAGAACGCCATGTCTATTGGCAAGAACACCTCATTGTGCTCTGCCGACTCCGATTTCCAACAACTCTTGAAAAAATGCGAAAACTGTTTAACCGGACGCGGCAATGACTGCCCAGGCGCGCTGCCGGATGACTTTGTGCCATCAATACAGCATTTCGTAAACTACTGCAACAATGCCACAGGTTCTGGTAGCAACGACGACCTGAAAGCCAACGCCCTAAAGATCGAGTCCCTGGTCAAGTCGAATGCCTGTCTGAGATCCTCCGTTGACGATCTGCGGTCTTACCGTTCCCACTCAAGCACTGGAGCACCACCTGCCGCTACATCCGCTCGCTCTTCACCATTGCCCCCTGCTGCTCCATCCGACGGAAGCGCGGAACGTCTCCCGGGCAACATTGCCCGCACAGTTGTCCCAGCCGTGGTGGTCCCGGTTGTGGTCTTGTTAATTGGGCTCGCGATCCTAGCATATATGCTCTGGCGATGGCGACAGCGGCTTCAAGCGAAACAAGCGGAGGTGTTAGAAGAAAGCGCGGAAGCACCCGAGTTTGGTGGAAAGGCACAGTTACCGGCGGATCCATTCCGGCCAGAGCTGGACGGCGTCGACACAGCTGCAGGAAAGGAGGAATACAAGGAGATGGACAGTCACGAGGTGGCGGAGCTGCCAGCCCGGGAGGCAGTGGGCGTGGAGATGGATGCTAGTGGACGACACGAATGACATATCCCGGTAGAGAATAACCTCGATGGATGTGATCTTCTATTGACAGAGAGACAAAACATGTATGTATTATATATTGTGAGCCGAATGCTTGGTCGATACGTGAGATAGCAGCTTTCCTTGAATAGCCTTATATTGCTATCTAGATGTCCCGGAAGACGTCCATGGGAGTCGAAAGCATCATTTGAGGGATTTCTAGTGGTAACAATTGCGTCTTTATGTTATGAATAATGGTAATCTTTGATGACATTTCATGACGCAATGAAGGTTGCAGGATTATATGTAGAAGCAGAATAAACCAGCAAGGAAAACTACTGGATTAGCTGACCCCTGGCCCTTGCATTAACTGTCGTCGTCATGATTTCCCAAGCATCCCACAATGTTCCTGTTTATCAAGGTCAGGGTCTATTTTAAGTACCAGTATAGCATCGTACTCAGCCCTATATCCCTGTTACTACTGTCGGTACTATGACCCACCATCACTCCTGTTTTTAAAGGTACTGTTTGGGTATTCTGGTCATCGAATGGGTGATGTATTATATACCTGAGATACATCATTCTCACTGACTACAAAGTACCTCTGTGTATACTCCATCCATTCAAAGACCCAAAATACTGGATTGAAAAGCCGGCCAATGTTCATCCCGGACCCACTTGATAAGCCGTTGGAGTGCCATGGTCAACTTGTAGATTCCCAGGATGGATTCCGTGTCCCCCAGAAGAACCCGTTCGAAAGTCTGCGCCTTCTGGTCCTCGTTCAGGGCCGTGGCCACCAACCACCAATGGTGCTGCATGACCACAATGCCGGGGAGAAACTCCATCTCCTGGGACCGCGAGGTTACATCTGCTCCGTGTCGAGCCCAGTGCAGGCTACGCCATTAAGCCGAGTGCCATGTGGCCACTTGGAGCAGGGCGGTCTCGTAGCCGATGCTAGGACCTTTAGTCTCGATGGAGACCGCGATGGGATACTTAGTCAGGTCGGCCCAGTCGGTATGGTTGATAGACTGGCCCGGAAGCCATCGGCAGAGCCCCTCGACCGCGCGGGACTGCGGGGAGTCCCTCTCCGGCTCGATGCAAACGCAATAGTCCACCATCTTCGGCGGCGAGTGGTCCGGTTGGTATTCGGGGCAGATCTGAGCCGTCAGGCTGGGCTTGCGTCAGTCACCTCCATCAGATTAAAGAAGGGGATTCCACGAACCAGCATCGGTAGTCGACCAGGTCATCCTTGCCGGGACGGTCCCGGAGAATCCAGTCCAGAACCCGCGAGTGCACGTCATTGTTCCACGAGGATTCGGGGTGATTGTTCGTGAAACATCGTTCGGCCAAGGTGTATATTATATTCACAGTCGTGGTACAGGGTAACTGAGCGACCCCATAAGTGGTGTTGTCACCAAAGTTCCAGACTTCGATCGAGTCGTTATTGGCAAGCTAGGCCGTCGATGCCAGAAATTCAATTACCGCGTGTGTGAGGTAACAGCGGAGCATGGGGTCCCAGCTCCTTCTCCAGGTCCCTGGGAAGGATACCAAAGCCACCATGGATCTTCCTTAGGTCGTCCACCAATCCCTGTAGAGATTTCGGTTTTTGATGGTCCCGGAGACTGGCTCTCAGAAACCCTGTTTGATCTAGTTCCGCATTCCGTAGTTGTTTCGTGGGAGATGAATTGCGAGAGATCTTTGGGGCTTTGGATGACGCCTTGGATGAAGAGAGTTGGGATCCAGAGGGCAGGGACGACGCTCGGGGGAAGACATCGTCATCGCCTAACGCGGCTGCCACGGCAGACCGTCGGGAAGTGCGAGGCGTGCGATTGGACTGCGTGTCGGCCAAGGCATTCGACGGTTGATCGTGCCCCGGTGAACGATCGTCGGTGGGGTCGTGATGGTCGCTGATTTGCTTTGGAGGCATGCTGGAGAGTCCGGCCAGAGGCGCAGATCCACAAGGCGATGCTAAGGGGGTCGGCGGACGCAAACCATCGGTGTCTTCCCCGGCCTGTATCTGGTCAGAATCCTCACGAGAGCAAGGCTCATTCTTCAGACGCCTTCGCTTGCGTGGTCGCTCAGATTTCCGATCGTCGTGAACCGGACTGACAGAGTCCAGCCAGTTCAAAATACGATGACGGGACATGGTATGGCATCATTAGGGGATGTGTGCTGACTTCGGGGAGGCGATCATTCGATCCAACCTGATTGCAGGTCGAGCAAGAGATGTGGAGGAGACGGATGATGGACGCGGGTAGAGATAGACCATCGCCGTTGTCGGGGAAACAGCCCCACAGGAGAAACTTACCTATTGATGAATCCACCTGAGCTTGGGTTTCCTATCACGCCCTGGTATGGTGAGTGAACCTGCTCGTAACCATACTGGACGTTCATTTACTCCTTTCCCCCACAAGCAGACCAATAATATTTGCTTTGTTACCGAGGAGGATGCCTCGCCACATCGATGTTCCCTGGATCGTAGGAGACTCTACGGATGCTTTCCCATGGGAAGAAGAGGACCGGGTGAAGATCAAGTCACATGACCCGGTGATCTGATCATCACGTGCCCTCCGCGAACCATGAGGCAGCCCTATTATGTGACCATTCACCTGATATCAGATCCCCAGTTTTCGTGGCGTCATATATCCAGAGTCAGCTCAAGTACCTGAAGCAAACGATCGGGCTCTTCTCTCAGGACCCCGTGCGGAAGATAAATGTGTGTTGCAATACCAAGACAATCGGTATCTGCGGCCTGCGGGTGATCATCCATCTACTTTCTACGTTTAGTATGATCCAACATTTTCGGACCACTTGGCCCTTCTCGGGTTCAGTTCGTCGGGCGCCAAGCTAGGCTACTGCACAACCGACAAAAGATTTCACTGATCTAACCGGTTTTTTCCTAGTCTCCTCGCGCGAGATTGGCGCGGCTGCCACCCGACAAGTGCGCGCGGCGGCACATCGCTAACCACCCGAGGCCTTGACTTCTGACGACGGGGATTCGACGAAAGGACCTTGTCACTCTGTCGTTTGGCCACTGACAGGGGACACGAGAAAGCCCAGCGGCTAATGGAAGCCCAAAGAGAGATCGCTTATCAGCTGTTCCAGTCCCCACATCCCCCCTGATCCGCCTACCCTTTTTAAAATCGACCTGCCACCCAAGATCCCCCCCATCGCACGACCGGCCATGGTCATGGTTTCCCGGTTACTCCAGACTCCGAGAGCTCGCTACGGCCTGCTGGCGGTCTCGGCTCTCCTCCTCCTGGCCGTGGTGAGCCGTCTCTACCACAACACCTACACAGCTCCGAGCATCGACATCCAACGTCCCGACGCGCAACGCCCAGGGCCAACCGCCGGTCATGATGACCCCGAGGCCGTCCCCCACCCTATCGACGGGTTGATCCGAGACGCAGAGCAACAATGGACGCGTTTGCTGGCCAAAGAGTCCTCCGTGCTGGCGGACGCCGCCGAACAGTACCGGCAGCGGCGCGGGCGCCATCCGCCGCCAGGGTTTGACCGTTGGTTCTCCTTCGCCAAGGAGAAAAACGCCGTGCTCATCGAGGAGCTCTTCGACCAGATTTACGACGACCTGAGCCCGTATTGGGCCTTGGACCCGCGGGAGATGCGCCGCCAGGCGGCGGGATGGGAACCGCGCATCATCCTGCGCAACCACACGCTGACCTCTTTGGGCCAAACGGGCGTCAACTGGCGGGAGGTCTGGATGGATATGATCGCCACCATCCAGGACTTTCTGCCCGACATGGACATCCCGCTCAATGGCATGGATGAACCGCGGCTAATTGTTCCTTGGGAGACGTTGTCGAGCTATCACGCCAAAGATCGCGCCCACCAGACGCGGCTGGAACCCCGCGACACGGTCGACGAATACATGCACCTCCCCGACGTCGATCCCAACCCTGTTCCCCCACCCTTCTTTCAGGGACCGGACATGCCCTTCTGGGAGATTATGCGCGTGGCTTGCCCTCCCGAGAGCCCCGGACGGGCCAGCAATATTCCGCATCTCGACTTCGCCAACCCCCCGCCGGAGTTCTTCAACTACCGCAACTTCTCCCACTCCGGGTACGTGGAGGACTTCGAACGGTCCAAGGACCCGTGCTGGAGGGCAGAATTGCAAGCCCTTCACGGGAGCTTCATCGCGCCCACGTCGACATCGACCGCGCACGAGCTCTTCCCGATGTTCGGCGGTTCCAAGCTGACCGTAAACAACGAGATCTTGATCCCGCCTGCTATGTACTGGGTCGACGACCCGCGATATTCGGGCGGGTGGGAGAATCAGGGCGGCGACTGGGCGGGGAAGAAAGACTCGGTCATGTGGCGCGGGATCGCGAGCGGCGGGCGCAACCGCGCCGACTCGTGGACGGGCTTCCAGCGCCACCGGCTGGTGTCAATGCTCAACGGGACGCAGGTGGCCATGACCAACGGGTCGTCCTCGCCGGGCCTCAACTTCCGTCAGCCCGACTACCAGTATTACAACGTGTGGGCCGGACTAGAAGGGACCCTACCCGCCTTCCTAAACGAGCACTGCGACCTGGGATTTCTGGACCTGTGCTGCGACCCGCACGACAATGGGCCCTTCTGCCCGTACACCGACCCGTACTACCGTCTCGTGGAGGGGGTGGATATGAAGGACCAGTATGTCAGCAAGTACCTCCCGGACGTGGACGGCAATTCCTTCAGCGGCCGGTATCGCGCCTTCCTGCTGTCGACCTCACTGCCGATCAAGGCGACTGTGTACAAGGAGTGGCACGATTCGCGGCTGATGCCGTGGGTGCACTTCGTGCCCATGGACTCGCTGTACATGGACATCTACGGGATCCTGCAGTACTTCATGGGACACCGGGGGCGCAACGGACACGACGGACAGGCTGCGAAGATTGCCATGAACGGCAAGGCTTGGGCCGAGAAGGTGCTGCGCCGCGAGGATATGCAGATCTACATGTATCGCCTGCTCCTGGAGTATGCGCGTCTGTGTGACGACCAGCGGGACCGCCTGGCGTTCGTGGGGGACATAAACCACTAGACTGTCTTGTTTCCCTTTTTCTTTGCCTCTTGTCTTCTAATTTGTCTATATATATTTGTTTTTGTAAGCATCGAGCAAGCGTGTTGGTTTCTTTCGTCCCCCGTTTGAATATCATGTATAACTACTGATTATTCCCTTCCCCCCTTAATGTAATGAATGCCCCATGTCTCCAAATCGGTACTTCCCACTGTGATGTATCACTGAATCATCTAGCCATATATTTTGGCTACTCGGTTGGAGCATACCCACAGGGCCATGCCGATCTAGCCGTGGTCCCTACAGGCCACCAAAAAAGAAGCATTAGGCTGTCGCACGACTGGTGGCCTAGCCGCCGCCAAGACGACGGCCCAGGGGCGAACCTACTATGCAACAGGGAATACAGATCACGTCACCGACTTCTTCCAATATTTTTACAGCGCATTCACACAACGTTCCATGTTCTGTATTTAGTGTTCGGTATCTCAACAGAATGGGTGGGAAAGTCTGGACGATCACAGAAGGAGGGCCCACTGGACACAGCCAATCCGATAACGAACTACACGCCTCCTTCGTATACTCCGTATCGTTGTCTCTCCCTGCTCCTATCCTTTCGAAAGGGAAAGGAAGGGTGTTTCAGGTGGAAGAGACGGAAGGAAGTCGATCACCCGCAGAGTTTGCGCCCATCGTTTCAAGGAGGACAAAAAGCGTGGAAATCTGTCAGCAGTTGAGGTTGCGTTCATTTCCAGGGCTTGGGATATATCGTCCTGGGCGTGAACGGAGGGACTCTCGATCTGTATAGAATTTGGAACATAAACTCCATCCACATCGTGGTCTACCTAGGCTGACAATTCCATGTGGTCGGCGCTGGGAATGGATCGTAAAAACACGGTTCATTACTATTGGTTTACTGGTCCCGCCATGCGACAGGGCCGCCCCTATATACAGAAAAGCAAATCCTTGGTAGGCCCTAATGGATCAATCACCTAAAATTACCCCTATCGATCTCGCGAGGCTGGCAACTCTGGCGTTCGGTTCGCTTCAGTGGGCATCTCCACCCGAGAAGCTGCGCCGCACCACGACTCTTGCCTGTCATGGCTTAGCTCGTACACTGGCGCCGCATCGAGCTCCTCTGGCGGCCGCGGCGCGAACATCCACGTATCAGATGCGCCTTTCGCCCAGGGGGGACCATCCTGATGAGCGGCTTCTTGTTCCTTGCGGCGTCTTTGCACGATCACCCCAGCCATGATCAACCCCGCCAATAGGGCGACCCCGGCGACGGCCCCCACGACGGCGCCTGCGATGGTCCCACCGGACAGGGTGTGGCCCGTTCCCGCAGTGGACTTTGGGCTCGACGATGGCGAGCCGGTCGGATTGGCGACCACGCTCGCGGTGGGCCGGACAGAGCGCTGCTTGAACAGATTCTCTAGATCGCTGCTGTTGAACCCATGCTGGGGTTTGGACAAGGTCGCGCCCCCGGTTTCGCTGCTGATGTTAATTGACGTGGAGACAATGAGGCATGGGGTCTGAGCGCAGACGTACCTCCCACCTATCACATCCACAATTTTGGAGGGGATGGTATACTCGCCATGGTCGTCGGCGTTGTAGTTGCTCATCCAGGACAGCTTACGCAGGTCGAAGATGCCGATCCCATTAGCAAAGGTGGAGCTGTCGCAATTACGCGACTGCGGGTAGTACTCCATGTCGTCGACGGGGATGATGCCCCCGACTGCCAACATGGTGTGCTTCTGTGCCAGCACGCATTTGTGCTTGTATCGTAAGACGTGGTCGTCGTAGACTTTGATCCACCGAAACGAGGGCACCGAGAGGACGTAGACGTTGCCGTCGGAGTCTTTGGTCTTGGCTGCCATGCCGCCAAAGACGTAACTGCCGGGATAAGCAGACGATCGGAGAATTGAACGCCACGATGGAGAGGACTTACATCGAGTAAGATGACAGATCTGGGGCCGGGGCGACGACAGCACAGCCGGCCATGCGCCAGTGGGGGACGTCGCCCGACGTCTGCTGGTCATACCACCGCTGTTTGTCGATGTCGTACACGCGGACGGTCTCCATTGAGTTCTGTTCATGTCAGTCCGCCGACTTCGGATACAACCTAGCGCATATCGATTTACCTGATTCGTCTCCTTGGTTTGCTGGGCCGCCAGGAAGGAAAGCTTCTGGCCGACGGGGTACGTGTACCCGCCAAACGCTACCAGTAGACCTCGCTTCCCTACCGAGTCGATGAGACCGACGTATCCATCACCGATGGTGCCCCATGTATTCATGTCGGCGGTCGACGCGTTGGTCCACTCGAGACTGTTCATGTCTAGGGCGATCAGCCCCGGGTCCATGTACACGTCCGCGCCGGGGGTATTGATGAAAGTTGGATTTCCCGCCGGATTCAGCGAGCCCCCGAGGTAGTAGGCCATCTGGTCGACGGATGACTGTACGGCGCCGCCTTGACACAGTCGCACCAGCGGGGTGCCCCAGAAGCCGCGGCTTGTCCAATTTTTGGCCGCGATATCGTATCGCCATGTGGCGAGCGGGGGCACCGAGATTCCGGCCTTTTCGCTCAGGTAGCCGCCGTAGAAGAAGAGGTCCTGTCCGTTGGACCAGGCGGCACCCTCGTTCAACCAGGGGGGATTGTCGTCGGTGTCGGAGTTATCATGCGGTTTCCGGATGTAGGCGAAGAGGTCGTCGTCTGAGTTCTGCCACGACCTGGATAGATCCACGGTTTGGAGGTCTCGAACTAGATCTGGTCAGTCTGGTTGACTCGTCAGACCCCAGGTTTCGTACCCGGATGGAGAGGGAGAGGGAGAGGTGGAGGAGGGACACAAACTTGCGGATTTGGGGATGGACCCATTGGGCAACAGCGTGTGCATATCCCCGCCATCGATATACAGCGTTTGGTTATTGATGACGGCTGGGGGGATCAGCTTTCTAGTTCAACAATAGACCATGTCGGACGCATACGCACCCGAGTTGAACAGCCGCGTGCAATTGGAGTTGGCCAGGACCAGAGACGCGCACAGGGAGAGCCAGACGACGAAATGCACCATCTCCATCCGAGTAATCCCTCTCGGACGGCCAGGAACGAGGCACATGGCGAACGGTGAGTGGCTGCGAGAGGCGGACGGGAAGGGTCAAATATCTACAAAAGAGAGAGGCACCGTGTGCTACCTCAAGGCTGGAAGCGTCGTATATTAGTAGTGCCGTCAGGGCAACCCGACCAACCCTTCCTGGGCGGTAATATCGCTCGCAATCGACAGGGCTTTTCGTGCTGTGATTCTGACTGGTACAGACGATCCATGCCTGCCCAGCCATACGCACTAGCCGTTGGCGCTATTCGCCAGGGGTCAGTGCCTGGATATCACCACGGTGCCACAGCGGCTATCCACGAACTGAATGGCTTAGCCGGCTGATTCGGCGTGGGGGTAGCCTTTAATATTTATAGGCTCAGTCGGTGTCTGTCTTCCGTTTTCCTCTTTGTAAATGAACGTTGCTGCCCGCGTTTTGCTACGAGAGCCTTAGCTGTGGGCCTTCCGATATCACCGGAGCACTGTGGTCTGAGAGGCATCCCTAGCCATAATTCACAAGACCCAGAGATTGGGCCACCGAGATAGGCACCTCCCAGTCTGGAATCCACGTGTGACTTTGCTATAAAGACACTGCCTCCATCCGAAACAGTCCCGACAGCCGACCATAATGAAATCAGCCACTCGCAATCTTACAGTCTCGGAAGGAGGCTATATTTATATACACAAGGCTCCCTGACACTCTGAGCCCATTACACTCTTAAGATACGTCATACTCAATTATAATTGAGGTATGGAAAGCTCGTTGCCCATATTGTAGCCAGGAGGTGTGTCAAGATAACTGGATTACAACTAATAACTCCAATACCCTTTCTGGGAACCTTTGGATCGGGATCTGGGGATTGGACAATGAAGATTAATTTGAGGCGATCAGGAGTTTGTTGATCACTCGTATATTATGCTTTAATATGCTAACCCACCAGGTCCAACGTGTTATTCATAATCATAAGTAGCTCGGCTACTAGAAAATCCTAGCCAGTGACGGGTGGTGGCTTACAGCCAAGCCGATATATAACATTGAAATTATGAAGTGGGCGAGTTATGATTCGAATTTTTCTTTATTTTATATTCTAGCCTATTTCTTTATCTCTTTCGTGTTGACTATTTGTCTTACAGTTCGACAACTTCTGGTAGAATAGAGAAAAGAGAGAGAGAGAGAGAGAGACAGTAACTGTCTGGCTGCCCTCCAAGACAATGAAATCTTGGCTTGGTGATGATCTTTTGTTGGGAAGACTATATCTGTTGTACAAACATGCGGGCTCCAATCGAGACGTGGAATTCATATGATAGTTGGGCTTGATGTTAGGGGCTCTGGGTGATTTTATTTCTTCTTCTTCCTTTCTATATGCTTTGCTGTCTGATCTCTGCCTGTAGAATCCTCCCTCTTTGGGTATTAAATTAGGATAACTGGACTCGCACTGGAAGATGATTAGAGGAAATCACAGCATGGATACAGCGTGTTGGCTCCTCGTGCCTTCCATTTGCAGTCAGTATGTATTTAGCTTAGCCGGACACCGGCCGGAGAATGAAAAGATAAGCTTCTTCTCCCCTTTCTTCCGCTAGATGCGTAAGGGGAGTGCTAGAGCCCGCAGAGGGGCTCAACACAGCGTCATCGTCACTCTCAATGCCCACTATCGACCGGCCATTTGGCATCTCCTTATGGCCCTATTTCAGCAACGGCTTAGATATAGAAATAATTACTTCTGACTAACTCCTGCATGATTAGTATTATATATATAGAAAGAATAATTATCTCTGATTTACTACTTACTAGTTAATATCTTAGGTTCGAAGAAAGAAAATCAAAAGAGATTTAGTTTTGAAGAAAATCAAAAGGAGTTTGGTTTTAAGAAAGAAAATCAAAAAAACAATAATACAGATTAGATAAGTAGTTCTCGCGAATATTAGCGAAAAATTACTATTTTTAATTAACTCTCCTACAAGAAATATTAGAGATATGGAAATTTTGACTAAAGTCATAGAATCAGGTGTCCTTTATTTATTATATTTCAAAGTTTAGGATTATTCTGACCACGGGGTGTGGTTAGTTCTAGTCATGTTTTGCCTACTGGTAGGAAGTCCGGGGAAGCTAGATCTAACCGGTTTGGTCATTATCACGTGATGAAGTTATAGCCATGAGGTTGCAAGGTCCTTTAAAAAACACTAACCCCATGTATGCCTTTGTTAGTTAACTAAGTTAGACTAGTTCTATATATCTTCTTTATACTATTATAGAAGATAAGTATCTGTTATAAGCTCTTTTTCTTTTATCTTAGCATTTACATTTCCTTTAGGTTTCACTTTTGATAAACTATTTATCTCTGGAGCAGACTTGATAATAATATTAAGTTCTTTCACATCTATCAATATGGTTTACTGGTATTAGCTAGACGGATACTAGAAGCCCTAGAAAAAAAAAGAGGGGAGTACTTCACTAGAAGGCTTGTTGTCTAGAAGATGGAAGCGTGTTTGCTTGCAAGATGCAATGATATTGGCAGGAGACATGTTACTGTTCAGAATATGTAAGCCAGCTGGTCTTTCAGAAATCACTTTAACTATAAACCAAAAAGCAGGAAAGGTATCAAGAGAACCTACCTTCTAATCAAGTTGATTCAAGGCAGTAGATGACATGTCGGGTAATATAGCGACTGTCGGGCTCTGAATCGGGTCTAGCCTCATTGCCTGAGGCAGAAAGTCTATCTGCTAACATGGTTGCAGCTTGTGAGTACATATCAGGATGGGTTGGTTTGTAAATACTTCTCAATTTAATATTTCAAGTCATATCGTCTTTTTTATTACTCTAACAATCACTCTCACTCTTACTATCACTATGCATATCACTAGAGGATGCAAAGAAAGAGATATGAAAAGATGTAGAGACATTGATCAGGATGCCATAGCGATCCTCAAACAATGGATATTCAACAGGTATTGTTATTATTACTGCCCCTGAGTGATGCTGGGAATGACAGCGAGAATTTTGAAATTGATCTGCAGGTTGTTAATTAGGAATATTTAAGATAGACCCTTACTGTTGGTTATATGAGGTGGCTGCGGCAATCTCTGGTGTGTATCCCAGGCTTCTGGCTTGGGCTAAAGTGTACTATATTGCCTCTGGAATAGCTGACACTGAAAGGGAGCAAGTTTGTCTGGATTGGAAGTATACTATCATCGCTTGTATAATTATAGAGGGCAGTGATTGAGAGCAACATGCACAGTATTCTGCTGCATTATACACCAGAGTCACTCTGTGCATTGATATCATTGTATAAATAACAGTTGTACTCAGAAAATACCATTATCCTGAAACAACATACAGACTAAATTCTCCAACTGCAGTCATCCATGCTGATCATGCAACTCGCGCTGTTACTCCGTAGATCAGCCACAATGGAACAATGGGACCTATGTAAGTTCAACTGCTGTTCCAGGTGCACAGGTGCTGACAATGAATTCCCTAATGCAAGAAGGCTAGAAGAACAGATCAGAAAAAGGCTTGCTCATACAATATGAGTCTATGAAGATGACAAGGAGTTTGAAACTTGATATATAAGCATCCTGGACTCTTGGGAATAACAGGTGTTGGTGACTGCGGGCATATATTCATTCACCACTACGTTTATTATATTTATATCATCCAAAGTCTAAGCAGATCCTCACCCTCTCCTTTTCCTACCAGGCCTTGCACCAGTGCAGACACCTTCAAAGTCCTCTGCAGCAATCCCCTCGTTGTCAACCATGTTGACCCTATACTCCAGCCCGGCGTCGCAGCTAGCCATGCTCACACTATCATGGATGGCTCCGGCTTTGGATTCATGATGGACTATAACCAAACACAAGAAGCGTAGTGTAGTGCGTGCGCACCGGTCGCGTACAAATCCAACTACTGGATTCTGATACTGTACTTAAGAGCGCAGAATGGGAGTCTCACGGCCGTGGAGCAGAACAGGGGCGCTTTGATCTACTAGCCGTATGACTCCCAATCAACATATATTCTCAACAAGATACTGGTTTGAATGGCCAACACGAAGACCTAAATAACTCTACAATCCTCGCGCCCCCAGACCTGCAAGGCAGATGGGTATACCTATGCGAGTGCTACTGTGGGGACAGCATCGAGGCTGCGAACCGACCCGCTCTCGCACCAATGGGCAGGTATATATGTCGGCCGCTGGGTCGCTGAAAGGTGGCTATTCTAGATTGACTGTGAGAGCCCTGAACTCGCTACAATCCTGTCGCTGGTGCATGCGCGATATCGATCAGCAGGCGGGTCACATGCCACGTGGGAGCCTTGATGGGTTTGACAGACTGACAAGAGACCACCCAGTGACAGGGGCAGGTCAATGATCCGGCTCGCAACTTTACAATGAATGAAAAATATGTACAGAGTATGGTCGTGATTATGTGAAACAGAGAGCTGGGCGAGTTCCACATATCCGATGGACTACTACAAATCGAATATAAATGGGCCCCACTGACCCCTGAGTTCTGGTGCTTGGCGCAGGAGATACCTTGTTCTGGTGCGGTTGTCGAGCAAAAATCAGCACAGCCTTGGCAGGCTCCGTAGATGACATCATTTGAGAATTACCAGCGGCGGCCTTTGCTCGGGAATGTTGCTTGTTCTGCTGTGCTGACTGCCGAGCTGGAGCGCGATGAGGCACTCTCCTGGGTGATCCCAAGAACCACAGTAAGCACACAGCCCATGTATCGTACATGGCATGTGCATGGCAATGCCCGCAGCAAGGTGGGTGACTGCTCCACGTGTCGTCCACCTCTAACCAAGTGAAAGCTGGGAGCAGCGGATCGGTTAACCTGCTTCAAAGCCAGTGATATTACTAAGATCGGAATATTTCCTGGTCTGCTACTGAATCTGAATGAATCAGAGCGAGAAACAAAGACCAGAATCAACCCGAGTCAAACCTACTCCATAATGACCCCCGTACTCGGAGCCTCCCCGCCCCCCTGCTCCCTCCCCCGGCTCAGACAAAACCCGTCGGGTCTGCATCGGGTTTCAGACTTTGATGGTCGGGAAGAGTCGACTGCATGAGAAGAAGGAATACCACGGATCCATTCCCACCGCCGGCCCATGGCCGATCGGCAAAGGAACGTCTCGGCATTGAATTTTGATTGAGTGAGTGATTATCGGTTTGGCCAGTAATCGGCTGGCCGTGAAATTTGTTTGGGGACTTGGTCAACCATGGTTGGCTGCAGACCAACAGGGTCAGGCTCTTGGCGGGGTCAGTTGACTTGGAGAGATGGGGAAGGAGGGGATCCTGGAGATGTTATTGCACGCGGTGGGTCAGCACAAACGCGGAAATGAGCCTTGGCCGTCGTCAGCAGCATAGACGGCGCGAAAACTCAGCGGATTTACCCTGCTTCTGCTCCTTCCCAAAGGCTGGGCGCAGTCGGCCCAGTTTCCTGCGGTGCAGCCGGTGGGTCAGCAGTGGAGCATCGCTGGCCGCGCCGAGACCAAGCGTTCCCCGCCGTGGAGCCAGGCCAAGAAGGACAATAACTCGAGGAGGGGGTGCCTAGGGCGTAGAAATTATAAGAGTGCGCGCTGCTCCAGTGCGCGCTGCTCCATTCGGATTGCCCCAAGGTATTCATGATTATGAGACCAAACCGGAAATCTTCATCTCCTCCTTTCACTTCTCTTTGACTCCTGATCCCGCCAACATGTGGACGTCAACCTGCGGGTTGTCGGGCAAGCCCCTGCAGTGGGCCATCACCTTCACGGCCGTCATGGGTTTCTCGCTTTTCGGTTACAACCAGGGTATGATGTCTGGTATCATTGCCGGTGACGAGTTCGTCAAGGACTTCCCCGTTCTGAAGATGCCCGATGGCGCCGACTCGAACCACATGATCGACGTCTACAAGCACATCAACGTTCTGCGTGGTGGTGTCACCTCCTGCTACGAAATCGGCTGTTTCTTCGGTGCCCTCTTCTCCATGTTCTACGGTGAGGTCATTGGCCGCACTCGCCTGATTGTCATGGGTGCCACCATCCTCATCATTGGCGCCACCATCTCTTGCGCTTCCTTTGGCCCCCAGTGGGGTCTCGGCCAGTTCGTTGTCGGCCGTGTTATCTCTGGTATTGGCAACGGTCTCAACACTGCTACCATCCCGGTCTGGCAGTCGGAGTGTTCGTCCTCACATAACCGTGGTCTACTTGTTTGCTTTGAGGGTGCACTGATTGCGGTTGGTACCTTTATTGCCTACTGGGTTGTCTTTGGCCTCTCCTACGTCGACCAGTCTGTGCAGTGGCGTTTCCCTGTTGCGCTTCAAATCCTCTTTGCTCTAATTGTCGTGTTTGGTGCTTTGACACTCCCTGACTCCCCCCGTTGGTTTGTTATGCGCGGTTATAGCAAGGAGGCCTGCGAGGTTCTTGGCAAGCTCAAGCGCGAGCCTGCCGACTCGGATGTTATTCTTAGCGAGTTTAACTTCATGAAGGCGGATGTTGAAATGACCCGTGCTTCTCAGGCGAGCTGGAAGGTCATTTTTACCGGCGGCAAGACTCAGGAATTCCAGCGTCTTCTCCTTGGTTGTGCTGGTCAGTTCTTCCAGCAGTTCACTGGTTGCAATGCTGCCATCTACTACTCCACCCTGCTCTTCGAGGAAAACCTGAAACTTGACCACCGTATGGCTCTGACTATGGGTGGTGTCTTTGCTACTGTCTATGCTCTTGCCACTATCCCCTCATTCTTCATGATTGAGAGAGTCGGTCGTCGTAATCTCTATCTATTTGGTTGGTTTGGTCAGGGTTTGTCCTTTGTTATCACATTTGCTTGCTTGATTAAAGAGACTGAGGAGAACTCGAAGGGGGCTATTGTTGGCATCTTTCTCTTTATTGTCATCTTTGCTTTTACTATCCTGCCTCTGCCCTGGATCTACCCTCCTGAGATCAATCCTCTCCGGACCCGTACTGCCGGTGCCGCCGCCTCCACTTGTACTAACTGGATCACCAACTTCGCTGTTGTCATGTTCACTCCTCTCTTTGCTGCCACCTCCTCCTGGGGTGTCTATCTCTTCTTTGCTATTATGAACTTTATCGCCGTCCCGATCAGCTACTTCTTCATTGTGGAGACTGCTGGTCGTGAACTCGAGGAAATCGACATCATCTACGCCAAGGCCCATGTCGAGAAACGCTGGCCCTTCAAGGTTGCCCAGGAATTGCCCAAGCTCAGTATGGCCGAGATTACCCAGCAGTGCCAGGCGCTTGGACTCGACACCAACACTGTCGCCCCCCACCAGAGCGAGATCGGCCTCGGCAGCGGCTCTTCCAAGGACGAGGTCCAGGAGAAGCAGGGCGGGGATTAAATTACTCGTCGCTCTTTTCATTGAAAACTTACGCATCGCGACGGTTCTAACCACCCCCGATGCTCATTCGAATACCCCTGGCTACATGCATGTTTTCTTGCTCCCGCGTGTGCATGCATAGATCGTGAAAGATAGATTTGGTGTATCTCCATTACCTTTTCTTTTTTTGTGTGTTCTTGTTTTTGTATTCTATTTCTCCCTGTTTTCTTAATAATTCTTCTGTGTACACCTGGTCGAGTTTCATGTCAGCTGGCTGCGCGATCTTCCCCATATTCATGAGATTGGAACATGTGCAGCTATGATGCCCGAGAGGTTTTATGATCAATAACCGGCAGAGAATATACTTCTTCTTTCTCTAATCACTTGACAGTACCTATAGTCATGTTAAGCCTCGTAAGATCCGAATTATAACTTCACATAAAACCCACATTCTACGGAGTCTTGTTTGAATTTGATGTCCCAACCTGCCGGTTGTTAGCTGTTATAATGAACCTGCATAGTAGAGTGGCATAGCTGCACTGGAAAATCCGCACCGAACCGCACCGAGCGAATGCTGCGTGGGCAGACGCTTAGATCCTTCCCATGGCTACCGAACTGCGGCTCGTGTGCTGGCGAAGAGTTTGCCGCGTTTTCTGGAATTGCATCAATCAGTTCATACCTGGTGCTGTTCATCTTGTTTTATCTCGCAACGTACGGAAGGGATGGGCAAGCTCCTACTGCTCGCAAAGCGGTGCGACGCATGTCGCAGGCCCTGATTTTCGATCCTCATCTTGCTATGGGACACGGCAGACCTACTGGGGCTGAGAAAATTGAGGCAAAGCCCCGAGCGAAGATGTGACTGGTTGATTACCATGAATTATGGTTGCACCGCGCTACTTGAAAGCTCTTGGGTGATTTCATACGAAAGTGAATAATGCCCTGATGTTGATCGCTGTGAGATTCCTCGACAGACAAAAACATCGGGTCACCCCAGCTTAGTGGTCTGTCACGGATGTCGGTTACCATTTCAGACCATCGGCGTTAGTTAGCTGATGGTAAGTTTGATAATATCGATTGGCTCTCCATGCTTCTTTTGGGGCTTCTGTCTAAACTTCGAACCCTCCCCATCCATGGATCAGAGTTGGGATGCCTGTAAGATTAGACTCCCCATATTAAGATTGACAGTTCTTGGAATAAATCAATGGTATCACAGACCACCTCGTACTCGGCCTGTGAGACTTCTAAGTATACTCCTACGAAGGACCAGTGGACATCCGATGCGTACGATGTAGTCCAACACGATTGCATGTCGAATACCATCGGAAGTTGACCCTCAAAACCTGATGTCGAAAGAATCAATCCCGAATCCTACAAGCAACGCAGCTTCGTCTTAAGGCCCATGCGAGCAACAGGTGGTGTCGGTTTAAATACGTCTTCTTCATTAAAAGATTACAGCGTCATGGCTACTATGACAGATAATACATAACCCTCTTGATGCCCGCGGATTCCTCACGTCAATGTAACGAATTAGGTTATAAACAGGTCAGATCACTTCAATCACCACGTATTGAATTCAAACAGGCAGCTCCGCCGACGGACTCGACGGGTCCCGACCGTGAGGCGGCGGATGTGGGTATTGATGATGATCCCCCGGTAAGGAAAAGTGTTTGGTCACACCGGGGGATTCCAGCTCCACCGGTGCGGTGTTTGCCAGCTCCCCAATGGGATGCTCTCGCTGGGTAGGCAGCTCGTATATCGTTGGTGGTTTCGTCTCGGGGGCGGATGGCGTCGAGACGGCCTCCTCGACAGGTGCCTCTTTTTGCTTCCGACGCCGGCGAAGCCAGAGGTACAGTCCACCTACGATGATGCAGACCCCGGCCACACCGCCAACGGTGCCGCCAGCGATGGCTCCGACGGGGGTGGAATCGTCGTTTTCGGGGGTGCGACTGGGGGTTCGGGGTGGGGGTGTATACACACGCTGGAAGTAGGTGTTGAGATCGCGGTCGCCGAAGCCGCCCTTGGGAGAGGTCACGTTGGCTTTTCCAGATTCACTAGATAGGTCAGGACTGGTGTGGGGTTTGGGAGGGAGAGACGTACGATCCTCCGATGGCGGAGACAATCTCGGGAGGGACTTTGTAGGTCGTGAGATTGGGTCGGAACTGGTACCACGGCGCAGAGTCCGGGTTTTGTTTGCCCAGGTCCATGTTGTGCATGGCGTAGACGTTGGGCACGTCGCACATGGTGGTATTGGTGAAGACCCCGCCGATGATACTGACACAGATTAGAGATTGACTCATACGTTCGATACGTTCAAGGGGCGTACATCATCTGGGCGCCGTCTACGACATTGCACGACAGCGAGTGATGGGGATAGCCCGGGCCGGGCTCGGTGGGATACCTAATCTGTCAATCGGTCTCTTGGCAATAGATAGGACGAAAGACACACCATTTGATCCACTTGAAGGATGGGAGGGACAGGATATAGACGTCGTCGAAACCCACGCCTTCCGAGATCTCCGATCCCCCGTAGAGATAGATATTGTACGAGGAATAGTCGGACGCCCACGTCGCCCCGGCACAGAATCGTCTTCTATCCTCGGGGACTTGACCGGTTGCCTTTTGCGTGTACCATTTACTGTTGGCGATGTCGTACAGGAGGATTTCCTATTTCTTATCAGCGCTGTTGCCCTCCTTGAGACCCGACCGTGGGACATCTTACATTCATGGGCTGCGGAGTGACCTCCCCTGTTCCATCGGGCACCTGCAGGCCGCCGAAATAGACCAACATGCCGCGGTCGCTTGCGGGGAGATAGACCATCGCGCCCTCGGCGCGACCGATGGAGTCGGGGCCGGATGAATTGGTCCACGTGTGTTGGTCCATGTTGTACATCAGAAGGGATGATAGGGCCAAGGGCGGACGCGATCCCCACGAGGGCACCGAGGCGTTGGACAGCCATCCCCCGTAGTAGTAGGCGAACTCGCCGCCCTCGACTACGGCGCCGGCGCCGTAACCAGCTCGCTGGATGTCGCGGTTCTCGGGGTCAGTGGACATGGACTTCCACTTGCTGGAGGCGATGTCATAGGCCCAAAGAGAGAAGGAGTCAGGTTCGCCCTCGGAGTATTCGCCGCCGTAGAGGTAGAGGATTTTGTTGACGGGGTCGGTCCACAGGATGGCCCCGTTGACGTCGGGGACTTTGCCGGGCTTGCTCAGGTTGCTATGGAGGATGGGCATGCCCAGGTTGGTGACGTCGAGGTCTGCGTCGAGCAATGCGGTGTCTGTAAGGGTCAGATTGGATCATCTGCAGGGGGGTAAGAGGGGGTGAGAGACTGGTGTAGTTCTTGGGATCTTGCGGGAGGGAGCCATGATTGACGAAGCCGCCATCGACGTAGATTCTGAGGAGTTTAGTGACTGGATGTTGGTAAGTAGAGGGGTTGATGATGGCACCTTCGATCAACAACGGCCGCTTGATGACCAAAGATCCGACAGAATGAGTCGAGGGGATCTTTGGGCTGCTGGCTCGACAGGGCGATCCAGACCGGAACGATCGCGGCCACTCTCGTCCACCTCATCTGGGATGTTCTGTGGATGGGGTTACTTGGCGTCCATGAGGAGACTGAAGGAGGCTTGAATAAAGGATGTTGTATATTGATGTGGATAGGGTAAGGATAGAGATTGTTTGTAAGAACTGGGGCTGGAGAATGGGCTGGAGACTTGGCTGCGGATTGGGGCTGGTTTGGGCTCGGATCTTGTGGACAAAAACACCAGAAACAGGCGGGAAACAGGAAAATCAAAAGAAGAAAAGATGTGCCAAGGATTCACAACGTTCAGCTGGGAGGATGTGGCCGGCAGGATGCAGAATTAGAGGAAAAGGCGTGCTGGGACGCCTGAAAGAGGGGCTGCCCACCAGTCAGATGCCACTATTCCCATCTTCTCGTCCTTGCTTCTCCTCTCCAATCTGTCGGTTTCTCCGCCTCTTGGCTTATATTTTTCTAAGCAGGAGGGACAGTTCTCACAATGCAGTTGATTGAGTATAGAATGAGAGGAGAATGGTCTAGCTGAACGGAGATCCTGCGGACATCGTGGTGTTCTAGTCTCCATAGGGTTGATCTTATCACTGATCCTGTGAACTGACCCTTTCACTGATCCTTTGACTGATCCTTTGGACTAGATCTGTCGCCTGAACTGTTTTCGGGCGTCTGTTCATCTTTTTCCCCTTTTGGATCGAGTCTCCCACCATTTGAGGAATAGCACGTGTGGTACATCCCCACTGGTTAACCATACAGATCAAAATAGAGGAGATGGGGTACTTCATACAACTTCACGTCAGGTCATCGAAGAAATCCCCCTCGATTGTCCATTAGTTAGCCAAATAAGCCATACTCAGCTTTTGTCACGGACTGTTCCAGTCAGTCAATCTCCGGTTGATACATCAGACGGTCTGAACGCAGGATCGAGCTGTCTCATACGAACGGCCGAATCGAGTATGAGGAGCAGGGTGGGTCAGCGCGTACAGGAGAGTCATCGTGTCACCCACAGAGCTCTCCAATCTCAGATCCTCCAGCGGTGGACAGGGAAACAACTTCCTCCATCCAATCAATTGGGCTAACAGGTGGTGGGCGCCGTCGTGGCGTCAGATTGTGGATCCCACGCTCTCCGCTCGCCGCCGTCCAACACGGAATGGGAACGATAGTGAGAGAAGAATAAGGCTGGCTTAGCAGGGAAATCCTCGTTAGTCTACGCCGCGTCGTCAAATCAGCACTAGCATCATACGACAGACACTGATAAGCTTTTGCTTGAATCCCAAGAATATGACAGCTCCAAGATGGGTTTCAGGAGGAGGACAGAAAGGAGACGCGAGTTAGGTCTTCTGGACTGAAAACCTAGTCGAGTTCTTCATTCTCTGTACTCAATCACTTTTTCTCCATCACTGAAACCATGGATTGAACGATGCACCCCTGTTTGCTCTGGTCTGGATATCAATCGTCAGCATCTGCCCCTCCCCTCCAATCATGGCCAACCGATCAGTCCGATCCAGTTCTGTTCGCTGCGCCAACGCCAGTGACCTGGTCTTCTCATATCTCCCCTTACCGTTCCATCGCTTAGCGAGGATCCGAGTGTTAGTCTGGTTACAAAACCAATCCGAGCGGTCAGTGTCTGAGACAGAGGTATAAGTGAGACGACGATATCAAGCTACACAGCAGCCACAGGCAGACAGCTGTCCTCCTATACAACACGATAAATCATACATTATTAAGGATCGATTATGTCACATCACGCATGGGTATCTCCATTATATCCACCCAATCCAACCGTCCAGCTCCCCCCGCATTATGTACAGTCCCGGTTCGTGATACCCGAAGAGTGAGAGTCGTTTCGAATAAATAAAAGGAACGCAAAGGAGAGAGTGCGAAAGCACGCTAGACAACATCCGCGCCTAGACTGCTCCTATCTGTCGAGCTCCGTCGATACTTGATGAACTTGGGCCACGTGTTGGTCAAAACCAGGTACTTAATACTCTCCTCGGCATCGTCGAACACGCTTGCGCTAAACCCCGCCGGTACCGCGCCCGAGTACATCGGCGCGCTCGAGAGGAGCGTCTCACCCCCTTCACCAGACCCGGTCGGCGAGGGAGGCACGTCGAAGATGCACCCGTCGAACGGCGTGGCGGGGTCCGTCGCCGCGTGTTCGCCATAGACAAGACGCGCGGGCGCCTCGAACACGCGGTCCAGTTTCCGGACATCCTGCGACGAGAGGTTGACGGGGAATTCGGCGTGCGCGACGCTGACAAACGTCACATAGATGTGCAGGGCGCGGCGGAAGGCGTCACGGAGGAGCGGGTCGTCGGGGTCGTCGGACGTCGGACCTGATGGCGGCAGCCAGGTGGCTTTCCATGCGGTGACGTGGGTCAGGAAGGCGACGTTCTCGCCGGAGAAGTCGTGAAGTGCGGCGAAGTGCTGCAGCGGGGCGGGGTTGCGGTCCAGGACGAGCTCCAGCGCGCCCATGGTCAGGATGCTGTCGCGGGCGCTGCTTTTGGTCTGAGCGGAACCGGTGGAGGACTGGTGACCGCCGGACAAAATTGAGTCGACTGCCGTGGTGACCTCGCTGATAGCCGTCCCCTCTTTGTCGACGTGGTGTTTGGCCTCCCACTGGGCGATGGCGTCGAGCGTTTCTTGACAGAGAGTCTGGTGGCGCATCACTTCCCAGCAGGGGAGAAAGACGGTGAAGATCTCGAGTCCGATTATGGAGAGACAGATCCTAGACTGTCAGTACGATTCCATTTCTCATCTACTATGATAGGACTAACCACTGCGGCGGAATAAAGTACTTGTTCACCACCTCCATGGCAGGAACGTAAAGCGCGATGAGCCACATGGGCGTGGCAGGGAGACTGACAAGCACGCAGCCGATGGTCTGCGTGCGCCAGCCCTGCGTATCGCGGATGTGACGCGCCCTCCAGAGAACGATAGGGCCCACGATCCAGGCCCAGAAGAACTGTCCGACGATGGTGGACCACCTTGCTAGTTAGCAGAATCTCCAACTCGGACCCGGTGTTGCGCTTACCACTCCCAGCCTTGACCCATAGCTGTCAACTGCTCCATCGGGGTCCCGTGTACCTCGGTGCCTGGGATGCCCCAGGTGCGATGAAACTTGCGGGAAATGAGCCACATGAGCACGGTGAGAAACAGCTGCAGGACGATGGCGATGCCCACGATGATCAGAGACCGCGTGGTGTAGCCGCGACGGCGAAAGCGGCCCATCCAGCCGTCACGGCGCGAGGAATCCGTCATCGGGGCGACAAACGGGTCGTCCGGGTGGGCGTATCGCTTCTGCATCTGGGCGACATGTAGGAACCGGGTGTTCGAGGCGTGAAACAAGGCCATTCCGCAGGGCAGGTAGGTGCCCATGAGCCAGTACTGCGCGTCGCCGGGCATGATGGGCCCGATCATCGTGCCGAACTGGAGACTGGCCCAGTAGATATGGAGGAACACAATGGCGCCGAGCGAGAGACCGAGACCGCGGATGCGCAGGATGGGCGACCGACGACGGGCGATGAGATAGGCCACGCCGGCCACCACTGCGGCCGTCCAGACGCCGGCCCAGCATGCCCACCAAATACTGACTGGGTCGTATGATGGATGAGGTTGGGACTCAGCGGTGATGCCCAACTCGGAACCCATGGTCAGCCCTGCGCAGATATCAAATGAAGGAAAGAAGAAAAATTAACGAGCGTGTGAGAAGTTGGGTCTGCAGAGCTATTATCCCCCACGAGGACGAGACCAGCTCGTCTTAAGGATGGAGCCCTGACTCAAGGCGGACCAGGCGGACAGACGATGAAATGGAAGGATATCAAAGCCAACCATCAGGGCACAGGCCGAATAGAGTCGATTGGCCCGGTTCGGCCCCACTATTTGGAATGAATTGACCCCCAAAATCTCTGATCGATCGCACTATTGACTCCTTGTGCAAGTTGATTCGTCGCGGGGGATCCACCACCACGCGCAACACCTCCATGTGTTTGTCTGTCCGGACTCCGGACGAGACGAGAACAATGCTTCTGTGAATGTTTATCCTGGCATCTATCCACGTGGAGCTATAAGCCACCACTCCCTGTCCAGGTAACTTGATATTCCCCATGTATCGAGCTCGACTGATGATGTACACACTGTGGATCAGAGGGTGTAGACCCCCGAGTCGTGTACTACTGTAGAGGAAGACTGTATCATAGAGGCCCAAAATCCTTGTCGGTCTCTCCGCCAACATGACTCCTTAGCGAACAAAAGAAAACGAGCTAACAAACCTAAATGAATGCCCCGATCGGAGGATACCCCGCGCTTCAGACAGGGGAAGCTGACAGGGGGAAGGAAACGAGGCTGGATGAAAGGATTCATATTAGCCAGGATCACACGCCATTCGCTCGACGGTCTCTGTTTTCTTTGTCTCTGTTTGAAAGACGGAGTATGTTCTCGGTGATCATCGGGGAGAATGTCGCTGGACAACCAGGGAACCCTACCGGTGGAGACCCTAGACCCTAGTGGGACCAGGATGGGGCCCCTTTCCTAATCAATATTTGCCAAGCAGATAGAATGGGAACCGGACTGGGACTCGTGGATCATCCACATTCACCTTTTGGATTATGACTGCGGTCTCAAGGGACGACCAGGGCAAGGATCCTGCAAGAACAGCGTGATATTGTTGGGCAATCATGGGACAAGTTACACTATTAAGTATCATGATGTCTCATTTGAGCAACTAGGATGGCTAGGTTTTCTCCAACGTAAGACTGACACGTTAAGATGCGGCGAGCTGCAGACAGCAATGATTAAATACTGGGGCTTCCTCAGGACCATGAGGCCGGCTTCGTGCATGATCTTATTACAGATCCACTTGGGCTAATTGATCTGCAGGGGGCCTTGAAAAAAACCTAATTAGATTAGCTGAAATGAAACCTGGTCAAGAAGAAATTCTGTGGAGAGATACTCAAGAAATGGATAAAGCTATAAAACCAAGAGGCTGAAACCCCGGCTGATTAGGTCTGTTGGAATTGCAATCAGGAATTTCATCTGATCGAATCATGTCCGTTGGGTTGAGAATCATACTGGGATGTCTTGATAGATGCAGTCATCGACCAAATATTGATTATGATAGTCATGATCACCATCACTACTGGACAAGACTGTCATCAGTCCCAGTTACTATTCCCCTAGTGAATATCATGCACAGGGTGGACCCAGCAAGTCTTTGACTTTCTTTAAGCATATTGAATAATATGTATTGCTATTCCTTATATCTGCAGATAGCTCTTGATCTACTCCGTACATTCAAGCTCTGTTATTCAATATTATCTACCAGGTTTTACCGTTTTATTGGCATCTCACAGCATGGTATAATGTCTCAAGTGGTTTCATGATATCAGGCCCCTCCTCACTCCTTCCATCAGACACTTTGATTGTCCACGTAGAAGGATAGTTGATCAATTCGTGGTGACTTCTGAGCAGTATCATTCTTTTCTGTTGGTCATAATCATACCCAGGCCAAATAGGTTGGAAATTGAGACCCTACCACTTGCTAAATGGTGTTGTTGCTTGGATGGTCAAGATAATACATGCTAACACGGATCATGGATAAAATCATTCACTATGATTTATGATGGTGCCGATCAAGGCATCAAATCATTTGTCCAGTAACTCTTGAATTGTAATGAAGAATTGTCTACAGACTAGATAACCAGGAGAAGTTTATACACGGGCTCATCCCAGCAAGTCAAATCCTACAGGAACCTTTCTAAGCCTGGTCTAATTCCCGTGCTGCAGTCAACTAATCATTATCTCTACCCAGAACCATACATACACCCAACTCACAGGTCAATGGACGTGACTTTCCATAATTCATGACATTACAGCTAGATGATATGCGGGAAAAATACTATTCTAATTCTCTCATCGCGACTGGCACAGGCGCAACTGTTCGTGGCCACATCCAAAGGACAACTTACACAAACAAGTGAATACTAGCAAGCAAGATAAAAAACTGGGAGAGACTTGATATTTAGATTCTGATCTGCTAGTAGCAATTGTTCACAATCTCCTGGCATGCATGCAAAGTAATCACGAAGGCTTCATATCACATCGCTTCTACAATTATTGAGGGAACATGTTGCCCGTCTATTATGTCCCCACATTCTCTCACATGATCCTGATACCCAGTTATGGTATACTTCGTGTTGGTCGATGATAATGATGAGATTTGCAAGCAATGCAGTGAAGACCCCATTCGGGCGATGGCTGTTGGCTGTTGAAGCACGGAGCACGTATGATGCCCATGAAGCGCCTGGGGTTAGAACAGTGCCCATCGAAGGGGTCTTCCTATCTGGGAGGCTGCAGACGCGTTCCACCTGTGCTTCGACGAGATACTTCTGAATTATTATTCTCCAGTCTCTTGTTTATCATTTCGGACACGTATTTTTCCATGGAATCAACCGTGCCGTGAACGGTTATTCCAGCTTGTCGTGCAGCAGAACAGTCGACTAGGGTTTCACGTCGTCGGCATTTGATCGCTCGAGGCGAATAACAGCCAGGGAAGCTTTTCATGTGAGGCAGACGCGCTATATGTTTGGAGTCAAGTCCGAACTTGCGTGTTACATCCCTCCGCGGTAGGGTAAGGTAGTCGGCCCTCGCAGTAAAGCATAGAATGACCAGGTATAGGTATTCGTCGAAGTCGCCACAACTGTCGCACTCGGCCGTCGATAAAGACTTGTACAGGTCCTGACAGGAAAAGGATTGCGCGGATTCTAGGTTGAGGCTGCCGCGAATCAACGCGGGTGCGTGAACGAGGATGCGCCTAAACTGTGGTATCGCGTTCGTTACTAGCCTTGCTCTCTTGTTGACGCGTCGGAAAACAGTCAGCGACCACACGTCAAGGCGGACGAGCGCCAGGTCGACGATTTCAACAGGGGGTTTTTCGAGAGTCCCAAGGCCATAACGCGAGCCATTTGGATCGGGATCAAGTCGTATATCCACATGTGAAACCTTGTCATGTCATCTAGAGTGTTGTCCTTGATATCTAGGAGAATATAGGTCGATTCACTTGTTTTGTGGATCGCCGACATAGATACATTGACCGCCCGTATGGTTTCGATCGCATAGCGGGCGAAAATAAGGTTCAAACACCGTTATCTGGTATGTACGTCGACGACCAAGGGCTGAAGGGCATATATCAAGAGGTCACGTGTGATATGACTAATCGTCATGGAAGGTGTGTACATGTGGGCTTCCGATGCGTGCCCTTTATCCAACCAGCACGCTGTTCTAAAGTTAAGATGTCAGGTGTCTGACTACTACTAATGACTAGATGTTATGAGAGGAATGATGAAACGATCAAAAATTTTGATGATATTGATAAATCTTAGGACCTGAAAGAAGGCGCGGATAGTTGCAAAGCCATGGGGACCGGGATATATATACACGTGTGATTGTAAAAGAGAAGGCTGCAAGTCAGCTAACAGGCCGGCCGAGTACCTGTCCCACTGTTCAACAGAGATAACAGTCTTTTGACCCAGTGGTATCTGGCAAATGAAAACTAGGGCACAACAGTAGACCAAGTATAACCAAGAGGATCTTATATAAGGATTTATCCAGGCAAATCATCCAAGAATGTATCCGACTCTGCTTTGAGAAAACAATTCTTGTACGTAGAAACTCTATTATTGGTCTGCATCATCAGAGTTCAAGATCTGACAATCTATTATATCATACTGCTGGGCATGTCCAGAACAATGACGACAGTTGAATGACAAGCTACAGTATATCATTGCAGGTTCACAACACTCCAGTCCACCTCCAAGAAAGGATGACGCAAGTCACCCAAGCACTTCCCCAACGCTACAATTATCGAGTGTCAAGAGAGGAATACCGTGTCAATACCTAGCCGGTGGCAAGAACGCTGGGCCAAGAGCACAGAATGGTGCATGCGAAAAATTGACTCTCGGTCAGGGAGTTTAGTTGACAATCCATTCCCACACGTTCAGACAAGAGCTTTGAGATACGAGAGACTCATTGATCTTTCTTCCCCGCAGGCTGGGCTTGATCATAATGAATGGTAGCTATGGGTGGGATGGATTGACCAACGCATCCCTACAGCGCGAATTCTTTAGTTGGATGGTCTCACTCGGGGAGTCACGGAGTGTCCGGGCGAACTCCCGAGCGCATAAACGGCTGACGATCGGCAAGCCATGGCTGGCCTGGTCTGGGGTTAACAAGCCTGGAGTTTAGCCCACTTGTCTCTCACGCTCTCACTATCAAACTCAGAAGCGCAAAGATGGATGCGGGAGGGGGGAAACACGGGTGATGGCGTGTGTGACCGCGCGAAGAGCTCGACACTGAGTGGGGACGCCTTGTTGGGGATGGCCCAATTGACTCCCATGGATGTCCATGAGCGACCGCATTTTAACTGCTCTGGTGATAATGGATGATGCTCCGTTCGAATACTTACCACCCCGACCACCACGCTTGTCTCTGCTGCTGCTCTTGTCCGGCCGTGAGGATAGCTATGGCGGACTTGTCACTTTTGAAGAGACATTCGCTGGACTTCGACTGCTTCCGTTCGGGGTAGACAGTCTCGATGGTGTTTCGCGCTGCTTCAAATATTGCGGGATGGAATTGAGAGGCTACTCGAGATGAGAATCGAATTGTGTGAACCTGCGGATCGCCGATTCTGAAATGGAGGGTTGATCACGGTCCCACGGGGAACAACGAGAACGCTCAAAACTGGTTTTTTCGTCGGGATATGCGACTGGAAGGGATCGACAACGCGTAGGATGGATATTATAAACATTTGCCCACGGGGAACCAATGAATCCACCAACACTAAACCGAGCCAGGAAGGGACCGAGGCACGTCCACCCACATGCACTGCTGATCTTTCTCCTTTGACACCAAGCTTTTCGCCCTGGGAATCAATCCTAGGTAATAGCGTCAATGCTAGTTCCATTCCACGTCAGAAGGCGACCAACCTGGTTTGGGGGGAATTAGTATCCTGGAATCCCTGCGTCGAAATCTTCTGCCTATGTCCTGGCTGAACGACGTGATGGTGACTGGGTCTCCCGCCCGAATGAAGCAATTGATGGACTTCAATTGACTCCAGACTCCAGACTCCAGAGACGGGACGCCCCTGGGGCCACTCTCCATGTGATCGACCATCACTATGTTATCATCGGACGACTTTTGTCTGAAGACCCACCCGCCCCCCGTCCATCTTAAAGCATGGGCATGCCCACCGGGCAGCGTCTCTTGAGTCGGTTGGGTCACCCATTTGCTTTTCCTGTCGACCGTCGGATACCTTGCGGCTAGGACCAACTCCCCGGTTTCTTCACGCCATCAACTTCACGCACTTTGCCGTCTCGCAATCATGGCTCGCACTGGATGGGTGACGCCCATCCGGCTCTGCCAGGTCCTCCTGGGCATTGCCATCTTCGCCCTGATCATCTACAGTAGGTCTCCTCCAGTCTTCCCGGGCTCGCATAAGCCGGATACTGACCGAGTACAGCATTGGCGGTCTATAAATTCGACAATGCGACGAAATTCATGCTGTTCCTCGGCATCTGGACCGGCTTTATCGCGCCGTCCTATCTCGGTCTGGCCCCGGTGCACTTTCCCCGGCTCGCCCACTACCTGGTCATCCCCGTGGTGGAGATCAGCACGTTCATCATGTTGCTGGTGGGCCTTATCTTGAAGGGTGTGGATCTGCCGCCAGCCAGCGACTGCAAATTCGCTGCTTGCGAGGCGACGCAGGCGGTTGTGGTTATCACCGCCGTTGAATGGTATGCTATGCTTCTTTCCTTCGCGTGGATTCTCACCCGGTTGCATTTATCTAACCTGGATCCTACTCACAGTGTCCTCTTCCTCGCCACCTCGATTCAATCAATCATCGATGCCCGACGGTTGCACGACAAGACCGTCGCGAAGGAGCAAATCGTGCAGACTGCCGCCGCGCGGGAGGGTGCTCCTGAGACGACGCAGGCGACGGAGACGGTCTAAGGGATGGCATCTCCCGAATCCGCATGTTGGCTCGTTCGAAACTATCGCGGACAGTCGTATAAATGCGGAGGACAACTGTCGTCCCTGGAGTGACTTGATTTTGGCAGGCAGGCCTGATCAATGACTGATGCGTTCACGTATTAGACTCATGATGATGAATCTCCTGGTGTATCTAATCTTGGTCGATGGAATCCGTGTCATGGATCCACCATAACCATAATGATGGCCCATCCAACAGAATGGATGGTGATATATAATAAAATTAATCTTGTTTCCACTGACTGATGATCCTGGATGGAAGATAGAAGACATAAGGCAACCAGGCCAATATCCGATCATACAAAACAAAACAGGCAAACAAGTCACCTGTTCATCCAAATCATTCATCCTCGTTCTCTCTCTCTCTCTCTCCTCAGCTTCTTTTTTCCCTTCCTTGCTCTCACTTTCTCCCCTCGCCATCCATCCTCAACGATCCATCCGGTTTGGTCCATATCGCATCCATTAATCCTTACCTCTATGGTCAAAGAACAGAAGAACTCGACGTGTCCAAGAGTCATCCATCAAAAGAACAACCACGGGATCGACTGTGATCAAATGCACCCAGGAGGAACCCACAAACTTCCAGACTATGCTCCGACGCGATGATCCCAACCAGAGCCATCCGTCCGCCGATGCTTCGCTCTTGTCGGCGTAGACCAGCGAATCCCGAGTTCCCTTACCATGGCGGGGCGGGATTCCGCCCTAGCCAATGACGAGGGTGAGGAGTTTGATGAACAATAAACCGATTAGGCTCAATACCACGTACTTAGCCCCACCGGATCTTACAGTCGGCGAGACAGAATATTCAAGAAGAGCGAGTAGTGATAGCGGGTCGCGATGGCGTCCTGAGACTCCGGAACCATCTCATCCTCTTGATCTGGGACGATTATCTCCGGGCAGAAAGCAGTGCGACAGGCCATTCACATCGCTTCCCTCGCGAGTCTAGATACTGCAGCAAAACACCCGTCCGGGAATGTAGTCTCAAGACTATTCTCTTTCCAACATAGTCCACCAACCTGGGAAGATACGCCTGAAACCAACAGATCGTTGCTACTGAAAAATATCCACCTCGGCCGACTTCTGTATCGGCTTCCACCGGCCCTAGCGCGGGGTAATGGAGCCGGTGTGGTGCTTGCCGAGATTAGGGGACTTTCCCCCGCCCTAAAATGGCACCATGGTCGAATCGCGGTGCACTCCACACCGATTGGGGTCTAGTCCGAGCCGACTCTGCCTCTACAGCCTTCACCAAGGCCCATTCTTGACACCATTCATACCTCCCCGACCCGTTCTCGATGGGGTCCTGGTGGCGTCCGTGGCCGTAGGGGGCCATCATCCACTCAAGCGGAGGCCTCTTCTCCATTGGGAAAGTATCCCGCGGGGATCACAGTGGACTGGAACATGTATAAAGTAAACCAAGAACCCGACGGGCTCTGTTGATACCCAAATCGCGATTCCGTCGTTTGTCCCCTATCGTACCCGCCTTCCCCGCATCAAGATGGTCTACCCCGACACCTTCGAAGGCTTCATGGTCAATTCCCATGAGGAGTGGACCAAATTCCAGAAACAAGAGGTAATTCGGCCTGGGCCAATTTTGAAGCCCTCCCACTAAGCCTCGTGTTGTGTAGTTCAAGCCAAAGCCCCTCGGGGAGCGTGACGTGGACATTGCCATTGAGGCGTGCGGCGTGTGCGGCAGCGATGTCCACACCATCACCGGCGGTTGGGGCCAGGCCCACCTGCCCGTCTGTGTTGGACACGAGGTGATCGGTCGGGTGATTGGAGTCGGCCCGCAGACCTCGACGGTCAAGGTCGGAGATCGCGTGGGCGTCGGTGCCCAGGTCGGGGCGTGCCTGGAGTGCAAGATCTGCAAGTCGGGCAATGAAAACTACTGCCCGCATCAAATCGGTAGGCATATCCAAGTATCCCTGGCCCAATGACCCATCATTCTGACCAAGGAGCAGATACCTATAACTGCTACTATCCGGACAAGTCGATGGCATACGGCGGCTATGCCAGCCACATTCGGGCCCACGAGTACTTCGTGTTTGCCATTCCCGACAGCATCGAATCCAGCATCGCCGCACCCATGCTGTGTGCGGGCATCACCTGCTACAGCCCTCTTTCGCGCGCCAAGATCGGACCAGGCAAGACGGTTGGTGTGGTTGGAATGTAAGTGCCGCCTCGCAACCTCTGGAACTATCCCCAACTAACATGACGTCTAGTGGTGGACTCGGCCATTTCGGCATCTTATTTGCGGCTGCCATGGGAGCCGATGTCTACGCCATCTCGCACTCCCCCCACAAGGCGGAGGACGCCAAGGCCCTCGGGGCAAAAGGCTTCATCTGCACCGCGGAAGAGAAGTGGCACGAGCCGTGGAAGCATACATTTGACTACATCCTCAACACGACAGACGCGACGGATCGCTTTGACCTGGGCGCGTACTTCGGCACTCTGGCGATCAACGGGACCTTCCACACGGTGGGCATCTCCGATCGCCCATTCCCACCCTTGAAAACGCAGGACATGATGTCGACCGGGTGTGCGATCTCCGCCAGTCACATCGGCAGCCGCACGGAGGTGCAGGACATGTTGAAGCTGGCCAGTGAGCAGAACGTGAAGAGGTGAGCAGTTGTCAATCTTCCCCTTCTTTAGGTGTGGAAGGTATGCTGACTAAATCTGACTATATACAGTTGGGTGGAGACCATCGATATCAGCGAACAAGGGTGCAAGGAAGCCGTCGAGAAGGTGTACAACGGCAAGGCCCGGTACCGGGTGACTCTGGTAGGCTATGAGAAGGTTTTCGGGGGCAGATCCTAAGATAGACTTGTAGTAGCTGGACTGAAAGAGACACGAGCCATAGATTATGATAGACGAGACTCAAATAGACATGCAATGCATTTCTGGGTGTGGTGACTGTGATTCAGACTTGATGGGATGTTGCCTGTTCCAGTATCACTACTAGAGATGAGTGATTCCACACCTCTACGCGAGGAGTAGATAACGATTGTCATGTATTTCACAGGCTAGAGTTAACCTTTTGGTGAGGCCGTTAAAAGCCATGATAATTCAACCCCGCGGTGTCAAGAGGCTCATCGAAAGGTCGTCATGATTCATACCGTGCACTCAGTAAAGCCATCGCATCGAAAGGACACCATGGTTCGTACCATGCACACAGTAAACCCATCATCGACCAAGCTCACCCCCTATCCAGCAGCAAGAAAGAAAACAAGATAGATTAAAAGAACCTCACTCGGACGGACGACGCGCCTCCCCACCCTCAGCATCACTCTCATCAACCACCGCCCAGCGCTTAAATTGTCTGGCCGGGAGCCGTCTTTCAAACATTTGATCGATCTCGATGGGGCTGCGATTCTTCATCTCGGGAATGAAGAACCACACTCCCAACCAGGTAACGATACAGAGCCCGGTGTAGACGAAGCCAGTCCGAGCGCGCAGGTTTCCCTTATCCGGGTTGAAGATATACGGCAACACGACGCCAAAGACCCCGTTTGCGAAGCAGTTCGTGAACCATCCTAGGCCTTGGGTCTTGGCTCGCAGGCGGAGGGACGATGCTTCTGCGCTGACGGCGTATGATGCTGGCCAGGCGCCGGCGCCACAGACTCCTATTACGGCCCAGGTTATGGCTGCCGTCCACCTATACATCACACAACGTGTTAATTACTAGAATTATAGGTGCAGGTATGAGGCAAGGCATACCAGACGGGGACAATGCCGGAGAAGCAACCCGCAATTCCCATCGTCGTCCAGAGAACGGTAGTGATGCCCAGCCCAGTCAGAAGAAGCGGGACGCGCCCGAAGCACGACAGCGTCCAGAGACTAAGGATATTAGCAGCGAGGCCAATGCCAATGCCCACCTCCAGACACATGAGACTATTATCTGCGTTCATACCCACGATCTGCAGGAAGTAGCTTGCGCGCGCGAGGAGCACCAGACCGAACAGGACAGGCACGGCGCTGGCGTACACGACGATCATGGTACGACGCAGGTTGGTGCCGCGGAAACACTCGCGGTAGGTGGTGGGGTGGCTGTTGGCCTGCTCCTCTTCGAGGCGGATTGACAGACGCAGTTCGTCGATTTTGGCTTCCACGTGGGCTCCTGCGCCGCTGAGACGCTGCTGCGCGCGGCGAGCGTTATCGATGCGGTTCTTGCGGATGAGGTAGGTGGGGCTCTCCGGGATGAGGATAGCGACAACGAGAGGGAGCGCGGAGAAGGGCCACTCGGAGATGAAGCAGCGACGGTAGCCGATGGAGGAGAGGTGCTTGGCTTGGCTTTTGACGACGACGCTGCCGATGAGCTGGCCGAGGAGAGTGAAAAGCGGGAAGAAGGAGAGGATGGGGCCGCGGAGGGTGCGGGGGAGGACCTCGGACATGTAGGTTTGGACGGTACACATTACCATGTTGACTGCGAAGCCTTGGACGAACTTGGCGAGGAAGAAGACTCCGCGACGGGTGTCGATCTCGTCCGAGAGGTTAGACACGTAGGCCACCGCGACGCCTATGGCGGATATGATAGTTGCGAGAGCCAGGGCGAAGCGACGGCCTCGTCTGTCCTGCACGAAGCCCGCCGTGATGGATCCGATGATGCCGCCTATGGGGTTGGCCACGTTCCAGAGACTGAGCCACATGGAGGGGATGATGAGTTTTCCGTTGAGGGTGCTACCATAGTCGCGTCTGGAAGAGTTAGATACAAGATTCTCCCCTTCGCCATTGCTGTGGAGACCCATCGTGGACGGTGTCCTGGGGATAGAAGGAGGAGAACTCACTGGAATGCCGGCATCGAGGAGACATTTCCGACAATCACTAGGTCATAGCCATACAGCACGATGCCCGACGCCAACGCTAGACAGTACGCGACGGTCTGTTTGGACTGCTTGATCTGGGTCAGGAGAGAAGAGCTGCCAGGGAGCGCCATGGTGAGGGCATCCATGTTGCCGTCCTGAGGGACGGGAGATTTCTCAGGATCCTTCATGAGGGCGAGATTGTTGCCTCTAGTGAGATGAGGAAGTAGTTGACCAGAAGGAGATAAGGTTGCAGTCGAGCTAATCACTGGTGGAAAAGACAAACAGTGAATGTCCAGAAGCAGGTGACTTCTTAAACCCTGACACGTCGACGTCCCCTGTCACTGCAAGACAGTGAAACCGCTCTGTCCTCCCCCGGGATAAACAAGCTCCTTGAATGCCATGGTGGGACATCTGGATGACCCGGTTACTCTCCTTCGACTCTGCAAAACGAAAAGCGTCAGTCGTGGCACCTAAACCGAGGTGGACCCGAGCCACGAGACAATGAAAGATAAACCCCCCGGACACCATCTCGACGGGTTTTGAAGAGAATGTCACCAGATTCCGGTCCTTTCAGTCAGACTCTGGAGAAAAGCACCGCAGCCACACCCAGTAGCCACCCGGGGAGTCGATTGGTGGACCAAAACTATCCTAGACCTGGTTCCGGTGCTGCATAAACTCTGCAGATCGGCTGGGCCCAAGCAAACCACGACGGTGAAGGTCACTCGACGACGGAGTGGTACTGTGGGGCCTGGCTAGCAGCCTGATGTAGGACAGACAGCTTCTTGGTTCGTTTTGTTCCGAGTTGGTGGTGGATCCAGAATGAGCGTATTGGATGCAGATTGTTTGGAACGGGGCTTATAGTTTCATTCCGCTGGAGTCGCTCGCTGGCGATCGTATTAATTTGGGTGTTTGTTCTAGAACCAGACACCCGTGCAAGGAACAAAGACAGACACATTCTAAGAACATTCCATGACTTTTATTTGGTACATGTGGCTATGGGTCTAACTGTTCCGGGGATAAGGTTACCCGCCTACTGCTAGCTATCCATTGTTCCCTGCCGCTGCAATTGGAGGCGCATCCTCGGCGGCCACTTTCCTGAGGGTCTTCGCCGTGGACAGATGATGATTGCGGTGGCCCACCTGGCCCACCTGGTCGCGCACATTCTGCGCCAATGCGATGGTCGCGTGGGGGAGCCCGGCAAGTTGGGCCACTTTCAAAGCATGCGACTGGTGGTTGACCCCCCGCCGAAGTCGGTGCACAAAGGAGAAGGACCCAGAAGCTGTCTCCTTCACGTCTGTACAGTACCGTCCCAAAGCCTCAAAGTCCCGCGTCATATCTGACAAGGCGTGAAAGTGGGTCGCAAACAGCGTTCGACTTCGGTTATGGTAGTGCAAGTGGTGCAGGCACGCGAAGCTCACGGCCGTCCCGTCTTCGGGCGTCGTCCCGCGACCGACCTCGTCCATGATGACGAAGGACCGGGGTGTCGCGTTGCGGAGGATCGCCGCCGTCTCCAGCATCTCCACCATGAAGGTGGACTGGTCGCGGAAGAGGTCGTCCGCTGCTCCGATGCGGCTGAAGATCTGATCGACAATGCCAATCTCGGCGTAGGACGCAGGAACGAACGACCCGACCTGGGCCAGGATCGTGATCAACGCGTTCTGCCGCAGGAACGTACTTTTCCCGGCCATGTTGGGCCCGGTGATCAGCCAGACGCGCTCCGTGTCCCCCAGGAAACAGTCATTGCTGACGAACCGCCGGCCCTGCTCTTCCAGCCCAAGGGTGACGGTCGGGTGTCGGCCCCCCACTATGCGGTGCGACGTCCCGTCAGTGAGGATCGGACGGACTAGTCGCTGCTCTTGCGCCAGAGTCGCAAAGGAGCAAGCCACGTCCAGCTCATCAATCACGGCGGCGTTCCGTCGGATCTTCACGAGGTTGAGAATCACCTCGCGGCGCAAGCGCTCGAATATCAGCAGTTCCTCCTGTCGGATCTGCGCCTTGACTTGGTCTATCCGGACGCCCAGTTCCGTCCACGTGGGTAAGTAGAAGGATCGGGTAGACTTAGTGGACGAAACACTTCGCGTGACCCCTAACGCCTCCAGGGCCTCCTGGGAGATCCTGGCACCCTTGACATGGCATATGTGTCCCAGTCCAGGGGTCCATTTCAACGTCAGCGCAGAGGATCCGACCGATTCCTGAAGCTCCTGAGTCAACGCCACGCTTTCATCCTGCAGGTGGTCCAATGCTTGGTGCAATTCCCGCAGAGCGTCACTGGCGTCACGCCTCATAATCCACGTGTCGATCGCCATTGGGTTGGCGGCCGCTATCCCCGCTCGTTCCCGAGTCCGTCTGACGGTCTTTGGCAGGGCATCCATGTCTCCCGGGTCACCTTCGTTGGTCGCAACTTCTTGGGCCAAGAGGGCGGCTTCCGAGGCAGTCTGGTCCTCCGCTCGGTGTATCTGTTGGAGCCCTTCCTCGTCAATCGCTGCGAAGATCTGGGCCGCCAAGGAGGCCGGTCCTTCGAGATGGAGTCGGCTGGTCATGGCATGGACACTGTGGCTGGCGTTGTCATGCTGGGAACCTGGCGCGCCGTCGCGAGTTTCGTGGACGGCACTCGATAGCACCTGTTTGATGTTTTTCGCCGCTTCAATCGCTCGAGACAGACAGATGAGATCGTCCGCGTCACCGCGTCCTAGGGTGAATTTCTGAACCAAACGCTGAGCATCGTAGCTCTGTTTAAGAAGACGGATCAAATGTTCTCGTAGCTCCCTATCCGCCAGGAACGTAGATACAAGGTCAAGGCGTTCATTGATGACCTCCAGCGAGGTTGAGGGCGACGTCAGACGGTCTCTCAGCAGGCGCGCTCCACTTTTAGTCGAGGTGCGGCGCACGGCGTGAAGCAGGCTTCCCTTGCCAAAGCCATCGCGCGACGTCTCGAGGATCTCCAGCCCTTTCAGGCTGTTCCGGTCGACGGCCATCGATTCGTGCAGGTGTCGGCGGCGGGGTGGCTGGAGCTTCATGTTTAACCCCTGCAGCTGGACTTTGATGTACTCCAGAAGGCCATATCCGGCCGCTATCTCCTCCGGCGTAAATGTCTGGGTCGGCGCGTCCGACCCCTCCAGTAATGGCTCCCATTCAGAGATCGGCATCGCTCTCTCGGGAAACTTGAAGAAGGTCATCAGCCGATGGTCGTATCCGACCAGCGATTGTACGTCCGGTCCGATCAGATCTTGGAGCTCCTGGTCCACGAGGATCTCCCGGGCGCCAATTCTGGCTATCGCGGAGGAGAGCATCTGAGGTGAGGTCGACTGCGTGAAGAAATCGCCCGTAGAGAGGTCTAACCATGCGAGTCCGACGGGTTGGGCGGTCGAAGATACGATTTGATGGGCTAGGTTGTCGGGCTGCTTCCCTAACTGCGCCTTCAGGGCCTGGATGTCGATATGCACAGCCAGCAGAAAGTTATTCTGGGAAGGGTCCATGAACTTCTCATCAATCAGTGTCCCCGGAGTGATGATCCGTGCCACCTTGCGGTCGAACAGCAGACCCCCTGAGCGGAGCTTGTCCTCTTCCTTGATTGCGAACTCCTCGCTGATCGCCACATACTTGTTCAAATCCTGCACGAGGGTCTTCAAGAAGCGATCCAGCTGGAAGAACGGGAAACCGGCCATGGGGACGGGGCCGGCACTGGTCCTCTTGGAAGCCAGTTTCAGATTCAACAGCGGGGCCAGCTCCTCCGCCTGCTCAAAGTATAGTTCGTAGAATCCCCCTACTCGCGTCAACACCACGCAGTTGTGGAATTTCTGCATGTGGTTCCGGTGCCCCTGCACCACCGTCGGGTATCGCGGCGCATCCTCCACGACATTATTACTCGGCTCCAGTTTCAGCCCGCCCTGTGGCAAGTCCTTCAACTTGACCGTTGACTTTGTTTTCGCTGTTCTTCGGGTCGCGAAGGAGGGTTGGGTTAAGCGGTGGGAGCGGAGATCCGGGCGGTGCGCATGGTGGGATATTCCTCGATACACATGGTGACGAGGAATCAAAACAGATCGCGTGTTCAAATTGAGTCGCAAAATCAGCGGAATCTGTCCAGTTGGAACCATCCGCATTGTCTCTGTACCTGGCGTCGCGTTGATATAGAGCTGCGCATTCTGGCTTGTGCACGGTCCGGGGGGGTTGTGGGGACGGCCTTATAGCAAGTCGTCAGTAGACGAGAACAGAGAGGTTCATGGCATGACCAGCATGCGATAAGTAGATGTTCTGATTTCCTCGGCAATGAGATGTGAGGTCGAGAAAGCGAGCTGGATGAACAATTCGGGTCGTTGGAGAAGATCGTGTTTGTTTGGATGTTGGGCTGGTTTGTTGTGTTTGTTTCGACCTGGTTTCTTGGAGATCAGAGAATCATCATCGCAGTCACTGAGCTGGTCAGAAACAAGTACCAAGAGATCAAGAGCTGCGGAGAATAGCTGAGATTCAGCAGACCAATTTGGAAATATGCAATTTACAGCGGTCAACCCTGGTGGGCAGGTTCCATACAAAACTCATTATTCGCTGAAATTGCTATCAAACTATATATAACCCGTCGCTCATGCAATCATTAATGCTACAGTCAAAACAGTCAACTCTTCTGGACCACCTGCTGGGGTCCATTCATCCCTAAAACCCTGCTCCAATATTCAGACACGTTGTGCAGTCCTATCTCCTTCGCCATGTTCTCTAAACACAGGACCTCCATCGGCGTCGAGGCCCCCAACCCCAGCCCTACGGGTTGCGTCATGCCCAGGATGCGGGTGACATGGTTGAAATCAGCCTTGGTCGATTTGCAAATGAGACCTAGCGAATTTACGGCGCTGATCTGCTGGGCCAGAAGCGCATGCGTTGCGATCTTTCCGAGTTCCGCGGACCAGGCGTCCATCGTAACGATGCGGTCTTCGGGGATCCACGAGGTGTACAGTCGTTTCAACGCAGTGAGCGCTTCGGGGGACGAATCCTCCGAGAAGATGTGACCGATGATGACGCAGGGTGGGTAGAGGAGGTTGTGGATCATCGTCCCGGGGAAGATGAATTCGGGGTTGGAGAGCACGTCGAAAGATGCGGACGGCGACGCCGTTTCCTTCAACTGCGCTGGGTCAATAGTTGAGCGTGAGGATGGTGCACTGGGATCTCGCTTACCATTTTCTTGATATAGGGGACCGTGCCGCATGGGGCTGCTCCTCGTTGCACGATAATCTTATAACCCCGCGAGACCTGGGCAATCGCCCGGATCGCCGTGTCCAGGTTCGATAGATCGAGGTCATGCTGTTGGCCCTCCTGTGTCGTGTCAGTGGATCCTTGCGACGGCCCGCACGCGACTTACTGTGGAGGTGATCGCGGGAATATCCACGGAGAGGAAGATCAAGTCCGCTGCCGCAATGCCGCCGAGAACATTGGTGGAGAAGTTGATATTCAGCAGCTTCCGTGGTCGAGGCGGCGGAGGAAAATGTCCAGGCAATGCCCCCTGATCGGTTTGCTGCAGTTTCCGGTGCGACTTGATCGAGTCCACCAGCACGGCGTCCTGCTTGAAGAGAAGCTCTTCGACGCCAGGCTCGCCGATGGGCGCACGGTCGGAATTCCACGCCGCGATCCGACGTTCATCGCCGTCGACGACGTGAAATTGAACATGAGGGTTCTGGCCGGCCAGGACCAGCGCCGTGAGGACTCCTATCATCATTAGCATCGCTCTCGATCAGGACCCCGATACCTTGATAGTGCCACTCACCGGAAGGGCCAGCCCCGATCACACAGGCGCTTCGCACATTGTCAGTTTTCCGACTCTCCACAGCCTTCGGCTGAGGTTTCTCTGCAATCTCTGAGAAGGTATTCCCTTTGACCACGACCCGGGGCGGCGCGACGCGAGCTCCCACAGCCGTATACCGTCGTCGCGAGAGGAACAGCGTAATCCCTGTCAGGATGAGCAAAAACGGAATCAACGGCATCATGAGCATTCCATGTCACGTTCTTTGTCTCTCTCTCTCTCTCTCCACTTCTCTCCTCATAAGGTAAAAATACCTACCATCCCTCATCGCGCTACAAATCTTCAGCGACCTCCAGCACTACAACCTTTTTGATTTCCGCCCAAAGTGGCGGTCAGTCGTGCCGGCCACCTCATTGCAAGGCCACTGCATGTGCGACATCACCCAGCACTAACCCGCAAGTATCCATCGACGGGGCCATCTGAAAGTGCCAAGGCTACCAGTTAGTGGTGCGGATCAGTGGTTCGCGTCTACGTGTCTGCGGTGTTGGCGCAGATGAACGGTGGGCATGTGGGTCGGATGTGCTGCACTGTCGCGGCTGTGGCCAATTTTAGAACGGGACGCCTCACTTTGTGTGAACAAGACGTTCCTTTCTTTTTAGGAGAGTATGGTTTATGGATCATGCGTGTATGGCCGGATTGTTCCATGACGTATTCGTTTAATAATATCATCCTAAATCAAATATCGCCGCTGCCTGGTGCTGGTGCGGTTGAGATTGTTGCAACGCACAATTATCAGAGGGTCATTGTTTGAGAGCTCACGCCAACACACATAACTCATATCTGACTGATACCTCTCTAAAGAATTGATGTCTGAAGTGCCGATTCTCGATCACCGCGTACTCAACGGCGTGGCATTGCATTGCGCAGAAGCTGTTGCGCGGTCGTTGAAACAATGACGATGCACGGGGGCTGGTCATCGCTATGACACGAGACTCAAACAAGTCAGACAGGACTCGTCTATGTACTGACACCAGAATAGTATCCGTGAAGTGAGTGACACCCCGTGGACTCATGACAAGAATAGACATTGTTTGAAGGAGATGCACTATTTACACATTCCAAACAAAACTAAGATAAGTTATACCTCCAGTCACTGACGACCATGGGGCGTCAATGACTATGCAGTCTCCGGCCCTTCGGCCAAATTACGCGCCGCGTCAGCTGGGCCAGGAACATTCCGGCCCTTGGAAGAATGGAGGACATCCTGGTATACCTCCTGCTCGTCCCCCTTCAATCCCGACCCTGACGGATCTCTCCGGATGAGAAAATCCTGCAACTTGGCCTCGCTGGAGCCCAGATGCTTCGCCGTACTCTCCCGACGCCCATTCAACAGCCGACCGGACTCCTCACTGACCTGCCGCAGTCGGTCGTCGTACCCGGCGCTGCGATTGCTGATCCACGAGGCCTGCACGGAGCCAGAAAACAGGACGAGGAGGATGACAAACGTCGCAAAGGTCCGATGATCGACCATGTTCTCCTGCTTGGGCTGGTGTCGATTATGATACGCCTCCCAGTCCTCCCATGTTGCATTGCCATAGATCGGACCGTCGCCGCGCCACGCCGGCCGCGCCCAGGGGGGAGTTGGAGCGCTGTCGGGAGGGTGCAAATTCCACCCCGAGCCGGACAGGTCATACGCCGCCCGTTTGGAGGGATCAGAAAGGATCTCATGGGCCGCGACGAGGATGTGGTATCGCTGGAGTCTCACTTCGGGGGAGATGTTCCGGCATAGCGGGTGATCGTTGCACGGTCGATCGGGGTGGTAGACCTTGACGAGTTCATAGAAATGTGACTTCTTGTAGGGGGCAAGCCGGTCCTGTTTAAAGAGATCGTAGGGAGTAAACGACGTGGTGGAGGGCCAGGAGAGATCACCCTGCGCGGTGGCATACCGTCGAGACCCGTGGACGCAGTGCGATGACGCCAGTGGCGAGACGGAGCTGGCGGGGTTCAGCAGTGATAGTCGCCCGCAATGAAAAGGGTTTGATTTCTTAAGCATGGCCTCATGGTTTCCCGAGAGGAGGGGATCGAGTGAACCTCTCCCACAGTTTCAAGAGTCATAGGAAATGGGACGATGCAGAAGTGCAGAAGAAGAAGTGGAGAAAGAGAAGAAGACAAAGTGGAGACGAAGAATGGTCCGATAAGGTCACGTGGTGGGGGGGGACCTGAGGCCGGGTGTTTGTCTGGTTTGACAAGGGGTGCCTTTTTTCGACCGGAAAAACTTCAAATATAAATCTTCATCTTCATTCTCGACAACGCGTCACGATCACGATCAACACTCGATCGGGACGGATTGTGGTCGATAATCACACGCCAATTCGATGGAGGACGAACTGCTGCAGTTATCCTAGCAGCGGGGCTCAAGGGCGAAGCGGAGACATCCTCGGAACCGAGGCAACCCGTCGCAGTGCCGGATCCACTTATTAGTATGGACGAAACTGCGGTGGCGCGGTGCGACTCCGGGGTAGTTTTCCTCGTTGACTAGGTCGTTCGACATCTTTCAGTCGGCAGAACTATCAATCGGTTCTGGTGGGTGGCAGAAATAGCCCATAATGAGTCTCAGCTCGCCGCTGGGTCTGCTCCAGGCCATCCTGGTGAGGATCCCCATGCTCCTGAAGATTACGCTATGGCATGGCATACGCTTGTCGCCCGTCGCGGGCAAGCAAGATCTACGAACGGAGTTGACTGTCGCCGTCATTCGGTCCTTCATGAATTTTATGATCCCCGTCAGTAAACAGCAGAAAGGGTCGATGCGCGACCCGGGCATCAAGGGTCCCATCTGGGTGTCCAAGGTGACCCTCCCGGCGCCCGGAGAGGACGTCTGCAACGCCGTGCGCAAAGCCTTTGAGGATCTACAATCTGGTGGGGAGACTTTCGAACCCCCCGGCGTGGGACCGGTGGAGGCAGAGTGGACGGGTTATCGCAGTGGTGTGGACAAGAATGAGCCGTTGCCTGACATCCCAGAGGACGCCAAGTTTGACGCGCTTCGGGCAGAAGCCCCGTCGGACAGTGTGATTTTGTACTTCCATGGCGGCGCATACTTCCTGATGGATCCCTGCACTCATCGTGTTCCGGTGGCACAGCTTTCCAAGCGCACGGGGGCCCCCGTGCTGTCAGTGCGATACCGTCTGGCGCCGCAGCACCCGTTCCCCGCCGCGCTCGTCGATGCGCTCGTCGCATATTTGTCGCTCATCGCACCGCCCCCGGGCTCCTTCCACGCCCCCGTCCCCGCGAAGAAGATCATCCTCGCGGGCGACTCCGCGGGGGGCAACCTGTCCCTCGTGCTACTGCAGACGCTGCTGACCCTGCGTCGGGTGTGTCCCACCGTGCACTTCCACGGGCAGGCGATCCCCATTGAAATCCCCGGCGGCGTGGCCACCATCTCGCCCTGGTGCGACATCATGCGGTGTTTGCCCTCGAGTACACTCAACGCGCACTTTGACTACTTACCCGTGCCGGCCCAGTCCCCCGAGTCCATCTTCCGACCGCTGCCGATTCCCGCCGACGACGTGTGGCCCTGCAAACCACCGCGTGTCGACTTCTTCGTCAACGCCAACGCCGTCCTACATCCACTCGTGTCGCCGCTGACCGCGCCCCCGGAGCGCTGGGCCGGAGCGCCCCCCGTGTTCATGAGCTTCGGCGAGGAGGGTCTGACAGACGAGGCGCTGGTTCTGGCCCGACGCATGCACTCGGTCGGGGTCCCCGTGACGGTCGAGCAGTTCGAAGGCATGCCTCACTGCTTCGCGCTGCTCATGATCAAGACCGCCGCTGGGAAGCGCTTCTACGACGGCATGGCGGATTTTTGCCGCCAAGCCGTGGCGGGCACGGTTCGACCGATGGACACCCTGACCTATATTGCGTACAAACTGCGTTCGGAGCGGTCGATCCCGTGGGAGGAGGCTGTGACGCTGACGGATGCGGAGGTGGATGAGCTGCTGCAACAGGGTGCGCACTCTCGTGTGCGGGGAGAGATGGAGCTCCAGAAGGAGTGGAGGGAGCGAGCCAAGTTGTGAACTTGTTAGGTACTCATATAGAACTCTCTTTCTTATATGAATAGTCACAGTCAGACGGTGCTTCTGTTCCTGTCTAGATATACCTGATGTATCTACATACATACGATTATGATATCCATTACGCTTGTTTAATTGACCATCCATCCCAAAGCACTCCAACGACAGACCGATAGATTTTGAAACTATCTAGCCCCGCGTACATTCACATGGGCCGAGGAACAGTCATATATCTCCCCCACTCCATCTCATCACCATCGCGATGATCTCGCGCCAGACTGTGGGGAATCTCGGGGGCAACTGACCCGAACCCCTCCATGTCGGGGTAAATCGATCCCACGATGGAGTCGTTCAAATATGCGACATTCCCCTCCATCTTCTTTTCTTTCTTTTTATACTATATTGTCTATTGATTTGAAGTCTCTGGATAAATCAGCACTTACCATGGGCTCCCCATCCCCATTCCCCCGCGTCAAGGAGATCCGTACCTTTATCATTGAGGGAGTTGGCTCCGGCGGCGACTACCATAATGTACCAACGCGCCCCTCCATGGTTCCCTTCCACCAAGCAAATCCATCATATACTTACATGAAGTAGGTCAAAGGCGGCCACTGGCTCGTCGACAGCAACATCTCCACCCCAATGACCCGCTGGCCGCAGTACCGAGGCTCGCGCACATCCTGGGGCATCAACGTACTGGGGTCCTTCTGCGTCGAGATCGAAGCCACCGATGGCACGAAGGGATTCGCTACGGGGTTCGGAGGTCCTCCTGCTTGCTGGCTGGTGCATCAACATTTTGAGCGGTTCTTGCTGGGGGCTGGTAGGTCTCGCCTATTACCACACTCGCATCCCGAGAATACACGAGGAAGAGGAGAAAAGAACTGATAATTGATGGTGATGCTGATAGACCCCCGCGACGTCAACGACCTCTTCGAAAAGATGTACCGCGCGTCCATGTTCTACGGCCGCAAGGGCCTCCCCGTGGCAGTCATCTCGGTGATCGACCTCGCGCTGTGGGACCTCGTCGGCAAGGTGCGCCAGGAGCCCGTGTACAAGATGATCGGGGGCGCGACGCGGTCTCGACTCGACTTCTACTGCACGGGGCCGCAGCCAGGCGCCGCACAAGCGATGGGATTCTCCGGGGCCAAGGTGGCGCTGCCACACGGACCAGACGAGGGCATCGAGGGGCTCCGCAAGAACGTGGCCTACCTCCGCCAACAGCGCGACAGCGTCGGGCCGGACTTCCCGCTTCGCGTAGACTGCTACATGTCGCTGACGGTGGGGTACACGATCGAGCTGGTGAAGCGGTGCGAGGCGGCGGGGATCGACATCGACTGGTGGGAGGAGTGTCTGTCGCCGGATGACGTGGAGGGCCATGCCCTGCTGAAGCGGGCGCATCCAACGGCACGGTTCACGACAGGGGAGCACGAGTTCTCGCGGTATGGGTTCCGCAGGCTGGTCGAGGGTCGGTCGCTGGACATCGTCCAGCCGGACGTGATGTGGGTGGGGGGACTGACGGAGCTGCTGAAGGTGTCTGCGTTGGCGGCTGCGTATGATATCGCCGTTGTGCCGCACGCATCGGGGCCATACTCGTACCACTTTGTGGTGTCGCAGCCGAATACGCCGTTCCAGGAGTATCTGGCAAATTCGCCCGACGGACGCACTGTCGAGCCCGTGTTTGGGAACCTGTTTCTGAACGAGCCGATTCCTGTGCGTGGCTATTTGGACGTGTCGGTGCTGGATAAGCCTGGGTTTGGGCTGGAGCTGAATCCAGCGGCGCCGTTGATCGATGCCAGGCGGATTCTGACTCCGGCGCCGCTGAAGGAGCTGGCGCCTCCGGATGAGGCGGGCGTTACTGCTTGATTATACGCTTTTCTTGTTGATGTATATCCTAGATGCATAGATGCGACATGTTACTCTAGTATTATTCTACCCCGCAGCAGTATCAACGAAATCATATTGTAGCTACGCTATCCAACCTGAACTTCATTGTATCCTGTATGGTACTCTAATAGGCGTACCCCTCGCCCCCAAAATAGCTCAACGCCACCGGCAAGAAGATCAGCGCATGCGTCGCCGCAAACGCGATCAGCGCCAGCCACACCCGGAAGTAGTAGATCTCGAAGATCTTGCTGTGCGTAAAGGCGAGCACGCACACGCCCAGCAGTTTGGTGACCGTGATTCCGCTGAAGACGCTGCCGCCGACGTTGACCAGGGCCGCCCAGGCCCTAGCGTCTTTGCCGCGGAACTTGGTCGGCACCATCTCCATAACGCCTTCCGCCGGGAACATGAACGCCCGCGCGATGTGCGCGCAGAACTCCACCCCGATGCCCACGCAGATGATCAGGTTCACTAGCGACACGGCGTTCAAGGACACCCCCGCCACGGCCATCGTGCCAATGATGTCCACTAGGATCATCACCACGGTAGCGGTGACCACCGCCCCGGTCGCCACAGACCCTAAGATGACCGTGGTGACGGCGAAGATAATCGTCACGGCAGCCCCGAGCAGGGCGGCCGTCAACGGCACGATCGACACGTACTGGTCGAAAAAGATGTATGTCTTGGCATATGGGAAAACATCGATGCCGAACTCCTCCGAGATGCCTCGCGCGATGCGGCGCGCAGATTTGTACGAATTGATGAAATCCTCCTGCGTCCGGAGCGGCGTATGCATCGTGCGGAAATGGCTGGCCACCGTGGTCAGCCGCTCGGGGTCCACCACGAGCGCGTTGCTGTACGCAGCCTGGCCGCCCAGCGGACACGAGGCGTCTGTCGGCGCATGCAGCCACTTCTGCGCGTAGTCCACAAATTCCTCGCCCTGGGGCATGCCGTGCAGGGAGATGTTCCACGCCGGGTCACGGCCATCGAAACAGGGCTTGCCATCGTCCACGCAGCAGTCTTGCTGCGGATTGAGCCAGTAGAAGAAGTCGTCGATCCAACTGGCAGTCGAGCCCGAAATGTAGGAGACGTTGGGTCGCTTGGACTCCTGCTCCAACACAAACGGCAAGGAGTACTCCTCGCAGGAGGTGAACCGCCCGCACAGCTGCCGCTGGTGGCTCCGCTCCGTCACGTTCACGTCCCGAGTCACAAAATACACCGGAGGCCCGCTTTGGAAATACGTGTTCATATCGTCGAAGTACTGGATGAGGTACGAGTCGCTCGGAAGAGCAATGCGTTGATCCAATCCTAGCTCCACTTTCGGAATCAAAGCCAACCCAGCGGTCAGGACGCCCATGAAGACCATCACAATGACCGCCTTGACCCGGCGTTCTAGGAGAAAGGGTGCGTAGATCTTGCGGATAAAGTTCTGGAGGATGCCCTCGTCTTCGAAATCGTCGTAGAGGGGATCCCTCGGCACGCCAGACTGCGCCTTGCGCACGGTCAGGCAGGGGAGGCAGTCAGCGCGAAGGCTTTCCACGCGCTTCTGGTTCAGGGCGAGGATCGAGACAAACATGGTGATCTGCAGGACCGCGTTGATGAAGACGGCACCGGCCGCGTAGATGGCGAAGTTCCGCACTGCCGGCATCCCCACAAAGGTGCCGAGCGCAAACGCTACTGTCTCCGTGACAGCCGACAGGAAGATGCTGGGGCCGATCCGGCCCACCGCATGCGCGATCCGCACGTCGATCTCTTCGTCAGGGTAGTTGACGTTGACGCGCTCAAACTCGTGGACGATCAGAAAGATATTGTCTACGCCGATCGCAAGCACGAGGAATGGAATCACCTCCGCGATGATCAAGGTGGCCTTGACACCGGCAGCAGCAAATAAACCAACCGAAGCGGATACGGACATCAAGACAATGACAATTCCCACAATGCCCAGGGAAAACTTGGACTGGACCAAGGCGTTGGACGGGTTGGCGAGGAGAAAGCGCCAGGTGACGGTGACGGAGCCCAGGGCCAGGGAGGCGTAGATGAACATGATGACGTAGCTGATAACGACGATCTTGGCGTCCGTGTTGCTGGACTTATTCAGTTCGTGCTCAATGCTCACTTCGGTGTTGAACGAGACGCGCAGGCCCTTCTCGTGGGCTTCCTCCTGGACCACCTCAAAGATCCGTTTGAAGCTGTTCTCCCAGTCAATGGCGTTCGCTTCGGCGGTGGTCCCCTGCTCATGGTTGTTGACCACCCAGGTCGCCACCAGGGCCCGTGCGTCCAAGACATCGCCGGTGTCTTCATAGCCACCGAGGATCAGCTCCGGCTTGAGCGGCTGACCGAATTCCGGGAGACAGCTGACGTCACCGGGCGAATCCGCGCAGTGCTGCAACCTGTCGCGCCAGGTTTCGGGGTCGAGGTTGTTGACGGACCCGCCAAAATATCCGGTCAGCGATTGAACGACACAAGCGTCACCAGTGGGTTTGAAGCAGATCTCATCCAGAGACTGCTGGCGCTCCAGGGAGATCATTCGGCGGACACGAGATTCCACGTCGAACCACCAGCTCAGGGTCTCGTAATTCAGGACCCGCCCGTAATCGTTCACGAGAAACGCCTGCTCGGCCCGGTAGAAGGGGCCGAAGTTGGCATCGAAATATGCCTTCTCCTGGGCAGCCGCGGACGTCGGGCTCACCCACAACCGGACGGGGTCGGTTTCCACTGCGAACCGTAGCCACCCAAGGCTCAAAAGCCCCACGACCACCACACTAGACACGGTGGTCAGGGCGGGGAACCGGGCACACGCGCCACCAATACGGCTAAATAAACTCTCCAACGTCGAGTTCAACTTATATTCACCTCGCGACTGCTCGAGATAGCCTCCCGCGTGGACGATGTCGCCCTCATCCTCCTCGTCGCTGGAGGCCGGGTCCTGCAGGAGCCGGACGCGGTCGGGCTTGCGATGGCGCCAGTCTCGGTACGTGAAGTAGCTGGTCGCCCCGACCACAGAGAGTAAGAACACCGAATACATAAGGATGACCGAAAACGAGAGGCACGGTAGCAGGCCGACGTAACAGTGCTGGTCGGTTTCCACAGCGGGCAGTTCCGGACAGACATCCGGGCAATCGACGCAGGAGCACCGGAACGCCTTATCGGGATCATTGCAGGCTTTGGGATGGTCGGGCAAGGCCTTCATACCGTCGGCATCGGGCCCGGGGTCGGTTTCGTAGTTGATCTGGAAGGGGCTGCCCAAAAACTTCTTGTCTCCCAAGAACTTCAAGAAACCCTGGTAGTTCTTCGCGCCTCCGCCGATGAAATCCATGGCCTTTCCGCCCGACGCGCCATTCTTCACGTTCTTGCAGCTGTCGTAGAAACCACTCTGGTACTCCTCCGACCAGAGATTATCCAGCTCGGTGACGCGGCGTTTCCCCTTGCCTGCATCGTCGGTCTCGGTGACGTTGACAAACAGGGACTGGTCGGGAGAGCAGGTGAAGGTGCAAAAGATATTAAAGAAGTTCTCCCGACAGGCGGGACACGACGAGATGATGCCCTCGGCCAGCTTCAGGTTCTTGGCCAACGCATCCACCTAGAGGCTCCCTATTAGTATGGCCCACAACCCAGCCCATCCCATCGCACGTGTAGAGCTCACCTGTTCCTCTACACAGCACACCGCTGTTTCCTCCCACTTGGTGCCGCAGAGGCCTACCAACTTCTCCCTCGTCGCGGCGTCAGGTTCCTTAGCCCGGCCATTATCGGCACAGGGTAGCTCTCCACCAAAAAACGATTGTTTCCCACAGTGGCCCCGGATCGCGCAGCGACCGGCTTCGTGAATGGGGGTCTCGCCCTGAGCTAACGATGGGACTAAGAGCGTGCCGAGACCGGCCAGGACGCCAGCAATGTGGAGTCCCCGCATGGTTGGGGACCGTTCCAAAACAAAATTGGAGGAATCGCAGGTCGATATGTTCTTCACTTCATAACAGGATTATTGATGGGGATTGAGATCAAGGGACCTAGTCTGGAAGGGATAGATGGAGTAGTAGAAAGCAGGGCTGATGGGATGGTACAGCAAGGGATAACGTCATCTACCCCGACACCGCTGATCTGAACCGGAATTAAAGATAATGGCAACACAGATGAAACCAGTTCATCGATCAATAGATATATATTGAGTAGCAATACGAGGGAATTAAATAGAAAGGGAGGAAGCAGGATGTCATCCGATGTTGACGGACTCAACCCGGTCGATGAGGATGTCAGAGTGACGCCGAGGTTGGTCAGGTGCGGTCAGGTGCGGTCACGGGTGGGTCATGTGTTGTTGTGGTGTTTGCTGGCAGTTTGTCTGGTTTGCATTGCATCTGGGATGTTGCCTGAGGCTGCAAGTATATACTTCGACAACACCGAGTTTATGCGTGCTGGATCTGCAATAGATCTCCTCCATATATTCTAGAGTGAAATATTCTAGCCCGATCGTACCGTGAGAACGGCCAATTGGTTCCCCAGTCCCGGCTTCCATCTAGATATCGACCGCAAATCCTTCACGAGAGCCTCCTCCATCGAGGACCGGTTGGGCTCGTCGCGATACCACGAGCGAGTCAACGCGTCGGCAGCAACCTGACACCTACGAGTGACATCCTCTTCCTCAAAGACATAAGAACCGTTGACACGTCGCACTCTCTCACTGATATACCCCATATGCGCGAGCGTATCCCGTGCCGTCTGCAAAAGACAGCCTTGGTGGATGGGACGAGGATGCTCCGCGCTTAGACGAACACACCGCGAGTTTAGCAATTGTATACAGGTATTCTCTGGGGCACCCTGAATGATGATTATTGCTGTATTCGGGTCGTCGTGATTCATCACACGTGCGAGTTCGCCCAAGCATTGGGCTCGGTTCGACACACAGTCCAGGGCAAAGTATAAGACGGCCGCGTCGAAGTGGTGGTCTGGGAAAGGGATTGTCTGGGACAGCGCTGGGATGCTTTCGACTATTCCCGTGGAGGCTGGGCCATCGGCTAGGATGGCTGGGAATCTGGTTAGCATAGCTATCTTCCCCAATATATATCGAAGAAATTCGGGATGACCCACCTCGCACTGCCCCTCCGACATCCAGTACACGCCGACCCCTGCGGACAATATCACGCATATCATTCCCCTCCGCATCGAGAAAGAGCCGGTCCCGCAGGATCTGCCACGCCGTCTCATTGCGTCTCCACGACCCCAAGCTCGACTCCTCCGGGACGGGATGTGGTCCAAACACCGGGTCAAGGCCCGTCTTCCGAGCAACGAGCAAGTGATGCCGACCGGTCTGGTCTGCTTTCTGACCGCGAGGCAGATAATCGTACGTTTTTTCCATCTCCAGGGTAAGTCCCACCTGGCGCAGTAGACTCCTCCACCGTGAACTCGGGAGCAGCGTCTCCACCGTCACAGCACCCATCCAGGGTCTTCTAACCCGCATACAATCCCAAACACCATCGTAGTCGCCCACCCCATCACCTAGCGAATCGCTCGTCACCACCGCCAAAACCAAGACCGCCCCGGACTCCAACCACTCCGCAAAGCGATACACCATCGACACGATATCCGCCGGCGGAAAGCTAAACAGTGAAAAGATGGCAAACACGGCACGGAATAGATGCGGGGGACGATACTGTCTCATATCGACCTTGTGGAAAGATCCCGGCACCTGGGAGCGGGCCAACCGCACCATCTCTTCAGCAACGTCGATCCCATGCACGGAGTGGCCGTGGCGGGCGAGAATGTCAGACACGGGGCGGCCGGTTCCACAGCCGACGTCGAGGACGGGGGAGGCGGATGGGAGCTGAGCGACGACAGAGTGGATTAGGGTGCGAAACTCGACGTCATCGGCGAAGGCGTCCTCGTATTGTTGGCCTAGAGCATTAAAGAGCTCTTCGGCTGTGGTTTCTTTGGGGTCCATTCTGGGGCGTTGTGGGGTGTCGGTTGGCTGATCTGGGAATGGGGCTGGATGGGGGGGTTCTTTGGGGAAAGAAAAGCTGGTTTATCGGTCTTTGTGCCACTTTGGTGGAAAGTTAAACCTCGCTGATGTGACCTTTCTATGCTACACTTGATCCCTGTGTATCAATTGTGGAGGTGTTTTCTCAGCGGACAGGAATTGACCGCCCCGTGGACGCATGCATGTCGTTGTGAGGGACCTGCATGCACGACGAGGTAATGAGCGGGGCGTGGGTTTGTGTTACTGGGCTGTCCCGTGTACTTCATTTCTAGAATGTACACTTGAATGACGGCGATGGAAAATACGTGCACAAACTGATGGAATACAGAATAATATTACCCGTAATTAGTTGATGGTGTCAACCAGGCAGGCTCATTCCCTTGCCGTATTCTCCGAAGCCATCTCCGTATCACAGCTATTCATCTTGTGCTTTGACACTAAGAATCACAATTCCCTCATCACAATACAACGCCTGGTCACAGTCAACGACCGTTCCGAGCAGTGGACCATTAAAACAGCACAATGGCCGCAGCCGCAGCCGCAACCCCCGCAATGTTATGCTTGACATGGGTCGCATCGCCAGTAAAGACCGGGGGAGCGGCGCCGCCAGAATGGGTCTGCCCTGGCATGGTCGACGAAGTGGACGAGGTCGACGTTTTGTGCGTTGGGGAGGCCGTGTTGGACGAGCCGGGCTGGGAACCCCCTGTGGATGATCCCGTGGGCAGTGTCATCGACCCAGCGCCCGACGGGGTTTCCGTGGCTGCTCCCGTTCCAGACGATGACATGGTATTGGATGGGGGCGAGCTTGAGCTGGACGCAGTGTCGGTCGAACTGGTTGCGGTATCTGTGGGCGTCGCCTCACCAACCGGTGGGATCGAAATGGCATGGCCCGCCGAGGCGCACTGCTTCATGACCACGTCGGACACCGCTAGAAAACTGTGAGTGAACCAAGCATTTGCTGACAGCCGAGTAGAGTGGAAAGAACTCACTCGCCTGTTCCGGGATCCCACAGGACGACTTCACACAGGGCGTGACCTTGCTGACGAGTTCGGGCTTCTGGCAATGACAGCCAAAGTCCAGCAGACCCGGACAGCCATCATTCATCAGGGCATCAAGAAAACACTGCATCTATCGGTGAGTTAGTTGAAGTCCTACCTTGTTAATGTAGGAGGTTCTCACCGAACAACCGGGGATGTCTGGCAACATTTGGGCGGACCCAAGAGCCGCCACGAGGACAGCAGCGAAGGCGAGAAAAGACTTCATGGTGAGAAGTGATATTAAAACAGCCGGGATTGAGATAACAGATTAAGATGTTAGAGATAATGGGGGACTAGTAGAATACAGACTATGGCTGAAACGACTGTTGAGTTGTGATGGGATGATGGATTAACGAACGAGGTGAAGAAGGAGGTATGGAGAGAAGAGAGAGAGAGAGTAAGAGAGAGAAGAAGTGGAAGGAGAAGAAAAAGTTGGTCGAATCCGCTTTATACTTTCCCCCCGGAGCACATGATGAGTTCCTGCCCTGAGTCCTCACATGTTGACCAGTACATATGTCGAGGTCACTGCTAATGCGAAAGTTACCAGATCATGGAGAGGATAGGATAGAGCAGCGATGCCAAACATTCCCTTGATGACTTCTCGTCTACGCAAGGGACTGTCAGGTAGGATTCTGTGTAGCCCGCATACGTATGCTTCGTACCTTGAGAGTTTCAATATGACCGGATGTGGTACATCGACGCGCATTGCAGGCATCATCACAGGCACTCGTGTGGAGTTTCAGTGCGGGGATGACCAGAGTATCCAGCCTAATATACAATGGTATAGACTAAACTTGAGGTATGCCAGGGCTCATCAATTCTACTAGGTGGTTAGGGCTCAGCGTGGCTGCATGTAAACTGAGAGAAGCTCCATCGACGCGAATCGGAATTAGTTCCCATAGATTTGGCTCCAAGTCCCTGAGCAGTCGATTTTCTGGGACTGGCTTATCACCAGCAACTGACCTCTTCACACAGTGATTAGAGTTGAGCTGGTCATATACATCAACAATGTAAGAAGTGACCCCCCAATCGGCACCAGAGGGAGGTTCATATCCGTGGGACAAGGCCATGTCATACAATTCCTCCACCAATGGCAGAGGGAAAGCATCCATAAACTCTGTGAGGTGTGCGTCTGTCCCTGCTTACAGCAAAAGAGCTGCAAGGGAGGCCAGTCCAGGCCATCTCCGTCCTCTGAGCAGAAGAGGGGTTGTCCTTCTGTCTTGTGGTGATGATGCTATCCAGTCATTACGAAATCTTGGAAGCGCTGGGGTCTGTCTAGACCCCGCCTCGATAGGGTTTCTTTGCCGCGGTGGTAGCATCCACCGCTGCGGAGCATTGCTGATAGATTGTCGAGGCAGCAATGAAGTTGTACAGGTCTTACAGAGGGATCAGGCGATCCAAGGCAAATCGTCCTCGGTGGTAATCACATCCAATCGATCACCCAATGTGACCCCCTGCGTTGTGGCTCCTGCACCACCGGGGCATTCCATGGCCAACTCAGATGGATACTGACGAACTAGGTTCGGGGGAACCAAAGAAAATAGCCCCCGCCATTTCTGCACACCGTACACTGTGGTGCGTAGAATTAATTTGGAAGAGAGCCAAGGTTTCAGGTTGACCATGGGTGAGGAATACATTCCTGTCTGGGTGTAATTATACTCAACATAGTCGAGTCTAGAATCGTCACAAACAATAACGCCCTGCTAATCCAAAATAAACCGTTGCAAACCACTGAAGAAACAAGGCCACCATATCAATAAAACCCTCAGGACATGAGTTCGTCCACATATGCCCTCTGGCTAACACCTTTCTCCTCGTCAAGTAACACCGCGAGAACCTCGATCGGCGGGTTGAGGTTCAAAGAATCCGCCCGCCTCCATCGTTTTAATCGTGTAATACCGATACACGGCTACACAAACGTCAGCTATCCACGGCATGAGAATGCCTCGGGGAGGGGAAAGCAGGGACGTACCCCGAATTGACTGGAGAGGTCGAAGTGACGTAGAATGTGTTCCTGCAGGGAAAGGTCCTCGTGGTGAACTAAAAATACCAAACATCCAACGGTCAGCTCGTTCCACCAGACAGGGCGGTCGGTGTGCTCCCCCGTAGTACTGACCTCGGGGTCCCCGTCGCTTCTTTTCCTCTGCCTTCCAGTATTGTTCAATCTGCTTCGGCGTGATCTTCAACGCCAATTGATCCTTCTCCGACAGAGGTTGCTGCAGCTCCGCCTGGGCTTGTTGCCTCAGGGCCAACTCCGCGACCGGTGGCCGGGAGGGCTCGATGGGGGTGTCCGGCGCAGGCTCCGATCCGGACACATTTTCGAGCGACGGGGTGCGGGAGATCGTAGAGCCAATGGGTTCGAGGTTTTTGGCTTTCTGCGATGTTGTCGGCGGGGCTGTAGATGGTTTGCTGACCCTGGACTGGGAGCCAAAGGAGAGTCTCGCCTGGGTATTGCCTCCACGGCGGCGTGTGGTGGGCATCTTGGATGTGCGATAGCGGGACTGTTGGTTTGTTTGAGTAGTGTGAGGTTGTAAAGACAGGACAAGATGGCTAGCGACCACTTAGAGTATGAGCCAGGTAGATGATGAAGACGAAGAGAATGGTAGATCTGGATCTGGAGTGGGGAGATATGACATCGTTGTCTCGTGTTGTCTATGGCAACCGCCCTACCACACTTCTTCTTTATTGCGCCCGTCTACTGAGAGAGACCTATAGTCGCTTTTTACATTACTTTGCAACATTTCTTCCAGCCCCTACTATCCCCCTTCAGAAAAAACTACATTTATCTGCTATAGAATGGCAGAATGGCCAAATGACGAACATGGAATCAATAGTGATGCAACCGGTGACAAACACTGCAAACAGTGTGTTCTGCCGCCAGATACCGCCCTTCCATGATGTCGTCTCAAAGTCTTGATCTTTTTCCCTCGATGTGATCGTCGACAACATTGATTTCCACTAAGATCGTCTATGACGTCCGTCATGGATTCCAAGCATGCGCCGGACTACCTACCGGATGGCATCGCCTCAGATGGGGGTATCTCCGCCATCCTGTTATCAATGAGAGTGTTCTGCGCAACAGATTCAGGAACCCGGATGCCTATGTTCTGAATATAGTCCCTCCCGGAGGGGTCTATGTCAGCCATCCTAGAGGGTGGGGTTGTTGTTCCTGACAATGATCCTCCTAGTGACGCCACCGAGGTGGGCTCGGGTGTGACAGCCGCTCGTGCATACTCCCATTACACATTGATCGTGGTGCCTACGTAGAAGGATGCCGACAGATCGCTCGACCCACCCGGGGATCCATCTCAAGCGGATCCACAATCGCATATCGCCTCGACGGATGTCTGGGGCTCCTCTCTGTCGATCACAGTTGAGCCTAGCGCCGTTGAGCCAATCGCCGTAGAACCCACATCCTGCGACGAGATCGTTCTTGATCCTGCGCGACTGGTGTCTCCAGCGGCCGATCCGAGTTCTCCCAGCGATGAACAGGGCTCGTTGCTCTCGGCCAATGCGGAGGATGCGGACGCTGTTCCGGACAGGCTGATGTCTGATGAGTGTTGGTTGACTTGTAGCGCAAGGATGATACAGTGTAGAAAGTGGGTTTGATGAGACGGTTAGATGTATGAAGCCTAGCAATGCGTGGTAGAGATGCTGTATCTCTAGAAGCGGAGGCTGTAGATTAGCTACTCGATATCATGATCATTGATAGTCACATTCCAATCACTCCCAGTCTCCATAAATGGCAAACTAGACGAGGATCGGGCATGTGGGCACACCAACACTTGGCATAAACAACATCTCCAACCTCAACTTTCCTACACGGATACTAGATACATCCTACATAGAGATGACCTCCCTCTACAACCAAATGGTCACCCTCTTCACCCTCCTCCACACACCCCTCTTCGCCCCCTCCTCGCACGCCTCGCCAGCATCCCCCCACAGCATCAGCTTCTACCCCGTCGCGCTCAACCACACGACCTACATCACCAACAGAACCCAAGGCACGCATGGCGGAATCTACAGCGCCCCTGCCCACCGCGCCAGCGACCCCGATCAACATGACCGCTACAACTACTGTACAATGCCGCATCCGCGACCGGAGACCTATGTCGCGCCGGAGCCTGTCGCGAATGGGTCGGTAGCTGCGACGCTCGTGTATGTGGAGTACATGCAGAGGCATCAGCGGAGGACGCCTTATAATATCTTACCAGAGGTATCTCTTTCTCTCTCAATATATATAACTATTTTTCCACCACTACCATACAAAAAACACAACAAACTATACTAACAGCAACAGAACCAAGAATACACCTGCGACGACACCCACCCCCACATCTACATTGCCCCCGCACCCGATAAAAACAACCCCGCTCCCATCCCCGTCTACGGACAGACCTACACAGACCCCACAAATCCCTTCCTCACAGACACCATCCCGGGGACATGCCAATACCCACAACTAACGAAAGGGGGTATCCTAGACGGGTACCGACACGGGCGGGACCTGCGGGCCGTTTACGGGGGTAATGGCCCTCTCCCGGAGGCAGGCCCATCAAGTCAGGTCTGGCTGCGGGCGAGCTCGTCCGCACTGACGCAGGGATCGGCTGGGGCTGTGCTCCGCGGCCTGTGGCCTGATTATGACGGGGGAATTGCTCTGCGACGGCAAGCGGAGGGGATCGACACGGTTGATAGTGGGTTTTCCTGTGCGGCCAGGGAAAGGGTGCTGGAGCAGATGAACGCGGCGAGGGCGTGGAGGGAGCACTTGAGTGCTACTACGGTTCTGCGGGAGAGCCTTGGGAGAACGTTTGATATAAGTAAGGAGGAAGAAGACGGAGCGTGGATGAACTCGTTCGATCACTTTGCGGATGCGTTTCAGGCGCGCGTGTGTAATGGGTATAGTTTGCCATGTCGGGCGAAGAAAGACGGCGAGAAGGAGGGCGAAAACTGTGTGACGCAGGAACAAGCAGAGGAGGTATTTCGCGCAGGCGACTGGGAGTGGAATTACTGGTTTAGGGGCAGTGATCTTGCCGAAGAATACATCCAGCTGGTTGGCGGGCTATTCATCGGGGAAATAGTGCGACGGCTGGAGGGGGTGATGGAGGGACGGCCTGACTGGGTGTATAGTCACAATTTCGTGCACGATGGGGACTTGGGGCCTGTGTTGGGGGCGTTGGGAATTCGGGCATTGCGGTGGCCCGGGATGGGGGCCACTGTGGCCGTGGAGGTGTGGCGGACTGATGATGAAGATGAAGGTTTTTATGCGCGGGTGTTGTATGGTGGACGGACGGTGGAGACGATCCACGGGGCGATGGAGTGGATGCCGTTGGGACAGTTGCTGGAGATATTGAGGGGATTTGTGCCGGGGGATATTGTGTCTATGTGTCAGGGTTGATTTAATAGTAGTAATAATATATTTAAATGCTAGTAATGATATACGTTAATTGATCTATAACCGATCGAACGCCACGCCAGTATGCATGCTCCATGGACGCCTGGAACGTGCAACACTTTTTTTTTTTTTAAAAAAAAAAAAGAAAGAAAGAAAGAAATCACGCCCCATTATACCGATACGACTCCTTCGGCCGCTGAGTCCCATCAGCCACCCCCCGCAAACTCGCCAGGCCCAACCAGACAGCCTCCTCAGTGCGGATGGTGCGACTGCCCTGGCCCGGCAGCAGGTTAACGTAGTAATCGAAGAGCTTGCCGGCCTCCGACGGACGCACGGCCATGTCGCGCAGCTGGGGGTCGTTGCGCACGGCGTTCTCAATGCCGGCCACGCCGCCGAAGACCATGAGCATGTGGCCAAAGTCTGGGGGACGCTCGCGCGGGTCGCCCTCGTCGTCCTCAAGCACTGCAGCGACGGGAGCGCCGCGCTCCGACGTCCCGAAGGAGAGGTCGTAGCCGCCGTTGAAGGGACACTCGGTGAACACGGAGGAGAGAGAGCGACAGCGCCGCACGTAGTACCCCCAATAGTAGCCGGCTTCGGCGCGGGGGGTCGACGGGTCGACGGGCTCAGCGAGGGGAGCGCCCGGCTGCGTGAAGCGCACAGTGACGCGAGCGTGCTCGGGCAGCTGGACATTTGGCACGACGACCTTCTCCGACAGACCGGTGTCGACGACGGTGGTGTTGGAGTCGTCAGACTGGATGGACTGGTCGGAGCGGCGGCGTTGCCGGGGATACTGGTACTGGCCGTATGGGTGGTAGTGATTCTGCTGCTGGGGTTCCCCGACGACGATGCCCTCGCGGTAGTCGCACCACTCGTTGGCGCGCAGATGATGGGGCATGTCGAGGCTGGGCAGCAGGCCGGCTGTGCGCAGGTTGGGATGCATGGGGAAGAGGTGTTTGCGCAGATACGGCGGGGTCTCGAGGTAAGAGAGGAGATGGGCCAGGAAGTGGGAGGGATCAGAGTAGGCCGTGTATCCCTTGCCCGGAGCGTTTAGTTCATCGCTGGTCTTGGCGATGGGGTCGTAGTCTTCGTGGTCGGGGTGGTTGCGGTTCCGACGGAGGGCGCCCTCATCGTCGTCAAAGATGACGACTTCATCGACGCAGAAGACGGCCAAGGCGCGGGCGATGGTGCCGGCCAGAAGGGTTTTTTGTTCGGGGGAGTGGGCACTATCCGGTCAGTTTTTTTTTCCCTTTCGCTCACTTTCTTTCTCTCCCTCTTTGGAGAGTATAGAGGACATACTTGGCGACAATACTCCCAGGGAGAGCGATACTCAGGGTGTGGGTGCGTCCTCCCTTGGGTGTAAAGACAGCCGTGGGTTTTGCGGTGTGAAGAGGGGTATCGCCATTCTCATGGGAGGTCTTTTGCTTCTGCGAACGGTCAGTGAGGTTGGGGAAGTGGCTGGAGTGCGCTAGGACGGTACCTTGACGTGAGGGCGACGCATGTTGGAGATTTTAAAGATCGACGTGGCGAAATTGAGGGAATGAGGGGACAAAAGAGGGTGATGGGGAATAGAAAGGCAGGGATAAACACACGAGAATCTGTGTGTGAGAAGGAAAAAGAATCATGCGAAGGAATGCAGCGCCGATCTGCAAAGCAAATGGAAATGATGATTAAAACGTCCGGATTGTCGGGTGGGATGACGTCGCGATCCACCGAGTGGAGCCGTATGGTTCTGGTTTGCTTTTTGATTGAATGGATTGGTCTGAACGGGTTCACATTATTCAATAATATTTCTTAATATTATTTTTCATGTTTATCCCAGTTCATCCATTGACCAGGGGAGGGATGGTGTTCGTGTGTCCATGACGTCCAGGGATCCGACGGAAGACATCTCCATTGATTCTGACTGGATTGATCAGATCTATGTATCTAGGACTAACGATTAGTCTATTCCAGATCGATATGATGTAGATTGACATATTTATAGACAGGACTGAGGCCGGATCAGGGTTGATTGGGAGAGGATCTGTGGGTGCCTGAGGATCATCCCCTCATCTGGTGGCCTGAGGCTGTCATCTGTTCCTCACCTTTCAGGCACTGATCCCGGCATTTTCAGGCACCACTTCAGGCACGTGAAGGCATCGGTTCAGGCATAATCAGGCATGCGGGGCCAGGCACCCGCACTCCTGCCTCAGGCTACCACTATCATGTGATTTATCTTTTTTTTATCTTTATTTTTTATTTTCAATTTTCTTAATATTTTTTCCCCACTGCAAATCATCAAATCATTCTCCATCTTCTCATTTCTCCCTCCACTCCTGGATTTTCCTCCTCTTCTTTCTTCTTTCCTCTTTCTTCTTTTATTTATTGATGCCATAAACAATCAATCAAAATGCCCCTCTCCCCCGAAGACGAGGTCGTCGCCATGGTCCAATCCGTCACCCCTCCGACGGTCCCCGCTCATCGCTCCCACGACCCCTCCAACAATCAGAAACGCACCGACCCCTTCCTGTTCGGCTCGCGCTACCTTGAAGAAGGCGACGACGTCTTTGAGTTCAATGCCTGGGATCACGTCGAGCCCGATGACGAGTTCAAGGCTTTCGCCGAGACCCAGTACGCCAAGCAGCGCGAGGCCCCCGTCTCCGACTTCGACCGCAATCGCTTCAACGCCGACCCCGCCAAGTGGTGGAACCTCTTCTACAAGAACAACACCGCCAACTTCTTCAAGGATCGCAAGTGGTTGCGCCAGGAATTCCCCGTTCTCGCCGACGTCACCAGCCCCGGTGCTGGGCCCCAGGTCGTGCTCGAGGTCGGCGCCGGCGCCGGCAACACCGCCTTCCCCCTCGTCGCCCACAACCAGAACGACGAACTCATGGTCCACGCCTGCGATTTCTCCAAGACCGCCGTCAAGGTCATGCGCGAGAGCCAGCATTACGACCCCAAGCATATCGTCGCCGACGTGTGGGATGTGGCCGCCAAGCCGGACGAGAACGGCGACGGCCTGCCCCCAGGCCTGCCCGAGGGCTCCGTCGACGTCGTCGTCCTCATCTTCATCCTCTCCGCCCTCTCTCCCGCCCAGTGGGAGCAGGCCCTGCGCAACATCTACCGCGTGCTCAAGCCGGGGGGTCAGGTGCTGTTCCGCGACTACGGACGGGGCGATCTGGCCCAGGTGCGCTTCAAGAAGCAACGTTACATGGGGGAGAACTTTTACGTTCGGGGTGATGGAACCCGCGTCTACTTCTTCGACAAGGAAGAGCTGCACCACATGTGGAGTCGGTGGACGCCGGAAGGGGGGTTGCCCCCGACCCCCGAGGGCGACTCCTCCCCCGCGGAGGCGACCGACGCGTCGACCCCTTCGACCGGGGTGTTTGACATCCAGAAGCTCGGCGTCGATCATCGCATGATTGTCAACCGCCAGCGCAAGCTGAAGATGTACCGGTGCTGGATCCAGGGCCACTTTACGAAGCGGGTGACCGGGACGGAAGCCGAAACCACGGGGTGAGCGACAACCCTTAGGATGAGACTTACCTTAGACGTGGCTGCCACGGCTCCCTCATGGTCAATCTATTGACGGTACCGAGGATCACCCTACGCGTGGACTCCCGTCGCGGTGACGCATGATCCGGAGCATTCCAGTCCTTGCAGCACTGAGACAGGACCGAAAGGTTCTAGATAGACCATAGATCAGATTCATGATGTAACGATAGCGAGACTCTGAAGCCCGCATGAGTCTCATGAAATACGCCTTTCATGACCGGCATCTTTATACAATTTATATACATATCCAGATAGAGAAACACTCGAAAGATGTTGCAAGACAGTTGAAATGCCTGGATAAATCATCCAAATAGGCTAAATAGGAAGTGGATTCGGGGGATCAACCCCCGACCCCACATTGCTATACAACTTCCCCTCATCATGCTTTATATACCAGTCCTCCAATGACCCAACCCACCACCTACTCACTCCCTCACACCTTCACTCCTAATCTACCACAACCGTCAATCATCATGTCCATCCCAATCGTCGACTCCCACATCCACCTCTTTCCGAAATCCCACCTCCCCACCTTCACCTGGTACACTGAAGACAGCCCCCTCGCCAGTCAACATAGTGTCGACGAATACCGCGCCGCCTCCACACACGCCTCCCACCCCCAACCCCGCGGCTTCATCTTCCTCGAAACTGACCGTCTCTCCTCCATCGACGACACCCCCGAAGGTCACGGATGGACGCACCCCCTCGACGAAGTGTCCTTCCTCACGCGGATCATCTCCGGCGCGCCCCATCCAGGCGAAGGCCACACCGCAACCGACCAGCGTCTCTGTCTCGCCTTGATCCCATGGGCACCCGTCCCTGGGGGCCCATCCGCCCTTGAAGCGTACATGGCGCAGGTGCGCGCCCGCACGGGAACCAACACAACCGCGTGGAAGAAAGTCCGCGGGGTGCGGTACCTCGTGCAGGATAAGCCGCGGGGGGTCATGGGACAAAGGGATTTCATAGAGGGTGTTCAGTGGTTGGGTCGACAGGGGTTGACGTTCGATTTGGGGGTGGATGCGCGGAGTGGTGGTTTGTGGCAATTGGAGGAGGCCGTTGAGATGATGGAAACGGTGTACGGAGGTGTTGCCTTGAAGGAGCAGACTTCGGTTATTATCAGTGGGTTTCTCTCTCTTTCTGTTTGGCCGGCTTAACTAAGTGGTGCAGACCACCTCTGTAAACCCAACCTGCGACTCTCTGGCTCCGATACGACGGAGCATATGGACTTTCGCGCGTGGAAGGCCCTGGTCGAGCGCATGGCGCGCTGGCCCAAGACGTACATGAAGCTGTCAGGGGCATTCTCGGAGTTGCCCCCGCTGTCAGCGGAGAAGGATCCTGACATCCTCGATCTCGTGCAACAGCTACAGCCCTGGGTGGAGGTAATCTTCCGGTGCTTTCGGCCCGAACGGGTGATGTTCGGGTCGGACTGGCCTGTGTGCAATATTGGGGGCGGCGGTAATGCCGTGTCCTGGGGACGGTGGCAGGCTATTGTTGAGGGGATTCTCGAGAGACAGGGCCTGAACGAAGGACAGAAGAGAAGAGTTTGGGGAGGGACTGCCGTGGAGGCATATGGGATTGAGGTCTGACTTGTACATTATGCCTATTTTACTACCTAACTATTTACGATAACCTACTGGAGATTCACAAAGAGTCCTCCATCGACCAGCAACTGCGCCCCTGTCTGTGATCGTCAGCATCAATACAACCCTAAAAGCAAGAAAGGAATAGAAAGAGAAGAAGGAAGAAAAAACCTACTACATAACCACTCAACTCCTCACACGCCAAAAACACCGCCGGCCCCGCCAAATCCCCCGTTTTCCCCAACCTGCCCAGCGGAATCCGGCCCTCCATATACTTCCTTTTCTCCGGATCAGCCATATCAGCATCATTCAACTGAGTACGGATCGTCCCCGGTAAAAGCGCATTACAGCGAATACCGTATTTACCCAGCGCACACGCACAAGACTGCATGAGACTCAGCACGCCCGCCTTAGTCGGCGTGTAGTGCGTTTGGCCGGCACCGCCTACCAGCGCTGAGATGGAGCTGATCCCGATGATGGATCCGCCGGGGGGAGACTGCGCGCGCGCCATTTGGCGGGCTGCTGCTTGGGTTGCGTAGAATGCGCCGGAGAGATTGGTTGAGACGGTGTGGTTGAGGAGGGTGGGGTCGACCCTTATTACAGTTAGTGCTGTCTTTCTTTCCCTGTGGATCTGCAATCTGAGGGCGGGAGACACACTCGAGAAAGTCCTCAAACTGACACACCCCTGCATTGCTAACGAAGACGTCCAGTCGACCGAAGGCGTCGACCGTGCGCGCGACAAAGGCCGTCCCGGTGTCCGGTTGCGAGACATCGCCTGGTACGGCGAGGAAGCGGTCTGTGGCGCCTAGGGCGGCGACATCGGTGCGTAAGGACTCTAGTAGGGGTTCATCGCATGGAGAGCCGAGATAATTGATGGCGACGTGGGCTCCATGACGGAGGTAGTCGAGGGCAATGGCCTGGTGGGATTAGTCTGGTATAGAGGTGATGTAGATGGAGAGTACCCTGCCGATTCCGGTCAGGCCGCCTGTGATGGCGGCGACTTTGCCGATGAGGAGGGACATTCTTGTGAAATGCAAGAGCAAGGAATTGAATACGAGAATAGAAGATGAGTATATGAGTCTAAAATGAAAATAAGAAGATATAAAATATAAAATACCCCGCATATCAAGCGGGGCTCGGGGTAATGCAGCCCGAGCTCTCCATCGTATACACCAAAGACACCAAAGACACCAAGAAGATACATGATACCCCTGATCAGAATGACTTATACTTCACCGACACCAGGTCCCCCTGCGCCGTAACCTCCGTCAAGATCTTATCCCCCTGCTGCAACTCGATCACCGTCGCGCCATCCGCATTAAACCGCCGTCCACCCGCCCTGGCCTCGACACCCCAGAAGACAACCTCGCTGAAGTCGGCCAACGCAACCATCGACTCACCCGCCTGGAAATCCTCGACGACCCAGTCGGCGTTCTCGCCCTTCAGCGTCGCCTGCGCATTGGGCGCACTCACCACCCGACTGACCTTCTTGCCCGTCGACCGATTCTCAATCACAGCCAAGCCGCGATACGGCGAGAACGACTCCACGATGGCAACGATCACATCGCCCGTGTTGACAGTTAACTCCTCAAAGTCCACCGCGTGTTCCGGGTACCACTCGAACCAGGCATTGTTGCGCGTCTTGCCGCCCTCGTCGTAAAAGTCTACCCCCGTCTGCAAGATCGCCGCGCTGTACGTGTCGCCGTCGATGCCCACCCACGCGGAGCCAGCCTCGGTCTCTTGCCCGCTGACGGCCGTCGGCGCGGGGACGGCAAACGTCGCTGTGACAGCCGTGTAGGGGCCCTCGGGTGGGGGCTTCTCGCGCACGGCGCCCGCCCAGTTATTGCTGTAGGCGACATTGGCACCCGCCTTGCGGAACTGTCCCCCGTCGCCGTCGTCTTCTTGCGTGGCGTTTGGACTAGGGTCTAGTGCGTGTGTTTGCCGCAAGAGGGACCGTCGGTGGAGGCGCTCTGCAAGCCTGGAGCCGGGGGCGGCCAGCGTGGTGCTGCTGAGCAGGTAGGCGGTGGTGAGGAGGAGGAATTTCATTTCCGTCAGAGATGAACTCGATCAATATGAGGAATAGAGATTAGGTTGACGAGATCGACCGGAATGGTCGAGGAGAGTCTATATCTTATACATTCTCCTTCATCGATGCATGCGGATATATTCAACCGGCTGGATCTGGTGACCTCCCCACCCAGCGTCACCTATCGTGGGGCTTCTTCTTTTCCATTTCTTCACGCTTAGCCAAGACACCTGAGGGTGGATGTCCACGCGTACTGTCATCGCTTGGTGGGGGCCGTCACAGCAGCCGTGAAGATGACGCTGCAGGCGGCGATGCGGTCGATGACCGGAATGGAATGTCGACCCATCTCGCGGTCATGAAAATGGGAGGATGATCGGGGACCATGATGGGGCTTAAAAAGGAATGTAAGATGTAGATCGACTACGTAGACCATGGTTTCCTTAACCTAGAATTATTGTTCATTCCAAAGGACAAAGAGTACGCCAGTCATGTTACATTTACACTCAAAGCCCTACGTCGAGGCGTGAGGTACCATCGGCCTCGCATTCCAACCTACGCATCACACCACATGAAGAATGTGAACTCTGACAGTCCGGATGCATCTGACCTTTGTCTTCTCATGAGGGCTGTCCTGATGATGGTCGTATCTTAGGTTCCAATTATAGATTTTATTCTTGTACCTGGTGGTGTTCGTCCATGTGGGATCTTTTGCTCTGATTCTTTTCATTCCCCCATCCTTCTTTGGATTTTATTTTATTTTATATATATATATTTTTTTTGCGTTATCTCTGAGGCTGCATATAATAAAAGATATCTTTACACCCTCTTTCTCTATGATAGGTTCTGGTTGTCAGAGTGGTTGTTGAGGTGGCTTCGGCTAGATTATATATATAGACCAGTTGGCATATCTGTGGATTCCTTCCACCACTATACACACAGAACATGAATGGTAATTGATTGGACGAGATAGAATTATATACTCCCCCGTAAGTACTCCCCCAACGCCATGATAGCCATCGCCTGCCCATAAGGCATCGCAGTCAGCGGAATACGCGTATAAAACTCCAAACTATCGCCCATTGCCGTCCCAAAACTCGTCATCTGCAGCTCCCCCTGCGCGTCAACCTTGTCCATCACGGCCCCAATCGCCCGCCTTGCCACGGCGGCATACCGCGCCGAGATGTACCGCTTGCGCACGGCTTTCAGCACCCCATACGCGAACCCCGCCGTCGCTGACATCTCCACGTAGGAGTCCCCCACGTCCAGAAGCGTGTGCCACGCCCCCGTCGCCCCATCCTGCAGCTGCTCCAGCGCCGCGCATTGCGCTTCCAGAGTCTCCAGAAGATGTACCCGGATCGGATCGCCCTCTGCCAGGTCCAGCAGCTCCACCAACTCTGGGATCGCCATCGTTAGCCAGCTGTTTCCGCGGGCCCAGCGCGCGCGCGCAAAGTGGTGCCCCCCGTCCGCGAAGGTCCACCCGTGGAAAAAAAGTCCCGAGCGTACGTCAAACAGGTACTGCACGTGCAGCAGGAACTGGCGCTTCGCTTCGGCGATGTACGCCGGACGGGCCAGCACGAGGCCGATTTTGGCTAGCGGCAGCACTGTCATCATGAGGGTGTCGTCCCACAGCTGCTGTGAATTTTCCGATAGGTACGTCGTGTGCTGCATGCCGCCGTGGCGCGTGCGCGGGAGGTCGTGCATGGCCCATTCGGCCCACGCGTCCAGCCATGGGAGGTAGACGGGGTTGCGGGTGTGTTCGTAGACGTAGGCAAGGGTGAGGAAGACCGCCATCGTGTTGATGTTCTTGGTCGTGCCGCCCGCGGCGAAGCGCGCGGCGAACCAGTCTTCGATGATGCGCAGGAGGGCCTTGTCGCCGGTGAGCTCGTAGTATTTCCACAGGCCGTAGAGGCCGATCCCGTGCGTCCATTCCCAACCGTGCCACGACTTGGTGTCGATGACGCGGCCGTCTGGGAGGTGCAGGAGGAACTGCCCGGACTTGTCCTCAATGTGGACGAGGTTGTCGATCAGGCGGTCGATGGTCTGACGGACCTGAGGGGGTGGATGTTCCAGAGCCATCTTGGTGGGGTGTGAAGTAGTTGATGAATGAGGGGATGGGGGTTCGATGGAGCGGCTTTTGTATCACGTTCCCCGCATCCGCCTCCGCTGTCTCGGGGTAATGATGGCCGACGTACCCTAGTCTGAAGGATGACGGGTGGCCACTCTACGGGGATGATAAGGTTTGGGTCTCAAAGGTCACCCTCAGGTAACATGCTCCTTCTCCTCCTCTTTGGGAATCCGCACCCAGATACACGTCACCGCAGCGGCAGCCAACTGACATCCCAGCGCGAACCACCAGATGGCGTGCAACCCCCGCAGGCCCACCTCGCCATTCGTCCCCTTGTCCACGCGGGTCCCGATCGCATCCGCCACGCTGGTCAGTATAGCCGACGACAGGTTCTGGTTCGTGACGAGCAGGCTGCCCGCGCTGCCCTGGTACGACCGCGCCACGTTGCTCGTAATGAAGATGGACGCTGCTGCGAACGCGAGATCCGGCCCAAAGGTCACCAGCGCCACGCCGGGGAACGACAGGGCCCAGTAGATGGTGTTTGCCGTCTGCGGCAGGAAGAACGCCGGCCCCAGGGTGAACGCAAACATCGAGGCGATGAAGATGTAGTGTCCTGGCACGACGTGGAGCAGGCGGCTGACGATCCATGCGGCCAGCACCCCGAACAAGGCGTTGGGAATGTGGTACAGCGCTACGGTCACCGGGGACGCACCCTGGATGCGTATCCAGAACTGGATGGCGTAGAACTGCCAGGCACCGAAGAAGGTCCCGAACCCAAGGAAGTAGGCCACCATTAGCGGGGTGAAGCCCGGCGTGCGCCAGAGCCGCGTGGGGATCAACGGGCGGGTGACATACCGCTCGACGACGAACAGACCCGCCAGGAAGACCACGCCGAGTGCAGTGAGGACGCAGGTGTAGGGGGTCCACGAGGTCACGGAGCCTTGGGTCAGGCCGAAGAGCAGGCAGACGCAGCCGGCGACGGCGAGCGCGGCGCCGGCGTAGTCGAACTGGCGCAGCGAGGGGGCCTCCGTGCCAGCGACATCGGCGACGGGGCGTAGCGCAGGAATGGAGATGTAGGCGGCGACGCAGCAGACGGCCGTGATGATGGCGTTGGTGCCGAAGATCCAGGGCAGGTGGTTGTGCAGCAGGCCGCCCTCGATGGCGCCCAGGGAGAAGCCGAACGGTGCCGTGGCGGCCATGGCGGAAAATACACGGTTCTTGCGGATCCCAGGCTTGTACACGCGGCCCAGAATGCTCATACTGCCAGACACCAGGACGCCGATGGCGAGACCCTGCATGGCACGCACGATGAAGAAGAGAACGACGCGCGAGGGGTGCAACGAGAAGGCCCCCACGACATTCCACACACTAAGCCACGCGAACGCACTAATCATGAGGGCCTTGGGAGGCATGAGATCAGAGAGGGATCCAGATACAACGACGGAGATGCCGTTGGCCACATTGAACGAACCGACCAGCCAGGGCAGCTCTGAATTCTGGATGCCCAGTGCACGGCGGAATTCCTCCTGCGGCGCCATGACGTCCCCGAGCAGGAAGGAAAAGAGCATCAGCCCCGCGGAGCAAACTCCGATGAGAACCAGCTCCGCGAAGAAGTTGGGTAGCTCGGGAGGGACGCCCTGGGCTACGCGCGGCGGTGGTGAGGCCGCTTCGTCGGCCGCGTCGAGGGCTGCGGCCTCGGCACGTGTGGACCCAGCGTGGCGTCGTGCCAGTTCATACGCTTCCTCCGGACTATCGACTGCGTCGGTATTGGCATGCAGGAGAACCCTTGAGTTCAGTCGTTCATGTTTGACAAAGTGTTGGCCCAGGAGTGGGTCTGGGGTTTGAGCGCCTGTGGCCGGGGTGAAGGCGGAATTACTGGCATAGTCCCGCAACATGGACGACGGGGGTGACTCCAATTCGACCTGATGGAAAGGACTCGAACGAGATAATTCCATGCCTGACCAGAACTGATAAAAATGGCTGATTTGGCAGTATAGATAAGCGTTGGATGTCTGTGGGTGTGCCTAGATGAGTATATATAGATAGGCCTTCGGAATTGATTTTCCGGAGGAGGGTGGGACTGTGGAGGGAGCTGAGGTGATTTCAAAGCAAGCATCCATGCTACACCAGTCCCAACCCACATTGAATCTGGAAGATGGATTCCGGCAATTTGTCAACGCCAGTCTGTGATCGTACTGTGATGGGACATCGGATCCTGGTGATATGCATTAGCGGATCCTGGCGCGTCCGACCATCCCGGCGTCAATTTTTCTCAACGACCCTCTGTCGCACCAATATCGCTCCACCGAGATTCACAATTGCTCAGCATCCCGACCAGGATAGATTTGAACTGCATCGGTGCGATCAACATGCGTTGCGAGCAGGTGTTGAATATATCCCACGTGACCATATACCATCACGTGCTACTTTAGCCTGAATGAGAGCAGTTTGTTCTGTTTGCACATTTGCATCGTTTTCATGGTTTGCATCACGGCGACGCTTCATCGTCGTCACTTCGCCGGCGCATCCATCTTTCGGTCTTGTCTCGTTCAACCCGAGGACTCTACCTGAACATTGTCGCACTGACCGTTTTTGTTGCAACTGATCAATAATCGAATTGTCGGTCTTGCGCTGGTACTCACAGCACATCCAACGGGAACCCCTCGGACAGCTACCTCTGCGGACACCATGTCGCTCCCCCCAGAGCAGATCAGTATCAAACGGCGGCGCGAGGAAGAGCCTCCCGATACTTTGTGTAAGTATCGGACCGTCGTGGCCCAGCATGTCTTGGGCTAACCCACTCCACCAGATATCCAGTCAGAGATGCATCAAACCAAACGTCGCTTCACGGATTTCGTCTTCCAGCGCGTCCAGGTCAAAGCGAGTGATCTTCGAGCAGGTCACTCCCCCAACCCCTCCGTCCCCGCAGCACCATCCCAGAGACCCATCCGCACCCCGCGGGCGGCCAGTACCTCGAATTTCCCGACCCTCGGTAGTGGTGGTGGTGGCGGCGGTGTCCCGTTAGTGAGAGCTACATCCCCCGGCGCGGAGATCCGCGACGCCAAGCGGTTGGCGGCTGCGCGCCGGGAGCAAGAAGAAAAGCTTCAGCGGGCCCTCCGCTCCTCGCCGATCACCCACGATACTCCCGACACCAAGAGCACGACATCCAGCGGGCGCGGCAGCCCCGCGCCCTCCGTCACGCCGTCGCGAGCCGTGCGCCGCTTCCAGATCTCCCGATCGAGCAGCGCGTTCACTCCCCTGCGCGGCACGGGAGGCGGTGTGCAAAAACGTCGGGAAGGCGGCGTGGCCGTGCTAGTGGAGAAGCTGCGGCGGGAACCGCACTCGCGGCAGGCATCGCGGGTGGCCGATGCGGCGGCCCAGGCGGACCAGCCGGAGGTCAAGGCCCCGTCGGTGGGGACGGCGTCCCAGGGACCGAGCGCGTCGCGTGCCCGCAAGCGACCGGTCGTGAATCGGGCGGAGCGACAGTGGCGGGAACAGCAGCAGACGGCCATCGCCACGGCGAAGCAGAACATCTCGCAGTCGCTCGACCAGGGGGCACGGAATCAGCAGCGGGGAGATTGGGACAACGAGTCGGATCGGTTGGCGGTGGCACTGGAGCGCATCGCGCTTGAGCTCGACGGGGGGATGGACACGGCGGCTCCGGCCCCGACGACGACACAGTCCCCACCTCCGGTGGCTTCCCCAGGGCCTAGCCCCGTGGCACTACCCAAACCGCCGCTGAAGTACCCTCCCCGCACGCCGAACCAGCATCGTCCGGCCCCTCCCGAACGCGGTGCTCCTGGGCCGGACGCCGAGGAGAGCGACGAGGATTACGTCTACGACATGTACATCCGGCGTCCGCTGGCCGAGAGGCGACTGACGGACCCGGTGGCCGACCTCGAGCGGGGTCGTGGGAAAGACATTGACCCGACGCGGCCGGACATCGGGGTGATCGTGATCACGCCGGAAGACGAGGAGTACTGGGAGACCTTCGCCACGGACGACGAGGACGAGGCGTGGGACAGCGAGGATGGGGATTCCAACGGTAAGGCCCAACGATACCACCTGCCATTCAACCCCAGATGATAGGCTAATCTCTTGTCGCACGCACTAGCGGAGAACAACCCGGCCAATGACTACCCCGACGAGGAGTTGTCGTGGGACGACGAGGCAGACGACCCGACGGCGGCGTACCACAAGTACCGACATGGGGATTCTGAGGAGGAGGACATTGGATTTGACGACTCATCTAGCGAGCGAGGGATGCGGGTATCGGTCCCCTACGACAGCGACGAGAGTTGGTAGGGGATCTCGTTGCATGATGGACGGACTTTGGACGGTACACTCAGAGAGAATCGACGAATCCCTCGATCTCTCCTCCCCTCGCCTCCGGCACCAATAATGTCTCTCCTCGGGTCTGCTGGATTTTCGACCCTAATCCACGCCTCCTCGATGCCCGCCGTAATCTCCACATCTGTCATCTGTCGCAGATGCGTAACACCAACGTAGTCATCCCGACCCGGTCCGCCTCGCCTCCCAGCACTGAGGGCTTGGCCGAACCCCCTCGATGAACACCAACCGTATAGCTTTGAAACCCTCGTGACTGTTGCTCTCCGAACTGGCCGACAATCAATCCTGATAGACCCATGCCTAGATGTGGTATGGTGTCGGGAGAGCTCGACGGAGATTGGTCGATTCTATCGCGTGGGCGGTTTATGGGTGATCGGTTGGGACCAGCTGGAACGCCGATCGTTGAACCAGATTTCCCACACGGAGTCACGACGGTTGAGTTGCGCCCGTGGAGCATCGCCTCAAGGGTTCAGCCGTCGTCTCGCCAGACTTGTCTTGGGATTCATTGGAACGGGAACCGACAGGTAGGAGGTGCAGCCGACATGACCTGGATCGCAGGACCCTAATTACCCTTGTTTCACTGTCTGTCTCCTCCCCAAACTGTACCCATTCGTCCCTCTATCCATCCATCAGCCACCAGATATCCCAGGGGACAATTCCACCGCTAGCAGGGGTGGTTGGAAGGGGGATACTCTAGGTGTTGGAAGTGGAGCACGATCGGAGCTGCGACACCAATCATAGAGGACTGAGTGGAGAAAAGGAACCCGGGGAGAAGTCATTGACTAAGTTGCAGGAAGTGGGTCCTGTCCTAGCAGTGGATCATGTCATTGATGATACCGTAGTATAAAGATGGAATGATCATGATTTGACGCTGGAGAAGAGAAGAGACAGAGGAGAGACAGAGAGAAAGAAGCAGAGAAAGAGAGGATTCGATGCTGTGTACACAATTGGCTGACTCACGAGTTATACTCCGTCCACTTTTTTCTTCTTCTTTTCTTGAACCTCATCTTGTCTTCTCTTCTCTCCTCTTCTCTTCATCTTCATCTTCATCTTCATCTTTCTTTTCTCATCTCGTCATCTTGTCTTCTCTTCTCTTCTTCTTCTTCTTCTTCTCACTTTGTCTCTTCCTATTCTTCGGTTTCTATTTCCTCCACTGTCGAAATCTCATCGTCTTGTCCTTCTTTGATCTTCTCTCATTTCCTTACTCTCGTGGGCTCTTCAACAGATTCCCATTCAATTGCAATTACGATCTCTCTGATATTTCCGTCAATCCATCAATTCAGTTATTCCTCCTCGTGGGACGGCTTCGTTTTTCCTCTCTCTGTCGACTGATCGTCCACCTCTGACTGAAACTCCCCATATGTCATGAGCGGTCCCTCCGTCTCGCCATTATGAACGTTTCCAAGGTTGTGCCCTGGCTCCGGAGACTCGTCGACCGCCTGGCGACTGCGCCGGCAGAGGCCTTCGATATGTGCTGGGATGTTGGCCGTCGTTACTTCTTTACCCTTGCCTTTCTCTCCCTCTTCCTCGCCAAATGCGTCCACCTTTACGCCCACATCCACTCCCTACCCGTCCACAAAGTCATCCTCTGGAGCATCACCTTTTTCTTCCAGGATGTCATAATCCTTCTATTCTTCCGCATCTTCGTCCAGAGGATCCGTTGGCGTCCGCTGTCCGCGCTCTGTGCACTACTCGTCACGTCAGCTAGGTACGGGCCGTCCCCAAATTCACTTCACTCTTCCCTGTCCATCTCCTAACATTTGTCGTCGTTCAGCTTGATCATGTCCGGCATGGCCTCCGCCAACACCTCCTTCTACGTCACCACCGGCGCCGAGATTCACTGGCGACAGGCCAGTACCTTCAACGGCGATCCCGCAGCCATGAAGACCCTCCTCACGGGATTGACCGGATTCCTCATCGCCGAAGGGGCTCTGTTGATTGCCACCGGGTTTGTCGCCCGACCGATCCATCGCATAACCGGAGGTCTCCTGCACATCTGGGCCAGTCCATTCCGCTGGCTCCTGGCCCGCCGGCCGGCGTCGATGGACCCGTTTCGGCGACTCTGCTCCTCCCACCCCGCCTCCTCCGCCAGCCCGCTCCCCGATCCCGAAGTCTACGAGCGGGTCAACTGCAACGATGATGCCGGTGAGAAAACTGACGACGAGGAGAGCGATCAGCTGCTGGGAACCCCAACCGGCGTGTCCTCGGCGCCCCCAAAGCCTGCCACCGACTCGATGCGCCGCCGGGTCCTCGTCATGGGCGCCTTTGGTCTGTTCCTGTTGCTCCGTGCCCTCCGGCCGTCGGACCCGGTGTACCGCTACCTGTCGGGCACCCTCCCGCTGTCCCCCTTTGACGATGGCGGCCACCACGACTCGCCCGTGGTCACGACCGGCCTCGAGGGGGATTATGAGTATCTGAATGGCGTGTCGGCGCTGAAGCCCCCGCCCGCCTGGCACTGGCTGCCGGACGCCCCGTTGCCAGGCTTCTCGGACTGGAACGCCTCCGACAGGGACACGCTCCATTATCGACCGGACGCGGACCCGCTCCACATCCCGAATCTCCAGAACCCTATCCTGGAGCCCATCTCGGAGGTGCTGAACGACGGGCGCCTTCAGATCAAACACATCGTGTTGGTTAAGCTCGAGAGTACCCGCGCCGATGTCTTCCCGCTGCAGAACGATTCATTCATGTACCATCGGATCGCGGAGACGTACGAGGACCAGACCATCCCGCCGGACGTTGAGGCGCGCATCGCGAACCTCACCCGGACGGCCGAGTTTCTGACCGGCTTCCCCACCGGCTTTGGACCCGGGGACCACGGGCGGTTTGGCGGCCGTACCACCTACGGCGGCATCAGCGCGCGCAATGCTGTCACGACCGGCACGTACACGTTGAAGAGCCTGGTGGGAACCCTGTGTGGGGTGACACCGCTCGTGGCCGACTTCAACGTCGAGTACCGGCATCACATCTACCAGCCCTGCCTCGCCCAGGTCTTCAACGCCCTCAGCCAGCAGCCTGATATCACACCGGACACGGACGATTTCACCCATTGGCCCTGGCACTCGACCTGGATGCAGTCCGTCACTGAGACCTACGATAAACAGGACCTCCTGACGCCGATCCTCGGGTACAGCGAGAAGCAGACCAGGGAGACGATCGCCGCGGCCAAGTCCCCGCACCGGCCCGAAGAGGTCAACTACTATGGGTTTCCCGACACGGCGCTGCGCGAGTACATCCGCGAAGCTATCGACGATGCCGAGCGCGGCCACCGGCGCCTCTTCCTCACGCACCTGACGGGGACCACACACCATCCGTGGCGGATGCCCAACAACACGTACGAGGAGCTCACAGGCACGAATGGCCCGGTAAACAACGACCTGAACCGGTACTTGAACACCATTGGATTCGCGGACGACTGGCTGGCCGAGATCCTGGACATCCTCGAGGAGAAGGGTGTGGCCAACGAGACGCTGGTGGTCCTGGCGGGCGACCACGGGCTGTCGCTGCCCAACGACGGCGGCGTCACCCCCTACGACAACCCCCACGTCGGAAGCTTCCAGGTGCCGATCGTGCTGGCGCACCCGCATCTGCCCCCCGTGGAGATCTCGACCCCGGTGATCAGTGACCAGATCGTCCCCAGCATCCTCGACCTCCTGATCGAGTCGGACTCGGTGGGTCCACCGGCGGCCAAGCGGGCGGCGCACGACCTGCGTGGGCAGTACGAAGGGCAGTCGCTGATCCGGTCGCTGGTCCCGGAGCAGGACACGCGCCAGCACTGGCAGTTCTCAGTGATGAACACGGGCGGGTCGTGGCTGGCGGTGCGGTCTGCCGCGCGCCCTCAGTTCCGGCTGGTGATCCCGCTCGTCGACGACGTCGAGTGGCGGTTCTCGGACCTGGATCGGGACCCCGACGAGCGGGATCCGGTCCAGCGCCTCAGCCTGGTGGACCTGGTCGAGACGATTGAAGAGGATTACGACGAGGACGCACTGAACTGGGTGCGCGACGCGGCAAACACCGCCAAGTGGTGGGTGGCGGAGAACTGGCGCCGGTACCAGTACAATCCGGAGGCGGAGGCCAAGTACAAGGCTGAATCTGGAGCTGGGTCTAAGAACGGGACTGGATCCGGGGCCGAGTCTGAGTCCAACAATGAATCTGAGGCCGAGAACAACACCGATTCCAAGAGCCAGTCCGAGTCTGAGTCTGGGTTTGAGCCTGAGTCTGATTTTGAGCTCGAGTCTATGGTCGAGTCTAAGATCGAGCCCATGCACGGATTTCAGGCCAACCCCATGGCCGAGCCCGTGCCCACTGCCGAGGACAAGGAATGAGCCTGTTTTTCACGTTCGCGACAAGTTCTAACATATCTCCTCCCCTTCCTTCATACGCACAACGCACAACGCACAGTTGTCACCGGACGCGAACCTCCCGTCTTCCCACCCTCCCCTCTAAGCCTACATGAATACCGCAGGAGAACCGGAGACTGGACCGGAGTGCATACACCACGATAATACCACCATGTACATAGTATTTAACAATCTCTGAATCATAATCCCAAATCTGTTGGAGCAGCCTTATATCGGAAAACCAATGAAGACGTAGACGGTGGAACACGTGGCTGGGTGGCTGCAGTGGTGCAACCGCGGATCGGACCTTGAAACATGACATCGGCTCCATGTACTTGGTCTTACCTCCCCTCCCCCTTTTTTCTGTTTCTTATCATGTGTCTACTCCTTACATAAATCGTTACTGGCTAATACGTAGAACAAAAGCACATCGTAAGGGGAAAATATAGAAGACCCTGTCTAACGCTATGGTACACAACCGACGCTGGAAGCTATCCACGCGAATAGAACGGAAGAGTTAAAAGAAATGGAGATAATACGGATGATGAAGCTGAAAGGAACTTCCACTCTTCCATCCCTCATCCATCGATCCAGCGGATGTCGTCGCTCGCCCTCTATCAGCAAGATCCAATTGCGTCTGGACGACCGCTGAAGCGACTCATGACCGGCATGAGGCCTGCATGGACAAAAGAATTAGATAAAACGACAAACGCCCAACGGACGCGCGTGTACATGGGAGTATCATGAGAACAAGAAAAAAAAAGGCAACGGCGGATATATGCACAGAGAGAGGGGGAGATCAATATAGCAGGACTAGCGCGGTTTGGGCCAGCCGTCAATGTCGCCAAACCACCGCGACCGGTAGATTTCGAGGCCCTCGTTGATCGCGCGGTAGACGCCGTTCTCGACGATGCTGGTGTGGTTGCCGCGGTATTTCTGCCAGAGGGCCTGTACGTAGATAAAGCTGCCGTCGGGGGCGACACTGAAACTCTTCAGGTCGCCCAGGGGCAGCTCGTGGACGACCCCGTCGCCGCCCACGCCGTGGCGATCGTTGGTGGTGACGTGGAAGCCTGGCAGGTACTTGTCGACGACCGCGGCGTTGTGTTCGGTGAAACGACCGGTCGGGATGTCGAAGGCGTGCACGCCCGCATCCTCGGAAACGAGGAACTTGCGCTGGTTGGGGACGGGGACCAGGTCATGGAGGCCGGTCCACCAGGAATAACCCGGGCCCCACTCGACGTCCTGCCGAATGGGCTCGTCGAGGCGGTATACATAGGCATCGTCGGTATGGAGGAGGCCCGTGGCCTGGTCGAACGGGTAGGCGTGGATGGTGCCGCGTGCGGGTTCGGGGTCGGATCCGTCGGCCGCCAAGTCCGTGCCGGCCGCCCAGAGCATGCTGCCGGCCTCGTCCCAGATCAGGCCGTGGATGGCGCGCAATCCGGTGACGTTCTGGAGGATGGGCGGGCTGGGGTCGAGGGGAAGGGCCTCACTCGTGTTGTACACGAGCACACCGTCCCAGGAGCGCTGGCCGGTGGTACCGATGGCCATGCGGTCGCCAGGCAAGGGCTCGAGGGTGTGCGCATTCCAGAGGAATTCATTGTCGCGGCAGATTGCCCAAGTGATGAGCTTATCGGTTTCCGGGTTGTCGGGCGTGTGGTTGATGATGAGGGCGAGGGCCGAGTAGACGGCGGCGACGGCCGTGCCGTTGCGAATCCACTTGAGCTCCGTCGCATCGTTGGCGCTGCTGTACAGGCAGTTGCGGATCTCTTTGGGCAGGTCCTGCTGCACGTCGTCACGCTCGAACTTCCACTTGACGATCCCGTCGCGGTCGTGAATCCTGATTAACGGTGGCACCCCGTAGTGGCCGGTGATGATGTCCTCCCATGGTCCCTCCGCGGCGACGGGGACATTGTTCTCCGGTCGCAGGCGCGCCTGCGGTTGAATCGGGGGGACGGCTAGGTTGGCTAGAGGATCAAAAAGGTAGAAGAACCAGCCGAGGAAGCTGCCCAGCATTTTTTTTTTTTTTCCTTCTATTTTCCCCCTTTGAGTGTTTTTTCCCTTTTGGCCCCCTTCTTTGCTGTGTCTTTCTGTTGGTACTTTTCTTCTGGAAAACAAAAAGAAAAGGAAAAGGAAACAAAAATTAGATTTTGGACAGTGCTATAATCCTGCGAATCCCTCGATGGGGCATGGAAGCGCAGGACGGAAAGGGGAACGGAGTGAGGGATTTGGAGAGACTAGGATAACAGCACATGCAAGGTGTCAAGTCCTGTCGCGGGTCGGGTGGAGTCGAGTCGAATCCAAAACCGACGGCCAAGAAGGGGACGTGGTAGGCAGCCTTACCAGACGGAAAAGAAGACGAAAAGGTACGTCAACTGGGGATCATGCGGAATGGGGAAAGCAACGTCAGGCAGAAGACCAACTCAACAATAGATAGAAAGACAAAGGAACAAAGGACGAAGCCGATCAGAGAATCCTCCGTCTCTTTCCCTCGAACAAACCCCACAGAGGCACAGAGGACACACAGAGGCAAAACTTCCAGGTCGATAACAGAGAAAAGAGACCCACCATCAGAATGGCGACGACAAGCATGATTGACTGGTAGGGGTACGAAAAAACCGGGGCTCATCCCGGGGGGTGGCCCAATCATGGCGCGATGCCTCCATTCAGCCTTGTCTGGTACTTCCCAACACACTGACTGAACGGGAAAAAAAAAGAAAAAAAAAGAAAAAAAAAAACCACCAGGTCCTAGCCACGCTGGCGGGCCGCACTGACTGAGTTGAGCGTCAAAAAAAGGGTCCGCCAATCAGTCCAGGAAAAGACATGACGCCACCAGCCGACTGATCCGGTGGATTGCTTACGGGGTGGCATCATCCTGACTCGTGTGGAAGCAGGGAGAAAGGCATTGGACCTGGAATGCAGACACATCAGATTCCACCATCATTCAAACGCGCATCGGGCGACTTACCCCCCTTCGAATGCAAGCCAAGACCCAGCATAGCCCCATACAGGCCTGGGCAGACTGGTGGTGGTGATGGACGAAAGGGAGAGAGAGAAAGCTGGAGTGGAGATCTTGGCAGTCCGAAAAGGGAAGAGGATCGGTGTGGTCGCGTGACCTGAACGGCACGTGCGCGGACCCCTTCTCCGCTTATGTCAGCGGCTTCGGCTGTCACGTGGATGGTGCGGACCAACCGATGATCCGGAGTATGTGCCTATGGGTAGGACAACTGGCAAGAATCTACAGTCTCCGACGTCCCGAGGATATTAATAGATACAAACAATCCATAGCGACAACATCAAGATTGAGCATACATCTGGTCACCTCAAGTCCTTGGACTGGGGCAGATATCCCAATCTTTCCGCCCGTGCCGAGAGTCCCTGTATTGGCTCGCGAAGGTTGCACATGGGGGTTCTAGTAGTGGTACTGGATGACATGGATGGTCTTCTTTGTAGTAGGAGACGGTTAGGAGGCGATCTCTTTCACTGTCCATCTAAGTGCCCCTTCACCTCATCTTCTCGGATCCAATGCCCACTCTTCCCCCCCTTTTTCTCCAGCAACTGAACGCCACCAATGACCATCCCTTTGTCCACAGCCTTCAGCATGTCGTACACAGTTAATGCGGCGCCCATAGTCGCCGTCATGGCTTCCATCTCGACGCCCGTGCGACCGAGACAGCTGACAGTTGCCCGCACCTGCATGGCACCGTGGCCCATGGAGTCACCGCCCGCGGCCGAGGCGGGCTCCCCCAGCTGCACATCCACCTCGACACCGGTGATGCCGATCCCGGGATGACATAACGGGATCATGTCGGGCGTCTTCTTCGCGGCCATGATGCCTGCGATGCGTGCGACACTAAACACGTCTCCCTTGCGCGTGATGCCTCCTTCGCGCAGCAACTCCCACGGACGGGGGTTAGAGAAATGGACCTCGCAACACGCCGTGGCCTGCCGTTCTGTGACGGGCTTCTGGCCGATCTTGGTCATGTGTACGTGGTGCTGCGGCGTGAGATGAGGAAGGTCGGGATCCGACGTCGTTGGAAGCGAGGCCGATGGCCGGTCCTTGGGTGTTGTGTCTGTTCCCCGACGGGCGGAAGAACTGCTACGCCTCTGGTGATATAACCGGATCTGACCCGCAGGAAAGGCAGAGGAAAGCAAATGCAGTGGGATGGTTGTCTGTGTACTCGCCTGTGGAGACCTGACCATACGTCCATTATCTAAACTCCCTTGATCAGCGTGGATTCAAATGATAGCAATCTTGTATATACAGTGAAGCGGCCACCAAAAGCCATAGGAAGCTATATATAGACACCAGATGCTGCGCAAAAGTTCATCACTCGTAAAATCATTGAAGCAAAGGAAGTCCGCCTACCCACCGATCAGAATCATAGGGCGGTTCTTCATGTTCTCGAGTTGGCCCATGCCGGCATGCTTGGCCTTCTTGCGTTTGACCGCGGCACCGATGATGTCCAGCAGTTCCCGCTCCCTCGGATTGACCATTCCTCCTTGATCGTGCACTTCGGCCGCTTTTTCGGCCGCTTCAAGAAGGCCCAACTCGTGCAGTGCGACGTCGTCTATTGGCTCGCCATTGTTTTGCTTGCGGATCACATCCCGCAGGGAAACCTCCGAGTTGCCAAACAGGCACACCTTGAGGTTGCCATCGCCGGTGATGCGCAGACGGTTACAGGTCCCGCAGAAATTGTGGGTCATGCTCGTGATGAACCCCACCCGACCCTGGAACCCAGGGACATGGTAGGTCTTACTCGTGTCGTTCTTGTGGTCGGGCACTTTGTCCAGGCTGGGATATTTCTCCCGGATGACTGCCAGCATCTCCTGGTACGAGAACATCTTGCCCTGGCTCCACTTGTTGCCGTCGAAGGGCATGTACTCGATGAATCGCACTTCGATGGGACGGTCGCGTCCCATCTCCACGAACGGGACGATCTCACGATCATTGAGCCCGCGCATCACAACACAGTTGATCTTCAGCTTGATGCCGGCACCCGCCTTGTTCATCTCCAGGATCCGATCAATGCTCTTCATCACGGCGTCGAACCCCCTCCGCCTCGTCATGATTTGGAACTGAAAGGGATCGAGCGTATCTAAGCTCAGATTCACCCCCGTCAAGCCCGCCTCCACCATGGGGTCCAGCTTGCGGTGCAACGAGATTCCGTTGGTGGTCAGACATAGCTCCCGGAGCCCATTCCGGCGCAGTTCCCCGATCGACTGCATCAGCGGCACGATATCTTTGCGCACGGTGGGCTCTCCGCCCGTCAGTCGAATCTTCGTCACACCCTGGGACACGAAGAGCGACGAGAGGTAGACGATCTCGGGGGAGGTCAGGAGGTGCGCGGATGGCGACAGCTGGATTCCCTCTTCGGGCATGCAGTACAAACATCGCAGGTTACAGCGTTCCGTGACGCTAATTCGAAGGTAATCATGCTGGCGATGAAAGGTATCGGTCAGGAAATCCGAGAAGGGTTTTGCCGACTTGAGGGCTGACCATCGTTGTGCGGGGTCTTTCTCGGGGGAAGTCGTGGGCGTTGTCAAACCCTGACTATAGTTCTCAGACAGACTGTCTTCAGGCGCAGCAGAAGACTGTGTCACTGCAGACTCGGACCCATACGAGCGACGCGGTGCAGAAGCATGATGTCTGGAGTATCGATGATAGGAGCTGCGGGGAAGGCGGGGTGACGCGAGTAGAGAGACCGCCCGTCGCCTCGATAACAAAAACTCAGCCATACTCAGCAAGTGGCCTTCCTACTCACGAAGCATAAATTCACAGGGGATGCTTGACATATTCCCGACATGGGACTATTTGAAAGGGAGAGACAAGGAGGCCTTCTTATCAAGGGAGGAAGAGATGTGGTTATATGAATGCGGGGGCGACCAGATAAAGCGGGCATTCCTATTACTAATCGGAACACATCTGGATTATGTAAGGGCCAGACCGATAGACTCGTGCAGATCACGTGGCATGATGATGACTACTGAACCAGTTACAGCCTTAAGGCATCAAGGCCCATGTCCTTTTCTGAATCGCATCAATCACAACGTCTTGGATGGCCGCTTGATTAACGCCAAGGAAGCGTTCGAGCTGAAACAGGTTCTCGGGCGCATCAAGATATTTATCCTCCAGGGTGATATATGGTCCATCGGGGAGCTCGTAACTTCGTTTCTCAGTCCCAGCCTCACGATCGGGGTCCAATGCAACACGACAGCACGCCTCTTTGATACCATTCAGTGTGTCTCGTCATATCTTAGAGATTGCCCGAGGTAGCTCGTGATATCACTGCCAACGGCTTTAACTTTGGAGGCAACATAAGGAAGAGTATAGCCCTCGTAGACCGGAACGATTTGTGTCAGCCCGTAGCCAGAATCCAGCACAACGCCGCTGTTACGACCGGAGGCGTATAGACACATGGCCTGTTCGTTTGGAACATACATTGCTGGGACCTTGAACTTCTCAAAAAGGATTTGAGTCGTGTTTGCGCGGCCCCACCGTGGGTTATGTATGGCATCGGTCATTAGAACCGGATGCTCTTCCGGCGCAACCTTGAGCTCATCGTGAAGGATATAATTCCGGATGGCTTCCATGTCATGCCAGTCCGTGACGGCGCCGCGTTGAACTGGACGCTCCAGAGAAAGAATACCCTTTTTCATCACCATCTCGTCGCCGAAATATGTGGTCCTGGAGTCAAGGGTGTAGATTCGCTCATGCTGGCACTAAAACCAGTGTCTTGGGCATTGGAATTATTGACTACCTTCCACTGGAAGAATCATCATTCCTGGTACGACCGATCACAGAAGCTGTGGTCATAAAGTCAGCGCGCACTTCGTCCTTTTGTGCGTAATCGGAAATAACGCAGTGTTTAGGGAAAGTCATTCTAGAAAGTCTGTACGGATCACATTGTGTGGAGAAACATCTCCAGCAAATCCGAACTTGCGGGATCCAGTTCTGTCGTAGTAATTAGCTGACTTGATCAAATCCTTGAACGTATTTCGTCCGTGACTGCGGCTTCAAAGGACATACCCAGTACCAATCACAATTGCGCGTACTTGATCATCCATGGCTAAAACTCCAAGGAGGCCTACTGCAGGTGTAACACGTCACGCTCTACCTTTGCAGCATGATGAAATATTTATACCAAGAACGCATATGAAAGATGTTGTCATGCTTATCCTTCCATTGAATTAGCTGTCCTCTATGGACTAATACAGTAGATTAGAACAGGTACCTTGACTATTCACTCTTGGCCTTGCTATTTCCCTGTGGCTGCCTTTCTATACTATACCACGGGGAGAAAGGTAGAAACTGTACGCCTCTCTACGGGAGGTACAATTCTCTGATGAACACACCCATTCGGTTCTAGATTCCTTGACAGGAAATGATCTAGTGACTAACGGATACAGAGAGACAACCATCAGAAGCATCCAGGAATGACACAGAAATGCGTTAAGCTCTACATAGCATCGACTGCATCAAGTAAGGAAGGTAAGGAAGCTGGAACTGACTCAACCTCAACTACCATCATAATCCACCGAAATTCTCTCCTATTTATCAACCCGGGCACTTTCCCTTGCAGCACAGCACCTTCCAGCCCTGTTTGCACTTGCTACCACAGCCAGTCTTTGAAAGCATACAGCGGGTCGGTCTCTCCCCTCTTGCAGCCATCGTCGCATGTAGGCGCCGTGCCAGCGTAGTAGCACTTCTTTGGGGGTGGGCACACGCCCATGGCATCTGTTTTGCGGAGATCGTTAGCAATGGTACCAACTCCTGACGGCAGATAGGGACATACCAAGATTCGGGAAATGACCAGCCATGCTGTTGGGCTGGGAGAGCTCCATCTGAAGCGACGGCGACGCTGAGGACAGAGAGGCCGCCACGAGGGTGACAAACACGTAAATGAGGCGCATTATGGATGGCTTTCACAACGGGACCACAGTGCACTTCACACAGTCTTCAACGGATTGATTGACCCCTTCTGAGTTTTCGAGAAGACCAGCTCGAGAGTATTGGAGTGGAAGCTGGATTGCCAGATCGTGGACAATGCTCATTATAGTGCAGGGGCCATGCTGAGGAAGAGGGCAACGGATGAACCGTAATTTGTGCGTTTCAGAGAAACAACCTTGACGGGCTGACCAACTTCTTCTTCATCCCTCGAAGTTGGTGTGACAACTTACCCCACAAAGGATCGAACGCAACATCCTGGGGTTTCAAGGGTAATTGAAAAAACAGAGCATGGGTTTTCCTTCGTCTTCCTCGTCGAACTTACTCCTGGGGTCCATGCAATTATTGGCTATGACCAACAATGAGTTCAAGTCGATCCTCTGATACCCTCTTGCTGACGGACTCTCCATAACCCGTAGCTGATTCTGCACGCTCCACTCTTCTAGGATTTTATTTATAGCGAGGCCGTGGGAATGTAGTGCCTCCCAAGTCCCCACGAACAATCTCCAAGGACATGGTGTCATGCGGATGAGGAGCCAGAGTTGTCCGACGGTGAAAAGCGGAATGCTTCTGATGGCGGGGTGTGCGGATTCAATTCCTTTCCCACACTGAGACGCTCGTACATCCTGAGCATCTCCTCCATGGGTGGTAACTGATCCGGCGAATGATCTTCCGGACCACAGAGATCGGGGTCGCGAGCATACAGCTCCCGTTGGGCTTTGCGGTAACCCCCTTGCTGGGCAGACGTATCGGAGAAAGCGCTAAGCACAGCGAGCCCCTGTGCCTGGTGGGCGAGTTCGACGAAATCAAATGTTGGTCGCCCACCGGTGCGCACGGTGACGGATTGGCGGAAGACCGGAAACAGCTTTCTCCCCACCGGCGTGTTGTGGTAGATCATCGAGAATGCGCTGGTCAGAGAAAGGAAATCACGGTCGAGTACGTCGAATGACTGGTGCTCAAGCATGGTGAAGAGCGCTAGCATAATGACGTACATAACGTACTGGTGGGAGCGACGGATCCCGAATTCGCACCGATGCAGTCGAACGAGAGCCGAGATCTCGCGTGCGGAGGACAGGGCCGTCTCGAGCGCGTGGGGATCGACGACTCCACTGTATTTTCCATGCGATTGTTGCCATCCGCGAGCATCGCAGGGGACAGCCCCCTGGAAATGTTCGAACGACAAGATGATGGTGAGAGCGTGGTAGCGCATTCTATCATGAAATTGTTAGCTTGAATCGCCAAACTGAGAGTCGTTGTATTGGCATCACGAACTTCAGCAGGACAAAATGTGGTGCCAGGGTCTTGGTGTCAGAAAACTTCGTGGGTAATTCGCTTTCCCATTGTCTTAGGCTCTTGTAGAAGTGCTCTTTGCGCTCAACAACATCAATGCCGGGCTCTACGTTTTCGTGATATATGTGGCATATGTCTCTCGCAATATATGACAGTCTGCAAGACTCGTCGAAATACTCGCTCATCCAGAACGGCCGTGCCTGTCCATCGATGGGATAAGGTACCCACTGTTCATCTTTGTCAGAGTCATCACGCGCGATACGGTCGATGCTGACTTCGTTGACGCGACATGGTCGGAGGAAGTTTGCGTGAACGACCCTGGACCCTTTATTATCATCCCGTCGCCACGTCGAAGGGATATTGATTTCACTCACGTGTCCACTTGAAACAGTCCCCACGCAGTTCGCTTGATCGACGATATCATATCCTCCGTCATGTGTGTCTTGCTGAGGTTCAACTTTGGACCGTTGATAATACCCAAAGCCTCTCCCAGGTCAATAGCAAGATTGAGCAATGCATAACCATTACCATCTTCTCCGGACATGGAGTATCTGCGCAGCAGGCTCATCAGCTTTATTATTTGGCCGACATCGGCGACATAGGGTCTCGGGAATGGCTCACCTCTCGTACAAAAGCAAGGCAGCCTGTAACGAAGCCAAGCGCACAACGGAGCCTCTGTCGAATTGGTGGGCTCCCAAATGCCGCTCCGCCTCTGCCAGAAATTTCGTGCTCATCGTATCGACATCTTCGGCGGTCATATTGATCTCTGAGCCTTCGGCGTACATCTGTTCGCGCGAATCGCATCAGCCTTCCTTCGGGTTCTAAGAGTAGCATCCGGAATCCCTACGCATGCATTGGCAAGTATGGCGTTGACCAGAAACGGGCTGCAAAGATCGGAGTTCACATTTCCTATAATCATGTATCTCAGAAGAATGTCGCGGTCGACAAAGGCATAAAATGGGTAGTCCCAGGTAAAATACAATGACACCAGGTGAGAGACCAAGTTATCATCATCGGTCACAGTTGTCCATGGCTTAGCAGGAACCTTGAAATAAGCCATGTTACACATATAATCGATGTCCATGACTTTGGACCGATGCTCCAGTCGCCCGGTCTCAGCATCCGCCCTGCGTTTCGTCCCCCGAGCTGTGGGCAGCCAAGTGCCATTTGTCTCCGCTGTCGCATTCCTGGGGACCACGCTATCCATAAATGCGCGAACCTCCTGGATAGTGGCATGTCGACGGATCATCTGTAGTAGCGTCCGTGTGTGCCTCTCGTCGGCCGACCGAATTATATTGAAAAGGTCATTGATGAGTTTGTTGTCCCTATCATTGGGCCCGTCGGGGTCTTGTTTCGCAGCATGTCCATGATCTTGTCGGTCGGATCTTGTGTCTTTCCCGATGTCTGCCATTGGGATAATCCAACAACTGGAGTATGCTGTGTCTGCACACGACACTCAATTTCGAGTGCTGACTATGGTTCCGGAATATACTGTTGAAGACGCGGTCCGGGTTTTACCAGGGTCTGATCGGGCTGTGAAAAAATCTCGAGCTGATGCACGAAGCAACGCGTGTGTTGATCGATTAATCGCTGGGAAATTATCATAATGGCAGCGAATCCTGGTAGTACCATGTTGGATACGTCATCACCCTGGTTTATGTGCCGGAGAAACCGTTCGTCCTTCTTTCGGCCGGATTTCTTAAAGAGAAATACCGGCGGAGCAAACCCATGATTACAGATAGTGATGTCACTCTAACATCACTACGATAAGGAGTTTTCTCAGCCCTCTAGATCTCACGTCTTTTATCTTCCAAGATTGATCCGCCAATCAGTCGCTTCGAGTTCCTGGTTCTATGGTATCTAATTGTACCTGCCCCTCATGATGCTTGAATACACGGTTATGGCTATGTTCAGGTCAACCAGGGTTAGCGGGGTCACGTGGGTTCTAAGGGACACCCATGAACAACAGAAGTGTGAAGGATGGATTGATCGAAACGGACCTCTCATTCCATGGAACCCACGCTCTAAAATCGACATTCCCATTTCCTTCTAACTAAAATGCATGGAGTCCTACCGTTCTATACCCCCGTAATCTGTCCGACGTGGTTGTCCAATATATTCCCGGCTATGTCCCCTGTCTTACTCTGACCCACCACCAGCACCAATACCCAACCTGCGACTAGATATCTGGTCATGCACCCTGCCCCTCTATCATAGCAAAGGATGCCATCGCACAGCAGCCAAGCATGCAGGATACTACCCCGCCGGCTTCACCGGAGGCCAAATACAGTGCAATCCGGGCGGAATCGGGACAGGTGGGGATAACAGAGTTTAAAAGACGGAAAATAGGCTTCACGATGACTCACTGTGATATCACTTCATCAAGTGTCTCAAAAGCGGGGAATCCATAGATGGATCCCTTTAAATTGCCCCTCCCCGTCCGATCCATTCTATCTCTGGATTTTTCAAAGCACATTCATCAGCATAGTTTCACACTCGTACACTGCACCAACAAGTCCTCCTCTCACCCCAATAGATGAAGAACCACTAACACCGTCCAGGGACAATGTAATCCCCTCCGCCCGACCTACGGGTCACTCTGCAAATCTACCGATGGAAGCCATGCACTTTTGGCTGGACTCGTCTTCGCACGATCAAGGTATCTCAGGTAACGTCTGGGCATGGGCCGGTGTTCGTCCTGTCGTGGGTATATCATAGACCTACAGATATGATATATCCACGACGGGTTCGTTCTGAGATTATACGGTCACAACTTGATCTGGACAATACCAGCGAAAGGATCATGCCTTCCCTCGTCCCTTTCACGTGGAATGGCTAACAGTGTCCAGTTCCCCACTCCAGCCAGCAAACATGTCTCCCCCAGCAGCCATGATCGAGACCGTCGCGGCCCCCGCTGCCACCAAGAAGGACATCGTCGTGCCCCGAGGCCTCCCCGCCGACGATGTCCCCCAGACCCAGCTGCTCGACCGGTTCGGAAGCAAGTGGGACGAATTCCGCTTTGCGCCCATCCGCGAGAGCCAGGTGTCCCGCGCCATGACGCGCCGCTACTTCCAGGATCTGGACCGCTACGCCGAGAGCGACATCGTCATTGTCGGGGCTGGATCGTGCGGATTGAGCGCAGCGTATGTGCTGGCTAAGGCGCGACCGGATTTGAAAATCGCCATCATCGAGGCGAACGTCTCCCCTGGTACGTCTCGACACCTCCATAGAAGGCCAAACCGCAGAATAGAGTACTAACAGGGCAACAGGCGGCGGAGCCTGGCTCGGCGGCCAACTCTTCTCCGCAATGGTCATGCGCCGACCAGCGGACGTCTTCCTCCGCGAGCTCGGCGTGCCATTCGAGCAAGACGCCGACAATGCCAACTACGTGGTAGTGAAGCACGCAGCGCTGTTCACATCCACGCTGCTCAGCAAGGTGCTGTCCTTCCCGAACGTGAAGCTCTTCAACGCGACAAGCGTGGAGGATCTCATCACGCGACCGGGCAGCTCCGGCCCTGAAAGCGCACGCATCGCCGGCGTCGTCGTCAACTGGACGCTGGTGACGATGCACCACGACGACCAGTCGTGCATGGACCCCAACACGATCAACGCGCCGATCGTGGTGTCCACGACTGGCCACGACGGCCCGTTCGGCGCCTTCTCCGCGAAGCGGCTCGTGTCGATGGGTGGGATCGACAAGCTGGGCGGCATGCGCGGCCTGGATATGAACTCTGCGGAGGACGCGATCGTCAAGAACACGCGTGAGGTGACCAAGGGACTGATCATTGGCGGGATGGAGCTGTCGGAGATCGATGGCTTCAATCGTATGGGTCCGACTTTTGGAGCCATGGTGCTCAGCGGTGTCAAGGCTGCGGAGGAGACGCTGAAGGTGTTCGACGTGCGCAAGAGGGAGTGTGCTGAGAACTAACTTGGGACTTGTGACCCTTGTAGGCTTTAAAAAAAGCCGTGGGTTGAGCTGGAGATGCGTTTGCGGATGATGTCTCTGTCTTTCGCTTATACTAGGGACGAGTTGTTTTGCGCGATCACAGAATGCTATCTTCCGATCGAGAATTGATCTATTATTTATTAACCATCATGTCCAATCTATTCAGTAGACACGTGGATGTAAAATGCAATATAAGGATAAACACATACAAGAAGGCAACTCACTCCAGCCTCTCCCCCTCTCCCACCCCAGCAGCAACAGCCAACGCTCGCGCGTTCCGCACCTCCCACTCAAACTCCTTCAACGCCCTCAACTCACTCGACACGAACAACCCCCCGATCAAGCCGTCCAGGATCCCCGCCCCGAAACTCAGCGTGCTCACCAGGACCAAGATGAACGCCACATACGCGAGGTTGTTTCCCGTCCACCACACCCCGACAAAGCACCCAATGGACACCAGCACCGACGCCACGAAGTGCGCGAGTCGCCAGCGCCGCTGGGTCCGTTCACGCACGACATACGTGGCGATCATCTCGAGGATGCGATCGTAGGTTTCCGCGCCCAGGGTCTGCACGCCACGCCGCTGGGCATCCTTCTCCAACTCCGCAGCTGCCTTCGTCGGTGTGCGTGTAATCACAGCCTCGACAGAGAAGTGGTCGCTCAGCGAACACCGCAGCGTCGGATGCCGCTGCGTCATGCCCAGATGCACTGACTCGACGCTCCACCGCGGGGTGTCCGCATCATCCCCTAGCGCGGAGCCCCCATCACCGACAAAGATATAATCCAGACGTTTGCCGCGCGGGTCCGCCGCCTCCGGATTCACCGCGACGTCTTCGCGGGCGAGACGTTTCCGGTCTGCCTCCGACCAGCGCCACGTGTTGTACTTGCCGTCGCAGGTGGCGCCGTTGACGCGCAGGTTGAACTCCGCGGACGGGACGGGACGATTACGGCGTTTCTCCTCGGGGTGGTCGGCCGGTCCGACGGACGAATCGGGGTAGATGATCTGCCAGGCGTCACGGACGGGGCTGCGGCCGCGGATAAGGGCGTGGGCGAACGACGAGGGCAGCATGTTGAAGTCGCCGAGGGCGACGACGAGGTGGCCTCGCTCGGCGGCGGCGCGCATTAGCTTGGCAATCTCCCAGGCCTGGGCGGTGCGGTGGCAGAGGTAGCTGTCGTGGGGTTCGCGCTCGTAGGGGGCGTGGAGGTGGGTGCAGAAGACCGCGGCGACATCGCGGGGACGGGGACCGAAGCGGACGGTGGCGCAAGCGACGCCCTTTCCGACGAACCAGTCGCCGCGGAAGAAGGCCGTCGGGCGGCCGTTGAGGGGGTAGCCGAACATGCTGGAGTCTTCAATGGGGAAGCGCGAGAGGATGGCCAACCCGGCGCCCATCATGCCGCCGTAGTAGAATTTGCCGTGGGGGAGGATGTCGCGGGTCGCGTGCCGGATGGCGTCGTAGTCCTGCTGTGTCCAGCATTCTTGCAAGCCGACGATGTCGGGCGGTGGGGAGATCAGGGCGATCTGGCGCCCTATCTCGGAGAGGCGCTCATTGCGGTGTTTGGCGAGGAACTTCAGGCCCCAGCAGTTGAGGGTGAAGATGCGGATGTGGGTAGGGGTGGAGGGAGCTGCGCCGGACGAGGCTGAAGACAGAGACGACATAATGGCGTATTATCGCGGGTGCGAGGGCATGGTTGAGTGTCAGGTCCGTAACGGTTGTTGGTATGGAGATGAAGCCGAAGCTGTCCTGGTCAGGAGTCGAGACAAACGGTGCAAACGGATCACATGACATGATGTCATCTATACAGGGGTTGGCCTACGAAGTGCATGGCGTCTAGTTTGGATTGAAATGATGATTATATTCTTCGAATACTTTAGCCTAGTCTGACGGCCCCAGGCTAGTTTGCTAACTCCTATGTACTACACATTACTCAACCGCCGTCTGATTATAGTACAGATCGCACGCGTGCGGATGCTGCAGACAGTATTTGGGCACCAGTGGCGCGGCCTGCACCCCGTTGGCCAGCAGATACTCGCGGAAGTTCAGGATACGTTGGGTCAGTTGGGTCGTGCGCTTGCGGCCCTTGTCGTCGCGGTTGCCGGACCAGACAAGCTCGCCCAGCGCCGCCGCGCGCGGCCAGAACTTGGAGGAGACGGTCACGTCGTCGACCTGCTCGGCCCAAAGGGGGGCGGTTGCGCCCACAATGCGCTTCTTCTGCACGTCCGTCAGGTTGGTGGTGAAGTCGTAGTCGTAGATGCGCTGCCAGGTCTTGTATGGCGCGCACCACGAGCCGCCGTCGCCGCCGTAGTTGAGGCTGGGGATCTTCTCGTCCGGGTTTGTCATGACGTTGTAGCGCGGGTCGTTGGTGACGAAGCCGCCGTGGCCACAGTCCAGGTAGAGGAACTCGGAGGAGGAGACGATGACGTTGTAGCCGTCGGCCGTCAGCTTGTCGATGTTCTCGAGGCCCTTGTTCCAGCTCTGCATGACGATGTCCTTGGGCACGTCGGTCGCACTCTCTGTGCCGATAGCGACGTCCTCCCACATGACCAGACGCCGGTCCTCGCGGGCGCTGCGGAAGATGGGCACGGCTTTGTCAACCCAGTGCTGGACCAGGTCGTTGTAGGTGCGCGACGGGTCCTCGGCAAACCAGTCGGTGACGTGGCGGCTGAAGTTGAAGCAGTTGGGTTGGATCTCGTCGCCGCCGACGTGGAACCAGTTATCGGGGAAGATAGTAGACAGCTCCTCGTAAACGTTGCGCACGACCTCGTAGGTTCCCGGGTAGATGATGTCGAGCTGGCCCGGGTTGGGCTCGACGGCCGTGTGCAGCTCCCAGACGTCGTTGGACCACCAGGCGTCGGCGCAGGCGATGATCTCCGGGTTGACCTGCTTCCAGCCCGAGGACGAGTGGCTGGGCATGTCAATCTCAGGAATGACGCGCACGCCGCGGGCGCGGGCGTAGTGGACCACATGCCGCATGTCGGCGTGGGAATACACCTCACGCGGCGAGTAGGCGTCGCGCGTCATCTCCGGGTACGCGTCGATCTGGATGGGCCAGGACTGCGAGTCCTCGAGGTGCCAGTGCAGGACGTTGAGTTTCGACAGTGCCATCCCGTCCAGCTGCTCCCGGATCTTGCCCAGGGTGACGAAGTTGCGTCCGGTATCAAGCATGATACCGCGGTAGGGGTACAGCGGCGCGTCCTCGATGCGGACCGGTTGCTCGAGGATCAGACCGCCATGCCCGTCGTCGATCACCAACTGCTGGAAGGTGGTGAAGGCGTGCAGGGCGCCCCAGACGGTGGGGGCCTTGATGACCACGCTGCTGGAGGCCTCATCAACAACCAAGGTGTACGACTCGTCCACGCCGTGCTGCAGGTCCTCCTGCAGGTCCTTGACCACCACGTCGACGAAGTGCAGCGACGGGGTGGGCGCGCGTTTCCCATGGACGTGACCCGATGGGGTGGCGGAGGGGAAGGGCTGGAAGGACGAGATGGGGGCTTCGGTGGCCGCAGGGACCCATCTCAATTTGACGATGGTCTCCCAGGCGCGATTCCAGCCCTCTGTCAGAAGATGATCGCGAGTATCCTTGGAGGTGCGCAGCACCAGATGGCCCGAGACATGCTTGGGGCCCGACGATCCCCACTCGATAGACCGAGGCGCCGGCAGGGGGTTCACCTTGACCGCCGTCACGGAGGATGCGACCGTCAGGAGAAGGGACCAGGCCGAGAAACGCATGATAACAAACCAAAAACTCGAGTCAGTGAAGGGGAGGTCAACGGAAACATCGAGAGTGCAGAAAGGGAGGAAAGGAGAGAGGTCAGAGAGAGTTTAAAAGAGCTGGAAAGGAAAGGAGTTGAGACAACAGCCTCGATCATTCCTGCAGGACGCCTGGAGGATACTTGCCCCCCTCCAATGAAGTAAGCCGTAAACAACAGGTTGATAGGTCAATCTTACCCCCAAATGTAACACGACAGACCAACGCTCTCTGTTGGGTTCCATGAGGTCGATCAGATTTGCAGGAAGTACTTTGCCCCGATTGATCGATCCTCATCATCTGCCCCTCTGGGTCTCCTTTTTAGGATTTCGTTCCCCTCAGTTGGAAGTCCGTTCTCGATGTGGGTTGACTGCACCAGACAGGGGGGCCTCGTCGGCTGATCGCAGTCGGTTATCTCTCGATATTAACCTCATCTTCACAGTGCAACCTTGTCCTACATTGATCCGGATGATGTCAAGCCACAGAGTAACCCCTCCTTTGCCAGCAAGGGTCCCGTCAGGTCCAGTCTAGGGCAGCAAGGTTCAACCCGGTTGGAGTCAGTCATAGCTCCTGTAAGTGTCTGGCCCGACCACGTAGCATCAGCGTCTTCTCTATCTTCATCCTCATCTGTATCTCTTGAGTTAGGGCTTTGAAGTAACATGACGCATAAATCCCTGATCTAATCCATCCCATCGTTTGTGTACAATTTATCCTCATATTTCCCGATCGGGTTAGTCCCTCCCTTATCACTTATCAGCTTATCTAATCAGTTGTCGACCTGCGCAACCTGAGGCAGCCTGAGCTCTCTTGCTTCATCTCATCTTCATCTCTGGCTTCATCTTCTTCTCTTCTCTCTTATCATCCATTTTTTGAGACCCTTTGTCTAGGTCTGGTTGGTTTATCGACGGAGTCGGGCATTGGGTAACCCCTCGTTTTACATCCTCTCCATCTACCGAGCGCCCTCCTCGGCCTCCTGTTCGTCCGGTATGAGGATGGATGCCTCACCGACACCAGCTCATCACTCACTGACTTGTTCATTATAGTAGGTTATATAAGGCCCTGGATGATATCCCACATCCCGACGAGCTCCATTGTACTGTCAACCCCTCAAACTCCATCGCTTCCCCCCCGGATCCACCCACAATGTCTCCGTTCCGCATCAGGGTGGATGGCCAGACCTTTCGAGACCCGCAGAATCGAGAGGTGACGCTCCGTGGGATCAATGTAGCCGGCGAATGCAAGTATCCTCGGAATCCTGATACCCCATCCCACGTCGCCGACCGGTTCTTCGATGCCGATCACGTCTCCTTCGTCGGTCGACCCTTCTCCCTTGACGACGCCCACACTCACTTCGCCCGTCTGCGGAAATGGGGCTACAATACCATCCGATATCTGTTCACTTGGGAGGCAATCGAACATGAGGGCCCGGGTATCTACGATGATGAGTGGGTTCGCTTCACCGTGGAGGTGCTCCGCATTGCCAAGCACTACCAGTTCTACGTCTTCATGGACCCGCATCAGGATGTGGTAGGTGACCGCGAACTCACAAACTCCCCGGTCCGGACGGTTCATTAACCTATTTGCCAGTGGTCTAGGCTGTCCGGAGGCTCGGGAGCCCCCGCGTGGACGCTCTACGCTGCGGGTCTCAATCCCCGCGGGTTCAAGAAAACCGAGGCCGCGATGGTCCAAAACACCGCTGACAACCCTGCCGAATTCCCAAAAATGATTTGGAGCACCAACTATACCCGCCTGGTCTGCCAGACCATGTTCACCCTCTTTTGGGGCGGCCGAGACTTCGCGCCCCAGGCCGTCATCGATGGCGTGAACATTCAGGACTACCTGCAAGGCCACTTTATTGCCGCGTGTAAGTACCTCGCCCAGCACATCCACGACGCCGGGGATCTGGAACCCGATGTGGTCATCGGCTGGGAGAGCATCAACGAGCCCCATCGGGGGTTGATCGGAGTCCAGGATATCTCTGTCGTTCCCGCGGAGCAGCGGCTCCAGCTCGGCACGTCCCCCACCGCGTTTCAGGCCATGCTGACGGGCTCGGGGCGCGCCTGTGAGGAGACCACCTGGGCCTTCGGGGGGTTCGGTCCGCACCAGACGGGCAAGGAGTTGGTGGATCCGGAGGGGGAATCGGCGTGGCTCCCAGTGGACTATGATGACCACAAGTACGGCTGGAAGCGGGACCCCGGCTGGAAGCTCGGTGAATGTCTCTGGGCGCAGCACGGGGTCTGGGACCCGTCGTCGGACCAACTGCTGCGAAGCGACTACTTTGCAAAGCACCCCCAGTCGGGAAATCCGTTGAATTATGACGTCTTCACCAATACCTATTTCATGGACCATTACCGCGCGTACCGGGACGCCATTCGCGGGGTGTGGCCGGAGTCGATCATGTTCTGCCAGCCCCCGGTCATGGAGGTGCCTCCGGCGCTCAAGGGTACCCCTGACGACGACCCGAATATGGTCCACGCGGTGCACTACTACGATGGCCTGACCCTCCTAACGAAACATTGGTGAGTTCCTCATCTCCCCGTCCCCAGCCCCACCGTGGTCGCCCATGCTGATCGTACAGGAACCGGCTCTACAATGTCGACGTGATCGGAGTGCTTCGCGGCAAGTACTATACGCCCGCCTTTGCGTTGAAAATCGGCGAGACGGCGATCCGCAATTGTCTGCGCGACCAGCTCAAGTTCCTACGGGACGAGAGTCTCGAATATATGGGCCGTCGTCCAATGGTCTTCTCCGAGATCGGTATTCCCTACGATATGGACGACCGATATGCGTACCGGACTGGGGATTACAGCAGCCAGATCAGCGCCATGGACGCGAATCATTTCGCGTTGGAAGGGAGCACGGGCAACGGCTTTACTCTGTGGCTGTACACCTCGTCGGTAAGTGGCCCATCCATCCTCCCAGCGCCATCAGCTAACTGTGCAGAACAATCACGAATGGGGCGACAACTGGAACGGCGAGGATCTCTCCATCTACTCGGTCGACGACTTTGAGCTCCCCAGTGGCAACCTACTAGCCCTAGATCCAGAGTCGCAGTCCCAGACCAACCGGCACTCGCCGACCTACTCAGAGAGTCGCAACAGCCTGAGCGACGAAAATGTCGGGCCCCACAATCTGAAAGGCGCACTGCGTCCCCCGTCAATCACGTCGGATGTGTCACAGGCCAGCCCAGACAAGGTCGGTTATCGCGCGGCGCAAGCCTTCCTCCGGCCCAGCCCGGTAACCACCAACGGCACCGTCACAAAGCACCTCTTCGACCTCCGCAACTGCACCTTCACCATGACCCTCCGGGGCCAGAAAGGTTCCGTCGGGGAAAACGCCGTCACAGAGATCTACCTGCCAGACTTCCACTTCCCAGACTCGAACACCGTCGTGTCCGTCAGCAGCGGCGAGTGGTCCATCGACGCGGTAGAGATCAATTCCATTAAAGCACAGTATCTTCGCTGGAGACATCCCGAGGGTGACCAGGATATCAAGATCCAGGGTGTCAAGCGAAAGCTCACGGACTTGAGCCCATCTGCTGAGGATATGACTTATTTGGAGCAGTGTCAGAGTGCGGGGTGTACGGTCATGTAGACTCTATCTTGGCTTAACAGGCTTCACGAACGGGGCATTCACGAACGATACGGATATATACGATTGGACATTACATTTACATTTACCTTGCGAACTAGTTGAATCTAATTGATCTCTGGCTTTTTTTTTTCATCGTGTTGCATCCCCGTCCGCTAAGTTTCTCTTAGTCAAGCTAGACAGCAATAAGACTTCAGTATGCGTATTTCATATGGACATGTTATCAACCAATCGTTTCTGGTCTCATTTCCTATGCTACTTGAGCATCAATCTATTCGCTTTTGTTTGAAGGCGTGGAATGATAGGTATGTAATTCAGCGATCTTATTCCGCCCTACGGGGCACAAGCACAGAGCGGCATAAGCAGGAAGTGGAGTTGTATGGCAAAAAATGCATTCAGTGCTGGCTGCAACACTATAAATTTTATCGGGCAAGTTCCCGTTATACTATTTACAGATAAAGTAAGGCTAAACCGTATACTAAACCATATGCTCGGTATCTATCTATCTCAAACGACGCACGCAAAGAAACGAAGAAGAAGGAAAAGATCGTCATCATCATCTCACTTTCGAGAACACCCACGACTCACGAGAGGAATCTCCCGACCGCACCGCCGATGTTCTTCAGATCCAGGAGGAACGTGTCGTGTCCGAACAGGGATACATCCTCGCCCAGTTCGACGTGTTGCACGTTGTCATTCCCGGCCGCCCGCAGCGTGCTGGCGATCTCCCGCTGCTGCCAGGCAGGGAAGAGACTGTCGCTGGAGACACCCAGGACCAGCACGGGGTGGTTCTTCAGCGGGGCCAGGCCGGCGACGAGGTCGGCGGGCGGGGTCGCGGCGGACTCCTCGCCGGAGAGGGCCTCGTCCATGGCGGGTGTGGACGCCGTCACGGACGGTTGCTCCTCGTAGGGCTGGTCCGGCAGCGTCAGGCTGCAGGCGACGTCGATATAGCCGAGGTCCTTGCCACCCTGAGCGATTTTGGCGGCATTTTCGGCCCGACGCCGCTTGGTCTCGACCTGTTGTACGTCCCCGAGATCGAACAGGTCCATAGCCTTGGAGACGTAGAGTAGACTGTTCGGGTCGTATTCGAGGCAGAACTTCTCACCCGCGTGGTCAAGGTAGGTCTCGATGAGGAAATCAGCGCAGAGCGCCGGCTGCTTGCTGGGATCGGCGCGCTTGCGGCCGAACCGCTTCTCCCACTCGGGCCCGCTGCGGTACGTGACCGTGGCAATCTCGCGCGCGAGCTTCATCCCCGAGTGCGGCGGGATCGAGTCGTAATAGAAGCCACGCGCCCACTTGGGATCCATCATCAGCACCTGCCGCTGCGTGTGGCGCATGGCGATGCTGTAGGGGTGGCTGCGCGCGCAGCCGCTGATGCTGACGATGCGGCCGACGCGCTCGGGGAAGAGGATGCCGGCGGCGAGACTCTGCATGCCGCCCATGCTGGACCCCACGGACGCATACAGACTCTGGATGCCCAGCGAGTCCAGCAGCCGGAACTGGGCCCGCACCATGTCCTCGATCGTCAGGATGGGGAACCGTGTTGCGTACCGCTTGCCGTCCAACGGGTCGATCGACGAGGGCCCCGTGCTACCGTAGCAGCCGCCGAGGACATTCGTGCAGATGATGAAGTTCCGATCCGTGTCTAGCGGCTTCCCGGGCCCGATGAACTTCTCCCACCACCCGGGCTTCGGGTTCGCCTCGGTGCTATGGGCGTGACTCGAAGCCGACAGACCAGTGTGGAGCAGAATGGCGTTACTCCGGTCGGCGTTCAGCTGGCCCCATGTCTCGTAGGCGACGTCAAACTCGCGCAGCACGCCACCCCAGTCGAGCAGCAGGGGGTCTTCGCAGTGGAACTGCTCATGCTTGCCCGTCGTGTAGGAGGGCTCCGGACCGGATTCGAGCGATCTCGTCGAGAGGAGAGCCGACTTGGCTTCTTGCGCGTCAAGACAAGGGAAGGAGAGGGCGGGGTTGGACGAGTCCTGCGAGGCGGCGGCGGCGGAGGGTACTTGAGATTTGCGGATTGGGGCGCGATGGAGCGATCTCGGCGCGGGAAACCGTGTGGACGAGCGGGGGGAGAAGGCAGTCGTCCTGGCTGCGATTCGGGGACGGGTCCAGGCAGTGAAGCCCCGGGGAGCGGAGCGAGATATGCTCTGGAGCGGGTTCATGGCGAGGTCGATAAGAGTGGGGAGGGGAGAAAAGAGCGAGAGTTGAAGTCAACAACTTGAACTGATTATTATGGAGTATGAAAGAGACGAGCGTTGATCTGACCCAATCGGGCAGGCGGAGAGTACCTATTGGGCCTGAGGCGCCGACATCGCATGGCGTCATTTCTACGCGCTCCGATTGGTTGGGTTCGGGTGACTCATCATGTTCTACGTGCCTCGGGCAACACGGCAACAAGGCAGAGAAACAAGAAAGTATCGAGGTCATATCGAGGCCAATCATGCCAGACTTTTAGCTCTCTATTCCTGTATATCCACTATAACACAAATCATCTACGAGAGCATACCCTCGGGCAGCGTGGCCACCTTCTCCTTGAACAGATCCTCGGCCTGCTTCCACACGCGGGCGTTCTGGCGGTCCTTCAGCTGCAAAAGGCTGGGCATCAAGGCCTCGCTGAACATCTCGGAGCTCTCCCGGGGGAGGAGCGAGGGCAGATGGTCAATGCTGATGACGCTGAGCGTGGGACCCTGGGTGCCCGCGGGCAGGATGACCGGCACGGTGGGCTTGTCGAAGGTGGTCGTGATGGTGTAGACGGGGACGGGGTTGTTGGGGTTGGTACTACATGGGTTTAGTAGGACATAAGAGCAACAGACAGGATAAAGTCACTTACGTATCGGCGCTCACGTCACAGATGACCGACAGGGTACGGTTCGGCGAGGAGAGGGAGGTGGCATCGACGAAGGGAGGGATCTTCGCCGACAGGTAGATGCAGTTGATGAAGATGTCGGCCTCTTCAATAATCTCCTTGAAGGGACCACCTGAGAGTGTCAGTACAGACAGAGTCAAGAAAAACCAGACAACTAACCCTTCTTGGTCTCGGCCATATCCCACTGCATGATGTTGGACTCGGGAATTCCGACGTCCTTGGCCAATTGGACGGCACCGTTGCCGCAGCGGCCCAGCTGGACATCATTAGCCACGAACGAACCGACGGGGTAGACGTCCACTCACCGCTCCAATGACCAAAACCTTGGGAAGACGGCCGGCGGCCTTCTTGCCGGCTTCAACCGTCTCCTTGACCGACTCAATCAGCAGGTCCTGGTTGGCATAGGGCGTCTCCCCGGGCAGAGACTCATTCTCGGGGTGCGTCAGCTGCCACGCCCAGTTCTTCACGGCGAGAGCGGCGCCTGGTTCGAGTCAGTATATTGAGTGTCGGTGCGGATGGGGAAGATACCTACCCGCATAGCCAGCGGACCAGCCGAAAGCTGTTACGACTCCAGTCAGCATTTCGTCAAACCCGTCGCAATCTGAAGAACACCCGTACCAGCAACGCGGCGTCCGGCGTCATCCGTCAGGAACTCCAGATCGAGGAGAGTACCACCGCCACGGGGCCACCGGCTGAGGACCTTCTCCCAGCCACCCTGCTGCTTGTAGCAATGCGCAAACGAGATGTGGACATGCTCGAGGGGGAAGTCGTCCTCGGGCAGCTCCTTCAGACCCAAAACGTAGGCGTCCTTGGGGGCATCCTTGACCCACGAACCTTCCTCGACCAGAGGGGCTCCCACCTAGACCGTGTTAGACATTGTTCGGGGGGAGGGACAGGGACGTAGAGCAACGAGCATACGTCGGCGAATTCCTGGTCTACAAGCACGGGGTTAGTTAGCAATCATCTGACCCGACCGGAGAAAAAACCTACCATCAAAGATGCGCTGAGTAGAGCGCTCCACGGTGACCTGGTAACCGGCATCAATCAGAGCCTTGGTGGTGGTGGGAGTCACTAGAGCTGGTCAGGATTATGCGATACGCGACAGATGGCGGGGCACTGGGCACTGGGCACTGACAGGCAGAGCGGGCCTCAGCCGGCTTGGTCTCGGCACGCAACCAGATCTTGTTGGACATGATGGAATAGAGTCAGAAGATTGTAAGAGAAAAGGAATTGAACAATGCAACGGTAGAAAACAATTCGACTCTAAAGAACTCACGATGGGAGATCGATAGGCATGACACATACTGCTTCCCCCACTGTCGATCGCCCCGCAGGTTGTTCCGCTCCGAATGAGTCATCCGCCGATGCCGGAATATGGTTGGTGCCTGAGGTTGTAGCTCCGTTCATGCAAATTACTCAGCAGGAAGGATAGCTTACTCAGCACAATTAATGGATTACTCAGCAGCAGAGATAACGATACCGATAACGATCACGATAAGCCCCTCCGGATCTGTCAGACTCAGGCACCAATTCGAGTCAAAATCATATGGAAGACAAATCTGACTATCCTGTTGATGCAATTGGTGTAGACTTTTGGATTTCATTCTCCACATATCATCACCCATCCGGAGTGTCATCTGTCTTTCTCCTGGACCCGATTTGGCTGATTTTTCAGGGTGCCAACTCCACGCCAAGAGGGTGATAGTGGCATGGAACGACAGTCCATGATTGGTGGACTCCTCCACTCTATAGTCCACTTTCTCCCAAGGTCCTTCTCTTCTCTTCTCTCTCTCTCTCTCTATCAAACTCCTCAATCCCACATCGACCACGACGACGACCACGACGACGACAACGACGAACAGATGCAACGATGTCTCCGTCGCAATTCTATGACAGATAGCATCCATCGCTTTCCCTACTCAGACTCAAATCAAGTTCCTTATCCCTCAAACCGGTTCTCCGAATAGTCTGGACGATCTCCACCCTCAAGGTCCTCACATCCTCTCCGCTTTTCTCGTCCCAGCCGATCGTGACGCACCGTCCAATTTCCTCCTAATCTGGAATGTGACTTTATTCTCCGACTGATTTTGTCCCTCCGCCTGAAGAAAGTGCACAAATCTCCGGGCTGAAGGAAGAACACCCGCGCTGATCCATCTCGTGCCCCAACAGTAGCGTCTCGGACTGACAACCCGATTGATCCGGTCATCCCCCGCCTTCACACTTTTTCTTACTCGAGTCGATAGTCAATTGCTGGATTGGAATTCTCGGACGGCGGAGATCTACGCGTGTGCGTTTTCTAGGGATCGGACGATACCGTCGAACCCGTTTAATCGACACCATGGCGTCCCACACCAAAAAGGATGACTTCTGCCTCGAGTGCAATTGGGACGCCTTCCACCTCGACGGACAAGAACCCCAGGAGAGTGACACCGTGCCCGCAGCGACGTCGTTGAGGTGCCCCGAGGAAGATCACCCCTCACGCGACCAGTGTGGTGACGAGGATCCCTGCTGCGATGCCGATGACTGCTCGACAACGTGCCCGTCGGTCTGTGACGGGTTTGTCGAATGCGATCAAACCACGGCGTGCTCTGCCCCCCATTGCGATAATACCCACTGTGACGATACCCACTGTGATGATACCCACTGCGACGATACCCATTGCGATGAGACCGGTTGTGACGATGCGCACTGCGATGATGATCACTGTGCCGGTGGTTGCAAGGAACCTAACTGCGAGGTTGACTGCAATGCCGATTGTGAAGCCGACTGCGATCCTGACTGTGACCTCGCCTGCGATACCAATTGCGATACCAATTGCGATACTGACTGCCATACCGACCTGCTCTGCTTCGATGGCCACTGCTTTAGTGACGCCCACACCGCCGCCCCGGAGCAGAGCCTCGAGTCCCTGTTAGGGCTGGGGGCTCCCTACGGTTTGGACACAGGCCTGCTTTCGTCGAACCATCTAGAGCAGCCCCAGAACCAGTTGTCCGGGACCAACCCTCCAGCCGCGGGAGCGATGTATCCCCCGGCTGCACCTTTCGTTCCCGCTCCCCAGAATTCGGTCGCCCATTGCCATCCGCACCCGTCCCATCACCTCCACTGCCACGACCTCTACAAAGACCATCACGGCCATCTACTCCCAGGGACCTACCCTCTCCAGAACCATGTCAATCCGGCGGACGTGTTCCACATGCTGGGGATGTGTCCCGACGTCTCGACCTGCCAGGATTTCCACGTCCATGAAGAAGCCAATTGCCCCGTTCAACCCGACCAGCCGGCGGCCGACGCCGCGGATGCATTCACCTGCTTCCACATTCCCCATAACCTAAACGAACTCTGCAAAAATCCGGTACACCCTCCCACAAGCGCTCCCGCCGCAAAGGGACCGCACCGCTCCTATCACCGGTGTCGTGGCCACGCACACATCCACGCCCATCCGTATTCTCCTTATTCCCGCCGCTCTCGATCCAGCGTTAGCTCGCAGTTGGTGTCAAGCGCCGGCGAGACTCCTCCCCCGCTAGATGGCGGGGGTTCGTCCGTACTGACCAGCCCGGATTTCTCCCCGGCCGACCCCGAGCTGCCCGTGTGCCGGTGGAGGACGTCACACGGCGTCGGATCCATCTGCGGTGCAACCTTCTCCGATCCCTGTGCGCTCCAGGAGCATCTCGTGTCCTGTCACATGGGGCCGGTCGACGGAGCCAAGGGTCCGGGCTACTATTGCTGCTGGGAGGGGTGTCACCGTCCGAACGAACCGTTTTCGCAGAAGTCCAAACTCCAGGGACACTTTTTAACCCATAGCAACTGTAAGTTATCGCTAGTCTTGGGGACTGTTCTTGTTTGGTTTATTGTGTCTGACTGGGACAGATAAAAATTTTACATGCATGGTGTGCGGGAAATCCTTTGCACGCCAGGCTACGCTGGAGCGGCATGAACGCAGCCATCGAGGGGAGAAACCCTATCGGTGTTCGGAGTGTGGGAAGATGTTTACCGATAGTAGTGAGCTGAGTATGTATCTTCTTCCTCTCTCTCTCTCTCTCTCTCCTCCTTGTTGTAGAACCAAAGCTAACGGTGTAGAAACCCACTCGCGGACACATACAGGCGAGAAGCCATTCCGATGTACCTATCCAGGCTGCAACTTCCAAACCGGCGATGTACGTGCACGATCCATGAACTAATAATAATTCTGAAGTACTGACCGTCGCAGTCATCCAACATGTCCAGTCACCGACTCAGTAAGTGCATCCATCCTGCAATCATCCTCCTACTTGCGCATCATCTAACACGCGTAGCACACGGAGAACGTCGGCATAAATGCATCTTTCCACGGTGCACCAAGAGTTTTACTCGACCGGGTATGTTGTGTGCCCTTCTCAAGTCTCTCGTTCAAAGCTAACAGCGACAGACCAACTCAAACGACATATCCGGTGCACCCACAAGGAAGACCCGGACGTGTTCTTTCCGTCTCCCACGCCTGACCAGTTTGCGCTGTCGTTTGCCATTTGATTGGACCCATCTTTCCATGCATCCATGATGGCATTACTATCGTCTACCCCTACTTCCTACCTCCTACCCTCTTTTCCCTACCACCTCCCCACTACCCACCGTCAAAAGTTCCAACAACGAACAACCCCAACTGATGAGATAAAAAGAAGGGCGAGATAACCGCCCATCTACGATACCCCATGATTATTGTTCATATATTATTTTTATTATCTTCACATGTATGTATGTATGTATGCAGTATGTCTATGTATCTGCTACGCTCGATCTACGAGTCGATTAACTCGGGCGTTATTTTATCTTGGATATATTATGTGATAATTGTTTGATCAAACGTTGGTACACATTTTTTTTATATAAGTACTGTATTGTATATTGTGTTTGCACTGGGCAAAAGTTTCGGGACATTGTCGAGAACAGTAAGAAGACACTGCGGGGTGCATTTGTAAGACTCGGGGGTAAAAAAAGGGAAAGAACAAGGGTCTTTCGATAATCATTCAACTCCCTTACAAGAAAGAAGGTACTCATTCATTTACACAAGGCCCCAAGATTATATCAAGTATGAAGATAGTATTAAATTGTAAAGTACACGCTATCATAGTAATACATCCTAACATTGCTTTCCCAGCAGAGACGTGACGGACTCGTCGATCCGTGACGAGCTCCCATAACGCCGTGTCCGTGAAGTAGTAGTAGTAGTAGTAGTAGTAGTAGTAGTAGTAGTGGATTTGCCCACCCGATTCTTGCGACCCGTACCCGCGGGTTGAAGACCTTTGAGAATGCGCCGGCGCCGTCCCGGGGTCTGGAGACAATCGATGGCCCAGATCAAGGTCAAAAGCGCCTCCCAGCTCCATCCATCCGCCGCTCCGGCCTCGACACCCGACAGATCGGCCGGCGAGACGCGTGCGCTAACCGCTCGCTGCAAGGCCCTGCCCGTCGCATCACGAAGTGGACGCGCCAAGGCAGGGTTGCAAGCGAGCAGGCGAGCGAGCAGTCTCATCCGGAAGACCGTGGGGCGGGTCGAGGGCCGAGAGGGGGAGGACAGGCTCGGAGTCGAAATCAACCAGAGAATCAAAGGGAAATGCCGAGAGATCTCCGCCGTCGAGAACGTCAAAGGCGAACCCGTCTTCAAGGACCGCAGGATCTGAGTCAGCGGGAGAATCACCGTGGAAGAGGCGGTGGAAGTCATCGTCAGAAAGAGGAGCCGCAGCGTCATCTGCAGCGTGAGATCCACTGCCGACGCCGAGGTCAAAGAGGGGGAGGGCGCTTCCATCTGCGTCGAGTCCACCGACGGGCACTGCAGGCCACACAACACCGCTGCAGGATGTTGTGCCGGATCGGTGGACTCGTCCAGAGTGGAAGGCTTGAGGGTGGGGGAGAAGGTGGCGTGGGCGAGGGAGGACGGGGTGGGGAAAGGGATGCGGTCGAGAGGGAGCTCATCGCGCTCCTGTTTGAACAGGGTGGGCGTGAGGGTGGGGGAGGGCGAAGGCGGGGAGGCGATGGTGCGGTTGGGGGTGCTGCCGCGAGAGGAACCACGGACCTCGGCCGAGAGTTGAGCGACTTGCTTGTTGAGTCGGTTGTTCTCGGCCTCGATCTGGTTGAGACGTTGGAGGAGGAACTGGTTCTGTTGTTCCATCTGGATCTTCTCATTCTCGAGCTTCTCCATTTCGAGACGCTTGCGCTCACGCGAAGTCTGGGCGGCGGCGCGATTCCGGAGGACGCGCTCGATGCGGCGTTGCTCCTTCTCGTCGTCTGTCTTGGCCCGTTTTCTAGATCCATTAGTATCTCTACCGTTTCCTTCCTTTGATAGATGAGCATACCGTGGAGGCAGGTTGGTCTTGGGAACGGGGAGTTCCTGACCCCATGACTTCCTCTTCTTGGCGGGTTTCTTCTCGTCCGTCTTCTCATCCTCGTCGACCTCAAGTAAAGAGGTGTCGGCGGGGGAGACGGTGAGGGGCATCTCCGACTCGGGAGAGCTGGGGACCGAGTCCGCCGGCGAGAAGCTGTCTTCCATGATGTGAGATTCCATGATCCAGTGATCGACTGAAGGATATTGTGTTCGATATTGGAATTGAATTCCGATGTGTTGATTCAGATGGAGATGATCACGATGATGGATCACAGGGCATGGAAGACAAAGAAGAAGGCAAGTACGAGGTCAGGAAAGGTCAGGTGAAAGACCACGGTGTCATTACCGAAAACAGACGGCCAGACCGTCTGAGTCAGAAGAAGAGTGGGGGGGGGGAGAGAGAGAGAGAGAAAAGGACAAGTGGTCTGATGGATAGAAGAGACGGAGGACGGAAGGTTGATGGAAGAAGCGAAGAGGAAGAGGGAAGTTGGCTTCTTTAAAGGCCAGCGTGGTCTGATTCAGGCGCCCCTTTATTAAGGCCGCCGCCCTCCCTTTCCCTGCCCCGTTTCAGCCTTGGCCCCCCAGGCAGGAGGCAGGATGGGGGGGATGCAAGGGGCGGAGTGTATCATTACATACCGTCCTGCTCGGTATCGGGACGGGGTTGTCCCCCCTTTGACGTGTCTCTCTGGGAGTAGATTACCTGTCATACCCAGTGCTATACAGTATGATACGTTCTGATACACCCGGATGGCCAGACCAGGATGGAGCAGATGGAACATTCTAGTGGGACTTCCATCGTATTGGTTGGTTCCGTAAATAACCCACTGAGACTCCCCATAATATCCCCTTAAACCAGTCTAATACTCCGCCACTCATGCATCTTCTTGGGGGCTGCAGCTCTCTTCAGCCCCCCCTCCACCTGCCGTATCCTCCGTATACTTTGATATATTTAGTGTCTGACAGCAGATCAAGAGTATCATACGAACCAGACCGCCCCAGATTGGCAGTGTTTACTAGTGACTAGTTTGGAGTTAGTCGGAATAATACGAGGATCATGGTCAATACCGGAGGGTACTGATGACGCTGGAGGAATCCACCCGGAATCAGGGATGGTTCCATCCGTACTCCATCGCAAGTGTTACATCCGTGTTCCCCTTTGATGAATCCTTGGTTCAATCAATCTGACCGGTGTGTCAGACAAAAGATGATCTTCCTCATGCATGCACCCCGACCGGACCCCGTCTGTCTTCCTATCAGTTCCCCCGACTCGACACGGACATGGTTCTCCGCAGTGGAAGTTCTTTGTCCGTCGGAGACTTGACCGATATGAAGGAGGGGAGGGATCCGGAATGACTGCGGAATGTGCTCCGGCTCCTATGTAGGAGAGAAGGAGACACTGTCTCAGGATCCGTAATGAGGGCGGGGATGGAAGTCACGGGAAGGGAAGTCACGGGATAGAAAGTCACGGGATAGAAAGTCACGGGATAGAAAGTCACGGGAAGGAAAGTCACGGGAAGGAAAGTCACGGGATGAAAGTCACGGGATGAGAATCACGGGAAAGAAAGTCACGGGAAAGAAAGTCACGGGAAAGAAAAAGTCACGGGAAAGAAAGTCACGGAAAGAAAGTCACGGGAAGGAAAGTCACGGGAAGGAAAGTCACGGGATGGAAAGTCACGGGATGGAAAGTCACGGTATTAAGTCACGGGATGAGAATCACGGGATGAGAATCACGGGATATATGCAAAATCACCAACATCGCCAAGGCATGGTCACATGACTTCCTCAACATCAACAATCAAAGAGATTGACAAAAGAAGAGAGAGAGAGAGAGAGAGAGAAGAGAAATTTATGAATCACTCTCTTCTCATCCGGCCGACGTCAGACAGATGACACCCGTGGCTACAGATGGACAGATGGAAGGACGAAAACAACCCTCCGCAAGTCGACCTCTCGCCCGAGTCCACCACCTGATCCTCTTTCAAAACTCTCACTGAGACTCTACGATAACTCATTCCTCGACCTCTTGACCTCATTTGACTTCAACCGGGTCGAGTGGACTATCATGGAGCACCAGAAGAGCAGAGAATCCTTCATCAACAATCTGATTGGGGTACCTGTCCTACGGGGCCATCACCCAATCGACCCCCTCTGATTGCGCCATCACCGCCAATCACGGCTCTTCTCCAGCTGTCGGCGCCCATGCCCTATAGTGTAGTTGAATGATCCCCCCTCCACTCCGCAACGATCATCGCCGGGCACGCCATCATGCCCACTACTTGCGACCTCTCTCTTCGATGACGAGGACTAATCAACCGTCCTGGCGGGTTCCTCTTTCGCCCGAGTTGACCGGATGCACGGCAGAAGCGGGGGACCAGAGGGGATGGCATGGTCATCGAGGGGTCATCAAATCGGGGTATAAAATGGAGGGGTTGACCACTTCGTAGTCACTCCTCCCCTCAATCAACCGGATCAATCGATCACTTGACTGTCTTCTCTCTTCGCTTTATAACCCTGTCCACGAATATGGCCACCCTCACACAGCAGCCCGCCGCGGTCCCCCTCGACGTCTTCCCCGATGGGCTCAAGACCACCGGCCAACATGCTCCCCTCTACGACCATCTCGTGCCCTTTGAGAAGTTCCCCAAGAAGATCGAGGGTCCCACCGTCTGGGATCCCGAGGACTATCGCAACACCCCCGAGCGTTGGACCCATCGATTTACCTCGGAGGAGATCGAGGAGTTGAGCGTCGCCAGCGATAACTTCCTGAACAATAAGATTCCGTTGACCGGGATTTCCAAGGTATGCTTTTCTTTGAGTAGTCCGCTGGAAAAAAAAAAAACACCCACTCACGTTGATAGTCCAACTTCCCCCTCCCCAACCTCGCCGGCCGTCTCGATCAACTCCGCGCCGATCTCGTCGACGGCAAGGGCTTCATCCTCTTCAAGGGCTTCCCCGTCGAGAAATGGGGCAACCACAAGTCCGCCGTCGCCTACATGGGTCTCGGCACCTACCTGGGCTACTTCGTCAGCCAGAACAGCCGCGGCCACGTGCTGGGCCACGTCAAGGACGTGGGCGACGACCCCACCCAGATCGACTCGGTCCGCATCTACCGCACCAACGCCCGCCAGTTCTTCCACGCCGACGACTCCGACGTCGTCGGCCTGCTGTGCATCGCCCGCGCCCTCGAGGGCGGCGAGAGCGACATCGCCTCCTCCCACCTCGTCTACAACATCCTGGCCGCCGAGCGGCCCGACGTGCTCAAGACCCTGACCGACCCCATCTGGTACTTCGACCGCAAGGGCGAGACATCCACCGGCCAGGACGAGTACATCCGCACCAGCGTCATCTACATGGAGCGCGACGACGGCAACGCCGCCAAGCCGCCCCGCGTTTACACCAAGTGGGACCCGTACTACGTGCGGTCGCTGTCGCGCTTCTCCGACGCGGGCGTCATCCCACCGCTGTCGGCCGCCCAGGTCGAGGCCCTCGAGGTGCTGGAGGCCACCTGCAACCGTGTCTCGCTGCACATGATCCTCGAGGTCGGCGACATCCAGTTCGTCTCCAACTCGCACGTCCTGCACGCCCGCACCGCCTACACCGACCACGCCCCGCCCACCCCGCGCCGCCACCTCATGCGTCTGTGGCTGGCCACCCCGGAGCACGAGGGGGGATGGCGTCTGCCGTTCTGGGATAGCAACGAGAAGAAGCGGGGTGGTATCCAGGTTGATGACCAAGCGCCCGTGGCGCCGCTGGATGCGGAGTAACCTTACGATTCGGTTGTGATTTTAATGTTGTATACCTCTTAGCGGAATTAATTATGATTTTTACTTAAGTATTTCATGCTGGATAAATCATAGTCAACCAGTGGTAGTAAGCGTACTCCATACACTGTGTGAGTAGTATAATATTTGTATCCTGCTAATTTATACTGGGGAGCTCCTATATATATATATTTAACCGACTCGAGAGAAATTAATGATAAACCTAAGAGAACACCGATACTAGACGTTTTACATGATATTTACTACAGTGTTCATCCACTTCTCATGTCTAATATATTCTAACTAGAACGGATGGGTTCTTAATGTCAACCAGGACAGACCAAGGATGAGCGAGACATGACCAGACTTGGGAAGTGACTACAGCTGACCCGCAGGACGTTTCCCACACTATTTTATCGTTTGTATTCTGATCATTCTTTCAACCATCAAGCAAGCTTTTCCACGGCTCTTAATATCATCGATTTCATCGCTAAGGGCGCGTTTCCATCCCCGATTTCCACAAGACTGAAATACAGAGTACAAAGAATGGAATGAATACATATCATCAAATGATTTCATCAAGAAATTCGTATCGTAAAAAAATCTAATCTAAATCTATATACAGGGCATTATATTAAGAAAAACAAAGCAACACGACTAAAAATGCGGCGTATTCAACGCCATCAAACACATCAAGCCCGCAACCAACCCGGCACAAGGCAACGTCAACACCCAGCCCAAAAAGATAAACGCCAACTGTCTCCAATTGACAGCGCCCAGATCATAATTCATCAACGCGACGCCAGTGGCCGCCCCGGTCAAGCACTGCGTCGTGGAGACAGGCAGACCCAGTCTCGAGGCAAGAAGCACAGTGATGGCCGCGCCCAGCTCAGTCGCGAAACCACGCGTCGGCGACATCTGCGTGATCTTGTTGCCCAGCGCACGCATGATGTGGTATCCGTAGAACCAGAAGCCGAGACCGAGGAGCAGGCCGGCAATGACGAGGAACCAGACAGGCGTGGAAGCCTCCGTGTCGACCTCGCCAGCGAGGTACGTCGCGTAGGACCCAGCCCACGGGCCAACGGAGTTGGCAACATCGTTGGAACCGTGCGCGATGGACATGATGATGGCGGAGACAACCTGGCAGTACGTCCAGAGATGTTCGACGCGGTCGTCGTAGCGGTGAGCGCGGGCATGGATAGAGCGGAGGTGAGCCGAGTCGTGCGTGATGACGTCGCGGGTGACACCCTGCAGGAGGATGAACTTGGTCCAGCCCCAGATCTTGAGCGGGTTCAGCCAGCTGAGGTCCGCGACGGGGGCGAGGAAGCGCTCGTGGGGTCCGATGTGGACGGATTTCTTCTGGGGCTGGATCTCAGGCGAGGAGGCGGTTGAGATGGCTGTGCGTTCGACGTCTGTGGCTTCGGCTGCCTTGACGGCGTCGTCGGCGGAGAAGATGGATTTCTCGTTGGTGGCGCCGTTGACGTTGTTGATGCTGTTGACGTTGTCGATGATGTTGTTGTTCTTGTCCTTCTGGCCTGCGCGCTCCTCGCCGTAGGCGTCTTCGTAGTAGTTGGTGACGAACTTGTCGCCCTTGCCGGGGAGATAGAGCGGGCAGTTCTCCTTCATCAGCCAGGGGCCGAGCGGGATGTGCCAGGGACGGATCCGGGGGTCCTGGCGGACGAGACGACGGTGGAAGTAAGGGACGAAGAAGATGTATCCGATGGCGAGACAGCCGAAGAAGACGCCGAGGATGATTCCGGCCGCCTTGCCGGCGCCGAAGGCCTCGAGGGAGGGAGCGGTGGGAGCCTCGACGACGATGAACAGGGCGAGGATGGCGCCCGTGAAGGCGAGGTAGAAGGGGATGAGCCGCATGGCCCACTTGAAGGAGTCCTTGCGCTCGAGGACCGAGTACTTGAGGACCCCGAAGATGAGGGCCGAGAAGCCGCCCGCGATGGCGGGGGCAATGCCCCAGCTGGCGGCGATCTGGGAGACGCTGCCGTCGGCCCAGCCCCAGCTGATCTTCGCCTGCGTGGCAAAGCCGACGCCGACGAGGGCGCCGACGACGGTCTGTGTCGTCGACACCGGCATGCCGTAGGTGGTAGCGAACATGAGCCAGAAGGCACTGCCGACCTCGGCGCAGCCCATGGCGAGCATGAAGGTGCCGGGGTTGCCCATGAAGCGGTCGGGGGAGATGATGCCGTCTTTGATGGTGTCCGTGACGCGGGATCCGAGGGCTACAGCGCCGACGAACTCGGTGATGGTGGCGAGGATGCCGACCTGCCACATTTCGAGGGTGCGGGCTGCCACGGAGGTGGCGTAGGAGTTGGCGACATCGTTGGCGCCGTTGCCAAAGGCACTGAAGACGAAGGCGATGGAGGTGAGGGCGAGGATCCAGTCATACTTCGCGGTGATGGCGGGGATCATGGTGCCGGGCGGTAGTGGGAAGCCCACTGTAGGTGCAGTAGGAGAGATATGAGATGGAATTGATGAAAGCGATTTGGGTGTTGAGATTCTATGGGAGGGAATGATTTAAATATGGGAGTTTAGAACCATTCTACACTACGTCGTAGTATCATTGTCATGTCGGGCTGTGGCGGTCTCGAGGTGGACGGGTGGAGCGAAGCATGAGAGCGAGAGGATGGGAGAACGTGAGAAAATAATGGACAGACATTGGCCAAGGTTAGTGGTAGTGGACTCTCAGAACCACAATTCCAGTCGACTGTCATTGACTGAAAGTGAGCAAAGGAAGAGATATGGCACGAATCCTAGGGCTTGATGCCCGCCAGAGGAACGCTTGGCGCCAAGTCCCGCCCAGCCCGCCCAGCCCGCGGTGCCAGAGTTAAAGATCCGCTTTCCATCCAATCAGCTGTACCTGTTGAACACGTTCTTGATCTTCTGGTTAGGGAAGAGATTTCAGAATATCTTGGTACGGGGCCCTTTGACATCTTGATCTTGTTTTCCACGCGTTGGCTGCACCTCGGACAGTACTTTGGGTTTTCGTTTGGGTTTCATTTGCCTCTGTTAATTTGATCCAACCCGACTGCAGCCCACTCGAGGTTTTTCTCTCAGTTGCCACCGAGCTATCGACCCGCCACGTGGGATCAGATGGCCAAAGCAGACGTCCTGGGTATGCTTGGCTGTGGACTCGACGAGGCAGTGCACACACGACACCTTGCCATCATTGACGTTTTGAATGGATTGATCTGAGCGCTGTCGAGTACTCATGATCTAATCCATTCATGTAATTGCCATCACGGACGTGGTTTTGATGAGGTTCACCTGTTATCTAAGACTGTCTAAAGACGTGACAGTGTCGGTTGGTGTAGAGTGATTAGGGTTAGGTCAATCGTCTACTTGCCCAATTTGGAGTGTATTCCCCCTGTAGTTATTTCCAACCCTGTTAGTGGCTGGTCTGTCTCCAGGCGTCTACAGGCTTGATTGAGAGGGTCATCAAGCCCCTGAGCCCTTTTCTACCAGACGCCTGAACAGGAATAGCAGTGCCTGACCGGGTCGGATGAAACAGTCTGATAGTCGGAATACTGCATCTTGCATCCACAAAGATCGATAGACTGCCGCATATTTTCTGGCACTGGAGCAATCCAGTCAGCTTTACATTGCGACTAATTATGATGCTGAACTCTCTTCGAGAGAGGGTGGAATGGCACATTCTGCTTTTCTTCAATGAACCCAGCCATTGTCTATAGAACAAGGCATGGCATCGTTCTATGCCATTCATCGCTAGACAATGAAGCATGCATAACAAGGCCATGTCAACCATTCCCGCCTTTCAAGATCAACTGACAATGAAAGAACAAACACAGAATGGGATCAAAGAAGCAGACTTTACCGTGCTTTATTGAAGACAATCGCTTTCATATACACAGATCAACAAAGAACAACCCTATACGAACTCACAATCTCGCACAAGTATAAATACAACTCCAATGCACAAGAGCAGCTCAAACAACCATCAACAGTCTTCCTCCCAGCAAGCCCGATAAACATATACAAACACAACTCTCAACCATCCCAACCCACAGGATCCCCCCCCCCCTCAAAAAAAGAGCAGGTATGAATCCCTTCACTAACCCCCCCTTCCAAGACAGCGACAGCCAAAAAGGCACCATGTCAAACCCCCGCGGGCCCTTCGTATCCTTCAACGACGGCGACGGCGCCCTAGTCTGGTACAACTCCTACTGCGACCCGGCCGCTGAAGACCGGGTATGGTGGCTGCGCCTGGCAATGGAAGGCCACTACACGAACCTCGGCGAGCTCCTCTTCGACATGACGCTCGCATACGACTACGGAAAGTGTCAGGTGGTGCCGATCTTCAACCATGACATGGACGGGTCCATGTACATGGGGTTCAACGTGCCCGTGGAGGTGGAGGAGGCCGGGCGCGATAAGATCCTGGCGCTGGGGGGAGAGCACCTCATGAGGGTGATGGCTTATTGGAAGGCGCATAAGAGTTTCCCTACTCCGGTTCATAATGCGCCCAAGGATGAGTCGGCTGGTAGTGCGGAGGAGACGGAGTCTGAGAAGGATGAGGATGATACTCCGCCTACTACGCCTGAGGAGTCGCCGAGGGGCAAGTTTGGGAATGTTCGTTCTTAGATGGGTGAAGTTTACCTTTATCCCTGATAGCCACTGCACCAACGTACCGGATTTGATCAGGCTTGATATGACTGATATCCAACATCTTTGTTTAGAATGACGGCGGTTTGGATGGAAGGTCTAATACGGGTAATATTAGAGCACAATCAACATGATACAGGCACTTCCGAATTCATTGTAACAATACCAGTAGGACGTCGTATAAATCAGGGTGGAACTACAAGTTAGTACCAAAGTAAGGCTGGATGGCCTACATTACAAACACAGTAGAAGACCTAAAAGGCTCATACATTCGCCCAAGGATAACAATTTGAAGATAGCGTCAACTACTTCATCTGATACGCAGAAACTACATACAGGTCCCGCCCGTCTGCCATTAATCATCATGTACATACAACATCAAATCTGCCCATCACACTAGTACACTACAGTCTGGACCCCAAGTTGACGTGAACCGCCTTGATATGCGAGTACGCCTCCAGGCCAGCCTCGCCCAGCTCGCGACCGATCCCGCTCTGCTTCACACCGCCGAAAGGCACGCGGAAGTCGCTGTCGTTGCTGCTGTTGATCCAGACCATGCCGGCCTCGATATCCGACGCCACCCGGTGAGCGGTCTCAATGTCCTTGGTGAAGAGGGCCGCACCCAGACCGTAGGTGGTGTCGTTGGCGCGGGTGATGGCCTCCTCCTCGGTGACAAAGCTCGAGATCACCACGAACGGACCAAACACCTCCTCGCGGTAGATCCGCATGTTGTCCTTGACATTGGTGAAGACGGTGGGGGCGATGTAGAAGCCCTTGCCATCGCCGACGTTCTTGAAGGGCTCGCCGCCGGTGACCAGCGTGGCGCCCTCGGACTTGCCGCTCTCGATGTAGGACAGGACCCGGTCGTACTGGGCCTTGGTGACCTGCGGGCCTTGGAAGGTGTCGTCGGCGAAGGGGTCGCCCACCTTGCTGGTCGAGGCCACGGCCTCCTTGAAGAGCGCCACAAACTTATCATAGACGGAGTCGTGCACCAGGATACGCGAGGTGGCCGTGCAGACCTGACCCTGGTTGTACATGATGCCAATGTGGGCCCACTTGGCCGCCTGCTCTAGGTCCGCGTCGCCAAAGACCACCAGCGGCGACTTGCCACCGGTCTCGAGGGTGATATTCTTCAACGTGCTGGCGGCCATCTTCATGATCTCACGGCCCGTGGCGGTCGAACCGGTGAACGCGACCTTGTCCACATCAGGATGGTGGACGAGGGCGCTGCCAGCCACCCGACCGTGACCGTTCAGGATGTTGATGACACCGGGGGGGAAGCCAGCCTCCTTGATCAGGTTACCGAGGTAGAGGATACTGAGGGGGGTCTGTTCGGCGGGCTTGAGCACGATGGTGTTTCCGCAGGCCAGCGCGGGACCCAGCTTCCACGCCGCCATAGCCAGAGGGAAGTTCCACGGGATGATCTGGCCGACGACGCCGATGGGTTGGCGCAGGGTGTAGGCAAACTTGGCGGGCGTGGTGCCGATGGTTTGACCAAAGAACTTGTCGGCCCAGCCGGCGTAGTACCGGAGGGTGTTGATGACTTCACCGAGATCGTCGCTCAAGGAGACCTGGTATGGCTTGCCTGTTGCCCCATCAGTGATGTTCTTTTCCGACTTCGGGGGAGAAACAGAAAAGGTGATGTGAACATACCGTTATCCCATGTCTCAATGGTAGCCAGGACCTCCCGGTTCTTATCGATCAGATCGGCCAGTTTGTGCATCATCTCACCCCGATCCGTCGGGGAAAGTTGCTTCCACGAGGGATCCTTGAGGGCCTTGCGGGCCGCCTTGACAGCGAGATCGACATCCTCCTCTCCTGCGGCATAGACGGAGGTAATTTCTTTCTCATCACTGAGACAGTCAGTATTTCACCACTCATAGAGCTCTCTTACTTTCGAGACTTTTCAAGTGGGGAAGACGGTAACATACGCCGGGTTGATGGAGGCGAACTTCTCGCCGGATTTGGAGGGAACAAATTCATTGTTGATGAAGAGGCCGATAGGCTGGGCATAAGAGCGCCCATTCGGAGCCGTCAACTGAACGGAGATGTTGGACATTTTGGAAGAGTGGAAGAGACGTCGAGGAGAGGGGAGAGATTGGGAGAGAGGGTAGATGGAAGAGCTCAGGCGGGGAAGCGAAGAGGGGGAGAGAGGGGTAGAGTATTTGTAGTAGCAACGAGAAGGGGGAGCCGTCAGAAGTTTGGACCATGTACGTTTGCAGAGACGCGCTGGACCCATGGTCCTGTAAGAGAGCCAAACCATAGGAGGGGCAGCAGCTGTACTGGAGTAGATGGTGTGGAGATGGGAGATGATGGAGCAATTAATGATGGTGAGGGGAGCTGGAGGAGGAGGAGCGGATTCCATTGGTGGAGACGGGCGAGAAAAGGGCGGATGACTCAGCGATCGCATCGACCTGCTCTTCTCGGCCTAAGGCACGAAGCCCGCATCGACCTCCCTCGTGGGTTGGCTCGACCGAGAAGGGATCGCTGGAGTGTGGTTGATCTGCAGGACGACGGCATTGCCCGTCTGTACAGGGTATGCGCAACCCCCTCCATTTCCGATTGGACATGCGTCAGTCAGGAATGGTCAGAGCTCAAAGCTGTGTCCAGGATAAATGCGGATGATCATTGCTCCGGCGCACAGGACGCGATCGCTCGATCGGTCGCGATGGACCCACTCCAGGTCACCATCAACCAAGGTTGCTCCTGTCAACGCGATTGAGCGATCTCTATTACTTCATATGTCAATATAGGTGGAGGTATATCAAGATCAGTCCAGAATCGTGCACAGCAGTGGATAACATGGCGAGTGCATCCCCGCAGGTGCGGGCCAGCGCGTCGCCCACCCAGAGCTTGCTACCTCTTGACAAGGTCTTCTCCATCCAGATTGGAACGGAGCTGTTCCGGTTGTCGGGAGCTTCAGTCGCCTCCGATGGTGAGTGGTGTGGTCCCGATTGAATGGACGCTGGCTAAATCCGACAGCCCCGTCGTACTTCTCCAAGTTCTTCGAAGAGCAATTATGTCAGAGCAGCGATGGCTCCAATATCCGGACGTTATACATCGATCGTGATCCCGCCACCTTTCAGCAGATCGCCCGACACTTGCAAGGTATAAGAAACAGTGTGTCCCCCGTCGGTTGAGCATGGAGCTGATCGATCGCATTTACCAGGTTACCATGTTCAACCCAGGGATGGGTCCGAGTATGTCAAGCTGTTCGCCGACGCTCAATTCTACAGCTGTACATGCCCCTCAGTTGAAAGGTCCGAACTAGGGAGATAAGGAGCCCCGCTAATGACCATAGTACCACGGCTGATTTCGCAACTGTTCGAATCCGAGATTTTCATCCAAATCGGCGACCGAAATTTCCAGATTCCCCGCGACCTCTTTAATGGCCAGGGCGACTCCCCCAACTTCTTTTCCCTCGGGTTCGCGGCCTTCTTTGCCTCAAAAAATCAGATCTTTCCGGGATTAGACCGTCATGGCCTCCTCCGACCCCCCGCGATCACCCCCACCAGCGTGCCCAGCCGGTCGGGTGAGGTCTTCGCCCAGATCCTACACCTTCTGCGCGGGTACCCGCTCCACATCAAGAATCGAGAGCACCGCGAGGAACTCCTGCGGGATTGCACATACTATCATTTGCGCGGCTTGGAACAAAGGCTCATACCCCACGACATCAGCTTCAATCCCTTCCTCCGGTCGTCCGAAATCGTCATTGGCCTCGACCACGTACGCCGCTCAGGCCTGCAGGTCCCACCACTGTCCAGTGGAGGTGGCTGGGTGACATATTCGCGGCCGTACACGGACGACAAAACACATGACCTGATTCTGGAGATTGGCGGTCAAAGCACGGTCGTAGATCTCCATCTGATGAACGCCTGGTTTTTCAATACGGCCAAGATGCGTGTCGCCACGTTGCTACGGGTCGTGGCAGATCAGCTACGGGAGCAAACTCAAGGCACGGGCCAAAGGGGCGGTGCAAGCAGCGAGACATCCCCTCATGACCGTGGGGTCCGCGTCCGCCTCGACCCGGGCATAGATCTGACTATCAACGGGCAAGCGGTCCCCCTCGCCGATGTCTGGACTAGCCCCGACCAAGAGAACCCTGCTAAGCGCAGGCGCACTGAAGAGGGAGCTGCCACCCGTTCTCCATCTATCTGGCATGTCTCCAAGGGACAGTGGCGTCTTCATGTGCAGCGGGGTGCTCCCCAGAGTGAGCCGGAGTTTCTTTTGGTCGCGGTCAAGTTGGACGTTTATAGCGAGGAAAGGATGCGAAATCGAGCTCGACCATTTCTTGGGCCTTGAAAGAGCACCTCACCTTTCGGTGCTATCAGGCAGATCTTTTAGAGGTCTACCATGGACAGTAGTTGCTTTACTGGTGTGGGGTTCTGTACCTGACGCGTGCTGGCAATGTCGCAGTGGGGTCAACGACCAATACTCATTAATTGGCCCGCGATCGGTGCTTGATCAGTCCACCGCACCTCCATGTCTGACGAAGAAACCCCGAGCGGAGTTTATGCCGCAGACATCAAGTTCAAATGGCAATGGCAGTGGATACCGGATTCAACAGCCGACCGGACACTACCCCGACCGGGACCCACTGAAAATCGACCGAGCTTATCGGTCCCCCCGCTTTTGGCTGGGACCTGAACTCTCCTCGATGCTTCGTCGAATCCGGCATGTCGAGAGCGATTGACTGTCCATTAGGTAACGATGTTTGATGTCTCCAAGTCTCCATAATTTCCCCTAGACTACTCCGCACCCCTTACATACTTCAACTCCCCTTTCCGCCCCTTCTTCGACCTCCTACTGTTCCTTTTGGATTGACACCCGAACCCCCACTGAAACATGCAAATACTAGGTGAGGCGCTTCAAGTGTTAAGCTCTATGGTACAGAATCGTTTCTGACGATTGTTAGTCTCCGACAACTCCCTGCGCGGTATCATCGACCGGTATCGCCCGGATCTCAAAGGCTACGAAGATGTTTATCGGCATCTGCACAGCTGCCCGGAGTTATCAGGTCTGGAAGAGGAGACGTCGGCCATAGCAGCTGATCATCTGAAGAAGTTGGATTTTGAAGTCCACACACATATCGGTGGCTACGGCGTGGCAGGCGTCCTCCGTAATGGTCCCGGCACAGTCACCCTGGTTCGTGCCGACATGGACGCTCTACCGGTGGAAGAAAAGACCAGACTTCCCTACGCGAGCAAAAGACACATGAAGAACAAGGCGGGCGAGACGACGCCGGTCATGCACGCCTGTGGGCACGATACCCACGTTGTGGGCATGATGGCTGCCGCTTCTCTGCTGCATGCGGCCAAGGCCGACTGGTCTGGCACCCTCATCATTATCTTCCAACCGGCGGAGGAACACTTGAACGGCGCGCGGGCCATGCTGGACGATGGCCTGTACGAGAAAATCCCGAAACCCGACGTGGTTCTGGCGCAACATGTCATGCGCATGAAAACAGGCACGGTGAGCATCCGGTCTGGCCGGCTACTGACGGCCGCCGACTCCATCAACATTCGCATCTTTGGTCGTGGTGGCCACGGATCCGCCCCACAAACGTGCATCGACCCGATCGTCATCGGAGCGGCGGTCATCACGCGGCTGCAGAGTGTTGTCAGCCGCGAGGTGACCCCCGGGGAGGTGGCCGTTGTGTCCTGCGGAAGCTTCCAGTCCGGGACCGTGGGGAACATCATTCCAGACACATGTGACCTCAAGTTGAGCGTGCGGACCTATGGCGGAGCGACGCGCGAGCGAGTCATCGCCGCCATCAAACGCATCGTCCGGGCAGAGTGCGACGCAGCGGGTGCCGTGGAGGAGCCACAGATCAAGATCCGGAATTCGCCAGCGACGATCAATGACGATGCAACAGTCAAAGCTCTCAAGCATACTTTTGGGTCTTTCTTCCAGGACGACTTGGTGGAATCGGAGCCGGCCACGGCCAGCGAAGATTTCTCTCTGCTGGCGACGGAGGTGGGTGCGCCATATGCGATGTGGACTTATGGCGGTGTCGATGCGCACACCTGGGACGATGCCGTGGCACACGGGAAGGTGAATGAGTTGCCTAATAACCATTCGCCCTTCTTTGCGCCAGTCATTGAGCCGACGTTGCGGACGGCCGTGGACGCCATGGCTGTCGGAGCACTCACTTTCTTGAAGAAGCATTAGGTACCTTGACATGGATGGTATAAAGTAGAAATTTTGAACTAATCCAATGACTACATGGTAGCATGACAGATAGTATTAGTCTTTATACGTACTAAGTATAACCAAATGAAGTAGAATAACACCATTCTAACGAGTACTCTATATTTGACCCAGGAAACCCCAGGCCGATAAGCCGATAAGCATGATGGTGTTTGCAGTGTTTGTCTACATATCGGAAACCGCCGTTCCGCCCCGATCTTTCGATGCTTCATCCATCTGATCGCAACCTGTCTTCCTGGATAGCCCTCCGAGATTCCTCGCTTTTCTTTATTTGTACAGTTGTATTTTCATAAATTATAACTCAATGGGTTTCGGAAGTCCCGGCGGCGGAGCCACGAACATCAAGCCCACGCCGTGAGTACAGTCTCAATTTGTTGAGCCACCACGACGACGATGAGAAGGGGGACTAATTCGTGATTAATATAGGCCCGAGCGAGGCAGCTTTCCCCTGGACCATGAAGGTACTTTACTCCGATTTTCGATTTAATATTCCGCAACCCAGTGCAACCCAAGAACCGTCCATTCCTCGTCCTATCAACACCCCGACACCACAGTCTTCGGACTGAAACCCATGATTACCTCCATGGACAACTGACTAACGGACAACAACAGGCGAATGCAAGCACCTAATCTCGAGCTACCTCAAATGCATCAAATTGAGCCGGGGCGTCAACGACGAAGAATGCCGCAAACTGGCCAAGGGATACCTGGGGTGTCGGATGGATAAGTACGTCTCACTCATTTCACGGGAGGGATAGGATATTTCTCTTGTGCACTATTTGGGGAACAAATAGGCTAACGCTAGTAATTGACAGGAACCTCATGGCACCGGACGATTTCAAGAACCTAGGGTTGGTCTTCGAGAAAGAGGGGGCCCAGAACCAAGAGCCGTCAACGAAGTCATGAGATGTGATGCACTGGTGACCGCCTGCTGCTTGTGCATATAGACAACCGCGAGGTGCAATGTATGATAGTATTGTCGATATTATGTTTATGTTATGATGGCATCCGGGCGTTGGTGGAACTGTATTATGTACATGTACATGTACATTATATGCTTGTATATAAGATGATATATGCCAGTATGTCTGGATTTGAACCGCTTTCTTGACTTATCGTCATGATGTATGCAAGAAGATAGGTAAGGACTACTGGACTGAATAAACGCTTATATCGTCAAGCAGAAAACATCCGCGGTACAGCAAGCGCACCACTACCATTTTGTAGATATAAACCCACTCATTAGAGCTCGCATCTGCCACATGGTACAAGCAGTTACTCCGCTTGCAATCTTATAATCGTATTATATACAATATAATATCTCTGTTTTATTCTTTAGATAGAGTGGCCTATACTGCATGGTGTCGATCTCAAATATGCCTGACTCATATCTTACTAATCTAAATGTGGTGGCCTGAGGCCAATGTATGATAGAATAGCCTCAGGCTTGGTGTGGGGAAGCTCTTGTCCGCTCTCAGTCTCACCGAATGTATATCCACTTCCCCCTCCCTACGTGGGGATTACCCGCTCGCTGTACGCCAATGCTGTAGCAAACTCGAGGCTGCGCTATACCCAATGTCTTCAATCGCACGTCCTCCAGACCCGTGTCTCGTGGCCATCATCCTCATCGTCCGCTCGCGCGCCGGCCCTCGCTTCGTCTTCCACTACCCGCCCAACCCCCTCGTCGAGAACGGCCTCCGACCAGCACACAAGGGACGCCGCATCTCGCGCTCCAAAAGCGCTCAGACAGCCAGAAGCAATGACTCCAGCGAAAGCGACGCGAGCGGGTCAACCTCCGACGAGGACGAAGAGGATGTCCCGAACAATCAGAGCCAGAACTCCACGCAGACACACCTGGCGATGAGCGCGACCTCCACCCGACGGGGGAGCGCCTTTGGACTCGAGGACCGTGCGTCCGTGTCCGCCTCGCCGGTGAGGGACTCGCATCGACCGAGTTCGATAGGCTCCGGGAGGGCGCTGCGGAAACGGGGGGAGAACTCCGATGTCGAGGACGCGGGCGCTCTCTCGGACAGACCGGACGAGAAACCGTCTGCGAGTGGCGGCGGAGGAGCAGCTGGGGAGGTCCCGTCTCACATGCCCTGGGAGTCGCTGCTGGGACTGCCTGCAGAGGTGTGGGAGAAGCTGCTCAGTCCGTCGCGGACGTGGCATAAACGGCGGTTTGAGATTGGCGTCAACGACCTGGCGTTCGTGGGATGGCCGGTCTTTGTTCGGGAGGATGGCAACTGGCGGAAAGAGAGGCGGAAGAAGAAGGAGAAGAAGCCGCATCCTGAGTGGGAGGGTGGTGAAATCGGACACAATGAGAATGGGGATGATGTTGCCGATGATGGTACCAAGACCATGGCTGCATCGACGGAGACGCTGAGCCCGCACCCGATGACAGCGTCGGAGAGCCAGCGCGCGTCGGTGTCCAGCCTTCTATCGCAGAAGGCACCCAGCGAGGTTGTGGACGAGGATACTAAGGACTCCATGACTATGTTCAACGTGGTGTTCGTGCTAGACCCCCCGCTACTGGAGTACTCCGTCCGAGTTCGCGAGATCTATGACAATATCATCAAGAAGTTCGCCAAAGCGCTGAAGTGGGAGCAGGCGCGGACCGACTACGTCTGGAACGAGGCGCAGCTCATCTCGCATCTGAAGGAGAAGGCCAAGGAGAATCGTATGTGGGCCCGCACATGGTTTTCCGTCTGAAGCTTACATTCCTATGCAGGGACGTCTGTCGGTGCCCTTTACGCCGACCTCATAGCCCAGTCGTCACTCGCGCGGGCGATCTACACCGTCTACTCCAGTATCTCGGCGTCGAAGATCGCCTCGGTCGCGCTCAGCCCCGATGTGTCCATATCCCTTCAGATACCGCCGCTGACCTCAACGCCCTATCTGGCCTGTCCGACGGACAAGGCGTACCCGGGCCTCTGGCTGACCACCGCCGATAGCGTTACTCCGACGGACGATCCAACGGCAGACGAAAATAGCGCACCGCACCAGGTCCCGGCGAAGCATTTTGCCTTGTTACTTCTCGACAACGAAGCGTCGATCCTCAAGGACGTCGAGGCGTCGGGAGGCGCGCTTGCTCCGGCGCTGGCCCACTATATCCGATGCTCGAAGCCCACCAAGTCGTTTGCCCAGATCTCCGCCACGTCCGGAATACCGCTCTCCACGATCCAGTCCTTGGCCAGTCACCTCGTGTACTGGCGACGCGCGCGTGCCATCCCGCCGCTCCACCAGCGCGATACGTACATTGTGTCCCCGAACTGTGATTTGAGTAAACTGGAGGTCGCAACAGCCGCCTACTCCCTCGCATTCCCCACCCTTCCCAGCCTGCCCAAAATGCTGTCCGCGTTGAGTGGCACCCCCAGGGCATACGGGAGCTTCATTCCCAGCAAGGACCACAAAGACACATATTTTTCCATCCTTGCCTGGCTCCTGCGCGGCGGATGGGTTACCCAGCTGCGCTCATTCGCCCGTGTCAAGGTCTCTCCCGAGATCAAGTTGGCCGTCGAAACGGCGCTCCGACGAGAGGAGGTCGACAAGTACCTCCGAAAGGTCGACCGCGAACGAAACAGTGCCAAGCCCGATGACGACGACGTCGCCAACGAGGATTTCGACGACAACGCCTCCTCGTCATCATCCTCACTGGACAGCCACGGCAGCGGCGACGAGACACCCATGCCGGGTCGACGACGAGCCGACCACGAGCTAGACGCATCGCGGTCTCTCGTCGACCGCAACGCCTCGCTCCAGACCTCATCTCTCATCCTATACCCACACCGCGCCTCGCCTCTCGAATCGCGCTGGCTCGACGAGATCGTATCCCAATTTCCAGTCCGCCCGGGGCGGTCAAACACGACAGCCTCCGACACCGGAGACGGCGAGTACGCGGGGCTGCGGCAGCCGCTGAAAAAGCACTGGCCGACTTTCTCCAAGTACTTCAACGGGTATGATGCGCTGGAGAAAATCCCAATCCGGGAGGGGCTCAAGCGGAAAATGGTGTGGCAGATTTTGACGCGGTTGGGCTTGTTGACGGGGCCGCAGTCGACTGTGGAGGTTGATCCGCGAGAACAGGTTCTGGTTACTATGAGACATTGGTAGTATGTTACCTGTGAGTGGTTCTTAGTATGGAGCAGATCTGCGAGTGATGATGTCTTATGCATAAGTGTGCTATAATCAGACCACGGTATTACTTTTTGCAACTTGACTGCATTTCATAACATAGGTGTCTGACAATCATGACCGCGCAGTCATATCACGCTCACCAAGTGGCTACATTCAAGGGAGGAAGAAAGAAGAGCAACCAAGCCAAACAACACTCCGTCCCACCACACCACCCAACCTCAACGAGAGCCAAAGAAGCCCCAACACTGTCTCGACCCAAGGAGTGTTACTTCATCACTAATAGAAAAGCCGTCTCGCCCGCTCAAACAACGGATGATCCCTGAATCCACCGCGCCTGCGCATCTCCTCGATCTCAGGATGCACGCAGCGGCCATTAGAGTAGAGCCAGGCGCCGGGGCAGTCTTTCTTAGCCTTGCACATCTTATAGATCTCGATTGGATTGGTGACTTTGACTTTGGCGGGGTCAATTTCGGTGTGGGTGTCGGGTTCTTCGTCGAAGAAGCCTTCTGCGTCGAGGGCGGATATGCTGCGGGAGCTGCTGGTGGTGGTGGAGGGGAAGTCTATTGTTTGATGGAGGTTAGAGATATACTGGTGGGATTTCATTGGGTGATTGTGGTTTGGAGGGCTCACCTTCATGCAAGACAGACGCATTCTCAGTGTCATTCTCGTCCTTGTGAATAAAGCCCGGCAGGATTGAGGAGGAGACGAGAGTTGCGAGGAAGAGCAGCAGGAAGGGGAAGACCTTCATTATGGGCTTGTTTCTAAGTGAAGGGCCTTGGTGTTGAGTTGGAAGGGATGGGAGTCTGTGGAGCTCAAGAGGGCGTTAGGAAGAGGGAAGAAGTATGTGAGGGGTTGAGATGAATTTAAAGTAGGATAATACATTGTAGCAAGAAAGACATTTGATCATTTTGAGAGCCTTCACCGGTGAAAGTTGATATCATACGTGTTTACATAGTGATGGTTGTAGAGGATTGATACTATCACTCTACGTATCTTTATCTTTGTCAAGGACCCACTATAATTCACTACATAGACTATTTGAGTCTAATGATAGTAAGAGTTAAGTGGTAGTATACCGGAGTAAATAGAGTTATCAGTCACTTGATAGTATACAGCTATATATAGATAATTTGAGATACAGTTCTAACTATCCACAAGTAAAACTGAAGATTGACTGGATAATAAGATAGATTACTCTTTACTTTCTTTCTGATTATATATAAATCTCCTATTTCAATATCAAAAGATCTACCTCGACTTGTATACTGCACAGTTATACCAACACAAAAACAAACACAATCAACACACAAACAAGACAAATATCTCAAACATCCTAACCTAATCAGGTTAATCCGATCGACAGACCGACAGAACCACACCGCTCCCACCACCGCCCATCCCGCTCCGAAAAAACGGCGCCCATCATCATCATCCAAGTCCCCTCCGAGAGAATACAATCCAACAAACCGGGGAGTCACAAAAGCACGCATAATGACCCTCAGAATCCTCCTCGGTATACCACATACAAACACCCTACAAACCATTCCCATCTCCCGGTAATACTCCACACGCCACTCATTACGACATGGCAGCGAAGTTCATTCCGCGCCAGGTCTTTCCCAACCATGCGTCCATCCCGAGGTCCTACTTCCTGGGCCATCATGTGGCCGGGTTGAAGAAGATGCAGAATATGTTGTCTTCGATTGACTATGTGGTGGAGTGTCGGGATTACCGTGTTCCTGCTACGTCTGTGAATCCTCTGTTTGAGGAGGCGTTGGGGAAGACGCGACGGTTGGTCGTGTATACTAAGCGGGATTTGGGGTCGAGATCGGGGCGTGGGCGACAAGAGGTAAGTGTTGATCTAGCTACTTGATATCCTGTCTTATTGTAAAGCCATGACTGACAGCGCAGGTTGAAAAAACAATCCGCAAACTCGACGACAACGCCGCCTCCTTCTTCGTTAGCTCCTCGTCCCGCCCCGATGTCAGCCCGATCCTCAAACACCTCCGGAACGACGCCGAGGGCCCCGACCGCCTCGTCGGATGCCGCGTGATGGTAGTGGGAATGCCCAACGTGGGCAAGTCAACCCTGATCAACAACCTGCGCAACCAGGGCGTGGGAAAGGCGAAAGCCGTGCAGACGGGGGGACAGCCGGGCATTACACGCAAGATCGGCACGCCCGTGAAGATCATCGAGCGGGAGGACGGGGCGCACGTCTACGTGCTGGATACGCCGGGCGTGTTCATGCCGTATGTGCCGGACGCGGAGAACATGCTGAAGCTGGCTCTCTGCGGCTGCGTCAAGGACTCGGTGATCTCGCCGGTCACCTTGGCTGATTTCTTGCTGTATCACGTCAACCTTCATAACGCCGAGGTGTACGGGCGATGGTCGCCACCGACCAACGAAATCATGCCGTTCCTGGACACCTTTGCGCGCCAGTCGGGTCTCCTTGCCAAGGGTGGCGTGCCCAACGTGGACCTGGCCGCGTTGCATTTCATCCAGAAATGGCGCGCCGGTGAGTTGGGGAAGTTTGTCCTGGATGACTTGGAGGTGGAACTGCAGCATCAGCTGGCGGGTGGCAAGGAAGCCAGCGTGAGCATGTCCCAAGCCTTGAAGGCAGAACGGGGCGCGAAGAAGCAGCCTTCTTCGAAACTGTAAATAATAGGAATCAATCATGTATTATAGTACTGTAATACAGCGTATATACCATTGCCAGCTGAAACAAACTGCCACTGTTCGTAATACCATGCCGTCTTGCGGATTGTGGCATCCAATCGCTCATAGAGAAGCAAAAACGCCAGTGTGCCCTCATCCTTCGCCGTGAATATGCAAAAAGTAACAAAGAGTCGATCACTCTTTGAGACGCTTGGAGGCGCGTAAAAGACTATCGTCGGGCAACCCGCTTCGCTTGGTACCGGGCAAACTGCCCGAACGGATATCGTTGTCGTCCTGGGTGACGCGACGACGCGGGTATTTCCCTTCAAATCCTTCGAAACAATTCGCAGGGATCGGTCCGCCGCTGGAAAAGTACGGATGCTCGAGGGCCTCCCGGGCGGTGATCCGCTTGGTAGGGTCGTATTCGAGGAGTCGTTCCAACAGGTCGTACCCATCGGCCCCCGGGGTGCCAATCCCCGAAGTTGTCGAGTATCCCCCGTTCTTCAGACAGTTCGTGTACCAAGCCTCCAGGTTTGACGACCGGGGAAAGTGGCTCGCACGGGACGTAGCCAATGTTTGCAATTGGGTGTACTCCGGCATCGATCCAATGTCCGGCCAGCTCTCCTTAGTTGGCAAGCCCATGATGTCCATGATCTTCATCATCTGGTTGCGTTGGAACGGCACGGTCTTTTTGCTGTCCATCTTGGCCTCCTCGCCTTTGAAGATGGGTCGCAGAGACAGGAGCTCGGCGAAGATACAGCCGACGGCCCACAGATCGACGGCGGGGGTGTAATGCCGACTGCCCATCAGCAACTCCGGCGCCCGATACCAGATGGTCACGACGACCTTGTCGCCGGAGAAGAGGGAATTCAGCGGTTTGTAAAAGAGGCGGGCCAGACCAAGGTCGCCAACGCGAATGGCACCGCTGGACGTGACCAAGATGTTGGCAGGTTTCAAATCCCGGTGTAGGACCCAGTTGGTATGCAGATACAGCAGACCGTTGAGGAGCTGGAACAGGATCGACCGGACCATGGCTGCTGGGATCGCATGTCTCTGCGGTTGGGTGTGGTGATGGATGATCTGGAGCAGATCATGTTCGGTATATTCGAAGACCATGAAGATGCACTTGTCCTCCAAAATGATTTCCTCCAGCTGCACAACGTTTGGGTGGTTCAATTCCGAGCACAAGGCCATTTCCCGAATGGCCGACTGTGACAGGCCGGTATACTGGATGATCTCTCCCTCTTTGTCCGGCTTGAATCTGGAACGGTCAGTGAATCGTCGAACTCGACGGGGCGATGCGCATACTTTTTGATGGCGAACTCCCCCTTTTGGCCATTTTTCCCGATGGCCTTGTAGACCCGGCCATATGTGCCACTGCTGATGAAGCCTACGATATGGTATTTGTCGCGGACTCGGACCTTGCTGGTGTATCCGACCCCGGACGGTTTTCTCGGATCTAGGCCTTCTGTCGACCAATAAACCGGTTAGCTTGTGTTGGACAGTTGGACGGAGCTTCTCGGGATCGGCAACGCGAAAAGGTCAAAGTATGAAAGAGACAAGCCCGAAACGGGGGAAAATGCAGAGCGACAGCAGAAGCTCTTTCGAGCGACGTAATCCACCCAATCAAACAGGGAAAAGCCATTACCACGTGGATAAAACCCGCCGGCAGAGTTAAAAAACGGGAAATTCCTTCCGAACATGACGGTAGAAAAATCTCACAGCTCATGCTCGGAGAAGAAGGATTGTAGACAGAAAGAGGCGGGACTCAACCCGAGGACATGTTGACAGGTAGAGTGGCAAAAGGGAGGGCAAGGCCGGGGAGGCTTTTCTCTCAGATGGGTTGAATATATGGGGAAAAAAAATATTAAAAAAAAAAAAAGAGGTGATCAAGGAAAGATCTGAAAAAAGTAGATCAAGAATTCAATATGAATCATTCGGTATTACCATCGACCGCGACCTGTAGACTCCTTTTAAGAGACAGACTCTGGCTGACGGTGGCCTCGGTAGGCCTGGACGGGGCGGGTAAAAGGCCGGATGAAGAGGGAGGGTTGGTCAGCGTCATGAATCGATTGACGGTCAATGTGGATAAAGATAATGATGATAGTAATAATAGTCGGAATAATAATGCTAATAATAGTCGGGAATTATCAAACGGAGACTGCCAGAACGACGGGGGGTGGATCCACTCCGTCGCGGTGGTGATTGTTTGGTTCGGCTGGAGCAACCTGACTTTGGCTTCAAATCATCAAAGTGTCGAATGCCACCACTGGAGACCTCATAGACCGCACTGACCAATATCAAGTAACCGGACAAAGGGGTGGGGAATTGAATGGGGATAGGAAAAATGTCGAGGGGTGGAGGGGTCTGGAGAAATGGGGAAATGGAGGATGAAGTTCGGAGACCGAGATGCCCCTGTCTGTGTCTCACCGCCTTCCTATCTATCAAGTACTTTACGATGGGTCATCAGATAGGTTGAGAATACAAATGTCGATAGTATACATATAATACACTGGTTACATCTTTTCGTCTTCTAGGGATGTTCTGGTGCAATCTGAACCCCCCCATAGCTGATACCGAGTCGTTGACGGCTGGTCCAGAGCGACGGTCATTTCTCGCTCTGGGATTTAGTAGAGACATCCAGATGGTCTTCTGTGCTGTGCAGGATTGTTTGCGATGCGAGTCAAAAAAAAGACAGCTCATGGCTTTTCTACCGGCGTCTCCAGCCCGCTCGCTTTTGCTTGCTGCAGATGATCGATCTTCTCGTCGATGATGGCGATTTCAGCTTCGATGCCCAACAACTTCTCGCTCAGCATCCCCCGATAGTCCTCATCGGAAAGACTCCGAAGCGGAATCCACTTGGAATCAGCCATTCGCTGGAGGAAGGGCTTGGATGGAGCACCGGCATGTTGCATCTGCCACGAGTCGACGGCATTGTAGGACAACTGCCCGAGGTAGCCGAGCAAGGAGAAAATGACGGCGCCCGGAATGAGTCGACCTCCTAGACGTCCGACAGTTAGCACTTTTGCGCAAGATGGGAGACGGACAGCAATAGACGAGGCGGGGATTACCCATCAATCTGGTAACACCGCCTCCGGCGATACCCCCCGAGAGGGCGCTCATATATGCCTGCTGTTTGGGCGAAGCATTCCCTTCATAGTGTAGTTGGATGAGATTGCTCCTCAACCCTGTGTGCGACGCATCAGTTACCGTCATGTATGCAGAGAAGGGTTTGGACTCACACCAAAAAGACGTTCCACAAGCAAACCAGTGGATCCCACAAGAGATCGAATGGATGACGGGGTGACGCGATCGAAGAACCCCTGATACGCCTCCATAAACAAGACCAGTCGAGCCTGTCCCGATGGTTGTCAATGCGCTGATACGGTACAAAACCACAGAGAAAAGGGAAAACACGGACCACTCAAGGCTCCAACCTTTAGGGAGGACAACAGGATATTCTGCGGGGGCTGATCATTTGGCTTCCCTTGGGTCATACTCATTTTGCCAACGGCTGGTCCGGCAGCCTGCGAGCATTCCTGATTCTCATCAATCCATGACCGACGGATTTCTATCCATATGACGCGTTAGTCAGGATCTCTCACGTGACACATAGAGTGCCGTATTCTGCCCGCTCCCTCCGCCCTGGGATTTGCGGGGAACCTGAACAGAAGCAGAAAGTACGAACAACCAGAGACGCATTTACATTCCTCCTGCTTCTCGGACTTCTGATATCTTCATTTTCGCATCTTCTGCAAGGTCATGCGCATTTCTGGTGGTTAATTTGTAGGGTTTGTCGACTCGCGGTCCCCACGTCCTCCGTCATCCGTCTCCGTCCTCCATCGCTATCCTGCGTCTTGCCGGCGCGGCATGCCGCATACCTCCCTCAGTTGACCCACCTCTTCGCTTCTCGCAGACGTGAACCATGCCGCCGGTTCATACACCCCCCCAAAGGCCCCGGCTGATCTGCTACCATCAAACACTCTGTCCAGATAGCGGGCCATATGTCTCTTTGATGCCCCTAGTGGAACACAACACTGGCATCACGCATGTCATCCTCGCGGCCTTTCACCTGAACGACGATCCCAACCACATCACCCTCAACAATGACCCCCCACACCACGCCATGTATGATGCGCTCTGGGAAGAGGTCCCATTGCTCAAGCAGTTCGGGGTACGCGTGATGGGAATGCTGGGAGGGGCGGCTCAGGGCTCGTTTCGGTCGTTGGATGGGGATCTGGAGAAATTCGAACTCTACTACAGACCGTTGCTGGCGACGATTCAACGCCATGGGCTGGACGGCATCGACTTGGACGTGGAGGAAGAAATGTCCCTTTCGGGCATCATCCGGCTGATTGACCGCCTCAAGTCCGACTTGGGGGATGAGTTCATCGTGACCCTCGCGCCTGTTGCGGCGGCCCTTCTGGGTATTGGGAACCTGTCCGGATTCAGTTACCATGAGCTGGAGCAGCAGCGCGCGTCCAAGATCAGCTGGTATAACACGCAGTTCTACAATGGCTGGGGCCCTGCCGAAGATCCGCGCATGTATGCGGCCATCGTCGCACAAGGATGGTCGCCCCGCCGCGTAGTATATGGAGTGTTGACGAATCCCGGGAACGGATCGCAAGGCTACGTGCCGTCCGACAAGCTGGGGCCGGTTCTGGGCCAGCTCGTCCAGCAGTACCCGAACTTCGGGGGTGTGATGGGATGGGAGTATTTTAATTCCAAGCCAGGAGAACGACAGAAGCCCTGGCAGTGGGCAGCCGAGATGTCCTTGAGTATGAACCTGAGGGATGTGCTGGTTGCGGCCCAGCAGCTGCTGGCGGGAAATAGTCTTGTCAATGCGCTACGCGACATGATGCAGCGACAGGAGTTTTAACGAAGCAACGATAGCATTATACATACTAGACCTATTCACCGTCTATTTAATTTATTGTTTGATTTCCCAAGCCTAAACAAACGGCTATACTGTACACCATCGTAGTTGATCGGACCAAGTGGAGACGATTGTGTACGGGAACTGCATGATTGGCCGAGGTTGGTGTTTTGAATGTCGTCATCTCCTCCGTCGCCGCCAGCCTGACCGGTCTTCACCTCACTCACGCGACTCTCTCGCCGTACCACCATCGAAAAAGCCTTTCTTGAAACTATTTACTGGCATGAACTGTATCTGTTGAAATCCATTGGATTTATCCACAGTCATGGCGTCGTTCTCGAGGGCTGTCGCCGCCACCACTTCGGCGACCGTCCGTATCACAGCTTTCCTCTTTCTACGATGGGTGCGTCTGCTGAATTACTTGGTACACGATGGATTTGCGCTGACATAGGATACTATAGATGCCCGGCCATGTCTTTCCTCCGGTCATTCTCACGGCGTTGGTGATATATCTGTCGACCATACCGTCCCTCTATCGGGAGACTGGCCCGCCCACGACTGATCGTCGCAAGGGCTCACAAAAGGCTGGTGAGTCGCCCGTTCGTGGTTGATAATATGTCCGAGGAAATAGCTGATCATGATATGCTTTATTGGTATAGGATCCAAGCAACCTCCCGCGCAAGACAGCGGACTGAAGACGCTCCTGACTGGCTTGCCCTCGGCCCGATCGCCGCTGCTGACGGGCCTGACAGTTCTGATAAACATTGTGCTGGGTCTATTCACGCTGGACTTCCTACTCCGCGGAGCACTCCTCTATGCCGCAGCGGATCTCGCGTTTACCCGGATCGGATATGTGTCTCCTCAAACTGCCAGTCTGTTCGTTCGAGAGCCCGACTCGACTCAACTACCGCTGGGCGTATATTACCAGGAGTGGGACCACAAGAACCCTACGCCTTGGGCGGAAGACCCATCGCAATGGACTCAGGAGGGTACAATTTACGCGCTCACCAACTCGACAGATTTCACCGCAAGTATTACTCTCAAAGGCCTGAAGCCCTCGACCAAGTACCGCTACGCGCTGTCGAACAACCGTACGGGTTCTTTCACCACGGCTCCGCAGCAAGGTTCTGAGCAGGCGAACTCTTTGTCCTTCCTGACATCGAGCTGCATGAAGCCGAACTTCCCGTACAACCCGCTGGCGCACCCACTGCGGATCTATGGGCTCGAGACCATGGCTGAGACAGTCCGCGCCCTGGCGTCGGCCGCCAGACCAACGTTCATGATGTTCCTCGGCGACTTCATCTACATCGATGTCCCCCAGCGATTGGGGTCCTCCGTGGCACACTACCGCAGCGAATACCGTCGCATCTACTCCTCACCCTCCTGGTCCGGCCCAGAAGAGCTCCCTGCGATCGATCTCCCCTGGATCCACACGATGGACGACCACGAGATCGAGAACGACTGGTCCAAGGGAAACACCACAGCGCCGTACACCTCCGCCGTAGAACCCTACATCCACTACCACGTCAGCGTGAACCCTCCCATCCCCGCCAGCGCGTTCGCCACACCCGAAAACACAACCTACTTCACCTTCACCGACGGTCCCGCCTCATTCTTCATGCTCGACACACGCGCCTACCGCACCGAACCCGCCCACGACGACTCAACCATTCTCGGCTCCGCGCAGCTCCAATCCCTCCTCGCATTCCTCGCGCGCCCCGAGCCATCCGAAGTCCACTGGAAGATCGTCGCGTCCAGCGTCCCCTTCACCAAGAATTGGCATGTCGGCACAACAGACACCTGGGGCGGATTCCTCAACGAGCGGCGCACCGTCTTCGAAGCAATGTGGCGCGCCGAGCGCGAGCAAGGCATCCGCATCGTGCTACTCAGCGGCGACAGACACGAGTTCGGCGCCACACGGTTCCCGGACCCGACCCTCGCCCTCACAGACGACGAGCTCCGCCCAGACACACCAGGCGAAGGACTCCACGAGTTCAGCGTCGGCCCGCTCAGCATGTTCTACCTCCCCGTGCCAACCTACTACCAGACTGACCCGGAGGATGTGGCCATCAAGTACATCCCCGACGGCAACGTCAAGTACGGGCTCATCGACATCGACACTGTCGAGGAAACGCTCGATGGCGTCGTCGTCAGCAGCTCTGCCCTCACTTATTCGCTCTACGTAGACGGGGAGGTAGTCTGGAAATACAGACTCAGCGTCCCGCTGCATGGCCTCCCCGCCAAGCCCTTCAAACACCCAATCTTACCCCCGGGCAAGGTGCTACTCGACGAGCGTCCGGCCGTGTCTTGGGTTCAGCGGATCAAAGACCTGATTGGCGGGCTGCAGAACCGGCTTTGAAGAGTATACCGCAAGTGAAGGCCGCGTATGAACAGACGTGAGCTCTTGAGCTCGTATTGGATATTCGACGGTGCTTTTCGTATCCCCATCTTCTACTGGTTTCTGATTCGATACGGGTAGAGATAGATGTACTATGTACGTATGTATGAACGTGTGAACGTGGTTAATGACCGTGTATGCTAGTTGCGAACTCGATAGAGCGATGTCAACTCTGTAGGCAGTAAACTGATCGGTAGGTACTAGATAATAAGCTTGTAAAGTGCTAAGTGCAAGACAAATAGAACTTCGTCGTCCATTGAAGATATTTGCAGATTAACCCTGGAAAAGAGAAAAAAGAGTACAAGTAGAATTCGCCACGCCAAACACCATCCGTATGCTAGAATTGAACGACCCAGGGTGCGTTTAATATGGCATCATCGTCGCACGAACCGCACGCAGCCCGTGTGAAAAGCAGAGATATAACATAAGAAATGAAAAAAAGAAAAGACGACATGAATAGAAGACATGAATAGAATAGGTATAACGGTATGACGGTATGACGGTATGACGGGGATTGGAGTGAATGTATCATCGGCCTCGGCCACGTCCTCCACCACCGCCACCACCACCACCACCAAACATCCCACTCATTTGGCTCATCATGCCTTGCAGGTCCATCCCGCCGAGGCCGGGCATGCCGCCGCCGCCGCCGCCGCCGCCTTGACCCTGCATCATCTGCATCATCTTGGCCATGTCGGGCATGCCACCGGCACCGCCGCCCCCGCCCATCGCCGCCATGCGTTTCTGCATCGCAGCCAGCTGCTGGTCCTTGTTGCCGCCCTTGAGCATGTTCTGAGCACGCTGCATCTGCTTCTTCTGCCCGCCGACGCGCTTCGCCATGCCGGCCATCATGCGGTGCTGGGAGAGGACGTCTTCGACTTCGCGGACGGTCGTGCCGCTGCCGCAGGCGATGCGGACCATGCGGCTGGGCTGCTCGACGAAGAGCTTGCCGTCGCTGTCGAGCTCGGCGACGGTCATGCTGTCGAAGATGTAGATCATGCGGCGGAGCTTGAGCGAGCCGTCTTCGTCGTCGAGCCCCTGGGTCAGATTGGACAGACCCGGGATCATGCCGGAGAGTTTGGAGAGCGGACCCATCTTCATGATCGATGTGATGTTCTCGCGGAAGTCGCGCAGCGTGTAGATACCCTCCGAGATGTGCTTGTAGGTTTCCTTGGCGGAGGCCGAGTCCTTGGTGACGGCTTGGACGTGCTCGACTAGGCCGGCCATGTCGCCCATGCCGAGCAGTTTCTGGACGAACGACTTGGGGTCGAACCGCTCCAGGTCCATCATGTGTTCGCCCGTTCCGAGGAAGATGATCGGGGTGTGCGTAGCGGCGACGGCGGAGATGGCACCACCGCCGGCGGCGTGACCGTCCGTCTTCGTGATGATGATGGCACCGAAGTCGGCGGTGGCCTTGAAGGCAGATGACTGGGCTTCGGCAGACTGACCGATCGTGCTGTCGAGAACCAGGACGGTCTGGTCGGGGGTGACGGCCGTTTGGATCTGGATCATTTCGTTAAACAACTCCTCCTCTTGCTGGTGACGACCGCTAGTATCGACAATGATGATCTCGAAGCGCTCCTTCTTGAACTTGGCCACACCCTCGGCGGCGACGATCGCGGGGTCCGTCTGGGTCAGACTACCGTAGTAGGGGATCTTCGCCTTGGTCGCGTTCTGCTTCAGCTGGTCGAAAGCACCGGCGCGGAAGGTATCCGCGCAAACAAGGGCGGTCTTGAAGCCGCGGGTCTGGTAATGACGGGCCAACTTGGTACAGGTGGTTGTCTTACCCGCACCCTGCAGACCAACGAACATGATGACATTGGAGCGGCCTTTCTTGGGGCGGAAGGGGTCCGCATGGGGGTCGACCAGTTTGACCAGTTCATCGAAGACGGCCTTCTGAATCATACGCTTCTTGTTCACGGCGGGCGGCAGGGCGGCGAAATTGACGCTGGATTTGATCGATTTGCGGAGGGTCTGGACGAGACGAACGTTGACGTCAGCGGATAGGAGGGCGGCACAGATCTCCTTGATCATGTCATCGAAGGCCTAGATAATATGCGTTAGCCGGCGTATAGAGATCTCCTATTCATCATTGGAGGTCACCTTTTCGTCCAGGTTGTTGGACCTGGTCATGTCATTGACGGCGGCATTGATGCGCCGCCCGAGATCCTGAAGGACCATGGCGTTGGATGGATAGAAATTTCCAGATACACAGAATATAAATCGATAAAGGTGGATTTAAATAACCGCGAATACGTTCACCGTCGTCTGAACAGAGTTGGGGGAACCGAATGCAAGATGGAGGGGAAGTGTGGAGGCGTGGAAAAGGACAGACAGGAAAAGCATCTGGATGATTCCAGTGACGGTGGTGATGCGGAGGGAGTCGGCCAATCAGACGGCCAGACCTCTTGACCGCCTTACACTGGTCATGTGACAAGCATGGAGACACACCGCCTTCCGCTTTGAGAATACTATCATGTGACTGTCACAAATACCAAAATTACCCCGAGGAAACGTTCCCCGCATTCTCCCAGACCGACAACCGAGCCTCCTCGGTGTTCTATTTACCTCGCCCATGGCTGTCGGTCGTCAGATGGATCAGACGATCCTTACAAAACTAGAAGTCATGGATCCTCTGCGTCATGTCCTACCAAGCTCTTCATTGCTCTTTTGCGAAACTGTCAACAGACGCGCTCATAGTAACGGGCTGTCAATAACTACAACATGAGTTCGCGACCCGTCCGTATTGCGGGTAAGCAGCATCCTATCAACCAACGATAGAAGATCTCCCAATTCCATTGGGAGCGTGTGTAGGAATCGACATTGACTGTGTTTTCCAGGCGCTTCAGGATCAACCTCCGACCGACGCCATGCCATCGCCGAGTTCGCCCAGAACTATCCCCAGGATCCCGTGGATGTCATCATCGCAGACTTCATGAGTGAGGCCAACATGGTCACTGGGGCTGCCCGTCGCGTGGACCAGGAGAAGGCGCAAGGAAACCAGGAAATGGCCCCGCCAGGCTATGAGCTCTCGTTTCTTCTGGCCTTGCAGCCGGCCCTTGAGAACATAGCCAAGCATGGAATCAAGCTAGCCGTCAATGCAGGCAACGCCGATACCGAGGGCCTCTATAAGGTGGTAACACAAATGGTGCAGGCAAAGGGACTGGGGCTTAAGGTAAAAACCTCGGGTTCATTCCGCCTAGCCGTCTACTCACCTCTTGCAGGTGGCCTGGGTCTCTGGGGACGAAGTGCTTCAAACCGTCCAAACCGCGCTTCGCTCGGGCAAATCGCAGTTCAAAAACGTATACACGGGGGAATTGTTGTCTGACTGGTCGTTTGAACCAATCTACGCACAGTGCTATCTGGGTGGACTAGGAGTTGCAGCGGCCTTGGCTGAAGGGGCAGATATCGTCCTCTGCGGCCGAGTCTCGGACGCGTCGCCCATCATCGGAGCCGCATACTGGTACCACGGATGGAGTCGGAATGATCTGGATCAGCTCGCCAACGCATTTGTGGCCGGGCACCTTATCGAGTGCAGCAATTACGTATCTGGCGGCAACTTTACCGGTTTCAAACAGCTCGAGCACGTCGGTCAGGATGGCTGGTCCAACATTGGATATCCCATTGCGGAGATCTCGAAAAACGGCCAGGTGGTCATTACTATGCAGTCTAGTGCCACTGGTGGCGCCGTGACTGTGGACACATGCTCATCACAGCTGTTGTACGAGATTCAAGGGCCATGGTACTACAATTCGGACGTCACGGCCGTGCTGGACGACATCCACTTCGAACAGGTCGGTGTCAACCGCGTCGCCTTGCACGGCGTTCGCTCCGCGCCGCCTCCACCGACAACCAAAGTCGGCATCACTGCTCGCGGTGGGTATCAAGCAGAGTGTGTCTGGTTTCTGGTCGGTCTCGATATCGATGCGAAAGCGCGCATGTTGGAAGCCCAGATCCGCCGCCTCCTGGCTCCATACTCTTCCAAGTTCACTGCCCTCAACTTCTCCACCTTGGGAGCGATGGTGGAAGACCCCCGAGATCAGAACAGCGCCACCGTCACCTTCCGGGTTGTTGCGCAGGCACGCCAGGCGGATGACCTCGCCCCGGCCAATTTCCTGCGGCACCTCACCGACAACATCATGCAAGGCTATCCGGGTGCCACGTTCCACTTGGACGTACGTCAGGGCTTGCCCAAACCCGTCTACGAATACTACGTCAGCCTATTGCCCCAGGCGGACATCAAACACCGCGTCCATCTCCCCTGGAAGTCGCAAACTTTGGACATTGCCGCCCCACCGCAAACACGGGAATATCCGCTGCGTCAGCCATCTCAGGACCTCACCGCCACCCCGGCCAACCCCGCCGTCGACTTTGGCCCCACTGTTCGCGGTCCCCTAGGCTGGATTATACATGCCCGCTCTGGCGATAAAGGTCCGGATGCCAACTGCGGTTTCTGGGTTCGCCATAACGACGAGTACCTCTGGCTCCGGTCTTTGCTGTCAGCGTCCAGAGCTAGGGAGCTTCTGGGCGAGCAGTATAACACTAATCCAGACCTGGCGATTGAGCGATTCGAGCTGCCCCAACTGCGGGGTGTGCACTTTTTGTTCCGAAACCTGCTGGACCGGGGCGTTGGCGTGACCACCACGGTAGATTTCCTGGGCAAGAACGTCGCGGAATATCTCCGAGCGAAGTGGGTGGATTTACCATTGCGGTTCTTAAACCGTGGCAAGTTGTAAGGGGATGTCAGTCCATGTATATAGCATCCATTGTCGTAGGTAAGAAATATAGTACGTGAAAGCGGGAGGAAAGGCGGTGGAGAGATATCCCTCACCGCCCTAGTTTGTCCTCCGTTTCTTTTTTCCTTCGATTTTATTCTCTATAATTTCCCCATTTTCTCCGCAATCAACCCACTTTGAAAACATCCGGATCGATCCACTCTACAAGAAGCCCTGGTCGCCTGCATCATTGCCAATGATGCCAGAGGCTTTGAGTTTCTCCTATCCTCCGGGCTTGCGTCATCAGTAGCCAGATCATATCTTCCGACTGGAGAATGACAAAACCGCCCAGCCGATGGGCAGCCGTCCCCCGTTTCCCATTGACCAAAACGATTCGAAAAGCTTTCCCACTGGCGGCTACTAAACGTGGAATTCGCAAACCTGAGATCGTGAGCGAGCAACTATGTGGTAAGTTATGCCCGGGGTTGTGGGTTGAGACCGAGCCAGGGGATGCGATACTGATCATCCATTTGCAGACGACATCCTCACGCGCATTTCCCCCTACCTATTTCGAAATCGACCCCTCGATATTCTCGACCTCTGGCCTGGCGCTGGACTGTGGTCGTCCAAAGTTAACGATCTTCTCCGTCCCCGGCGTCATGTCCTGATCGAACCCCACCAGGGCTACCGGCCCTTGCTAGAGCCGTTGGCTCAGAGTCGCCCAGGCTACGATTTACAGTTCATGGATATCAGCGCGATCCACGATTGGCCGTCGCTTATGTCGAAACACCTGCCCGAGCAGAGCGCATCGAACCGTGACGATTCTGGTGCGTTGGCTAGGAACGATACTTTATTGGTGCTGGCCAATCCGCCCCCCAGTGCGACCAAGAATAACCACTACACCCCGGCGCGATGGTGGACGGCCTTTATGGAATCATGCTTGCGACAGACGGGGATACATACCTATGGCAGCGTACGGTTGCTCATGACCCTTCCGCTGTTAGACGTGCAAGCAATTCTCCCCCACAACATAACCGACCGCAAGAGGCCCGCCATAATGGCGGAAGATGTCGCACAGCATGCCTTTGCAGTCGCTTCGTCAAAGGACACGACGAATTACTGGACGACCTATAAGTGGTGGGATCAGCTGGTGGACAACGCCGCCCGCGTGGCTCGGAAGACCGCCGAAGCGAATATTGTGACCCCCGAGGGAAGGGAATATCCGCCTTTGACCCTGGCTCCGGAGAGTCCTGATCCGGGCACCAAACCCGCCCCGTATATGCCCCGTGCTAATACTGCCGGACACGATCGGATTATGGAGCTGATCATGTTAGAGCCGAGCTTTGCCGACCCTTCTGGGCCCCATAAACGTGCCCGGAATGGAAGGATTCTCCGAACCAACCAAGAGGCCACGCGGGCATGGATCATGCTGAATGAAGACAACCGACACACCTTCATGCGCAGGCAGCTCCTGGAGCTACTGGAAAAGATCGCAGAGCTCAATAAAGCCTTGTCGCGGGCTGCTGCGGATCCGAGCGCGGATCCTAGCACTTTGCGTTCCACTCAAGAGGAGATTGCCACCCTCCAAGCAACCTACGTCAAACAAAGCTCCGAGACCCACTACAAGGCCCTGAAGCAATTCCCCGGTCTGTGTGATGACTGGAGGGCGTCTAGCCCTGGTGGCAACCCAGACAATGCGGTCCTGCTATGGGAGCGTCGGCCATTTGAGCCGCTGCTCATCCAGCCCGATGAGCTCTTTCCGCGGGAAAGCGACCGGACCATGGTCTATTTCGAGGCAGATCCCAACGCCTGTGCAGCACGGAAGCTCCACGAGCTCCCTCCGGGGGACCGAGATGCCCCTCTTGAGTGCTCCGAGGCCCTCACTCTGACTCTGGGCAGCCGCAACCACATGACCGTGCCGGAGCTGTTGGACGTGATCTTACCCGGGCGGCCGGTCAACGACATCGTCCGAGCCGTTCCGTCGCTGGCAATGTTTGCCAACAGGACTTTGAAACCGGACTTTGACACGCTACCGAAGACGGTGCACGGCAGCCCCAGTGACATCGCGGCTGGCAAGGAACTGGACCCCGCCCTGTGTTTCCAAGAGAATCTGGACTACGACCTGAGCGACGTGCGGGTGCGGACTTTGTCGACCGAGACGCTCTGGGATCTCTTTGTAGAGTATCAGAAAAGCGACCGCAAGCTTTCGCCTGTACAATTGAATCGACTGCTCGGTGGCACGCTGACATCGTTCAAGTCTGGCGAATATCGGGAAAGTCCGACGAAATTCCACTAACTGGAGAGTGGTCCCAGACTTATCTTTCCACTTCTTGTATATCATGACATACCCTCGACCTAGGCTGTCCTTTATTGGCAGTCCTGTACGATATTACGCAATGACATGGTGAATTTATCCACCCAGAATATACTCCGTAGGAGTCGAGTTGGACCCAATAGTTGGGCCCTTAAGCCTCAGATTTGTCCACCTCAAATCCACCTCACATAGGAAGACGACCCGTATTCGGGCCCTCGGACAGGGTCAACATCATCCAGTGAATAGAACCACTTCGGGGATATTCCTTTGGCCCCCAAAATGCCCACGCACAGATAAATACCAATCATTCTATATAACAACGTCGACCCCGCTCCCAAGAAGCAAACCATACCCCTCACAATCCCAAAATGGAGAACACTAACATCTCAACGCTTCCTCTCACAACCCCAGATCTCGCGCCCGCTGCAATGCACGATTTCAATAGTTCCAAGCCGACATCACCCAACAAGGTGGGCAGCGATTGGAAAGCAGACGATCAAGTTGACAGCGGGAAGACTAGCCCAAAAGACTATTGAAAACGTCGTGCAGTAGCGGGCAAGCCACCAGCTCTGCGAATACTCCAGTCGAGAAGGGCAAAATCGAAGATAAGGACCTAATAATCCCCCGAAAAGTTCTAATAATACCCCGATGGGGTTGTATTGCTGCTATTTCTGTCCCGTTTGGCGGCCGACTAGCGGGTGGTAGCGTGCGTGGACGTGCATAAGGCCGTGTGATGGAAGTTGGACTCGGCGCTTAGGGTTGTTGGACTTATTTATATCAGGACTCGCCATTGGGGTTCCGCCGTGTCGGGTCGGCGCTGCAGGATGAGATTGGTGGAAGGGCTGTCGTTCCGATGGGATTTTCTCGTCGGGGTGAACTAACCAACTGTGGCTTCTAGTGAAGTCCATTTCCCCTCTTTTGCTGACCGTGTGGTGGTGGTGGTGGTGGTGGTGGTGGTGTTGTTGGTGTTGGTGGTGGGTTGCACTGGGGATTTATTATCTCGACTTCGGCCCTCGATGGTCTTCACTCTTCGATTTTCTCAAGAGATTTGATTATCGTCATTGAGACTTGAGGATCTGGAGTGGATATACTTGTCCTCTCCAGTTCTTCACTACATTGTTATACTATCTTCACCTTCATCTCCCTACTACATCAACATGGGTGTTATGCGACTTCCTCGCCCCATGGGCGTATACGTGCCCAGTTCTCCCACCTCCAGCCTCACCAGCAACATGATTTCCTCGCCTCTCTCCCCGTCCTTCAACTTTGATTCGGAGACCCTGACTCCCTCCGTCTTGCCCGCCTTGGAGTACATCTCCTCCAAGTTGCAGCAGAAGATGATGCACGTCACCCTGCTGGTCGGTCGTGGCAAGCCCTATCCGACAGGCGAGCCCTCCGACCTCATCGTCATCCCCATCACCCCGCTGGACACCCAGGAGTGGCGTACCGTCTACCGGACCATCGCCAAGGGCGCCAGCAAATTCTCCCTCGGCCAGAGCTGGCCGGACGCCTTCACCCGCAGCCAGTACGAGCGCAAGGCGAACGACTACCTGGTGCAGCAGTCGATCATGCAGAACGAAGTCGTCTTCAGCCGCGAGGGCCTCACCCTGCTGAACGTCGACCGGATCTACACCTTCAAGCGCCGGCTCTGCATCCTGTCCACGCGCGGCGAACCCATCCACGACTCGTACATCACCTCGTGTGTGCAGCTCCTCCACCGCACCATCGAAGACTGCCACGGCCGTCCCTTCAGCAAGGCCTTCTTCCACCGCGTCTACGAACAGCTCGACGTGCACGACGACATTCTCGCCCGCGTCGCATCCGCTTACCAGAAGCAATACGGCGAGGAGGGCATCGTGCTGCCGCCGCGTCCCAAGGCCGAGCAGCACAGCAGCACCACCACCACCGCCGCCACCCGCAAGGTAGCCAAGTACCCCACTGCACTGCGTCCCCGCAGAGACCCCCTTCCACCCAAGTTCCGGCCCGTGGTCACCAAACGCGCCCCGAAGACCCCGCTGTCCGCGTCGGATGTCACACCCATCACCCGCAACGAGTGGAAGATGCTTGTCGGGGCCGACTTTGGCCACACCAAGCCAACAGTCACCAAGTGGACGCCATCGCCGATTGTTCTGACTGCGGCGTGAAGAGTGTGGAAGTTTCTTGTTCACCCTCCTGGGTAGACAAGGCTATTGACGATCTCTTTATCACCAACACCCGACCGACATGCGCGGTGGAGATGCCATGCACCCACTCGCGCGATGCCGACAGACTACGGTCATCTCGGCAAAGTGTCATCGGTCGCACCCGAAGCACACCTCCATCCATCGGATGGTAGCTGTCGGGCGTCGCCGGCGCCGCGTCGGCCATGCCCATGTGGGCCCGGCCACCGGCCAACCTGTCGGGCATCCATGCTGCCCTGACAACCGTCTCATGTATGGGACTTGGCCGGTGAGAATCTAGTCGATTCTAATCGACTGTTCTCATGTGTCTCGGGATCACCTTCCATATATTGTGGTACTGGTGGACCAGAGACACGCTCCTCTGAGTACTTAGTATTGAGTTGGAATACTATTCTCAAAGTTAGCTACAAAATCACATTAGCACAATTCAATCAAATTTTCAATAATGACTCTATTCCCGTATAAGACCCCCTCGTAGAAGGATCCATCCTCAGTGGACCCCAACGGAAGAAGGCCGAGCAGGCCGATCAACCACGAAAATTCCTCCATTCCGACCGCCGATCGATCGAGTTAAATTTTCTAGCTTCATATGATCGTCCAGCACACAATTGGTCATAATATTTGGTCACTGTATGCAAGGGTGGAGATGTTCGTCCCATCTTTCTTCTCCGTCCGCCGCGTTGACTCGTCGGCCATCTTATCTTTTATCTTATCTCGTGGTCTCCATTTCTATCAGGCCGCAAACGTACTTCGAGTCCCCGCACGACGCTGGAGGGGCTTTTATTTTACTCTTCATCGATCTTCTTGCTCCGTTTCAAGTATATTATATAAATTGTATCATCTGAAGAATACTATATTTTCTACATCATTTTTATTACCTACTGACTGTTAGGACAGTCGGTAACACGCCATGCGCGACCTTTCCCCGCGGGCCCTACTGGACACTGACCCCGCCGGTGTCCCAGACTCCCAGCCTGGAAACGACGACACCAAGAACCAATGGGCCCCGAAGAACCTCGTGCGCCGTGTCGAGCACTCGCACAGTCGACTGCCTGGCATCCGAAAGGTGCCGTTCCCGGCTCTCGCGATCATCAGCTTTGTGGCGCTCGTGAATATCCTGGTTTGGATTGCGGCGGCTGTGGTGCTGGTATGTTAGACCTTATCAATCTACAGTGAACGGGTTGGCTGATGCGGAGCCCTGGGTCTAGCGTTACTACCCGTGAGTGTTGAGAGACATGCCCGTGATTTATAGATGAATACTGATCGTTTAGATCCCTGGTCTCTAATGCGGTTCTCTCCTACACCTTGGGGTTGAGACATGCGTTCGACGCGGATCATATCTCGGTATTTTCCCCCACAGGCCACAAACGGTTCAGTTAGCTCACTGATGCAGGCCATCGACTTGATGACCCGGAGACTGTTGGCGACCGGGCAACAGCCCGTCACAGTTGGGACGTTCTTCTCCTTGGGCCATTCGACGTATGTCTACCAGACCGATCATCACTCACATAGACTAACGTGGGTTAAGCATTGTCATCATCACGTCGATCGTGGTGGCCGCCACCGCTGCGGCCGTGTCGTCTCGCTTTGACAGCTTCGGCACCGTCGGCGGTATCATCGGGACGTCCGTCAGCGCCGCCTTCCTCATCCTGCTGGGTCTTATGAATGCCTACATTCTGTACAAGCTCTACATGCAGCTGCAGAAGGTCTTGGATCTTCCCGAAGGCCAGGAGGATGAAGCGTGGAAGGTCGAGGGCGGAGGCGTGCTCTTCTCCGTGCTGAAGCGCATGTTCAAGCTGATTAACCGGTAAGACGCTTGCGCATCAAATGTGAACTGCAGGTCATGGCTTACCGTGGTTGAGGCCGTGGAAAATGTACCCGCTTGGTATCCTTTTCGGTCTAGGGTTTGACACATCCTCGGAGATTGCGTTGCTCGGTATCTCGTCCATCGAGGCCGCCAAGGGTACTGACATTTGGGTCATCCTGATCTTTCCGATCTTGTTCACTGGTATGTCCACAGCCATACATGCGCTGGCGATATTGTAGAATCAATATACCGAGCATGACTGATGAAACAAAGCCGGCATGTGCCTCCTCGACACCATGGACGGAGCCCTGATGCTCTCGCTGTACGTCCAGCCCGCCGCGAACTTCCTCCCCGCAAAGCGCGACAGCATCGAATCGACCGCCGAGACCCTCACCGACGAAGAAACCGAGGTGCCGGTTCAAAACCACCGCGACCCAATCGCCTTCCTGTACTACTCCATCGTGTTGACGTGTCTAACGGTCGTCGTGGCCATCGTGATCGGCATCATCCAGTTGCTAACGCTGGTCCTCAACGTCGCGGAGCCGACGGGCAGATTCTGGGATGGGGTGCAGACGGCCGGCGACTACTACGACGCCATTGGTGGTGGCATCTGTGGCTGCTTCATTGTCTTCGGTGGTCTGAGTGTCGTAGTTTATAAACCCTGGAAAAGGTGGATTCTCAACCGTCATGGCCGCGGCCCCCTGACCGGGGACGAGGAAGGGTATCCAGAAGAGGACCAAGAGCCTCCGCTGCCTCGTGCCGATACCCCAATTCTTCATCAGCATAGAACCGGCGTCCCGACCGCGGATTATGGCTCGACAGGAAAGAAAGACGCTCAGGTGGGTGTGAAACCGGTGGGTGAGGCGTCTTGATGCCTGGACAAGACTATTCGTCCGTATAAGAATAACCCCGGTGGAAGCTAAGATTCACCCTCCCGCTGGTGGGACCATAATCGGCAATTGTGCTAGAATATTCGTGCCAGAAATTCCAAATTTATGATTTACGACGAAGTAGAGACCAATTCAACCGCTGTTGTCCATCAGATAGACCACTTCACGTGACCATAAGCACCGACGGTATCATATCGGGCAGTCGCCGCACCGCCTCGGCGGTGGCGAATCTGCCGGCACAATAATCTGTTTTTTCCCCGACTCCATCGCTCGTTTGCCTCAACGCTGCAACATTCGGCGTCAGAATAGCATGTCTTTGGCGCTAGCGAGGAATCGAATATGGCACGGCGCGGTAGGGGCGACTCGGATCCCCAGACCGACTGCCTCGCTTTATAGAGCTTGTCGGGTCTCTCCCATATCTCGACGGGGGCTTGCGCTGTCATTGCGGCGATACGCCGACACGGAGCACAAGGTCAGTAGTAACTGGTTCGATCGCTGTCAGGCGTCTTTCTAACTCATCGGGTGGTCTAGGACTGGCTCTTAGAAGCAGAGTTACAACGATTGAAGTCGGCCGAGCAGATCCGTATACGGAACGAGTTCGAGGAAAACGGAGACGTTCGAGAATACTTGCGGAAATGGCAGGACATGCAATCTAACTCCATGGACCCCATCGGGGGCCCCGGCTCAATCGCGCTGGGGACGTCGTCCCCATGGGTCGGAAACATGATCAGCGACCCCCAGAAAGGTCCTGAACCGGAGGATGATGCGGAGGAGGAGGACCTGTCTGGGTTCTCCGATGAATCGGAGGGGACACACGACTTTCTGGAGCCCGGCGATCTCGTGGCGCTGTCATCGTATGTCGTCACTCTTCCCTGTTGATTTTGCTTATTGTGGTGTAAATGTGGTTGCTAATTCACGGATAGGACCGATAACATTCTGAGCTTCGCCGTCTACGTCCGATCCGTCTGCCAACAGCAGCAGTTCTACACCGAGCGAGGAAAGTGGCGAATCGCGTCCACGAGTACGATCGACTACGTTATAAAAGACTTTGCACCGCCAGAGCTGGTGGCTCGGCTCACTCCTTACATGCCAAGTGCGGAGGCCCAGATGAGGACGGATATGCAGACTGTTATCGAGGGAGGCGTTCCGCGACCCGTCGGCGCATCGCTTCTGCGGATGATGAATGAGTTCGATGCGCAGGCCCAGGTGTTGTATCAGGCGAATGCGGCTCGACTCGACCGGATTCACGAAATCGTCGCCGAGGAGGACGAAAGGTCGCTGCTTACGCTCGAGGAGCTGGCATGCAAGGTGATGGAGGTCGATGAGGGTACGCTGGACGATGTGATATTGTACACTGTGCATCGGGCCACCAGCGTAAACCCCTTCCTGATTGAAAGGGACCGCAGCTCTGCGTTTGCCAACTGCTACGTTGTACAGCCATTGAGCACCGCCCAGATTCTTGACCGCGTGGTTACGTGGGTTCGTGATCACCAGGAGCATCTCATTCGCACTGTGGCTTCCAAGGATGATCCAAGGTCTATGAAAGGCCACCCCTTGCAGGAGTTCCTCGAAAAGGCTCGACGTATTATCCGGCACAGCCGACAGCTGCGGTCGCCAACCGTCATGGCTGGCGTCGGCCCGACGGCGGAGAGGTTCCAGCCTGAGAAAGATAACCCAATGGTGTACCGGGAGATCATGGGAGAAGGCTTTACCTACACTGATCGGGTGATCATCAAGTTCCTGCAGTTGTGGACCATTCCTCCTAAGCGAATGCTCTCCGGGCCATTGCAGTCGGCCGGTTCCCATATCATGCGTGCCACTGGGATGTACGAAGGTCTGGAACTGACCTCCAGTTCCGTGGTGCTCCTCTTACAAGAACTCGGCGTGTTCGCTCCTTGGGAGAATTTGAATCTTCTGGACCAGGTGCTGTCCCTACCGGGTCACGGCATCTCCACGCTCTCTGATATTGTGCGTGACGACGTCGAAGAGGCCGGCAAACGCTATTGCGCTGAGGGAGTCACCGACAAGATGCAAGATGCGCGGACCGACTGGGGAGACATGCAGGTGTACTGCGTGGATGACGTCGGGGCGGAGGAGATCGACGACGGCGTCTCCCTGGAACGGATTCCGGGCTCCGACGACACTTTCTGGATTCGGATCCATGTCGCCAACCCCTCTGCCTTCTTCGACCATGAAGACCAGATCATGCAGTACGCTGCCTCCCGGCTACAGACCTTCTACGGCCCGGAGCGTACCTATCCCATATTTCCCAAGTCTTTGTCGCAAAAGTACTTTAGCTTGGCGCCTGGATGTCCCACGCTTACGATCAGCGCCAAGATGAACTTCCGGGGCGACGTGCTGGAGACCGACATTCGGAATGGCACTATCAACAATGTGAAGTATGTGACGCACTCGAAGGTGCGCAGCCTGTTCGAACCCGTCGACGATGCTCCTCTGTCCGTTTTGACCGTTGGCGGCGAGCTACCGGAAAAGGAAACTCCCGGCAGAGACATCAGCGAAACACTGACATCGGAGGACGAGGAGACCTTCCACACACTGCGGAAATTGATGCTCGGATTCCGCGATCGACGAGTCGAGAACGGGGCGATCGAATTTGCCGTGTCCTCTTGGACGAACGTCTCGATCTTCGGCGGGGATGAACCGTTTGCGCCATACCGCGTGGACGACGTCACCCACGCCCGCCATTTCAACGGCGACCCGGTCATCCAGATGCGGATGCAGCAGATCGATCCGCACGAGGTGCCGGACAAGACCAAGCAAGATCTCATCTCGACGCTGATGAACCTGGCCGGCTGGGTCGCCGGAAAATGGTGCGCGGATCGCAACATCCCCGCCATGTTCAGCGGCACCTTCTACCACCCAGAATACGCGAGAGTGACGAGCGAGAACATTGGCGAATATAGCGGGCACAAAGCCATGCAGCTAGCAGCGCCCAAGGGAGTCGCCGCGTCGTACCCGCTCTCCCACCACCCTCTCGGGCTCACGCCCTACACCAAGTCGACGAGTCCACTCCGCCGCTACGGCGACCTCCTCTGCCACTACCAGATCGAAAGCGCGCTGCGGTTTGAGCGCGAACACCAGCGCACCTTCGACTACGAGACCGACTCCTCCATACTACCCTTCTCCGCTCAAGAAGTCACAGACTACATCGAGCGCACACGGTCCATCCAATTCAAGCACCGGATCTGCGAATCCTCGTCAAAGCAATTCTGGGGCTGCATGCTCTTATTCCGGGCGTTCTATTTCCACGAGTGCGACCTCCCCGAAACGTGGGAGTGCCTCCTCCGCCAGCCGTACGCGGCGGGGACCACGGCCGAGCAGGGGTTTTCGGGCGTGATCACCTCCCTAGGCCTCAAGTGCCAGGTGACGACGCCGAACCTGGACGAGGCTGATCTCCTCAGCGTGGTGGAGGCGCGGATCACAGGCGTGGACCTAGCTCGGAAGCTTGTGATCATGGAAGCTACGCGGGTGGTGAAGGGGTTTGAACGGACGGGCGAATGGGCCTGATCTGACTGATCCTGATCTGTCAGTTCCAAAGGAGTTGTTGGCATACCTCGCATGAGATACGGAGTTTCCTTTTTTCTTTTTGGTTTGGACGATGTGTCTATTTGTCTTCTATTTATATTTACCCCGGGTCCAAACCTTGTATCATATGTTATATCATACTATGTAAACTACCCACTCCACAATACCATGTATATCATCCGAAGAAAGAGCCAAGCAGATGAAACAGAACCGATCTATCTATTAGACAAGTCTACATTGTCCCGACCATCCAATAAGCAGTACTTCGCGAAAGTCTCTGGATTCTATAACGCTATTGTTTTACCTCTGCATCTATAGCATGAACTGTGATAACATATCACAAACTTCGAAATCCACTCTGCCACAAGATCTTTCCTCTCCATATCCCGAACCAGCCGTCTCCCAAGCCAGTCAATGGAGCAGCGAACATGCTTGCAAAATGGCCCCTGTTAACAGTACCTGAGATCAAAAAGTCCAGTACGATATCCATTCCCAGCACCGGCCGATCGGCAAAGTTTGCATGATCCAACTGAAATTCATCAGTATTGGCCATTGTTACAAACTGGTCATCGACAGATACACGGCGTGTAGTTTGACAGAGCAAAAGGCTAGGTACAGATATAATTTGCCGGCGACCTCAGTAAACGATGAATTCAATTTGAGTTTCCAGATAGGGTTTGTAACGTTGATTTCCCTCCTATCCAATCTATACTTATACTCAATGATTTGAAAGAAGGTGTATATCTACTACTGTGGATTGACGAAGTATCGTCCAAGATAATTCCTAGCTTTCTATAATTCAATCACGGTGAATCAACGGTTTTGTAGAGTTGGAAACCGTCTTACTGGAAGAAATACAGTTATAATAGTGACCATGACGTGTCTGGTAATGGTCGATGGAGCTCTGCACTTATATAGTATTGTAAAACTTACTGTTCAAGTTTGATCACAAGCATGTTATTATATGTCCAAAAGATACGGGGAGTTTCTTTTGAAGCCTTGGGCTATATCACATCATGGCGTGCGATACTCGGTACGACGTTGGAATATCAGCCATATCAAGCCCGACTGTCAGAAGATGATGGGTCAATAAATGCGAAGGCATAGTCTGGTGGACAGTTTCTGATGCCACATATTCTACTTTCATTGTCTAATAATTGTCAGACATTAGTCTATCTCGCAAATACTATGCAAAAACAAGGGTGAGCGGTGTATTCTGCAGTCAGGGGTCGGTCGAGAGATTTCTCTTCCTTTTTCCATATCTTCTTCTCTCTATGCAGTGCTTTTTTCTTTCTTTCTTTCTTTTCTTTCAATATCGTTTTCATCTTCATCTTCGGCTGATAAGAATGCCCAAAGCTGTGAGGTGGGTCATCACGAGGAAGTTCCATGCATAACTACCTATTTCGTCAAACACCACCTTTGATAGTTTATCTCACAAATTCCGGTATTAATTACGGATCCTCATTCCAAAATGAACTTGAGCAGCGCCTGGTCGAAGTACATCCTTCGCCTACTGGTTCAGCAAGGCCCTATCCCAAAACATGTGGGGTTTATCATGGACGGAAACAGACGATATGGAAAAGAACACAAGATGTCCCTGGAAAAGGCGTATCAGACTGGGGCTCAAACGCTCGAGACTGTCAGTATAAACCCGATCTGCAGTATTGGGTATACGCGGTTTACTGAACTATCCTACAGATACTCGAGTTCTGCTTCGCAACCGGAATCCAGGCCGTGACAGTCTACGCGTTCAGTCTTGCGAACTTGCAGCGCTCTGCCGAAGAGGTCAAGGCAGTCATGGCTCATCTGAAAGTCTGTCTCGCGCGGTTTCTGCAAGATGGGGGTGTAGCGGAGCGGTTTGGAGTCAGACTTCGATTATGCGGCGATAGGTCATTGTTGCCAACAGAAACCCTCGAGGGCCTCGAACATGCAGAACGGATCCTTGGTAAGAATACCAAACATGTTCTGAATCTCTGTCTGGCGTACGGATCACGACATGAGATTACCTCTTCTGTGAAAGCAGCGGTTGTGAAGCACTCCCGCCGACTATGCATAGCCGGTCAACTTGATAGCCCATCCCAACCCGGGATGACTGGCCACGGTTTGCCATTGCCCCGGCACGACATCATCGAGACTCTTGAAGACACAATGTCCACTGCAGGATGCCCGCCGTTGGATTTTCTGATACGCACTTCTGGCACGAGACGCCTGAGCGACTTCATGCTTTGGCAATGCCACGAAACCACTGATATTGTGATCCTGAAGAAAAACTGGCCTGAACTATTGTACTGGGACTTTATGCAGGTGTTTGGTCAGTGGCAGCTGAGAGCCCCCCGGGCCAAGTGCATCGATCCTGTAATAGAGACACCTGACGTTCTTCATGTACTCGTGGGCTGGTTGTATCTTGTTTTCGAACTCTTTCTGAGAGCATCTAACGCTGTTCGCGGGTATTCTCGCGCCATCAGCAAAGGGCTAGATTGCAGATTGCACAGCGAGGAAGTATCGCTCAGGATAATACAAAAGGATGCTGGGAAGTTAAAAAAGATACCAGCGCATTTGAGTGTCATACTAAACCTGACGGACGGCCCGAATGCGCTCAACATCGCAATGAGCACTGTCGCCGATATTGTCAGCTGGTGTAGCTGCATTGGTATACCCTTTCTGAGCGTGTATGAGAAGACAGGTGAGATGTCTCGAGTCTGGACACCTGGATGGTTCAATTTCAAACTAAACAGATAACATCCAGGAACGCTAAAGGCCAACAAAATCTCAATCCATGAAATAGTGGCGACTAGACTTCCTCTTTACTACGGCACGCAGCGGCATACTTTCAATCTAACGGGAACCAGACACAGCAAATGTAGTCTGTTACTGCTGTCCGCCCAGGACGGTCGGAATAGCCTCGCAGACATTTGCAATGATTTGGCAGGTTTGGTTGCACAGGGGAAAATATCCCCAGACGAGATTGATACCATGCAAGTCGAAAAGATGCTACAGACCATACTCGTGGCCTCGCTAGACGACAGCTCACGCCCCAAAGATAAGAGACTGACGGCAGACCCGTACAAAGGTTCTCTAAGCTGTAAAGACACCCTAAGTCAGCGGCTACTGAACCCAGATATCTTGTTTGTCTTTGGATCGCGGATCCAGTTCGAGGGGTATCCCCCTTGGCAGCTTGCGTCCACGGAGATATTCTGCACTGGAGAGGACATCACATGTTTTGCCAGGCGTGGTTCGTCTGCCAGGTATAGGGTCTTTCTGCAGGGACTGCAGAGATTCGCCGGTGCCGATATCAAACTAGGGAAATAGAGACATTGACGCTATATCATGTACCTTAATCAAGTTATTGACCAGGGAGAGTTATTTGTCGTAGATGCGATTGTCAATCGGCCCTCAGTATCCAGATATCAAGACTTCTGACGACCTATGTGCCTAAGACTTGGTACACCTTGACAGGTTGACGGGGAAGCTGATTGGAGACTCTTTGACAGGGCCATGATCCTGGTCGCAGCATGATGCATGATATGCAATAAAATCAGAGTAGAGACCAATCCTCCGGCGTACTACCACACTCGATCTATGTATGATGGGGTTCGGGAGAGCTACCACTAAATTCACCCTCCTACACAGAACGAAACCATTTCAGGAGGATGGAGCGTTCGATCAACGACCACGGCACGGCAGCTACTGTAGGACACGCATCGTAAATGGAATGTTTTGAAAAGGGGGTGCGAGCCAGTCCTATTGATTACATTCTTTGAGGAGAGTCGAATTGGCGCAATGGATAAATATGATATCAACCCCAAAGATTGGCCACTAGGTTATGGCTAAGACAAATTGGTGAGTCAATATAGTGGTAGATCTATGAGCCAAATCATCGATGTACCCCTGACAATTTTTCAGCAAGCAGTAATATTGTACAGCACGGAATGTGATCTGCGTGAGCATTGCATGCATCAGCTGGAGACTTATTAACTTCCTTGACCGTTCGTGAGCGAGCCTGGTTGAGAGAGCCAAAGCACAAAGTACTTCAGGGCGTAGGAATCATTCTCCAGCAGGTGTGGGGTATTGATCTTTATCACGGTGCTCCCCAGAGCTTGCTGTCTCTAGTTCTCTGTGAGTAAATCCTGAATGCAAGGAACTCAGATAATACTTTGTGTGATATTAGCTCCAGCCCCTGCATATACTAATGTTGGCAACTCACATAGGCTTCCGGACATGCAAGGGGTCATTGAAGTGTGTACCTCCAGTAATGAAGTGCAAGAGAGAATGTCTCCAAAAGTAGCCATGCATTCAGCTCATTGGGGATTCAGGCCAATAATTGGCCGATAGCAATGAATATCTGCGCTTTGAGGAGAACGGAGGGTCTCCAGGTCAGAGTATTTATATCGTGGCCTCTTCCCATGTCACCCTGGCAGAAGTAACCGTCTCCAACAAGCCCGTCTCTACCCTTCACATTCGAAACAGTTCCTGTCAACATGAAAGCCCCCTCCATCATCCTCTCCCTGCTCGCCACGAGTGCCCAAGCCTTCGTCTTCTCCCCCACTTGTGTCCGCACCTACCACAAGGCCATCGACAAGTTCGACCAGTGGGCCCAAGACGCCGCGGCACACATCTGCCATCAGGGCTGCGTCTTCACAGCGGAAACCTACCGCGACACCTTCCGAACCAGCCACGTCCGCCCGACGGTGCAGAAGGGTCTCGAGCGGCATCTCGCTCGCCTCCAAATCTCCGAGGACGAAATGGAGCGGATGCTCCAATTTGCCGACACGTACGTCGAGACGATGCTAGAGGAGTGCCCTCCGCGGGGGACCGCGCAGCCCGAGCAGTTCGACATCTGCAGGGATCGTCAAACGTTCGACGGATGCGCGGGCAAAATGAAGGCACGCCTCCCGGGCATGTGCTGGAAGTACAAGTCGCTCATCCTGGCACACTCGGACAACGAGTCGTGCCGGGACATTTCTGCTGCTTTGGATGAACCGTTGTTCTGGCGTTTGATTGAGGAGGAGATGGATGGGTATGCTGCGGCTTGTCCGGTTCGGACGTAGCCATGTGTTGCAGATGAACGTGTTATATATATAGACTTTGTTCGGAGAGGAAGCCTGCTTTGGGATGATGGTGAAGGGCTGGTTTCATTTGCTTGACGTGACATTTCACATTTATCATTGTATCTAGTAAATATAAGTCTACAATTTTGGTTTGGAGAACTAAATGTGTTTATATTGTATTCTGCACTCTGTATTCGATCTGGTCTGTCCTCTTTATCACCTTATCAATGCTGAGTAATCCTCACTGTATTGTGCCGTATAACTTATGCGACAACCCATCACTCGATCCCCGCTTTGCTTCACCTCGTCCATTGAGCCCGTCATTCTCAATTCTTTGCGTTCAATCTACAATTATTATACTCAATCAAAAGTATACATATCACCTACCGAAATGAACATGTCCAAACCCACCCGCGGAGCCCTCATCGTCGTGGAGGGGCTCGACCGCGCCGGTAAATCCAGCCAGTGCGAGGTTCTGCGCGATAGGCTCGAGAAGGCGGGTCACGACGTGAAGCATATCCGGTTTCCTGGTATTTATACACAATATCCTCAGGCAATAAGGGAGAACGAAACTAATAAATGATAATACAGACCGAACTACCCCCATCGGCACCCTAATCGACAACTACCTCCGCGGCACAACCCACCTCGACGACCACACCATCCACCTCCTCTTCTCCGCCAACAGATGGGAAGCAGCGGGGTCGATCCGCGCGGCGATCGAAGCCGGCACAACCGTGCTCGTCGACCGGTACTCCTACTCCGGGGCGGTGTACTCCGCCGCGAAGGGCAACGCGGCGCTGGGGCTGGAGTGGGCGTGGGCGCCGGAGATCGGGCTGCCGCGGCCGGACGTGTGTCTGTTTCTGCGGATCTCGCCGGAGGAGGCGGGGGCGCGAGGCGGGTTCGGAGCGGAGAGGTACGAGAATGAGCCGATGCAGAGACGGGTAAGGGAGCTGTTTCAGACGCTGTTTGATCGGTTGCCTGCGGGGGATGTCATGGTGGTTGATGCCGGGGCGGCGTTTGAGAAGGTTAGTGGGGATATTTGGGAGGTGGTGAGTGATCGGATGGGGAGGGTTGCCGGGATGGGGGGGTTGCGGAGCTTGGAGGGGATTGCCGAGTGATCTTTCTTTCTATCTTTTTCGGCTTTGTGCAAAGATCCTTCATCTAGGCTCTAGTCATTCGCTGTCCGAGATGACGATCTCGGTGCGTTGGCTTGGGGGTGGGGGGAGTTCGATACTAGAATCCGAGTCCACGGCCAGTTGCTCGGTCCAGTCGTCGGCCAAGGGGACGTCGTCTGATGGATTGGGGTTCTTAGGCTCTTCTGCTGGCACGGAGGTCGCCCGTGAGTTAGCTAGGCGGGAGGATTGTTTCTTCCGTTTGCGCAAAATCTTCTGCACGGTTTTGGCGTCTCGTGTCCGAAGAGTCAGTTCCTTCATCATGAGCGCCCACGACACAGTCTCGTGGCACGCCGGACACGCCCCCTCCGTCGGAACGAGCTGGTCTGGGTCCCGCGTCGCATGTAGAAACCTCGCCGATAGACATAATAGATGGCTGATCCCGTGGCAGTGCGGCTGCGGGCAGACGACAATGCGTTCTTCCGCGGGGCTGACCTCGCCCCGGCAGATTTGACATTGCAGATGCTCCGGATCATCGAGTAGAAAGTGCGCCTTCTCGAGGTAATCATGCATAGGGGCCGCGTCGACAGGGATCGCATCAACACAGCCGACTCGACCGTCTTCGCCCCCAGGCCCAACCGGACAATCCCCATCCGGGATGGTCTTCATTCGAGGCGGTAAGGCGCGACCATCACGGTCGATCCACATCGTCCAGGCGCGATAGACATCGGCAGCGAAGAAGCGGATGGAGAGTGGGGCGGAGCAGAAGCCGGTGGACAGTAGTAGCCGGTGCAGGTCGCCCAGGATGGCCGTCAGGGATCTGCGACCACGGCGTTTTGTGATTTGGCCCGGCTCCGTGGCGGTGTGTCGTGAGTCGTGGGGGTGTTGCCATGCCCATCTATGTAGTTATTGTCAGGCTCACTTTGATAGATTTGTATGGAGTCAGAGAAGGGGCGGGAGGGGGCATCGCATACTCAAATTGCAAGGCAGACACACGACTCATAAACCCCGCGACAACGATGACCATCTCCCAAGGCCTCTTATCATTGGCCGTCTTTTTGGCCCCTCCTTTCGCGACGCCATTGTGCTGGGCAAGACGGCGTGGAGGATGGGGCGTGGAGCCGATATAGAGGGCAGCTGGTTTGGGGACGGAACGGAGGAGGTAGCAGGCGTAGAGGGGGGGGATGGGTCTGTCCATGATTATTTAGACATTTTTATATCATTCTTGTTTTGGTATTTATTTTGAAATTGTCTCTTCTGGTTGTATATGTTGGTGTATTTGTTTGTTGTTGTGATGGATCTGGATATCAATGAGACTTGGGAGTGGCGTTTAAAGAGGTGCAGAACGGGCATCCTCCTGTTACAGTACAGTACGAGGACAAGAAACCCTGTCTCGGGATCATTTCAGGTTTATTATCATTTAATATTTTTTCATACTTTATATCAGTATATGTATTCGGGAAGGCCCGCGGATTCAGGGTGACTCCGCCGGGGATCTGCGTCCATCGGTGACGAGTCTTCTGTCTGTAACTCTAGAGAGGTGAGTTACTCTAGACGTTAGATATAGATACTTGGAATGGAGATATATCCAATATGAAAGAGATAAATATATCATTTGTGGGATGTCAATACGGTAAGATACCATCCATACAATACCGTACCGTACCGCAACCTCCTCTCCATCTCTCTCCTCTTACTCTCTTCTCTCTTCTCATCCTCTCATCCTCTCCATCCTCCATCGAGTCTGCCTCTCTTTAGGTCGCCACTAATTCAACCTCAACTTCCTCTGATTGACTCTCTCTCTCAGCCCAGTCCCACTTGGGTGATCAATCCCTCCCTCCCCCCATCCATTCACATCCCTGTCTCCAGTCTCCACCCCTTGTTGACGGGGGGCCCGACTGGCTTCCTTCTCTCGGCCTTTTTTCTCACTCTCCCACAACCGTTGCATTTCTCCCTTTTCATCTTTCCATCTCATCTGTCCATGATATTATCAATTTCTTCATCTTTGACTTCGTTGTTGATATCGGTGGATATTGTTTACATCAAAGATCCCTCGCATAGTCCGACTAGGTAAGTTCGGCTACTTCCGTCCGGATTGGCAGTGATTGACGGTCCAGCCTCATCTGACAGCCTCGCCCACCCTCCTCCATTTCTTCCCGACTTCCTTCATCCTCCATCCATTCACCCTCTATCCACCTCGCGTCAATATCCTCCCTCAACGGTCACCATTTTCCCTCCCTCGATGACGTCCGGGGGGTGGTCGTGAACGCCTCCTTTGTCCCCCCATCCACCCATCACAGATCAAACATGCGGTGGCGGCTGCCTGGCGCCCGGTCGACTCTTCCCGCCAGCGTCGCCCTTCTACTCCTGCCCGGCCTCGTAGCTCCGCAGCAGCTACACGCCTCCGTCCCCCAACATCATCATGATTCCGATCGCCCCTCCACCCTGTCCGTGCCCTTAGGCCCCGCGGGTTGCGATCATCCATCCCCCTCCACGTTGAACGTGAAGTCCAACGATGCGAGCGCCCTAGCAACGATGGCTCTGGCGGGCTCCGGCCACGCCGTTCGAGCCCCTCCTGCCCAGGTTGTCAGCAGCCCGTCTGCCGGCCTGGCGCCGCAGCTGCATGCGCGGTCCTTGCAGGACTGGGAGGTTGAGGACTTTGTCCTGCTGGCGACCGTCGACGGTTCCATTCACGCCCGCGACCGCAAGACCGGCGCGTCCCGCTGGGCCCTCGAGGTTCCCAGCAGTCCGGCGGTCGAGAGCATCTACCATCGCCAAAGGAACCAGTCCAGCTTCGACCGCACCCAGCCCGAGGATGACTTCATCTGGATCGTCGAACCCAGCCAGGGCGGGAGCCTCTACATTTACAGCCCCGGTCCCGACGCCGGCCTGCAGAAACTGGGTCTGTCCGTCAAGGACCTGGTCGATCAGACCCCTTACTCCGGCACCGACCCCGCCGTCACCTACACCGCCCGCAAGGAGACCACCCTCTACACCGTCGACGCCCGTACCGGTGCCATCCTCCGCGTCTTCAGCTCCCATGGCTCCGTCCCGTCCGCCCCCGAGTGCCGCCGCAAGGGCGACAGCCTCGACCTCGACCCCGACGTCGACGACGACGACTGCGAATCCCCCTCCGGCACCCTCGTCCTCGGCCGCATCGAATACGCCGTCGCCATCCAGAACACCGAGACCGGCGACCCCATCTGCACCCTCAAATACTCCGAGTGGGCCCCCAACAACCGCGATGTCGACCTGCAGAGCCAACACTTCCAGACCATGGACCGCACCCACATCTACAGCAGCCACGACGGCCGCATCATGGGCTTCGACCACTCGACCCGGAACCGCCTCCGCTACTTCCAGGACTTTGTCACCCCCGTCGTTCGCGTCTTCGACATCGCGCGTCCCGTCCAGGCCGACGACGCCCCCGACGCCCCCCCCGACGCCCCAACCCCGCTCGTCCTGCTGTCGCAGCCGATCCAGCCCCCCGACCCCGACTACGGCACCCTCGACGACAGCTACGGCCGCGTCTTCATCGACTGCACCGACGCCGGCGGCTGGTACGCCATGTCCGAGGAGACCTACCCCATGGTCACCTCGCGCGCCCCCTTGGCCCAGTGCTACCAGAAGGATTACTTCCGCCACGGCCAGCCCCTGACCAGCCTCAGCGTTCACCAGCAGAAGGCCGCCTTGGCGGGCGTCCACGCGATGAACGGGCCTCGCGGCGTGCGCCACGTCCCCCGCCTCGCCGGCGCCTCGGCGGACCGCGCCAACGACACCCCGCGCGATCTCATCGGTGACCCCCGCGAACCCGCCCTGCCCCCCGCCCTGCGCCACAGCACCATCATCCGCAAGGGTTGGGACAACGCCCTGGACATCTTCGTCACCCTCATCCTGCTCTTCCTGGGATCCTTTATCTACTTCAACTCCCATCACCTCCAGGAGCTGGCCAAGCAGAAGCTCGACCTCAAGAACATCATCGCCTCCGCCGGCCAACCCGCCCTGTCCACCCCGTCGACGCCCGTTGCGGGCGGCATCCACCGTGAGCGGAGTCCCGCCGCCCGCCGGGTGACCAACGTGACGGTCGACCTGGCGGACGACCAGGCCCTCCCGGGCGGCGACGCGACGCCCACTCCCCGCCGGGACCGCGGCTCACTGGACTCGGACACCACCCCCCAGGTGCGCTTTGCCGTCTCGTCGCCGGGTCGGGAGGGGGATGACGATGTGGATCCCCTGGTCCTCGACCCCGAGAAGCGACCCAAGAAGCGGGCCCGAGGGAAGCGGGGAGGCAAGGCGCACCGGCGGGGCAAGAAATCCGGCACCTCCGATGGGGAGGGCGCGGCCGACCGCTCCGTGGACGATGCCACCTCCCTCCTCGCGCCGCCGGCCCGGGCCGCCGACGCCGACGTTCCCCTGACGCGGACCGTGTCGAACGAGATCGTCGAGGCGGACGGCGTCCTCCGCATCGGGCGCCTGCGGGTCTTCACCGACGTCGTGCTGGGCCACGGCAGCCACGGCACGGTCGTCTACCGCGGCTCGTTCGACGGGCGCGACGTCGCCGTCAAGCGCATGCTGGTCGAGTTCTACGACGTCGCGTCGCACGAGGTCAGCCTCCTGCAGGAGAGCGACGACCACAACAACGTCATCCGGTACTTCTGCCGCGAGCAGGCGGCCGGCTTCCTCTACATCGCGCTCGAACTGTGTCCCGCCTCGCTCCAGGAGGTGGTGGAGCGCCCCGGGGACTACCCGCAGCTCGTCAACGGCGGTCTCGACTTGCCCGACATCCTGCGGCAGATCGTCTGCGGCGTCCGCTACCTGCACTCGTTGAAGATCGTGCATCGGGATCTGAAACCGCAGAACATCCTCACGGCGGTGCCCCGCGGCCGCGCGGCCAGCCGGGGGCTGCGACTGCTCATCTCGGACTTTGGGCTGTGCAAGAAACTCGAGGACAACCAGAGCTCGTTCCGGGCGACCACGGCCCACGCCGCGGGGACGTCCGGGTGGCGCGCGCCGGAACTGTTGGTGGACGACGACATGATCCCGAGTCCCCCGGGGCCGGAGTCGCAGCATACGGAGTCGTCCGAGCCGGCCGTGGTGGACCCGCAGACCAACCGGCGCGCCACGCGGTCTATCGATATTTTCTCCCTCGGCTGCGTGTTTTACTACGTGTTGACCCGGGGGTGCCATCCGTTTGACAAGAACGGGAAGTTCATGCGGGAAGCCAATATCGTCAAGGGGCACTACGACCTGGAGGAGCTCCAGCGGTTGGGTAATTACGCGTTTGAAGCGCATGATCTGATCGAGTCCATGATTTCACTGGACCCGCGTCGTCGGTAAGTTTTATTCTTTAACCTTTCTTCGTTATAGTTCGTCGTCACTGACGTGTGTGCAGTCCCGATGCTAGTGCCGTCCTGACCCACCCCTTCTTCTGGCCTCCGTCGGACCGGTTGGCCTTTATGTGTGATGTGTCGGATCACTTCGAGTTCGAGCCGCGCGATCCGCCGTCGGATGCTTTATTGCGTCTGGAGGACGTGGCCCCGCAGGTGATGGGGCCGGATATGGATTTCCTGCGGCTTCTCCCCAAGGAATTCATCCTGAGTCTGGGCAAGCAGCGCAAGTACACGGGCTCCAAAATGTTGGACTTGTTGCGGGCGCTGCGGAACAAGCGGAATCACTACAACGACATGCCGGAACACCTTAAGACACACATTGGGGGATTGCCAGAGGGGTATCTGAATTTCTGGACGGTGCGATTCCCAAGCTTGTTGATGAGCTGTCACGAAGTGATTGTGGCGTTGCGGTTGACGCGGACGGATCGATTCAAGCGGTATTTCACGCCGCCGGAATAGCATTCGAGATATGGTATGGACATAGTGTTAGATATGGTTGGTTGAATATATCTAGATGTAGAATATAATTGATATCAAGACCTGCTCACATGTAGCTATCATGACATGCAGTACTTTCGGATCGACCCTTCACAAATTCCTCCAACAATACACACTATGTCCTCCCAAAGCCACCTCAATATAACCACAATGCCAGACCCCCAATCTATTTGAATGCAGGCGTAATCTTCTCCCCAGCCAGATAATCAAAAACCCTCCAATACCCATGTCCCACCGGAAACTCCTCCTCAAACCCTACGCCCCTAATCTTCTCCAAACTCATATGCCGACTCCTCTCCAACAACGTAAACGCAGCCTTCAAGAACACCCAACTCCCCTCACTGACCCCTCTCTTCTGGAGTCCATACTCAGCACACATCCGCTCATAATCATCCCCATGCTCCCCCCACCACTCATCAATCCCGCCCCAGCTCGTCCCCCCAGGGACCGCATCCTCCCCCTTCAGCCCATAATACGCACACATAAGCGGCCACATGGTACTCCACGGCGCGGGGGTATCGCTATCGGCCGTGTTGAAAGCCTCGGTGTGGGCCTTGTCCGGCTGCACGACAGACAGGTAGATCTCGGAGCGGGCGATGATGTCCTGCGAGGAGGGCGTGTATGTGTGCGTGTAGTTTTTGTAGGTTCCTGGGAAGGGCACGGGTGCGTTGGGGCCGTTGACGTAGCGGTAGAGGGAGAGGTAGAGGGCTAGGGGCTCGACGAAGGTCATGCTTGTTGGGGTTGGGACGTGGCCTTCACTTTATCAGTATGTACTATGTACTTTATGGGGGACAGAATAGGGTAGATAAGAGAGAGAGAGAGAGAGAGAGAGAGAGAGAGAGAGAGAGAGAGAGAGAGAGAGAGAGAGAGAGAAAGTTGACATACCAACGATCTGATCAGGCCGCACCTCACACCACTTCCAGCTCTTCCCCCGATTCGCCTCCTTGATGATATCCACCTGGCCATAGTAGAAGATCTCGTCGCCCCAGGGGGAGGGAATGCGCGGCTGGTCTTCTTTCAAGGGGGGGTTGATTTCAATCTGGTCTTGGAAGCGGAAGACGGCGACGCCGTAGTTCTATGCAGTCGTCAGTGGTTTGAGTAGTGCGATTGAAGAAGGGTTGGGGGGGTACATTAGTCCCAGTCTGCAAGACGAAGAACTTCATTTGCGTGCAGAGACGGTCGCATGCGTGGACCGCGTTGGATGTCATGTTGACGTTGATGTCTCTGATGTCCATGACGTTCTCGCTGTATGCCGTGGCATTTGAATAGGCTGTTCGGGGATCAACCTCCATATCATATCATGACATACGACATGACTAGGACTTGGAGAGTACTCACCGAGGTAATAAACATGCGTAACCTCATCCACATTGGGAATCTTCCGCAACTGACCCAGCACATCGTCCAAGCTACTGCGCAGGTTGATACCCGAGTGCAGCTCCAGACGAGGATCCTGGGGCAAGCCACTCTCCTCGACCGTCCTAGGACGATGCGTCAGGCCAATGACGCGGGAAAAGGTCGTAGAGGTAGGATAGGAGAGGACATTTTTGGCGACGGCCCAGCCGGAGATGCCACTTGCGCCGAAGACGAGGGCGACGTTTTTGGATTCAGCCATTGTATATTCTCACGGTCGAGAGGAAGGAGTGCAGTATCGGGGGATATGTTGTCCCTCTCCACTTGGAACAAGCCATCAATTTAAGTCCGTCCGTCGCACCCTCGATCAGCACCTCGTCCACCAAACTATATCCCGCAAGGGAAGAAACCAGGTAGATCCAAACACTAACAGATCAGGGGAACGAGCCAGAGAGCAGTCCATGGGCCGGCCCCCACGCAGCCACGACCAAGCCAAGACATTCATGATTCGTGTATCCCGCGATGAGACTGCACATGGTGCCAGTGTTATGACTAGGGGAGACCGTTCCGGGCACCGTGGTGGAGATGGTGTCTGGAGAACGGAACAACGGTTCGAGGATTGAAGAACGGGGCCCATAATTAGTTGATACGGCTATGCGACGGACGAGGGACCGTATCAGCGCTAAAATGTTGATCAGTCGCTGGGTTGGGGTGATTGGTGGTTGGGGGAGAGGGTGGGTTGGTTAGAGGTGCGTTCTCAGGTCTGACCATGGCAGGTATTGTATTTTGGTTATGGGTGGATGTCTGTGGTGTTGTTTTATCTTGATGGTCTTGCTCGCTGGCTATTACTGCAGGAGTACCAAGTATGAATAGGACTTTCGCAAATAATCTATTCAGGAATTATATCTGACGACCACGAGCAGGCCCTATGGTGGAAAGGTATAACAACATGTACATCTATTGGTATATTCTATCATCTAGCATCATACAAACGCCATAGCTATGTATATACACTACAGCCGTAGAATATCTCCCTCCCTCCCAATCCCCCCCCGGAAGTGATCCTTCACCACCCTCCCACCCAGTATCGTCTCCTCCACAATGCCAGGTACATGTTTGGGCTCAATCCGCCCATACCAGATGCCCTTTCCAGCCAGCGGATGCAGCGTCTCGCCACCCAGCTTCATCTCCGGCGGAATATAGACAATCACATTGCCCGCATACTTGTGTCCTCCGACGTGGCTAATCAGCCCGATGTGCGCCCGTCCAGGACTATCAATCGACTCTCCGCCATTGACATCCCCCATGGCAGACGCAGTGAAGCCCTTTGCGCCCAGAACACTCCGGAATGTCTCTTCCAACACGGGCGCTATAATGCCGCAGCGCATGTCGCGGCCGCCGTGGCCGCAGATCAGCACGAACGGGGAGTGTCGGACGTCGACGGCGGGAAAGTCCGCTACTAATTCGGGCCGGCGGGTGAGTTCTGCCTGTTTTGACTCGGGGAGGGACGATTGGAAGGCGCTGAGTTGCTCGGGTAGAAGAAAGCCGCGGACGAAGGTGGAGAGGTCGGGTTTGGCGGGGGTACTCGTTGGTTCGACGGGGACGGAGGGGAAGTATTTGAAGCTGGGGAAGAGGAATGCGGAGGCGGAGGTGGATGCAGCGGCTGTCGAAGAGGAAGGGAAGGAGGAGTTGGAAACGAGGACGTTATTAAAAGGCTGTTCAGATGTTTGTTAGATACCCGCAAGTCAAATACAATAATAGGAGGATGCAGAGCAACATACATCAGCGTATTGTCCCCCCCGACCCATCAGCTTCTTCAATCCCCTAGCCAGATCACCCCAGCCCGTGCCCTGACCATCTTCTTCGATGCGACTCGTCCAGTCGCGTTGGCCCGTGCAGATGAGAAGTTGTTGCGTGTAAGCCGCCATAGTCCCGTTTAACGGCTGGTCATAGTCGATCGGGAGGCCCTCGGGCAGCTCCGGAGTTGGAGGACAGGAGCAGCTCGGTTCTGGACATGTCTGCGTCACTGGGAATGGAGGGGGAATGTCCAATGGAATTCGTGATCTTGAGTGGGATATCGTGGTGGAGAAGCATCGTGTAGGAGGGACAGTTTTGCTGGTCGCCCCTTTGAGAAGGGGGATCGTTCGGGGGAGTCTCATTGGTGGTTTTCTCGATTGGAAGAATTAAATGGGTATTGATCTATGTATCATCTATGGTATAAAGAAAATGGAGGAAACAAAAAGTCTGCAGATGAAGATATAATGGAGATGGAGTTGAAGATGGAGATATGTGCGGAGAAAACCGAGCGGAGTCCGAGTCCGAGTCCGACTCCGACTCGGAGATAACGACGGATGACTAAGCCTCGTGGCGATCAAAGTCAATTCATCGCATTGGATTCGATCGCAATAGGATGAAAAGCGAAGTTTATGCCGGTGAATCGTTCCATTCTGTCCACATGTCAACTGGCAAACAAGGCCAGTGCATGGGCAGACTCGGTCAACGGCCACAGGCTATAGTAAAAGCCAATAGCACCCCCGACTAGCAAAAGATAGTATGCGACAGTCCAGCCCGTCGCCAAGGGCCGGTAGACATATACCGGGCCTTGCATTGATTCCATTTGGACCATGGCTTCAAGCCGTCCCCACAGTCGTGGCAGCCCACACCAGTTGCAGAAACTGTGGGCGATGATCACCGCCAGGAGCGACCCGGTTCGCAGATAGACAAAAGTGGCGTACCAGCCGAAGACTGTCGTAAATCCAAACTGGAAGATAGACCGGAACAAGGCGATGAACACAGATGTATCCGGATGGGTCAGGCGGAACTCATAGAAATGGTGTACGTGGGCGATGCCAAAATAGAGCGGAGCCACGAAGACAATCCGGCCTGGGGAGACATTGGCGAGAAGATGAAGCGGTATGATCGCAGACCGGAAGATGATCTCTTCAGTAACGGGGCCCTGGAATGATCAATATGACATGACGATAGGCTGCAGGTGGCCTCTTGGCTAGACGGCGGTTGAATAAAGGCATGGCTTACGGCGACATAATTCCTCCATCCCGCCCAACTGTTCAATGACTCGTAGATTCTGCGAACAGGGTTTCCGTGCTTCCACTCGCCTTCCGCAACGCGCTCAAAAAGGGGCCCAGCAAAGAGAATGGCCGTCAGGAGCAGGGTACAAAGAACTTCCGCCAGCCCGATCGGCCACCACCCGAGGAGGTGCATGGCCTCGGGAACTGTCACATCATTCCGAATCAGAAGTCCCAAGACAGCAATGACGCCGATGATGCAGGAGAGCGTGACCGCCCTAATGCGCGCCCGGATCACAGACGGGGTGTCCCGGCTGAGCGTTTGCGATGGTCGCGTGGCAGACGACAGATAGAACGGCGCGACATAGACAAGGATCAGAGCAGCCTATCGTTTGCTTAGCTTTGCCAACATACTAGACTGACATGTCGGGGAGAGGCAAAGCGATGCCGCTTGGGCGCTCGGGCCATGATATCAAAAATACGCACCGAAAAGACTGCGGCAGTCTGCGCCGCAAAGGCGGGCTCTGCTGAAACAGGGTTAGATCCAATTGAACCGGTGTCGATCATTGTCATTGGCACATACTGTATGTTTCCATGTGGCAGTCTTACTATATACAATGCGCCGGGGTGATGATCAGGGGTTGCTGCAGACACCACCGTTTAAAGAGAGGATAGAGGTCGATCAAGCAGATTCCATCCCAAGTGAAAAAGAGGACAATCAAACAATGTACACAGATTCCTGAAGAACAATAGGAAATGGATTGTCGTGAATAGGTGGAGGGAGATGAGTGGCCGGAGTTGAAGGACCAACCGAAACAAAGACCGACGGCAAGGATGGTGGATGCCTGAGGGAGCGGGCAGCAAGGCGGTGATATGGCATCCGTCTCCATCCATACTAAATCAGTCATGCCGTTTTTTCTACTTCTTATAGAAACATTGAAATCATGGTGTACTATCACTTTAATGACTATGGTATATACTGTGTTTCTGGACATACGCTATGTCGTTTTTACAGTTCGATTATACAAGTGACGCCGCTGAGACTCGACTATATGTATAAATTCATGGCTCACACCTAAGGCTTCATCACGGACCCCTACGCCTGCCTCCTGCGCCCAAGCTCAATACAGCAATATGAAGGCACTTGAACATCCTGATCAATCCGTAGAATCCCATTTAACAAGCAGTCAAAGTGAGAGAGAAGAAGTCATACGTTGTCGCATGCTGAGAGAGATATCGGTCATTGTAAGCCCGACCAGATACCGATGCAGTATTTTAGTGCAGTGGCTCCAGTAACCCTGTTTCGAGGTTGTAGGGAGCAATATGGCAATGCTAACAGTGGTCTGAGAGTTCTACCTCCAACTGATCAACTGGAAATAGCCCGGTATGAACCTCCCCAGATATATCCGAGCTAGGTGGAAAGTCGTGTCCAAACCAGGGCTCTCTGGCCCCCTCATGTTCGCAAGAATGCTTTGTCGAAAGTGGCAGTAAGAGAATCCCATTGCAAGCAATCATTTGCGAAAGTAATGCTGCTGATATCGGTTGAAATTGTTTCTAGGAAGGAATACATGGCAGGCCTCCCAATCCGTCCATTGCTTCAGACGAGCAAGAGTTTCGGACCAGAAGAAATACTGTCACAGAAACACAGATATCATAATCTCCTGGCGCCAGTGGCTGACTGGTTCGTATGATAATCTGTGGTAAAGAAAAAAATTACTACTGTAAAAGATATCATGACACTTTGAGTCTCGTAAGTAATCCTATCCACTTCGAAAAGAGGCAGATTCACCAAGGAGTGGAGACAAGTGAGAAAAGATAAAGTAGAATAGGATCACCTCTCGCGTGACGAAGATATTCACTTCAGGTGTCCAGTCAGAAGACCTCTTCTCCAACCCGAATAGGGCTTGAGGAGTCTCATTGACGGGGGAATTGTCAGGTTTCTGGTTAATCGCATAGATGACTGTCACTTCGGCTGGGTTTGTGGTGATAGTTGAAGATAGTTCTACTGCGCATTATGACATGCACTGATTCGGATGAAAGGATACGATTGACCTTGTACGCGGTTGGGCATATGGGTCTATGTTTCTTGTACGTATACATTGTATGTACAGAATGGCATACGTTGGCGATAAGTGATAATGATTTAGGGAACTCATATTTCGCAATCCACTATGTAGAGTAGATGACGACGATCCTTTTCCCGACAAATCTAGACGAACGCCTCAAGGCCCCATACAGATGACGCTGGTCAGTAAATCCCGCAACAGCACGTCATCCACGCCCAGCCCTGATAGACGTCACAAGAGGATAAGCCTAAATAGGCCTAGTATCCTCCAAAGGCCCCCGGACATTGATGCATGGAAGACCCTCAAGCAAAGAGGGGGCGAGGGGGGCGTTCATCCCAACCCAAGGACGACATGTCCGTGCAGTGGGCCTGGCTAATTGTCAGATTCTTGGAAGTCCCCACCATCAGCAAGAAATTGCAGCTGTGGGGAGTGGGCCCAGAGCTGTCGTCTGCCAGTTACTTGGTCACGCCACGGCTGATGGAGAAAGGTGTGCACTAGCTTCGATTGACCGACGAACCTATGCTATTCATTGCGTGAACGTGCTGACCCCGTCTTGATCGAGGCCTTCCCATGCCGAGACTAGGTAGCCCACAGTGCGTTTTCTAGCGTCGCGTCTGAGACAGAATGACAGGTGGACTTGCGGTCTAGACTGACAATGGAGACCGGATCTGCTCTAGACTCTTGAGGGGCTTATTGATAGACATGATGTGTCTTTGGTCCTCTTGTCTTCAGATGTAACCCCAACGCTACAAGATTCGATGTTTCAAAGGAGCCTGCCTCTGTTCTGAGCGAAGTGGCTGGCTGTATTTTTTCTTCCACTCTGACCTTGGCACGTTATTGAGAACCGAGGATGAGAGCCAAGAAACATATGAAGTCGAGAAAAAACCGCGTCCTTTCCACGAGGCAAAAAGGAAAAACTCAATTTGAGAAGGTCGACTTTCTCGTGCGGAAGCATCTCCTGTGAAATTCTCATGTAAAGATCTGTTGTAGTGGAGACGGCGACCACGCCCCCGACCACATGAACCTTAACCTCGTTCTCCATCTCCCCGGTTGATAGTCATGGCGGGTACTGGTAGTCGCAAGCGCTTCGAAAGGCGGGGCCTGATCCAAAGAAGCCCGTCTCCACTGCCACCATGACGGATTTGAGGGCAAGGCCCAGGGCCAGGGCCATCATCCTAGGAACGAGAATTATTCCGGGAGTACTCCGAGTCCCCGACTTGAAACAGACTTTGTCCCATGGTTCTGCAACTTTGGCGTCGTCGGCTAGACACGCATCCATGGAATTTTGACTGGGAGTGTATGGCGATTGGCCGGAACTCCAATTAATCAAAAGGGATTCCAGTGAAATTTGTCGGCGTTTTACTGGACTTGCCCCTGTTCCGGACGAAGTATTCCATGGTTCGATTCGCTCGATACCAGGAACCAGGTGTAGTTTCTTTCTTTCGGCCGTGTCGGGCGGCTGTGTCGGTGAAAATGCTGCCATTGTGCTAGACAGCCACCACATTTCGTTTGTTCTCCGGGATTTTTCTTGTTTCTTTGTATTGGCAGGAAAAGGGTCTTAGCAAATGTCAATAGGTATGAAGTGATCTGTTTTGGTTTCAAGCGTGGCCGGTTGTCCATACAAACGGAACAAAAATTGGTACAACCACATGGTTAGTTCCATGGAATTAAAATGGACATACAATGCGGTTCCGCCACAATGGCCAACGATATCTACAGATTTTTATTTAGCGAGGTACATGAACCAGAAAAGACCGTTCTTACAGCAGTCCATCGACCAATCGCGTTGCTTTCTGAACAAGCCAAAGTTTCAGTCTTGTTTCTGGTGGCTTCTTCGTTTGTTGATATCCACTGCGCCCCCCAGTGGCACACGAGGTACTGACGACGTCCTTCATCCAGCCGTCATAGTTCCAAGGATGGCAGACCACCTCGTCATGATGGATATCCGAGGCCACCGTATGTGGGCATTGACCGGTGGCGGGGTAGGGTTTTGGTGTCGAGGACAAACCTATATAGAGGGGTGAAGATCTGCCTCTGGAGTTCTGTTCTGATCCTCATCATTCTCTTCAAGTGCATCTCTAGTCACTCTCTTTCCTTTCCAACCTCACATTCCTTTTGACCTTTCGGTCCTTCCAATCCTTTTATTCATTTCAAAACACATCGCTCGACGCGACTACCACCTTCCTTTCCACAATGCAGTTCACCAAGTCCCTGATGCTGCTGGCAGCCCTCACCACCGGCTCCCTTGCCCGCCCGCAAGGCCACGAGAGACGCCAGGTCTCGTCCACTCCTGCCGCGTCGAGCTCCTCTTCCGGCGGCGGGTCCTACTCCACCGATGGGTTCGGAGCCAGCACTGCCAACAGCGGCGACGACATCACCTACAAGGGCAACACGGGTGAGCCCTGGGGTAGCAACATCCTCGAGATCTCCAGCAGCGACGCCGACCAGTACCAGTACGTCGCGGAGCTCTCGGGCGATCTGACCGAGAGCTGGAGCCTCGTGTTCTGGAACAAGTACGGCCCCAGCGGGCAGATGGACGGCTTCTTCGGCCACCACGCCCTGGACCTGACTGTCAACCCGGGCGAGACCAAGTACGTCGCTTTCCAGCCCGACACCAACGGAGGCTTTGCTGCGGCCCCCGGGAGCGTGCCCACCGACGGCCAGGGCGTATTCGCGTCCACCTGGGGTGAGTTCGACTTTGGCAGCAACGGCAACTCGGGTTGGTCCGGCTTTGACGTCTCCGCCATTGTCGCCCAGAACGCCGGTATGGAGGTCCAAGGCATGAAGATCTGCGATCAGAACAGCGGCACCTGCTCCTCCATCACTCCCAACGCTGACTCCGTCGACAATGCCTACACCACCGCTGAGACCGACATTGGCGGTATTGGTGGAAACATCTCCGGCAGCGGCCCTGTCCGTCTGGTCGTTACCCTCAACTACCAGGGCTAAATTATTATGTTTTTGTATATATAGACTCTGTGGTTAGATTTGTTTAGGGATACCTGTTTTGTCAATAGACTATACTGGATGCATGGGTGCATCATAAAAAACCATCTCCCACATATGTTGTGTATGACTGTAGATTTGTAGACTGCTGATGGCGTTGAAGAAGTGTTCTCAAGTGTATGAAGAATGAGATGCAGCAGATCGGCATGCTTCGGTCGAATCACGTGATAAGGCATACACAACACGGGGTAATTTATGTTCTGGAATTACCACAATTACCACTGGTCACGGACTCTTCAACTATCACCACGGCTGTCATACTATGTAGTGATCATCAGGTGCTCTCTCTTGCACGGTCCGTACTCTGTATAAAGTAGCAAGGGAAATTACCGAATTGTGCTATACTGGATACTCAGTGTCCTGTATACTGTATTGAAATTATCCTTATGAATCTACCCGGAGTAATTATCATGGACGTGGAAGAAACGGACACGGTGGAAATCCCAATACAGATCGGTATTGTCCACATGGTCGATCCGGACCGCCGTAAATCCACATCGTCATCGCTCCGTCGCGTCCTCCGCATTTGCTTCTTTGATTGACTGCATTGATTCACTGCCTTTGATTACAATCACAGACGGCTCCTTGCAGAGGGTTTTGAGGTTTGTGTCTACTTGGCAATTGGTCTTTCACTTTTGGTGTTCTTGGATTATATTTCACTTTCCTTCATCTGCCATTGCTCTCTCCAGTCTCATTCCTCATCCCACTGCTAGATTGATCTGCTCCAATCGGCGTGGTCAATACCCACTATCAATCGCCATGGAAGAACAGGACGTCTCCCAGTCCATTAGCGCTGGTATGGCCGAGAACACAGTGGTCCGCGAATGAAACATACAGACTAACCTCTCCAGATGAGATCGCCCTGTACGATCGTCAAATTCGCCTCTGGGGTGTGCAAGCCCAGGAAAAGTACGTCGCATTCCCCATGATCGCAGTATGGCAGCTGACTCTGCGACAGGATCCGATCCGCCAATATCTTGCTCATCACCTTCAAAGCGTTGGCGAACGAAGTCGCAAAGAACCTGGTCCTCGCTGGGATCGGCACCCTAACAATCATCGACCATGAGACCGTCAAAGAGGAGGATCTGGGAGCGCAGTTTTTCATCAGTGAGGAAACTGTCGGCCAAAACGTATGTTCCTTGCGCCACTCGTTTCGTATGTCCCTATCACTGACCGCTGGCAGCGCGCTCAAGCAGCAGAGCCCTCTGTCCATGCCATGAACCCACGAGTAAAGCTCCACATCGACACCGAGGACGTGCGCGCGAAGCAACCGGAGTTCTTCTCACAATTTGACGTGATCATCGCAACGGAACTCGACTTTACGACCTACACCACCATAAACGCCGCCTGTCGCATCGCCCAGCGTCCCTTCTACGCAGCGGGGCTGCACGGCTTCTACGGCTTCATCTTCGCCGATCTCATCTCGCACGACTTCGTCATCGAACGAGCCAAATCCAACGTCGTGTCAGCCACGCGCGAAACCCCCACGCGGAGCATCGTCAACGTGACCACCAAAAAGGAAAACGACAAAGTCATCGAGATGGTCACCAAGCGCGAGACCTACTCCCCACTCCTCCTCGCCAACACCTCGCCCCTCCCCGAAGACTTCACCCGTCTCCCCCGCCGCCGAAGACAAGTAACCCCCCTGCTCACCTGCCTGCGCGCCCTCTGGGAATTCCAAAAGCTCTCCGGCGGCGCCCTCCCAACCTTCAACGCACAGGATCTCGAGACCTTCACCAAGCTCGCCCGCGACGCGCACCACGAGCTCCAACTCGACATCGCCACGCTCGACTCCGCCTTCCTGCGCACCTTCCTCCAAAACCTCGGCAGCGAGCTCAGCCCCGTCGCGACCTTCATCGGCGGCAAGCTCGCCCAAGACGTCATCAACGTGCTCAGCGCCCGCGAACAGCCCATCCAGAACCTCCTCCTCTTCGACGGCGACAAGACCGTCTCCCCCATCTACCCGCTCCACCCTTTCTTCCCCTCCAGCATGCCTAACGATTTGGCTGCCGTGCCCCCCGCCGCGAACGCAATCCCCCTCGATGATCCTACCCCGCCATCAACGACCACCGTACCCGTCTCGCTCCCCATACACGAGAATGGCGAAAATACGAACAACCAAACTAGGAATGGAAACGGCCATGAGAATAGCATGTGAGGGACGGTAGAAAACAGAACTAGGAAAATACGGACAGGAAAGGAATTTACGAAGTGTACGATAGATAGATAGACATGAATCAGGGATTGGGATAGGCTTCTCTCATTATCGTCATCAATCTCAGGCGAAACTTACGATGGCCAGTCCTGCATGTAATTGGTAGTCTGAGTTTCACAAGGTCGATCTCAGATAACTTGTGAATGACTGCATCGTGTACTTCGTAACTGCACTACGTTTCTAAGCAGAGCTTCTTTGAAATGTGGAGAAGATGATGAAGACAAGTCTAGTGTATTCGAAATCAAATATGATATTTTACTCCCGTACTCCGGTCCCCGCAAGTAAATACAGACGCCTTCCTCCATGAACGAACAGATCAACCAAACAAAGAGAACAAGTGACTAGCTGGAACAGTCTATTCGGGTGTGGCATGCTATTCCTGAAGAAGTCCTTGATGGTCAAATCATAGAAAAGGAATCAGGGTGAAAGAAAAAATAAAATGAAGTAAGATAAAAAAGAATAAAGAAGAGAAGATGCATGCGGCTTTTATGCGGATCGCCATCAAATCAACGGGACGTCTCCTTTCCAACCAAAGGTGAATCGTCACCGTCGTCGGATTTCCGGCCACGTCGGCTGTCGGTCGACACCTTGTGTCCGTCTTCCTCGTCCGAAATCAGACCCTCTAGCTCGAAGGCTTCCGCGTCGTGCAGCTGCTGCGCTTCCGCGGCGGAGCGGGCGTGGCCGTTGGGATGGTGGGCACGGGCGCCACCCAGTCGGGCGTAGCTGTCGGGGTTTTCGGCCTCGTCAACGAAACCGTCGTAGCGGGTGCGGGAGGGCTGGGTGGATTCGGGCCAGGCGTGGACGGCGTAGATGTGGATAAGGACATTGACGACTGCGATTGTTAGAGGGTGTTCTACACAGGGGATTCGGGCTTTCGACTGTACTTACACAGGAATAGGAGGAACGCAATGCTGTACAGGATGAGGACATATGACACGTGCATGATCCCGGCCTGGTCGAGGAGTTGCATCTGCTCTTCCGTGGCACCCATGAAGAGGAAACCAGACGCATACAGAAGCTGCGGCAGTTAGCGGTGTGACCCCACTGCGATACGATAAGGTACTTACAAATGGTGTCACGAATTGGAAACTGTGCGGGTTCGAGCCGTTGGGACTCAGGGTGGGCTTGTCCTTCAGGACGAACGAGATCTCGACGATTCTGGCCGCGCCAGCCGCCATCAGCGTGTAGCCGAAGATGGAGTGGACCATGGTGCTGATCATCAAGTGCTGCGTGTGCGCGGACATGGCATAACCAGTCAAGAGGATGACAATGGCGGGCATCAGGTTACGCTTGGGGCCACCGTCCCGGTTGCGACTCAACCAGATACCTAGGAGACCCGCGCACCACCAGACAATGCCCATGGTGGTATGCTGCAGGTCGTTGTGGACCCAAGGACCCCCCCATCGATGTTCGGTAAAGGTGTTGACACACCCCCAGGCCGCGATGATCAACGAGTCGAAGAATTCCTGGCTCCGACCCGTGCGACGCAGCCAGTACTGGCCCACCAGGAGGAGGATGGTGAGCAGGATCCCATACGCGATGAACGCGCTACCCATGATGAAGTGGGCCAAACACTGTCCCATATGGTCACTCTGGCAGAAACCCAGCGCCGCGATCCCCCCAAACACCATCTGGACCCAAGCGACCACCGGCATCGCCTTTCCGAGCACCCCGTGGGCCACGACAAAAACGCGGCGGATGCGTCCGTGGATGCCTTTCGTGATGTGTAATTTGAGGTAGAGGCCGAAGACGACTTGCACGGCCATCATGAGCATGAGGACGTTTGCGAAGGAATGATGGACGTTCTTCCCGAACTGGCGGCCTTTATGGGCGTGACCGAGGAAATAGGCGACAACGGCGATACAGGTAGCGACAATCTGGACAGGAACGTGCCAGCGCGAGCGCACGATCTATATCGGAGACGCAAGAACTGTCAACCACCACTGTTCCCCAGAACTCCACCAGATGTCCAGGCTTCCTAGGAAAGAAACTTACCCCGAGAACCATGCCCAGCGGAAAAAGGATGCCAAAGGCAAATCCCATCAGAATGATATGAATCCATAACGTCGAGTCCTAGGGTGGGGTCAGTCAACTGCGACCACCGAGCGAGTCCGCCCCGACCGGTGGGATACGTACGATCGGCTCCAAGGAGATAGCCTCGCCTTCGGGGACGTTTTCGTGGCCTCCATGGGCCAGGGCGGGTGAAACGAGGAGGAGTGCCGGTAGCACTCCTCGCAAGAAGAGTTGACTCATGATCCGGCTTCGCGAAAGGAGCAGTTGGCGTGCGAAGGAGGATGATGGAAAAGATAGAAAAGGAGGGAGAGGAAGGATAAGTCAGGTTCCAAGAAGGAGTGTAACGGCGTACGTACGACGGGGAGTACTTCTTCCTTAGTAACGGATGGATCGGCCGGCATTCAATCAGCCGCCACGGATTGGCCGGACAAGTGGGTCACTTGATCGCCTTGTATCAACCGTACATCCTCATATAAATACATCCACTTGCAAGAAGTATAGATATATCTATAGATGTATGTGTGTATTTGAATCAACCAGGTCGAGTGTATGGTCGAGTCAAGATCAGAAAGGTGAGATGTGTCAGGATGCATGGTGCGGCCAAGGTGACTGACAGACGCCACTAATCAGTGGATCCAGAGATACAAAGCCATTGAAGTCGTTGTGCTTGGCTTTGCTGGATTGTTAATGGTCTTGGATATACCGACATGATGGACAGGAGCTGTCTAACATACCGACACGCTTCTGACGCGATGATAATATAGTTGTCACCGTCTATACATAGTAAACTGGAGCTAAGTCTTGGCTGTGGGGCTCGTCGATTGTCTCGTGTTGGACAATCAACCAATGATACTGACCTTGTTAATTATACTAGGTGAGAAGTCCATGTTCAGACCAAACTGGCTGATAGATCGAGAGAAAAGAAGGTTGGGGAGAGATGGAAGAAGGAGGAAGTCAGATCCAGATCAGAACGATATCAGTGCAATTGGTTGTATGTTGTCACGGGACCGAATGGGCTACTATCAACCCCACGACTGAATATATATAGAACCTACAAGACCTATATGCTATGCATCAAATCAAATTACACGAACTTGGTGAAGTATTCGACCGTACAGGTCAAGACTTTCAATACCATTCCTTAACATGGCGAATGGGGACTTGAAGCAGGTGTAGGAGTATATAGTCATTCTGGAACTATCATCAAAGTACCCCGATAGGCAGATCTCGTTAGGAATGGGTGATTGAATCAGAACTAGCCTTGAGATTAGTTCCTCTCCATCTGACACTTTCTCTTCTACATATGTCGTCATTACGGTTGATATTATACGTGTTTTTGATAGTAGTGGTAGGCTATGCTCCCCACATCATCTCGCGCTACTCACCCCCGCGATCTCTTCGGCATCGTATAAGGTTTAGCTAGCTTTGCTTGCTCAACCTCAGACTTCCCAACTTCCAACTTCTCAACTTCTCAACTTCCTGATTTTCCAACTTCCCTCCGCAACATTACCACGATTGGACACCGGGCGTTCTCATTGCCCCTTCGACAAGATGCCCGTCACCCTGACCACAGCCGAGCATTCACCCCGCAGATGGAAGGCAACAAAGGTATCCTCCGCCGAAGAGCTGCTTAAGGGCTCAAGCCCGAAGAATTATCGCCGCAGCCGAAAGTTGATACAGAACTCATTTTCTCAAAGCCTGTTGGACACGTCTCACGTCTCAGCCTCGAATCATGGCTTTGTCTGGGCCGTGTTCCACGCCTACAGTGACCATCACCATCTGACACTCAGGCCCGAAGACGTGTGGTTTTCCATTCTCACTCAGCTCGGTTTCTTTGTGAATGCGCATGCAGAGGAGCTACGGTCCTTTTTTGTTGCCCACGAGGGACAAAAGGAACTGAAGGTGTACGATGTGGGAACTGTGGAGACTGTTGATTTTGGCAGGATGGCCTTGTACATGACAAGTCTCATTGAGAAAAATGTGGTGGATGAGGATCTACGAAACTGGATCATGCCGGATTTCAGCACCACGACCGAGTCCGACAAAGTTGTCGGCGCTATCTTGATGATGGGTGCCTTACAGAAATACTTCTCCTATACGATGTCCACGCTATGTGGGATTCCATCCGTGACCTTGTTAGGCGAGCGAGAGGACTGGGCGCGAATGGTGACAAAACTTGACAAGCTACGTCAGCTGGGAGATGAGCCCGCGCGATTTGCTCAGCTGCTTCGACCAGTCCTGAATCATTTTGTTGCATCATTCGATCGACCCGACGCACCGGATGTGCTGACCTTCTGGAGCAAATGCGCACACGAAGAATCGATGGGAAGCGGACCAGATTATCTGACTGGGTGGATCACAGTCTTTTGTTTCTGGGACGAAGATGGAAAGTTATTGCACCGAGAAAACATACACTCCTCCTCCTCGCGAGAATTCGAGTCAGGGGAGACTGAGTTCGGGCTGGATGACGCTTTATCGCGCCATGTTGACACAGGCGACGTTCCATCAGGTCACGCCTCCGTACCGGTCACTGTTGATGATAATGGGACTGTATATGACACAGTCATGCTTGCCGGGTTAGTCGGCATCGAAGCCACGTCGAGCGGGGCAATGTTGGATGGCACGAACAATCATGCCCATTCCGGGGTATACCTTGAGACGCGTCCCTACCACCCTTCAGCTCCTACCGAGAGAGCTGATCTCAATTCGATTCAGCCGTTGTCGGGGTGGTGGATGTATGAAAAAGAGCGAGCAGAAGACGCCGAGAATCGCACCCGTGAGGTGCAGAAGATTGATAATGAGATATCAGCCTTGGACCCACGAGATGATACCTCTCGTCGAGAGCGGCTCAGACTGTACACAAGACTAGAGGAGCTTAGAGCCTTCTGATCTAGTTATCCATGATGAGAAGGCTTCAGCCGGCCACAAGTACCTTACTCGAGGGCTGGACCTATTCTCTAGTTTTAATTAACAGCCGTTATTGTTATCTTCCGTGTTTTGAAGCCAGGCTTAGGATTTAACCCTACATGCTGGGCGATAGATTCTCTTCAGTAAATAAAGGAATTAGACTTAACCTGAGTAGTGCAGGGAATCAGGTTTTGATATGGGGTAACCGTCCACTGTACTTGTGATCGCTAGATCTATGCCCCATGATTCCAGTCCCTGGCCTTTGTATCTGGACCATTAATCCTCAGATTGGCCTGAGCACCACGTCTATGAGTCATATTGAGCCTTCGAACCATTAACGTTGGTCTCCTCTGGTACGGATCCCGTACAGGTTGTAAATCCAGAGCTTCGAACCACTTTTGGCCCTGGAGCTCGTGGCAAGAATCCAGGAGAATGATATCCAACTGATTCTAAAAAATCCCAGAAAACTCCATCTATTTCTAAATCTTGGAGGGAGATTAATAACCCAGTGCCTCCTGCACGTTGCATATTGCAAGCGCGGATTTCATCTGTTGTAGGTAGAGGAGGCAGTGGTTGGGAGTTCTGGAAAGGGAAGGCCACTGATTTCCACATCATGAAGATAGCAGGAGTCGACGAAGGTAACGAAGTAGGGATGATTGCCTGAATGGAAGGGAAATGAGATGTTCAGAACGCATGCTAGCTCACGCCCCAAGACCTCAAATCATGGTCATGTGGTATTTCTCACCTCACCGAAGCGCTGAGCTCAATACATTGATTGTCTTACCCCTGGACACTGAGTCTTCACCTACTTGGATACTACCATTACTGCATTAACAATGCTACGTGGGAAGCCCAGTGATAGGGAGAAAAGAAGGATGGGGAGAAGAGACTGAAGAATGCTGTTACGGGACAAATTGGGCTACTATAAGCCGCTACGGATCCATATAGAACTCTGCAAGACCCATTTCACTTTATACATTGAACCATAATACCTGCGTAGACGAGGTGAGAAAACTACGATCAAACATCAACATTCCAATAGTCCAACCTAGACTTGTCTAATCATAATTCCATACGGGTCCCTGTCCTGATTGCTCACGTCAACTGCACTCTCCGTATCCGCGTACGCCTTCTCCCAAGCTGGCGCATTCTCAGGCTGTTTCCGCGCCGTCTCCCACTCCGTGGCCAAAGTTCCTGCAAGTTTTTCCCGCATCACAGCCCGAAGATACCCCCGCTCGGAGTTGGAATGCGCCAACGCAACAACCACTGAGCCTTGCTCAACGGCAGCCAGTGCCTCGTGGTGGCTCAGTTCGCCGGTGAACAGCAGATCGGGAATTCCGCCAGGGGCTTTGAAAAGGACACTGGATCCCGATCCAGGGCACACTCCCACCGTGCGGATCTTCAAGTCGTCCACCGATGCGGACTGCGGGATGGCAATGGGGATACCGCCGGGGTTTCCAGTGCCGCGGCCGATTCGATCGACAATGGTGGCGAGGGGTTGGGGAGTTTGGAAGGTGACGATGCGGCCCATTCCCGCGGATTCCAGGCCTTCTGGAACGGGCGGCGGGGAGGGGTGGATGGTGCTGCGCTCGTGGGGCACGGCAGACGACGGAGTGGCAGAAGCAGGTTGGGGCTGGGGAAAGACGGCCTGCGAGTAGGATTGGGATGAGGATTTCTCGATTGCGGGTGCTGCATCATTTGATGGGGTGACAGCTCCGGTCACGATGTCGCAGAGCCAGTCGGCCATTCCGCCGGGGGTCGCATCGACGGCGGTGTGGGGGGAGTAAACACTGATGCCCTCCTGGGCTAGTCGGAGGAGAGAATTCTGCTGGGAGTCGTTCAGGGTAAGGGATTTGAGGCCCCGGAAAATGATGGGGTCTGCGAGGAACGGTCAGCGAGTCATGTGTGCGCTGGGTATCTAACGACTCATTTCATACGGTAGGCGACAACCACCGAATCCCGACGGGCAATCGCTTCGTCCGCGACGGCTCTGGTGAGGTCGATCGTCAAGAGGACCGAGTTCTTCTGTCTCCGCGCCGGGTTGAACGGGGCCTCGAGGAGTACTGTGGATTGATTTAGCAGTTGCTATGGATTATCGACGACGTGTATCTTTAGTGAAAGCTTACAACCCGTATTGTCGAAGCTCTTGTCTGCTAAGGATTCGGGATACAGTTTTCTCATAGAGTTCACCACAGCCCGGGTGAAGGGTGACGATGCGGGGATGAGGGAAGAGGACATGGTTGAGTAGAGGCGGGAAAGAGCAGTCATAGAAGATTACAGTGTCCAATACAAGAGACAAACAACAGGGTCAATTTCAAAATAGAAACAAAATTGTATATAGGACCACAGACGATTTGGCTGAAGAGTTGCAGAACCAACAATGCGCATCAAGCCGATCCCCGCCAACGTCGCAGCTCGCGCCACAGTTGGCGCACCAGCCACAGCCACAGGCACCAAATCCGCCATCCCCGGATGATTAATTCCGTCATCCCAACTGACTCTCCCATCCCGTCTTTTTTGCGCTTCACGGACAAGCCTCTCCTCAACTTTCTACCTTCCCGTCTCGCCTTTTACGCCTTCAACTTTGACTTTTTCTTTACTCTACATAGTGCATCCGCCGCACTTGATGTACTCCCGCACCTCCACCCTGTTGAGCAGAAGCTGCCGCTACTTCCTCCGCACTCCGGTCCACCAGTCCTATTCGCCTTTCTCCGTCTCCGCGCGCTCTTTCGCCGCCGTGAACGCAGCCATGGCGGATGCCACCAACGGAGTGACAGCGGACCTGATTAAGGCCAAGCTGACGGACCAGCTGCAAGCGCAGCACGTTGAGATCGAGGATTTGTCGGGTAAGTCAAATCACTTTTCGAGAGTGGGGTATCATTTGGAGGAAGACAGTATAGGACCAGTGATCGCTAACGCACGATGGTTGTATAGGTGGCTGCGGACAGGCGTTCCAGGCCGTCATCGTTTCCCCCCAGTTCGAGAAGAAGACCATGCTCGCCCGCCACCGATTGGTCAACGCGGCTTTGAAGGCGGAGATTGCCGCTATCCACGCCTGGACGCCCAAATGCTACACCCCGGAGCAGTGGCAGGCGCTGCAGCAGTAAAGAATTCGGGATCGATGGGTGGAAGGAAAGAGACTGTGGACCGTCTTGTCCTATAATGCAGGATCGGACGGTTTGGTATGATATATGATACTGATATATCCTGGGTTGTTACGGCATGCTCGCGACAGCATGCGACCAGGCGTTGAAGGATTGGCTTCTCTATGTACATTGTGTGGATCTGCAGCGGACAGTTATTTGATCCGTTGCTGGCTTATATAGAATTTGATTACGGGTAACCAATAATTTACCCAATATTACAAGGTCCTTTCTTTCCCAGATATACCACGTCCAGGTGCTCTGCTTTCCGGAACAGTTTACGATGTCTACAGCACCGTTGCAGGGGTACAGTTCATGCTAATATAATCCAGTTCAGGCTTATCATTCCATCCAATTTGCCATGGCACAACATCCATCAATATACCTATCAATTTACTAGATCTCTCCGCCCCTCTTCTTCTTGTTGGGGTTTGAGATGAGACATTGATATATTCCGAACTAATGTCGAAGAGCTCCATCACTAAGCTGGGTGGCACCTGCCGTGTTGAGGGCATGGCGTTGTTTCCTTTTACGAAGACAGTGTCTCTCAGATCAGCCACATCGATTGGTGGATATGAATTCTATCGTATGCTGACAACCCAGATGACTGAGACTGTGTGTTAATGTACTATGTCCCCAAACTGAGGAGGCTTCTGATCAATGCTCTTCCTTCTTCCATCGAACACAGTCTGCTTAACTGGTATATTGCGATGTAGTCGAGCTGGAAATCATAGAACGCAAAATAAACCATTAATTTGCATTTGTTATTTGATTGAGTGGAAAATGACCCAGAAAGCCAGCAAAAGACCTGTTTTTGCCACCTAGTCCTTACTCACAGCGCGTAAAGTAGACCGAGGTAGTGGATATGGCCGTTATAACAACTAGAAATGATTTCTTATAGATGGCCCATTCAGTAATGTTGATCATTGTCGCACTCAACAGTTCGGCCCTTACAAAGGCCAAATGTGTCATGGCATCTTTTGTAACCGAGTAGTAATCCTTCCCTTAACTTGCAACAATGCTGAATAGACTATGATTCTGAACCTGTAGGTGTCAATGGGCTCATTTATTAAAACTAGGGAAGAAGCGATTTTCTTAACTTTCATTGAAGTAATCGAAAAAAAAAAAAAAAAATTTGAGGACATTCTACCAAAGACTGGAGGAAACTTCCCAGTAATCCAGAAGACACCTGCCAACAAGGCGTCCAGATGGATATTAAGCGTGTTTCATGAAGACATTCACTTGAAGAAGACGTACAAGATGACACCTAATCTCAGCCATCGTTATACCATAGAATGGTGATAATCTTCCAATAGAAGGTAAGCCACATGCATGCTCGATTTTCAGATATACCTCGATATAGATAATTTGAGCCAATCACATCCCGTAGTTCATCAAACACACGTGATAATACTGTACTAGGCCCAGAACGGACTAGTTCGGAAATCGCGCGTCTCCGAAAAAGAAAAAAAGTTGAAAATTAAAATACGATCTCCGCAATTGACACCAACATCTTATCTTTTCTCCCACTTCCCTACAATACCCTTAATATACGGTCCGCGCCTTTTGGACGGACTCACACACAATATGGGCAAGAAATCAAAGTCCCAGTCGGCTGCTAACCTGGAGTCGGGGAATGCCTTGTTCTCCGGGAAGACCGCCGTCGACCCTACTCTTGCGTCGCTGTTCGACCAAAGCGTACGAATCCAGTTTCTTTTGTCGCGTGGATGATTTGCTAATGTCTTTTTCAATCTGTAGGCTGGTCCCGTGAAGGAACCCACGATCCCCGAAATCACTCCCCGCGCATCGTCTAAGCGCAGCAAACATGAGGTGGAAAACGACGAGGAAATCTCCGAGCCGGAAGACGGTGAATCCATTGGCGGAGATGACGACGACGAAGTCATGGGGGAGGCGCCCGAATCCCCCAGTGATGCAGACAGCGATCGAGCCGCAGCAGCAGCCGAAGCACCGAGCCGGAAACGCAAGAGGGCGACGACCGACGACCTCGAAGACTCTTACATGCGTCGCCTAGAGAAGGAGGAGCAAAAGTCCGTGGAGAAGCGTCGCGCCGAGCAGACCAAGCAACAGAAGAGCGGCTCTGACGAGGAGAGCGGATCTTCCGACGGCTCCGACGAAGATGAGAGCTCCGATGAGGCAGCCACGGCCCCTCCGAAACACGAAAGCCACGCGGGCGACGCCTCGGAACTCGACAAGTCCAACAGAACCATCTTTTTGGGCAATGTCTCCACCGAGGCTATCAAGTCGAAATCCGGCAAGAAAACCCTCATGAGACATCTGGAGTCTTTCCTCTCCTCGATCCCCGAGTCTACGGGCCCTCACAAACTCGAGTCCCTCCGATTCCGGTCCACTGCGTTTGCTAGTGGCGGAAAGGTCCCCAAACGCGCAGCCTTTGCCAAGCAGGAGCTTCTCGATGAAACTACGCCGAGCACCAATGCGTATGCGGTCTATAGCACAATTCAGGGTGCGCGGAAGGCACCTCATGCTTTGAACGGAACCGTCGTCCTGGACAGGCATCTGCGGGCGGACAGCATTGCGCATCCCGCCAAGGTCGACAACAAGCGCTGTGTCTTCGTCGGTAATCTTGACTTCGTGGACGTCGAGGGCGATACGGAGGAGAAGAAGAACAAGAAACGGGCGCCGGCCGACGTCGAGGAGGGGCTCTGGAGGACCTTCGACGCACACACGGGCGGCTCGAAAGACCAGAAATCCAAGGTCAACAAGTGCAGCGTCGAATCCGTGCGCGTCGTCCGCGACCGCCTGACGCGCGTCGGAAAGGGATTCGCCTACGTTCAGTTCCACGACCCGAACTGCGTGGAGGAAGCGCTCCTCCTGGATGGGAAGAAGTTCCCCCCCATGCTGCCGCGGAAGCTGCGCGTGACGCGCGCCCGGAAGATGATGAAGAAGCGAGAGGATGCGGGCAACGGCCGGCAGACCGAGGCAGCCAAGACACTCCAGGGTCGGGCCGGCCGGCTTTTCGGCCGGGCTGGCGCGGCACAGCTGAAGTCGGATGGGCAGAGAACGATCTCGGGGAATTCGGCGGTCTTCGAAGGTCAGCGGGCGACGGAGGGCGACTCGAACCGGCTCCGGGTGAAGACCAAGAGTCGGGGTTCCAAGGGCTCCAAGGGCAAGCCGAACAACCGGAGCAGCAAGCGGGCTGCTGCGTACCAGGCAGCCGGTGGGAGGCAAGCGAAGGTGAAGGCGTAGGGGTATTATATCTTTATATAGGAGTGTATCTTTGGCGCGTGTCTCAACCACATGGAAATATCATTTACGGTCTCAGTGGATAATCATCATCGGTTCGTCTCGTATACTCGTAGTTCCATAATTGTTAATACCTCAGGCATTAAGTTTGTTAATGCCTTAGGTTCGTATGACGTCATCCCAACTATTCCCAAAAACAGTCCCCGCAAATAGGAACATGGACTGGTCTAACTGATCTCCTCCCTCTAGGTGAAACTAGGCCATTGGCATATCTTACTATAACATTGAGATAACCATATCAAAACAAGACCAGTACGCAAGACGCCCAACTACTTTTTCCGCGTCGCAGATCAGCACAGCTGTGTAGCCTAGTCTAGACCCCGCTCCCGGCGCCAGAAGCTAAGCTACAGTAAGCCATCTCAAGCCCGGAAACAACCCCCCGCATCCTCTTCCTGCATCTCCAACAACTGTATACTACTATCCTCATACAAGAATCCCACCCCACACTATCAACAATGATGCGCCGATTCGCTCACCGCGACCGCACACCCAACCAAAACGACGATGCCGCAACGTCGGCCGATGACGCGGATGTCAGCCCCGACAACAACCAATACTACCCGAGTTTGGAAGATGTGCTGAAGACGCGCTATATCCTGTCATGGAAGATCGTTCCTGAGGGCCTGCCTTCGGAGATTGTCGACATGATCGTCGATGCGGCGGAGTATTGGCCGTCGACGGTGACGCGACTGCAGAAGAAGATGGTGGTGCATCAGGATCGGGACGCTGTGGTCGTGGTAACGCAGCCGCTTTGCTATGATGAGACGGTATGTACCCCCATTTCATGGATTGATCTCTTGCTTTACCCATTCATTTGCACTATAACAAAGATGAACGTAAATAAAGGTTAAGCAAGAAAGCTAAAGATAAAAAAAATAAAGAATAAAAAGACACAAGAAAACCCCACCCCAAAGCCACGCCCACACCGAACCATCCACCCCTGCCGCAAGATCGTCTTTACAATAGACAGCCGCGACCAAGGCTGGGGCGGCGGCCGACGAACTACACCCTACGAAGGCTCCTTCACGTGGTTCGACGTAGACGTGATGCATTCCGCAGAGCAGCGCGCGCCAGACGCCCCGGGACCAGAGTTCCACCCACCACAAGGCGGCTTCCAAAACGACGCCCCGCTTCTCCTTCCAAATGCCCATAAACTGCAGTGTAACAAGACAGCTGTGGGCGAGACGCAGCGTCATGTTGTCACGTGGCACTATCAGGACTGTATAGAAGAGGACTCGGTGGAGGCGGAGGAGATTGCGACTGAAACGGGGAGGGGGTGCGCTACGCTCGATGGGAAAACGGTGCGGGAACTTGAGGTGGGCGATGCGCTGGTGGTGTGGGCGCGCGCGAGGTTTGGAGGGTGGTCGAATCGCGTGTATGGGTTTTGGGTGAGGACTTTTTGGGCGGTTTGACTTTGCCCCGTGTTCTTCTATGTATCTCTTTTCTTTTCCACCTTTGTCTTCTGAGATGACTAAACAGTACCCTCTATGCCCTCAAGACTATGACGAGTCGTTAACGCGAGAGATAGATAAGGGGATGACCGAACAGTGCAATTTTCATTCAAGCTGGTATGTTAAATTCTAGGTAGTCTCCGGTATATTATATGCTTCCGTAAAGCATACAGTGTCATCGTCAGGTTCTATGAGGTAGCAACTTCTTATCTGGTCATCATTGCGTGTTTTGACAGGCTTTCTATGGCAGCTTCGATGCTTTAGTAATATATTCTCTATTCACTCTACAAGGCTATTAGATAGAACTAGTCACGTATTGTGTACTTCTCAGAAAGGGAAAGGGACAACTTATTAGTGACAGTCTTGAAGAACATAGTGGCTTGACACCTGTAAAACAAGGGTTGATATTCATCGAAACAATTACACTAGCAAAGAAGACATTGGGGACATTGAAATAACAAGATCGTAATCGTTGATTATGATGTATTTCACAAGATCTCAAAATCTTGTATCTAAGAGAATATAATGGATTCAAAGAGTTCTTATACTAAAGAAAGTATAGAGGCCTATACAGTCACCCTTACAATCGGGATACTAACCTGCTTGTACCTAATCCATAATGGAAGAATATACACTGGCTAGTAGTAGATGTAGTTAGATTGCTATAAAGAAGGTCCGTCCCAGCTAGTCTCTATAGGTCTGGCACATTATTCTCGCATAGTCAGGTAGAATGTATGAGAGTAAGCTATTCTTATCTCAAACTAAGATAGAGACAGTGGATCAAGAGTGGGTCCCCGGCAGGAATAGAAGCGTCCAGGTTGCTGAGTGGGACCGATCAGGACGGAAAGGACTGGTTATTGTATATTTGACATTGACAGTATGGTATTATCCCTGTTGATCATGGCCTCTATTTCGGCTGTCTTACTTGTAGTTTCAACTTGCTTGGTTGCTTAACAGTCATTTTCAGTTTTTGAGATTGTCTAGTCTCCATCAACAGATTAGAATGGATCAGACACATTAATTAGATAACGGAAGATAGAGACAACCACGGTTGGAGATAATTGAGCGTGTGGCTGTTAAAACGTGGTCTGTAGTATGTGAGTATTAGAGTTGGTATAAGAGTCAATCCTCCAAGGCTACCTACCTACGTCATGGTATACTTGCGTATCTTGGCTAGATGAGTTCTAGTCGCTTGATCCCTACCCAATCTAACATGATTGACCATTTATCTTGAACCTTTCAACCAAGCTGAACATCGTACTAATCTAGGTAGCATATTGAACGTTCGCATGCCGCCAGAGTGGAAAGATAACCGTGGTTCAGGAGTATATGATGTCGGGGATAGTGCGGAGTCAAATTGATCGGCCGGATCCACCGCGAGTTCTCCGAGTGAGTCGCCGACTTGTGTCCCAATCTGGCAAGTCCACTGCCTGAGGCCCCAAGCCCCTCGTGATAACCTCATTCTGGGACGGGATCACGCCATGGCGCCAAGGACCCCATCGCAATCTTCGTCGCCGGAATATAAGGAACTTCCTCCTCTTGTCTTCTTCTTCTTCTTCTTCTTCGTGATGAGCTTTACTTTGCTTCGTCGATATACGCAATTCTTTCGACAATGACCTTTGGTGGGATCAATCTCGTCATCGCCATCTACCACACCCCTTCACCATGACACCATCATGAATGCTTCCCCTCCTTCACCATGAGACCGCACGGCCGACACAAAGCGGCCAGCCGGGGTGGGGCCGGGGCTCCTGATTGCGCAACTGGCACTCTATGCTAAATCCAGACAAGATAACCCTGGTCGCCGTCTCGCCCGAGAGGGTGCCTTGGTTGCAGGTCAGTCGCCGGTCAACCAGAACTGCCACGGTCAGGAATGCCCGCCCGTCCATTGTCATTCGTCAACCTTGCGGCCGATTCCTGGTCTCTCCCGCCTTCTCTCCGCCAAACATCCAATTTCCAACCGGCGATTGAATTTCTGTCGCCGAAGATAACGCCGGTCATGCGTTTACATCCCCGGCTCCATCTTGAGACTCCCTTAAATTCAGGCTCCTCTCTTCCATGCTCTCCGCTTTCTCCTCTCGCCAGTTTTTTCCGTTTGCCAACTGTCATTTTGGGTCGTTGTATACTTAATTTCTCGAATTCGACCAATCCATTCTCTACCGATCGTCCGTTCTTCTACCACTCTACGAATCAGATCGCGAAAATGAGTGCACCACAGAGATGTGCTGCGGTCGTGGTAGGATCCGGTCCCGCGGGTCTCGCGGTCATGGGGAATCTGTTGGAGAGACAGCTCAGCGGGAAGATTGCCTGGATCGATCCCTCGTTCCAAGGAGGTCGCGTAAATCGGAAGTATCGTGAAGTTCCTAGGTGAGTCACCGGTTGTTGGTTTGAGGAGATCCCGAAGGAACGCCTGCTGACCGCTTCTTCAGCAACACCAAAGTTGGGCTCTTCCAGGCATATGCCACCGCCGTCCAGCCCTTCCGTTCCGTCATCGACAGCACCCCCGCCCCCAACCCCTTCACCACCATGGCCAAACTTGACCAGGAGAAAACCTGCCATCTGCACCACGCGGCCGACATGATGCGCGCCCTCACGGACGGGGTCGTCAAGATGGAGCAGGTGTACGCCTGCCGAGGCATGGTCACAGCCGCCAACCAGGCCGCAAACGTGAGTGATCGCCCCTAGAACCCGTCCTTTGTATCTCAACTAACATGCGACAGACCGGTTCCTGGACGGTACGCATCCACCGCTCAGACTCCCAGGATGACGTCGAGATTATCACGCCCCAGCTCATCCTGTGCACGGGATCCTCCCCGACCTTCTTGCCCATGCCCGAAACGGCATCCCCCCTGCAGAGGCTGGACCTCGACATGGCATTGAAGCCAAGTGACCTGGCGGCTTTCCTCCCTCGGGACATGCCGCTGACGATCGGCGTGGTGGGGGCCTCCCACAGCGCCATTCTGGTGCTGCTCAACCTGGTGGACCTGGCGCGCAGCTCGCACCCGCAGCTGCGCGTGAAGTGGTTCACGCGGCACGGGATGCGGTACGCCGAGTACAAGGACGGGTGGATCCTGCGCGACAACACGGGACTCAAGGGTCTCGCGGCGGACTTCGCACGTACGCAGCTGGAAGACGCCATGCTGCCCACCTCCGAAGCCGGCCAATTCATCACTAAGATCGACTGCAGCGGCGGGCAAGAAACCGCGCAGTACCAGAAGCACCTGCCGTCGTGCTCGTACCTGGTGCAAGCCGTGGGGTACACGCGGGACCCGCTGCCGGAGCTGACGGTCGACGGTGCCGAGCTGACGCCGGAGTTCGACCACGAGTCGGGCAACTTCAAGAATGCCCAGGGCCACCTCATCCCGGGCTTGCACGGCGCGGGCGTCGCGTTCCCGGAGCGGGTGGTCGACCCTTATGGGAACGTGGAGTATGCGGTGGGATTTTTCAAGTTTATGAAGTTCCTGCGCCGGGTGTGTCCGCAGTGGACGTCGTAATTTCTTTCCTACCTTTTTTTTTTTTCGGGTTTTCCTGGGTTTTGGCGTTGCATCGCGGATATAGGATCCGCTGTCATGATGGTATGACTGGTATTATTATACTTCCTCTGGTTAGGAACTGTGATTATTAATACTGAACTATTTTACACTGGATTTTATATCCATTCTTCTATAAGCGTATACTGAAGGGAGTCCTAGGATGGACTGGTGCGGATCATAGCCATAGACGAACTCGGTAGTATTATCCGCGGTCTACCTGGCGGTTGGCGGCTGGCGGCTGTCATCGGCATAAACATTCAGATTGAATAAGCGGGGCAAGAATGGTTTTGGAAATGCTACACCTAGAGGTTAGACTTATTATCACTTCTCACCCAAAGTCTATTCTTGCCATTACGTACATGCACTACAAAACTCAAAACTCGCTAACATACCTAGCAAGGCAAGTAGTGAGTGGGTAGACAGGCAAACCGGTTATAAGATCCCTACCCTCTGATCTACTACCTAGGTAGCTGACCACGGCTTTGATTGCCATTCCATTGCCATTGCTATTGCTATAAATTGATTACTGACACAATAACCCCTGCCTAGGTACTAGGTAGGGGTAGAGGTAGACAGGTAGATACATACCCCCCACACCTAAAGAAAAAAAGCCGAGGCATTTCCCAACTCGGTTCATGACTAATGACCCTCGGGAGAGGCCGGGAATAAAAAAAAGAGGTTCCGAAACGATCCGAGACAGGGTTGAAAATGGCTCATACTTACTATGGACTGTAGGCTGTGCTGTAGTTCTCTGGTCAATGTTGGTTCAGTTGTTATTATTCTTTTTGAGCTCTTGGTATCTACTTGAGTGTGCTGGATAGAGATGCGGGATATACCTAGTAGTGGGGATTGACTAACTGAAATGGTTGACGGCTTGGAGCTGTCAGATTAATCATCCGTGACCGAAGAAATGCCTCTGCCTATGGGGAATTACGTATTGCAAAATATAGCCAGAAGGAGGATACAAATACTGTCCAATGATCGCATACGACACCTTGGCAGTTTGTCCCATAGTAAACTGGAGGAGTAAGCTGGAGGAGAGAGATCACTAGGTAGGGGGAGGTCTGGAGCGCTAAGATATCAAAATCACAAGATAGAAGATTCACATGTGAGATCAGCCTCAGATCTATTTTATGATTACTCGGGTCAATTGGATCAATGGTAGTTCCTGCATAATGATCTATTCTATGTTGATGTCGTGACTATACTTTAGTACCTAGAGTGTACTATTAGCAGGAAGTATTAGGTGGTAGTAGTAGCTATAGGCAGATATCAGTCATACATGGCACTCTCCTTGGATAATGAACAACCTCACCTGTCTCCCTCTCTCTCTCCCTTTGAATTTATGTAATACCTGTTTCCTTGGCTCCTTTCTATTACTTCATCTTAAGTAAAATATGTGCTATGTTGAAGCACACGCGACATTTCCAGCCCTGGCTATTGCTAATACTGCGTCTCTCCACCTATCAGAAGCCCCAGTTCTTGTTTTCCCTTTTTTCTGTTTAATTTTAATTTCTTTTCTCCAGTTATTCCCTCATTTTCCTTTCTCATTTTCCTCGTTTCTTTTTTCCTTCTTTTTTTTCTCTTTTCTTTTCTTTTGATCTTTCTTTCCCCGCGTTCAACCCTCCCAGACTCTTATCCTCCCCCTCCCTCCGCATTGGTATCCCATATACCTAATTCCAACTACCGACCCTCACATTCCTGTTGTCTGGAACTCTCACCCACTTCTCGTCTTCTCCTCTCCTCTTTCTTATTGCGACGTTTTCGTCGTGTTCTTCTGTCTTCCCCGCAGTCCGTTTGTCGCTCCACCGACCTCTCTCCCTTTCACAGGTCAATTCAAAGGAAAAAAAAAAGAGAGACGACTGTGATCGCGTACAACCCATCCCTCGTTCTTCTATTCTGCTATATTGATTGATTGATTTATTCATTTGTAAATCTTCTTCTACTTTCCCTTGGATCCTCTTTATTTTTCCCTCTATTTGATTCCATTTTTCCAATCACCTGCATTGGGGGATCCATCCATCCGAACCTCCCAAACGTCCCTCGGTTCCGTCGCGCGCTGTCATACCTCGTGGTTTTCATGCGCTCGGACCGCAAGACATCATCCTCTTCTTACCTCCCTCTTCTTCTCTTACCACAATACCTAGAGACGCCTCTATCCATTCTCGATCTCGACTCTTCCCCTACCTCTCCCCCGTTCCCTCCCTGACCCGCCGAGGTTGTCGCGTGGGACCAACTACGCAGGTGGCAAGCCGTGAAACGTAAATCTCACGACGGACCCTCCCTTTCTTTCTTCCCCCTCCCTCTTTCCTCCCCTTCGCGATCGCCCCCCCAGGGTCTCCATTTTCATGTCAACATGAAGGCGGATTCGGAGGATACCAGTGTGTCGGCCCCCGAGGCCGATCGCGGTCAACTGGACCTCGTGCCCAACGGAGACCCCGCCCCGCGGAAGGATTCCAAGGACGAGGCAAATGGCGCAACGGCGCCGGCGCCCAAACCGAACCCGAAAGATCCCTCTCGTCCCCGGAGGAAAAAGGCGCGACGGGCCTGTTTTGCCTGTCAACGGGCGCATCTGACTTGCGGTATGCGATCCTCTTTACCCCCCATCCTTGTTGCGCGCATCGTGAGTGCCGAAAGAAGATGTGATGTGGATCGGAGCTGACAGAATTGGACTAGGTGACGAACGACCGTGCCAACGATGCATCAAACGGGGCCTCCAAGACGCCTGCCACGACGGAGTTCGCAAAAAGGCCAAGTATCTGCACGACGCGCCCGACGGCGCCTTGATGCCTGGCATCCGCGGCAATTTCTACAACAATCACAGCAATAACAACCATCCCTTACGCAATAACCTCCCCCTCTCTCGCAACAGCGCCAACGCCGTCAATGCGAGCGCCCCCCCGAATGCAACCGCCAACTTCTACCCCACCCCGCAGTCGACCACTCATAATGTCTACCAGGAGAACTCTCTCAACCAGAACCCGTTTCCCTCCCAGTCGCCCGTCTCTCCCACCTTTTCCATGAAGGCGAACCCCACCGCCCGACACAACAGCATCTCCTCCGCCAGCCACCCGCCTCCCAACCCGGGCGTGTCGGGCGCACCCGGTCAGAACCAGAATCCGTTCGCGGGAGCCCTGTTCGACCCCAGCGATCCGGCCCTCTTCAACTTCGACCTGTCCAGCATGAACTTTGAGAATCGCTATGGTGCCCTTGAGTTCAGCATGCTGGGTCACATGGCTACCGGCGCGGGGGACTCGCCCAGCGACTCGACCACCCAGCGCGGATCCATGGGGCGGAGTGGCTCGGCGCAGTTCTCCGCCAACCCGGTCACGGGCGCGCCGTTTGGTGAAAGTCCCGGGACCCAGCAACCGTTCATGTTCGGCGATCCGCTGCTCAACGAGTGGCCCGGCGGGCAGCCGCCCGGCCCCTTGGGTGTCGGCGGGGTGTACCCGCCGGGACAGGGCAGCGTCATCCCGGGGCATCTGTCCAAGCCGGATGCGCCGCACGCGTTTGCCATCGAGAGTGGCTCGGCCAATTTCAACAGCCCCGGGGCTACCACCACCACAACCAGTCCGCAGGTCCCGACGTCCGGGTTCGAAGACCCGCTGTTTCACCCCGCCATCGCCCACAAGGCGAACGGCCTGGGGAACCCGCACGGGCAACGGCCGTCAATCGCGGCGCCCAACCTCAAACCCCCGACGTTACCGGGGGGACCGCGACGTCGCCAGCAAAATCCCTCAGCCATCTACGAGAGCGTCAAAGAACCGTACGCCTACACCAACCGCTTCCACAACTTAACCGCTTTTATCCAGCGACGCTTCACCCCGCAAAAGACGTTACGGATCGCCAAGGCGCTGGCGTCCATTCGGCCGTCCTTCATCGCCACGACGAAGACGCTGAACCGCGACGATTTAATTTTCATGGAGAAGTGCTTCCAGCGGACACTTTGGGAGTACGAGGATTTCATCAACGCGTGCGGCACGCCAACGATCGTCTGCCGGCGGACGGGCGAGGTCGCCGCCGTCGGCAAGGAATTCAGCATCTTAACCGGGTGGAAGAAGGACGTGTTACTGGGGAAGGAGCCGAACCTGAACGTCAACACGGGGGGATCCGGGTCCGCATCCTCGTCGGGTGCGTCATCCCGCAGCTTCACGCCGCGGGGGGCACCAGGCGACACCACGGCACCCGGCCGACCGCAGCCGGTCTTCCTAGCAGAGCTGCTCGACGACGACAGCGTGGTGGACTTCTACGAAGACTTTGCGCGACTGGCGTTTGGCGACTCGCGCGGCAGCGTGATGACGACGTGCAAGCTACTCAAGTACAAGACGAAGGAGGACATGGAGGTACAATCGGATGACCACCAGCGGTGGAACAGCCATCTCCGTAAGGGGGGGATCGCCAGCGAGGCGGGGATGAACCAGTTGGGGTTCAAGGATGGGAAGGTCGAATGCGCGTACTGCTGGACAGTGAAACGGGACGTGTTTGACATTCCGATGTTGATTGTGATGAATGTATGTTCCTCCTTTTTTTTTTTTTTTTTTTTTGGAGATTGTGACTGACTGACGGTGACAGTTCCTCCCCTGCATTTGACCGACTGTCAGGACTGTATGATGTGGTGATGATCTTCCTTTATTTTCTTTCTATCGTGGTTACGATGTAATCGGTTCGGTACATACCCCGAGATCAAAACGGTCTGCTGTTTCAATCTTCTTGCACCTCCTGTTCCTTTTCTGGTCCTTTCCCAGTTGGTGACCTCTGGGTATTTGAATAATGATTCCCAATGGAGCTTGTACATCTTTTCTTTCTTTCTTCATTGCAGTTTCTCTTCTTGTGAATATCATTGACGGTCTGGTGGGATTACGGCCTTATTGAGTACTAGTGTATGACGTGAATACATGATTGACTCACTACCATCTATCTCCATTGCTTCCTCGTTCTGTCTATGGACTCCACCTATCGGTATATGTATCGACTAGAAACCAACATCGCAAAGTATCACCATTTGCCAAAATGCGGGGTAGCCATACAATCGGATCTGATCGACGGTATCTGTAGGTCTAGACTGGAATGGGTTAGATTATATAGAGGAGTTGCATAATCATGTAACTTATATCATCCATAATCGTCTATGTTTTCTCATCTCAGATATGTCTATCATTCTTACTATCTGGTTAAAGATCATCTCTTTCAATGCAAGCTGAGGCCATGCCAGTTGCTGGTGCCGAATTACACACCAATCACACTACCTGAGCTTATCAAGTGGATCCATCTAAATAATGGACCATAGATGCAAGTCAAGTCAACATCCACTATCCGTACCTCCGCCCAACATTTCCTCCTCCTCCTCTCCTCACAATCAACCAACCAACCAAATAAATCACCCCTTACCAACCCTGGAGTCGAAGGAGGGAAAAAAATGTCCCGCTCCTTCACAGGCTGCAAAAGATGTAAAGCCCGCCGTCAGAAATGCGACGAGCAACGTCCCGCCTGCACCCGTTGCGCCACAGCCAACGTCCCCTGCCGCTACACCATGCAGCTGCAATGGGGAGGGCGGGCGTTTTCGCGCTCGCGGTTCGGCGCGTGTATGGACAACGGAGGTATGCAACGGCTGGAGTATTCCCCGGGGGAGTTCATCTATACTACCGAGTCTGCCGCCACCGAGCAGTCGCTTTTCGCTGGGAAGCCCAACAGTGGCGCGACCTGGACCACCACCGCCGCCGCCAGCCCAATACAATCGCAAAGCCTATCGCGATCTATCGACCCGTTCTCCAATCTCTCCACAGACCAAAGGTCCCTCCTGCATCACTTTCTTCGCGATGCGTCGCAGATCACAGCCTGTCACCCTAACATGCGCCACGAGATCTGTCAAATGCTGGTCCCCCGCGCGCTACAGACCCCGTCTCTGCTATACGCCACGCTAGCACTATCAGCCATCCACCTACAGGCGTTGCGCAGTCAATCTGACAACGTCAAGTCCGCCCCGCACATCGCCCGTCTGGTCGCATTGAGTCTAGAGCATTTTCGCACGGAGCTGCAGATGACTCCCCAGGGTAAGGGATCTTCTGATGTCCTGCTCGCAACAGCCCGCACACTCTGTCTAGCGGAGATACACTCCGGCGCTATTCATCCTCACTCGTGGCGCGCCCATATCGAGGGCGCCAGGGCGTTGATGGTTGCGACTGAGACATCGTCTGCAGAAGGAGAGGGAGAACAAGAGGGGGAAGGAGAGTTCCGTCGTTATCTCGATAGATGGCATCGGTCTATTGTCTCGTTGACTGCGTTGACGGGTAATGGGCCGCCTATTGGGGAGGTGGATGATGTGGGTGAGTTGATGACGGAGGATAGTCCGGATTATCTAGATGATTATTGGGGGTTTACGGTTCGGCTGGCTGCTGTTTTTAGGGGGATTGGGGGGGTTGCGTGGCGTGCCCGACAAGGGGCTTTTTCGACGACTAAAGTGGGTGGTGGTGATGTGGGCTGTGAGACTGGTAAAATAGAAGAACAAGATGCAGACCACGATACAAAGCAACATCCAGCCCGTGGTACAAAGCAAGCTGAAGAGCAAGATACAGACCACGATGCAAACCACGATACACACCAAGGTCCAGACACAGCTACAGACACGCCTACAGACACACCTACAGACCCAACAATCTTACACGAAACCAACACCCTCGAATCCACCCTCCACAACCTAATCTCCCAAACCACCACCTCCCCACCAACCTTCTACCCCGGCGTCGCCCCCCGCCTATCAACAGAATGCACCCACCAACTCACCCTCTGCAACACGGCCTTCCAACACAGCGCCCTCATCCAAATCCACCGCCGCCTCCACCGCACCCCCTCCTCCTCCTCAACCGTGCAATCCTCCGTGCAACGCATCCTAGCCTGCACAGCCGAGATCGGCCCCGCCCCAGGCCTCAGCCCGTGGGTTCTGCTTACGACGCCGCTGTTCATTGCGGGGTGTGAGGCGCGTGGGAAAGATAGGGAGTGTGTACGACGACTATTGCAGCAGCTGTATGAGACTATTCGCGTGCCGAATGTGGTGCAGGCGTTGCGGTTTTTGGAGATGTATTGGGCGGGGAGGAGGGTGGATGAGGACGAGGGGTGGAATGAGTTTTTGGGTATGTTTCTCCCCCTTTATCCTGTTTTATATATATGTATATACATATATGAAGATGTGCTAACATACCCAGACCGCATGAATATAGACTTCATCCCTTATTAACTATACTATCAACCCCGGATTATTGATACTCTTGGGCTTAGACCCCAAGGGAGGAGTATCACGGATGGATGGAAATGACTAACGTTAGCGATTGATACCAGGAGCTGTTATGTTTTTTATCTATCTGTTTTTATTGTTCATACTGTGTTCATATACGAGTGTATACGGAGTATATTGCTGAACTTATCAGTTTAGACAGAATACATATGGGTTAGTATGTCAAACATTGTACGTTAACCATGTTAGGCTACAGCTGTGTATAGTTTGTCTGTTGATATTTAGATATTTTATGTCATGTGGTGTGTACATGCACCTAGCTTTGTGTATAGTTGCTCGGAACGGATTCAATTATGGATATTACGGCTTGTTAGACATATGTTTATCGTTTCTAGGCGTTGTGATCTTCCTTGCTGTACCTGTAAACCTACAAGCTATACGCACATAGACACATACCATTACCAGGTGGAATAGTAGTGCGTACCTGTATGTATAATCTGAAATTCTTTGAGCAGGCTCGGCCAGTAAGTGTTATGTATGATATCTTTTACAAACAACTAAATCTTGAGAGGCTACCAGTAAACCAGCGCTGAACACAGAAAGGAAAGGCCATATGTTAAATCCCACTTAATGAATAGGTGGAGACTGCCCAGCCGCAGTGGCGACTGGAAAGACTAGCATGAGACTTGAGTTCATGAGAGCTTATATAGACCCACCAATGTGGATCGAGATTGGATGAGATCGATCTTCTTGTGGGGGCACTGAATCGTGCATGCCATTACTGATACCGACTCAAGTAAGCTAGTTATACCTTACGCGTTCTTAGTAGCCCAGGCTGAGCTGAAGAATGGAGACCCAATCTCAGTTTACAAATATTTAATATCCCAGCTGGCGATCTGCTGATCCTCTTCAGCTGGCTATAAAGTAGCCCATAGTGTCAATCTAGAGAGGAGCATCGTGTCCTTCAGATCCTGCTTGTTCCTTGTATCGAATACCAGAACTATTCCCAGAATGCGTCAGACAGTACCACATTCACATGCGCAAAATCCAGACCATCCCCTGCGCAAGATCTGCGTAATGGGCGCTGGTCATGTTGGTCAGTCCCCCTGCTTGACGAGCCTGATCACGACTTAACACCGCGACTAGGTACCAGCACATCAGCCGTCCTGGCATACCGAAACCCCTCGTGTGAGGTCAAGGTGGTGGATGTAAACAGGGACCGAATCTCAGGATGGAACTCCTCCAGCCCGCCGATCTTTGAGCCTGGCCTTCAGGAGATGCTGGCGGAGGTCAGCGCTGGCTCGGGCATATTCAAGGACTCGGCATACTTTCGTGAATTGACTTCACTTCGTGAGCTCCATGGTGTCGAGGAAGCCGGGGCTGAAGACATTGAAGACGAGCCTCGAGCGCCGAACTTGACGTTTTCCACTGACATTGCTGAGGGGATTGCGGAGGCAGACGTTGTGTTCATATGCGTTGATACTCCGGCCCACGTCAATCTTTCTAGTGTCGATCATTTCGACATGGACTTGACTAGGCATGATGGCGCTCTCAGGATGATCGCGGAGAGCGCGGTGGGCCATACTGTTGTCGTTGAGAAAAGCACCGTTCCCGGCGGCACGTCGCAGCGCTCTGCAGATTTTGTAAGTCAATGAACATATCCAAATGATCTTCCAGCGCCTAACAAGATACAGCTCGCGGACTACGCCACGCCAGAGAAGTCCTTTACCGTCTTGTCGAACCCGGAATACCTCGCGCAAGGAACCTCAATCAGCGATATCATGTACCCAGACAGAGTCATAATCGGATTCACCCAGGACGACCCAGCCGCAAAGGCCGCTTCCGAGGCTCTAGCCAATCTCTACATCCCATGGGTACCGTCAAACCGCGTCCTCACCATGTCTCTTTTCTCCTCGGAGCTGACCAAGCTCGCGCACAACGCCTTCCTCGCGCAAAGAGTAAGCAGCATCAACGCGCTCAGCGCCATCTGCGAAGCCAGCGGGGGCGACATCGCCGATGTATCCCGCGGGCTAGGGATGAACGCCCGCATCGGATCGAAATACCTACAGGCCTCGTTCGGCTTCGGCGGAAGCTGCTTGGTGAAAGACACCGCCAGTCTGGCGTATCTTGCCCGCAGCCTCGGACTCACGGAGCCATCCGACTACTGGAAACACGTGCTCTTGTTGAATGAACACCAGAAAGGTCGATTCGCGGAGCGGGTCGTCACTCGACTGGGTGGTGCGCCCCTTCTTCACCGGGAACGAATCGCGGTGCTTGGCTTTGCGTATAAGAAGGAGACGAGAGATACGCGGGGAACGCCAGCTCGGGACGTCGTGCTGCGACTGCTGAAGAGCGGCGCTTCGGTTGCCTTGTATGATCCGTATGCCTCGATGACGCAGATACAGACGGAGCTGGGAGGTCAATCTTCCGAACCCTTGGTCTCCGCCACCCTACAGAATGACCTGACGGTATCTCCGTCAGTTTACGACGCCTGCCGTGACGCTAGGGCTGTGGTTGTTCTGAACGAGATACCGGAACTGGACAATCGAAATGCGCCAGGCTCGAACGGCGCAGATGGCGTTTCGACCAGGCGGAATGCGGGATCTGTCGTCTGGGACCGAATAGCGGAGAATATGCGCGAGCCTCGATATGTGTTTGATGGTAAAGGTTTCGTTGATAGCAGGGGTTTGGAACAACAGGGGTTTATCGTCGAGGTCGTTGGGCGGTAGTTGATATGGATTATGGTTTTGCATATCTCTCGCAATGATACTGAGGCGTCTTGGGGTTTTTATAACCGGCTAGATATATGCAGCTAGCTTTTGTGGGATTGTTCATGTCTGAGTGTACGAACGTGAGCCCGTTCAATGTCTCATTGCGTTACCAATGATATCGGCCATTACAGTATATCTTGACGATAGTAGATAGACAATCCCTTACGCTAATACGATGGCTACATCGGTAGAAGGGAACCCATGCACAAACAACACACTCCAATACACAACAACCCTCGAAGCAGCCATCGAGGAATAAACCCACAGGCAAAGCAAGAGATAGGATTACCTCACTCTCCCCCTCCCCCCAGCAGGAAAATTCCTCGCACTCAACAAAGCGCCCTTTACCCCCCTGATCTCCGCCCTAAAGCCCGAAATGGCATCCTCCTCCGCCTTCCCGATCCCCGTCGACTTGGCGTTCGCATCAAAACCACCCCCCGCAGAGCCGTAAACCCCGTACCCCGAGACAGACCCATACGACTGCTTGGAGTAGAGCAGTCCGTCGAGGTAGTGCTGGAGGTCGTTGAGGCTAGACCGGACGTCGTCTTCGGCGGTTGCGGAGTCTTGGTCTGTGGTTGTAATTTCTTGCAGGCTGTTGCGCATGCTTTCTAGGCGGGTGAGGTGGCTGTTGACTGCTGCTGTCGCTGCGGAGGGTTGATCTTGGTCTGCTGTGTTTGGAGCGTCGGAGTCGGAGTCGGCCGTCCAGAGGCCTTCTTTGGTGGGTACTTCCCCGGGGGAGGTTTGGGTTGCGACGTCGCGGTGGAAGAGCTCTGTTGGGTCTGAGGTGATGGACTCGGTGTCTTCTTCGTCTTTGTCGTCGTTGGTGGTGTTGAGGGAGCGCGCGGTGAGCTGGGGCGGGATGACGGAGACGGTCTTTTCGAGCTTTTCGTTGAGTTTCTGCAGGTTTGAGGTGGTAGTATCGGCGAGATCGTGTCGCGCGGAAGTTAATTGCGCGAGCATTGGCTTGACGAGGAACTCGCTCGCGCCGTAGAAGGTTGCGCCGAGGCCGGCAGCGCCGTAGATGGTGTAGAGGATGCTTTGGAGGGTGACTAGTGGTGGGGGCTTGGATTGCTGGACGAGGAATTCGGGGTATGTGATGATTGGGGGGACAGAGCGGGTATCTGTATTGGTGGTGTTGCTGCTGCTGCTGCTGCCGCTGGTACTACTGGTGCTGGTAGTGGGTTGGGGTGACGCAGTCGGCTGGGATGAGGTAGGCTCCGACGGGGCCGTCGCCTCGGGGTTGCGCGACACGCCCAGCAAACTGTCAATCTCTGGACCCTTCAAACCCTTGGACTCGAGGAAACTGATTTTCTTGTCGGTAGACGCATCACGAATGGATTCGTCCTCGAGGAACTTGGAAGCTTGCTCGAGGAGAGTGGACCGGGCGGGCTGGTCAGGAGTTTGAGTGTCGGTTGACGATTCGGTGTCGGAGGGTGGTTCTTGCTGGTTCTCTTTAGGTGGTTGGTTTTGAGACTGTTGCCATGATGGAATGGTAGCTTTCTTGGTGTCCGACATGGTGAAGGTTATTGTGGACTGTTGAGAGGATGATGAAGATGAGACGAAGATGAGATGAGAGACTTGAGTGAGAGAAAGTCTGGGGTTCGGCTGGCAACCTCGGCTGTATCCATGATACACGGTAAGTTACATGATTATGTCATGCAAACAAACCATACAAACTTCACAAGCAGGAAAATCAAACAAACAAACCAAACCAAACAAACAAACCCAACAAGACAAACAAAATCCCCTCTTTTTTCTTGGAGTCTCCGCAATGCCTGGATGCCTGAAGCACTGACCTCATCTCCATCTTCATCTTTATCTTCAACTTCATCTCCTCTTCTCCCCTCTCTCTCCCCTCTTTTCTCCTCTCTATCTCTCAACCCCTCTCCTTATCTCTCAACTAACTTTCTTCCCCCCTATCTTATATCTTATCAAGCATGTCCTCGCCGTATCATCGTCGTCCTCTCCCAGATTATTTCCTGTCTTCGCCCTTGACCGCTCTCCTCTATCCTTTTCACCACTTCTTCACTCAACTACGTGGCCCTCCCCATCGTCCCCCGCCTGATTCTCGTCCCATTCGTGTCGTCTGTCTCTCAGATACCCACACCCTCGAATGGCCCGACGTCGACGTGCCGGACGGCGATCTCCTCATCCACTCCGGCGATTTATCCAATGATGGGTCCGTCCGCGAGATCCAAGCCACCATCGATTGGCTACGATCCCTGCCACACTCGCACAAGGTCGTGATTTGCGGCAACCATGACAGTTACTTCGACCTCCGTTCCCGCCTAGCCGAGGACCGTGACCAGCCTTCCTTTGCCGCCGTCTCCTCCTCAACCGCTTCCCTGCGCTCCCTCGACGACGACCCCCGCATCGACTGGGGGGACATCCACTACCTGCAGCACTCGTCCGTCACCCTGTCCTTCCCCCCTCTCCCACCGCCGTCCGTCCCGTCGTCGCCCTCATCCACCTCGTCCTTCTCGTCCTTGATGGCCAACCCCACCCCCACCGGCCGATCCCTGACCGTGTACGGCGCTCCCCAAGTCCCCGCTCTCGTCCCCTTCGGCCCCGAACACGCCTTCACCTACCCGCCGCACCACGACGCCTGGTCTGGCACCGTCCCCATCCACACCGACATCCTCGTCACGCACACCCCGCCCCAGGCCCATCTCGACCTGTCCCCCGTCTACTCCACGGGCTGTCCGTCACTACTCTCCGAGATCTGGCGCGTGCGCCCACTCCTGCATGTCTTCGGCCACATCCACGACGGTTACGGCATCGAGCCCGTCTACTGGGACGAAGCCCAGCGCGCCTGGGAGCGGCTGTGTGCGTCGCGCCTCCGCCGCGCGCGCTCCTCGCGCTCCAGCAACCTCCTCATGGGCATCCTGCGAGATCTCGCCGACCTCTCCGGCTGGTTTGACGCCGCCCGGGTCGTTGTCTACGGGGTCCTAGGCATTGTATGGGCCAAGGTCTGGGGCGGTGACAACGACGGCTCCGGATGGATCGTAAATGCCGCCGGCATGAGCAGTACCTCAGGACGGTTAATCAACCGCCCTCACGTGGTAGATTTATAACTGCCTTTTCCTTCTCTCTTTTCTCTTTTCTTTTTTTCCCCTCTTCTTTCTCTTTTGACGACTCTTTCACCTCATGAAAAACCACCCCGTGGTCCCCATGACTGTACATAGTCAGTGATGCCCTTTAAGACATTCCCATCTGCACAGCGAGCGAGCGAGCGAACAGCAACCGAGCGGTCATTGGATGAAACTGCATTGGATTTGGGCGTTATTCTAATTTTTCAACATATCTTTGAATAAGATTCACGAAGGCAAGACTATATATCAACTATAGTTTGCACAAAATATTTCCATAATATAACTCAGCAAGACTTTTTGCAGTGTACTCAGTTCAGGTCGTAAGATAAATATATTGTAATTGTAGTCTATCAACCAATCACACATTTCTCATATATACACAAGGGTATCGCCAATCAATCCGAACCAGGTGACAGGCATGTGATTTTAAACAGTCACCATAAAAACGACATTATACAAACAGACAACAAAGAAAGGAGAAAAAAAAAAAAACCTAAAGTTTCGGCTTCTCACTAAACCGCGGCCCTTGCAGAGGATCATAAGCCCTCAAGCTCAACGTATCAGACGGCACAACCGCACTATGACCACCAGTTAAGCCGCGCGTGTCGAGGAAGCTAGGGTTCAGCTCGGCGATGGAGCGCGCCCCGATCAATCGCATGTTCATCTCCATTTCGTCCTTAAGCAGCTGCATGGCCTTGTCGACGCCCGGTTGGCCGTAGGCCGACATGGCGTACAGGAAGGGCCGGCCGATGCCGACGCCGCGGGCGCCGAGGCACAGCGCTTTGAGGATGTCCGTGGCGCGACGGACGCCGCCGTCGATGTACACCTCGATTTTGCTGTCCCAGCCGCGCTCGCGCAGCGCGGGCATGACCTCGGCGAGGACTTCGACGCCCGAGCGGGCGGTGTCGAGCTGGCGGCCGCCGTGGTTGGAGAGGACGACGCCGGCGACGCCGTGCTCGACGGCGAGGAGGACGTCCTCGACGCGCTGGACGCCCTTGAGGATGATGGGCATGGAGGTGACAGATTGGAACCAGGCGATGTCTTTCCAGGAGAGGGAGGGGTCGATGAAGGAGGAGATGGCGCGGGCGGCGCCCTGGGAGCGGTCGACGTCGTCACCGCTGTCGGCTTGGACGCTGGAGCCCGTGTCGGAGAATTTGGAGCGCATGTCCTTCTCACGGCGGCCGAGCTGGGGCGCGTCGACCGTGATGAAGAGGCCCTTGCAGCCGCGGGCTTCGGCGTGCTCGATGATGCGTTTGGTGATGTCGCGGTTGCGGTTGACGTACAGCTGCAGCCACTGCACTTGGTCGCCGCGCTTGGCGTCGACGATGTCGTCGAACGAGCACGACGCCAGCGTCGGGATCATCTGCACGACGTTGTGGTCGTGTGCCGCCCGCGTCAACACTACCTCGCCCTCGGGGTTGCCCAGCTTGCCGAGGGCGGTGGCAGTCACGTAGAAGGGGATGGAGCATTTGGAGCCCAGCATGGTGGTCGAGTAGTCGACGTTCTCGACGTCGACGAGGACCCGCGGTCGGAACCAGATTTTGTGGAAGGCGGAGTGGTTCTCGCGCATGGTCTGTCTATATTAGCGATGGAGTTCGTAAAATCGCCCGGGAGAATAAAGAACATACAATCTCGTCATCCGCGCCACTCGAGTAATACGCCCACGCCGTCTTCTTCATGACATTGCGCGCCACCTCCTCAAAGTCCAACAGATTATAGCAGGCCGCCAGCGACGGCATCAACTTCATGCGCTCCTGGCGCTCCGTCTCCTCGGGGTCCTCAACTTTCTCCTCCTGTTCGACGGTGCTCATGTCCACCTCGCCCAAGTGCTTCGAAGCATCCAGATACTTGTCCAGCGTGTCGGGGGGGTGGATAGGGTCGAACTCTTCGGTGGCGTCCTTGCCGGCATACTTGAGGATGATCTTCTGGCCACCGGGGTGTTCTATTTCCGTTAGTCGATCCAATATCATCATCATCATGCGACCCAGATCCAGAGATCCAGGACCAGAAATTTGAGGGGCATACCAGGTAGGAACTCCGTCACGTCATAGGCCTTCCCATGAACGATAACCCAGCAAGAGTCTTTGGAGTTGTGTTGGGCGACATCCTGCCCTGACAGTTTTCCGTTGCCCATTGTCACGAATTCTATGTCTATAATTGATAAGAAGATATAGAAGGGAACGAAGAAGAAAGATGGAGCAGCTTAAGAGGGATGGCGAAGAGATGGATCAGGGAACCTCGGGATGCAGCCGAGTCAATTAATCCGGGCTGCCTCGTTGGTGGATTCAGTTATGCGGGGAGCCGATCTCGGCCGAGAACGTGATGTAACTGCTCACCCATTTTGTATGGGGAGGTACTTGTCGAGGCCTGAGGCGACAACTCCGGACTCGGGCGAGATGTTGGCCTTGTTTCCCAGGCATAAACCATCACCCATCTGTCCCATGGATGGACAGCGATATGGACAGGATGGACATGGAGGATTTGTTTACACTAGACATCTCTGTTGACGCCTTTTTGTTCTAGATCACTATTATATCTCATACTATCAATACACCAGCAAGACAGAACAGGAGACCACAATCCATATATCACGCACTCGGCCGAGTCTTGCGTCTCTTGCGCACCCGATCGTCAGGGTAATGCTTGTCCCGGTCGGTTCGGTCCCTGGCGGATGCCCCCGACTCGTCGGCGTTCTCTCCGACAGCACCATCCACCCTCTCCCCAGGTGGGTCGGACTCGGAGGGGATCTTCCGCCCAGCCTCGGCGTCCCGTCGAAGTCGACTGAGCGCCTTCTGCATCCGACTGGGACCTCCCCCGCGCGCACGCGGCGCAAAGGCGCCCGCCCCCTGTGGTCCGCTGAAGAAGGCGGTGATGTTCGACTGCGTGCCTTCTTGCTCCCGCTGGTTCATGTCCCGGATGACCGGCACAAGGACTTCGTCCGTCCGCTCCTGGCTCCATCCGATCGTCGACATGAGGAAGTTGCGGAGACCGTGGAGGTCGGGGACGCCCCATTGGAAGGAGGACGGATCTGCGTCCACCTCCGGCTGAAGGTACGCCTGTTCGACCCGCGTGTCTGGGAATGCGGGCGGGAGGAAGATCTTCGTGGCGTTCTTTTTGAACCGCTTGTAGAAAGCGGCGTGTGCGTCCTCCGACATGGTGGCCCCAGTCTGCACCCGTGTCCACCACTCGCGGAAGTCCTCGAGACTCGAGAACTCGGTGATGATTTCTAGGGCCGTGACGGGGCCGATTCCGGGGATGCCCTCGGTGTAGTCGCTCCCGAGGAGATGCGCAAAGCTGATGAGCTTCTGCCGGTGGAGGGCATACTCCTTCTCGAGGTCGGAGGTCAGGTAGCACTCGACGAATTTGCTCTGGTTGAACATATTCTTGTAGACGCGCGTGCCCCCGAACAGGAAGATATCGCTGTCGTCGGTGATGACCCCGTCAACCAGACCGAGCGACACCAGCTCGGCACACTGCGCCTCGGCTTCCATGGGCGCTGTGATGTATGGCAGCCCAAAAAGGGCCAAGAGCTGCTGGCACTCGGTGACCATGATCTGCGACACCTCGTCTGCGTCCCGACGATCCTTCTTCTGCTGTGACCGGAGTTGCTTCAGCTCCTGCTCGTAGTCAAAGGGCTGCTCCACGGGGGCCGCCGAGTTTAGTGTGGCCGCAAACCGAACATGCTCTTCGCCCTCGGCGGCCAGTTGGCGAAGGAGGTCCTCGTCTTCGGGATCCGAGAATTCATCCTCCATGAGGCCGTCTGCCTGGTCAGCGTCTATCGGCTCCGGTGGCTGGATAGTCGTCGCAGGAACGGGGTCTACCACATCCGGGGGCGGGATGGCCACGTCCTCGAACTCGGGGGACGGAGAAGGCTCGTGGACTCTTTCCGCCAGGAAATTGACCCTGGGCCCATCCTCCTTCAGATGGGGACCTTCAGCAGCCACGTCACCTGCGGGCTCGTCTCTGCTGGGGGATTTTGTTACGATTTCTGGCCTTTCTGGCTGTGTCACAGGTGGCTCCACATAGGTAACACGTTCTTCAATTTTCTCTTCTGTCGGTGACGGTGCAACTTCGATCTCTTTGTTATCATCAGACTCTAGGTCAATTACTTCCGTCAACCTAGATGGTTTGTTCCCACCAATAACGTCGTCAGACCGAACAATATCCACGAATGAATGATCCAAAGCGACCCTGCTGTGTCGAGTTTCCATCGTATCATCGACTTTATCAGCCACGAATTCGGTGTCTGGTTGTGCCCCAGAAAACCATGGAGGTAGTGATGGATCCTCTTTGGGTGGTTGAGCCGACTCCTTGACGAAGCCACCAGCAGTTTGATCAAACTCGGTAGATTCCCGAGGTTTATCAGTCTGACCCAGTTTGATGGACTCAAAAGGCAGGGGCCCATCGAATGGGTTGTTTTTAGCAGCGTGGGACGGTTCCTTCTTCGTCCTACGGGATTGTGCCAGTGCTGCCGTGAAGTCAAAATCATCGTCGCTTCCCGAATCGAGGGTCGATGGTAGCTCATCCGGCGCCAGTAGAGGAGCAGCATCCCGGTTTACTGGTATATCGGGCATGTCCTTGTCATGTTGCTCGGCTGCCACCGTAGGCTCCAGAGACATTTGTATAGCCTTTTGGAGATCATCATCTTCGTTATCGCCTAGCTCGCTGAATAAACCAATATCATGGGCTCGGACGCTGGCTTTGTCCTGCACAAAGAGAGAGTCGTCTTCTACATCTCGATGTAGATCTTGGCTCGCCGCCTGATGAAGCTGTTGTTGGATGGATTCATCCAAGGCGCCCTGCCGTAGAAAAGGGAGCCTCGGAAGTCTGTTAAGACCCTCAACAGGCACATCTTCAAAATCATCGTCGTCATCATCAGATTCTGCCTTTTGGTCCGGTAAGACGGCTCGCTCGCCGTACTGGTCGACATCAATCGGCTTATGTTCGCGGCCTTCCTCTTTATTCCCTACAACACCCAATACCCAGCCGCCTTCGATCGTGCTGTCTTTTACCAGAACATATTCCTTGCCACGCTCTCCGGCGATTCTCTGTCCAGAATTGAAAAAGGCGTCTTCGCCGTTCATCCCGTTGAGGTTCATCAAACGTTGCGTCAGATCATTCCGCTCCTTGACACGATCAATCTGGAACTTGGAGAACGCCATGCGATCCGGAAACATCTGGTCCAACTGCTCCTTGGAATATCCCATGCGCAGTCGGCTCCGGAGTCTCGCCGCATTCAAGATATTGTACCGATCCGTAGCCGGCAGACTCATGAAAAAAGGGCTATCAAAGTCGATCTTGGAGAAATCGTACAGATTGATATCCTCCCCCTGGTGGAAGCGCCTCGCATACTCCTCCAGCTCCTCGCGTGACATAATGCGCGGGTCATTGGGAGCGCCCATCTCCTCCAGGGAGACCTGCATGTCAGGCAGATGGTAGGCATCCTTCTTCCGGAACAAGCGAGACTGTTTCTTCTCCTGCTCCGTCATGAAGGTCTCCTCGACGTAGACCGGATTATCCGGAACGGCTTCCTCCTGCAGCTGGCGCGGGGCATTCCTGCGACGGGCGGCTTCCTCCTCAGCCGATCGTTGCAACTGCACGGCCAGCAACTTCCCCGCCGTGCGCACGGCATCCTCCCGACGGCCCTCGCGACGCTTCTTCCGCCCCGCGATGGTCTGCCGCTTCAGAAGCGGCGCGTCGCCGTCGAAGACGAATACCGGCTTAATACCAAAGTAGAGCAGCTTGCAAACGCGGCGGAAGAAGCCGACGATGTGCGCATTTCGCAGCGCATTTCCTTCTTTATCGCGTACAGCCTTGAGGAACTGGTAGATCCAGATGGAAGCGTCCACCGCCAGGCGCTTCTTGTTGAGGGTCTCTAGCTTGATCGGGCGGGCGCACGGCTGCACCACCGTCCAGAGCCCATGGACACCCATGATGGCCTAGGGAGTGGAGGGAGACGATGGTGGGGTGGTGATGATGACTGGATCATGGCATGAACTGGGTAAGTGTTGGAGACCGGTGAGACTGATGGAACATACGAGGTAGATGTTCGAGTCACGAAAGCGGCGCGTTGCCACCTCCGCGTAGTCACGTGGAGTGATATCGAGATTGGTCACATGCATGCACGTGATATACTATGTATGCCCTTAGACATCATGTGATGCCATGCATGCTTTAAATTAGTATCGACCAGGGCAAATATCTATGAGTGCTAATCATCAGCTGGGCACAGTTTGAGGATATATTGTTGATTCGGTTACAGTAATATCACTCCATCTTGACGGCCATCAAAATGGAAGACAGTGATTACAAGGAAAGCCAGGTAGAGGACCCTCCACCATTATATTGGGGATAGCGAGCCTGATCGCTGTGCAGTAGACTTTCATTATAACTCTCGACACGGTCAATCATAACTCATGCAATTCAGCTACTACCAACGGAGTCCTGCTCTGTCCGTGTTTGTCGACTCCTTAATGGAAGTACTGTTTTCAATAGGATAACAGTTGATTCAACAAACATCTCTGACCTACGATGTTGGCCCCGTGTCAAAGCACAAGCTTCCTCGCGCAGTGGTTGACCAACCCCCATGCGGCCAACCGTGTCAATATCTGGTGGACCTCGCAGGGCGGTGCAAAGTTGAAGTTGAACGTCCCTGCTTGGATGATCCCGTGCTCAAAGAGATAATCCACAAAGTTCACGACGCTGTTTGGCTAGTAGGGAACCCCGTGCCTTTGGGAAGGGCTTCCGATGTCTGGGAAGAATTGAGAGTTTGGTACCTTGTCTACCAGTATCACCTGGCCAGATCAGGCTTTGATCCGGTTATTGCTGTGATGTGGCAAAGTCAAGTGAGGTATAATAACTTCAGTCCGGTGCTAGTGTTAGTAGTGTCCTTCTAGGATAGGCATGGTTACTGTCTTGAGAGATTCGATCGCCAAAACAACTCTCAGCCAGCCAGCCACCAAACCTCCTCGAGAAGATATGAGTTAGTGCAACTCACGATCCCAAAAAGATCGACTATTCTGCTTAACACAGCTTACATGGACAACACTACTAGCTGGCAGTCGGGATTTGAAGAGACCCTGATTCCAGCCGGTAGCCGTCCGACACGGCTCAAAAGGAGCCAGCCACACCGTTCCCCTAACACACGTCTTGTCTAGCTTGGTGCTTGATTCTAACGGGGAAGTGTGGGAAGTCCGGATTCCCCGTCCTAGTACTCTGTATTAAGGGTGGAATTGGGACATGGCAGCTGAAGTCAATTAGGGCTCCACCACCGGTAGTGGAGATTTCCCCACCCAAGCCAGCAGATCATTCAGCTCACGTCTCAACGTCCGCCTTCGATAGCCTATCTATCGAGGAAAAGATCGCTGGTCCCCGGATCCTTCCAGGATCTACCAAATCATCGATAATAGGACGGTCAAGATAGGTACATTGATGTATGTCCTATGCGGCATGGGGACGGTGTGAAAAAGACATAAATAGGAGCTATCATCCCCAGGAAATGAATCATCTCATCCAGCAATCACCCAACCTATCTCCAAACACTTTCCTCCGTTAAACAGCATCTTTCTTCACCCCTTCCCCTCAAGAACCAACATCTCCCGCCAAAATGCGTTTCATCAGCATCGCCACCACCCTCTTCCTTGCCGCCACTGCCCTTGCCGCTGGCAAAGACTGCAAGCCTGAATGCTTTGGCTCGAGCAGTGTCAAGTGTGTTTCTGACCACCCGGTAAGAATCTGACCTGCACTATCAATCGATAATATATATCAAGATTCTAACGATCAATACATAGGCTATCGTCCGCGAGGGTCCCGGCTGCTTCAAGTGCTGCAAGTCCGCCTAAATCGACCATGGTCGACTATAGCCTGGATCGAGTCCTAGTGCGACTTTTTTCTGGGCTGATGGCTCAGTTTGCTGATCAGGGATTGAGGAGAGGACTGTCTAGTCTTGGAGAAATCCTCTCATAACGTACATTTAAATTATTAATGCCAATCCTCTGGCCACCACGATCCACAATCTTCGTGGCAAGTCACCACTCCCACCCCCACCAGAAGATCAGTAGTACTTCCATCAGTAGTACTCGATCATAAGTTACATGACAATGTCTACATAATCAAAGAATCATCCCCGATTGGGCGAAACAGTCACCAGCGAACTAGCAGTAGCTCTTAGGAGATCCACCTGGCGCCGTCGTCTCCCGCCGCCATGCCGTAGGTCGAGGAGTAGGGTCAATGGCTTAACAGTTTCAAGACAGAGGGCAGATATCCAGAGATAAACAGGCATTATGATTACTGGCCGGAGTCCTTCTCGGCTTCAAGCAGTAGGTGGGCGGTTCCAGGTCTAAAATGAGGTTCAACCAGGGAACCCTCTGGACAAAGACACTCTGGAAATATTCAAGGCTGTTGATGACCCGATTAATCATAGAAGTAATCTCTATTTAGTTGGTTGGGAATGTGTACGAGATCTGGGGGGAACAGCTTGAAAGGGCTCCATATAGATCTAGTCCGGCTACGATTGAATCCAGTCAGCCATCACTGACTAAAAGTCGTCATACCGATAGAACGAGTAGAAGCTACCTACTTCTTACCTCCCTCGCTATACAAACAACGAGCCAGTACAGGATGGAGACTGATTGAATCGACCAGATGTTGGTCGGAACCTATTCCACCCCGATGTCCGACATTGGACCCACCAGGATAGACAGGAAGGGCTTGGCTTGGTTGGCAACCACAACGCTTATGCTCGAGCAAGCTCCGGAGTCGGCATTGATCGTCGGGTTCTTATAAATGCTAGTTTATTGGTATTCTGATTGGGCATTAGGAGTGGGTTGTTTGTGGGGGTTTGTTGATATAGTTGATCAACTTAATGATTTCGACCTGAGGAGAGGCATAGCGTTGTCGTAGTTGATATATGCATATATTGGTGGAGTGCTCTTGTTATATGACAGGATCTAATTCCTCAATGGTCAGTCTGTGAAAGTAGTTAAAAATACAGTAGATAGCATCGGTTCTATGTCTATATTCTAAGTAGGACATTCAATGAAAGGCTAATTCTTTGGTACAGTCAGAGGGAAACCAATGACGGGAGACATATAAAATCAATCACATTTACATCTATAGAGTCTATAGCAATTTAAAACTATCATCAAAGTGTTGGATTGCAAGGTCATAATAGTGCTATGGAGGCTATTGACATGCATGCTGCTATGTACATCGGCGTAAGGAAGTTGATACAGGTACGACTGGCTGGATTTTTCTCCCGTTCGAAAGGCTACCCAGGTACAGAATACTGGGGTAATTGAAACAATTACTGGTGCCCTAAATTCTGCAGTCCAATCACATAATTGATATCAGCATATCGGTAGGTGTTGTCCGCTGACATCATATACAGGCATTCGTGTTAACCAAGGTTGGAGCCATAAAGCTACGCCAGATGAATCCCTCTCCTCCACCGCGCGCGCACACTTTCCACCACCCCAGGCAATTGATACCCCCAATGACAGAGCATACCCGCAGCAAATCCAATCGCATCATTCTTGAACCCCACCAGCATCCCCACCGTGACGAGCATGACCATCCAGCGGCGCTTGCGCTCGTCCTCGCTCAGCAGGGGCCCGATCTCCTGCCTCGCGTCGTCATCGCCCAGGACCTCCAACGGGCGGGCTTTGGCGAGATCGCGCGCCCCTGTCGTGTTCAGACTCTCCCCGACGCTGGCTAGCTCCAGCCCCGCCGCGATGACCATCACACCCAGCAGAGCCGACGGGAAGCGCTTCAGCAACGGGAGAAGGGACTCCCCGAAGAAGACCCCCACGGCGACCTTGACGGCGCCGAGGAAGATGACGCTGGCGCCGGAGCGGGCGCCAAAGCGGTGCTGCGCGGCTAGCCCGCCGGACCCGTGGCAGACAGGCATGGCACCGAGCCAGCAGCCCGTGAGATTCATGGCTGCGACGCTGAGCCCCACAGCTGTCACGGTGGGGGTGGGAACCTCGGGAAGCAGGTCTGCGGCGAGGTAGACGACTGCGACGACTGAGTTGAGCGTCGTCAAGGGTAGCTGGCCGAGTCCCGCGTCTAAGGCCCCGATGCGCCATGCGTGGGGGCCGGGGAACCCGATGACGGAGGGACGCCAGAACTCAACGGCTGGGAGATGACCTGCGATTGCGGCGCAGATGATGGCAAAAACCAGGCCTATGACGAATAGGATCAGCGCGTACGGTACGCGACGGTAGACGTTGGCAATCACCAGGCCGAGGAAGGCGGCAATGGCCCAGATGCGGTTGTCGGCCCACGAGGGGTGCAACCAGTGCAGAGACGACAGCATGTTAGAGCCGGCGGCAATGATCAGGGACAGACCAGCGCCGATTTGGATTCCCTTGATGACGGGGATGGGGATGGCGTGGGAGAAGCGGTGCAACAGGCCCGTGACACTAAAGACGGCCAGGCAGGCGCCGACAAAGAGTCCCGCGGCGGCCAGTGGCTTGGGTCCGAAGTCGCGGGCGAGAGCGACGGCCGCGATGGCCTTCATGGGTTGTACGGGCAGCGGGATGCCAAAGACGGCTCCGGTCAGGATGTTGCATAGTCCCGACCAGACCAGCGTGGCGGAGAGGGAGACGGAATGCTGGAGGGCCAGGGCGATGGCGATGGGCAGGAATGTGCCTAGGTCGCCCAGCGCGCCGGAAATCTCCGCCGTGGGATTGTGACGAAATGTGTGTAAATTGTGGCTGGCGATGCGGTGGAGATTCATGATGCTATACGACCTGCATTGAGGTGTAGGAAGAGGTTGAAGAGAAATGAGGGATGAAGAAAAGAGGGAAAACCCCGCGCTGGCGGACGGGAGGAATAACCGGGTTTGCCACTGCTTTATCTATCTCTATTTATATCAATCTATATATTTATGTTTATATTTGTTTCTCTATCAGCTTGTTTGTCTCTATTGACTAGGTATTTCGACATGGATATCCATATTTAATTTTTGTTCTGATACGCATCTCCTTATCTATATCTAGATTTTTGGCAAATAGTTACATTTATATTCCGGATTCTATATTCTATGGTATATATTATGTTTGTGTTATCTTTTCTAAAGTGATATCTAATTCCTCACAAGTCAAACAATCCTGATTCCTGAAATTAAACCTGGATGCAGGCAAGAATGACGTCGTGAATGTGGAGATCAACACCGTCCGATCAGATCGGATATCCACCTAGATTGTTACTCCATATTTATAGATGCGATCGATAGATCGGATGAGAGCTGTGTAGCTAATTGGTCTTACATTATATATACTAATGCTTATGATCGCTATTAAAACACTGCCCATTGGCGAGGTTTTGGTAACCTACCTGGAGCAGCCTGACACCTTCATATAGGTATACAGGTCGGACGTCATGCCTCCTTAAGGGATACTTCTGACAGCACAATACATACTTTCCTCCGAGTCTGCCAGTGTTAGTGAGAATCAAGTGTCACAATGCATTTCGCTTATATGCCATGCGTAATATGATAGCCATGAAAAAAACCATAGTCAGGAGTATATGATCAGAAAGCTATTTACAAGTCCGGGATAATATAATACACTCAATTAGGGTATCATGCAATCGTCATAGCTACAAAACAAATCAACGTGTTGACATCCCCAGGAGCTCGCCCAGTTCGTCGTGCGTGAGGGTACTGCGTCGTCGGTCCTGGCGCCCCTTGCTCTTCGTCCCTCGGGTGCGCTTGCGCGTCTTGCTTTCTTGCTCGACGGCCCGCGCCTCACTCTCCGCCGCGGCGAGCTTCTGCGACACGCTTAGCTCGTCGTTGGTTTTCCGCTCCGGTGCCTCAGCCTCTTGGCGCGCAGATCGGGGTTTTACGGCTCGCGCCGGCTTGGGAGATGGCTGCGCCTCCGACTTCCTCCTGGACGCTCGTCGCGTCACGGTTTCCGAGCAGTGCGCCTTGACCGGCAACGTGTCGTTCTTGGTGTGGTTGTTCTCGGGAGAGGCATGCATGAAGGACACCTTGCGCATGGACCGTCGTGGTCGAACGTTGTCACTGCGCTCTGTGAGCGCGCGGCTCGGGCGCTGGGCATGGATCTGTTCGTCGGGCTTCTCTTCCGGAGCCGGTTTCTCAGCTCCCGCCTGTTCTTCCGCCTCCTGATCTTCGAAGATCGGCGGATGCTCGGTATCGTGGTACTGCTCCATGGACACGTCGGTTGCCGAGCCGATGCTGAAGTCGAGAGTCATACCCCGTCGCAGCTCCTCGGCCTGCACGGATCCCCCGCCCTCGGCGATGCGCTGGTGCCACCCGTCCATCATCGTCACGGCCTGTCGCCATCGGCTCTCCATCTTCTCCCAGCCTTCGCGCAGTCGCTTGATCTCGTCGTCGCGCACCTCAACTTCCTCCAGTGGCACGAAGGATGGGTTCGTCAGTAGGGTGCGCAGATGACCGAGCACCTGCTCAATCTGCTCCGTCAGTTCCTCGCACGACGACGGCAGCGAAGCCACCGGGCCATGCGACTGTCGCTGGCTGTTGACGCTGGCCATTCCGGATTCGTCCTCGTCCTCGAACTCGGGCAGTCCCTGCAGGTCTTTCAAGATGTGGATGGTATGGCGAGCAAGGGCGATCAGGGTATCGTTCTCATCACTGAGGTTCTGGCAGAGCTGCGTCAGGAAATCGTTGGTTTCCTGCCTCAGGCTGTATCCCGGGTTGTGGACTCCATCCCCGCCCATCATGCTCCTCGTCTTCGAACCCCGGTCGCCCGCTGGGTTGATGTTGATGGTCGTGACAGCCAACCCCTCGCGCCTCCCTCGCTGTCGCTCGGCCAGGTATGATTTCAACTTCTGCATCTCCAGGTCGCGTTTGCGGACGTCATTGGCGCATTGGCCACGCACTTGTTGCAGGGTGGTCTTCATGCGCTGGATTTGTTCCTTAAGGCCGCGAACAGTAGCCTCAGCTTTGGAGGTATTCGATTTGAGCGACCGGCTTTGAGCCTCTGTCAGCGCGAGCGATCGGGACAACTCGGAGTTTTTCGTCCGAACTTTTTCCTATTCAGTCTCAGTATGGCATTCATCCGTTAGTCGATTGATATCACTTGTAACGTACGATTTCCATCGCTTTCTGGGACTCTTCTGCGCGGAGGGATCGGATGGTCGTCGCCAGACTCTCGCGGTGTTCGGCTTCTCGCTGTTGCCGTCAGCATCGCATCCCACTTTTCGGACTGATCTTTCCTGACTTACGTCTCTCCTCAGAACCAAGTCGTTCACCAGGTTGATGACCCGCGCCATCGTCGCTGGACTCCCTCCATCTTCATTGTCGGGGTCCGCAAAGTCGATCGGCTGGCCACCTTTCAGCAACCCTCGAGCCAACAGAACATTATTAATGTAGGAAGACGCGGCCTGCAGATTCGCTGACTCCATGGCTTGCCAGCAAGCTTTCTCAGGGAAGTAGCCAAGATAAATGAGCAAGGGAAAAGAAAAAAAGAGGCGACCGTTGGAAGGGTTCGTCCTAGTGACGACGGTTACCAGGAGTCCGGGCTAGTTCGACCGCATCTTCCCAAAGAGGAAGAAGGTAAACAATCCCGGTCACCTGTTGTGTCACGTGGACGCACCCCGGATCAACCGGGTCCCGGGATCCGGTGCCAAGACTATGGCATCATCGCTGCCGATTATCACCTGTTCTCTAGATTCATTCTTATTTGAAGCGATCTCTGCTTCTATACTTGGTTTGACAGCTGTGAATCAGTCGAGTTTCCCATGATTTCTTCGTCCATACAGCGGTCAGCCACACGAGGTAGGAATACGTGATTCCCTTCTGGTCAATTCGCAAGGTAATGACACGCGTAGGCCCTGTGCGCAGCGAGTCCGACTTTCTGTACCGTCGCGCGCAGACGCTCTGTGGCCAAGGGAATTTTGCTGGCGCGCTGGAGGCGTTTACAGAGGTATGCCCCACTTCCTGTGTGTCTGCAGCTGGGCATCGTGTTGACAGACCCACTTTAGACGTTGAGATGCCCTGGTGTCGATCACCTCGACGTGCTGGATAAACGCTCCGCGATCTATGCGAAAACGGGCCAGTACAATCTCGCCGTCAAGGACGCGCAACGGATGATTCGGGATGACCGACAAGATGAGCGGGTGGGTTTGGTGTCTCCTGGGGATCGACCGGTCCATGCTGATTCGGACAGGGATATCTCCGGTGCGCAAAGGCGCTGGTCATGGAGGGGAAGCCCGAAAAGGCCCTACAACTCTATACGTACGCGCTCAAATACTTGCCCGAGGATCGTCCAGGCCGCCAGGTCAGTAATGCGGTCACAATTGGAGTTGATGATGCTGACTTCTGTAGCTTGTAGTGCAACTCCGAGGCCGGATCCAGTCCAAGCTGAAGACGGTTGAGACTTGTTGCGACCCGATGACCGTGCTGCCACTGGAAATCATTTCCATGATCCTAGGCCACTTGACCTTTAGGCAGTTGGTGTAAGCGACCCACACCCGGTCGGGGTCCTTCTCCGCTGACCGTCGCAGGACGCTCCTCCGCGTGTCGAAGAAATGGAACCAGTTCCTCTCCTCTTTTCGAGAGCTGTGGAGGCGCATCGACCTCTCCAGCGTTCGAACTCGCGTTCCCCATACCTCCGTCAGCGCCTACATCCGCCGGTCGAATGCTACTCTGACGTATGCCATCATCAAAAACCTCAACAATCCGTCGCGACACAAAGTCCTCGAGTACCTAAGCCGATGTCGGCAGTTGGAATACCTAGAGATCTGGACGCCAGTCGAGTGCGGTTTGGCGTATGACCTGTTGAAATCCGCCCAGTCGCTCCGGACCTTGATTCTCTCCGCCGAGATCACCGTGTCACAGGAGTACATTGCCAAATTCCTGACCAGCCTCCCACGCCTAGAACGGTTTGAGATCCACCGGTCCACCGCCTCGCCCGCATCTAAAGTCCAATGGCCGCCCCATTTGCCCAACCTGCGCAGCATATCCCTCGCCTCCGAGGACAATCCGAGCTTCTCCGCCAACGTCCCGGCCCTCTTTATACCCCATCGACAACCAGAGTCTGATGAACCCGATAGTGATCCGAGGGGCCCGGCCGACCCCCCGATTCCCAACCTCGAAGAACTCCGGCTGCACTCCGGACCGCCCGTCGCGGTGCCGTGTCCGATGACTTTAGATCCCATGGACTTTGTTCGATTACGGAAGTTGGATCTGGGTGGAATGTACATTGGCCGCAGCGTCGGCTTGCCACCGACACTCGAGTCTTTGCGCGTCCGGGGCGGCAATGCTCGAGGGACCTTCCCCTTCGCCGACAGGGACGACATGGATCTCCCCAACCTACGCACGCTCGTGCTGAGCGACGTGGGATGGGTCACTGTGGAGACCCTTCACGAGTTCATGGTGCGCCGGCGCGCTCCGGTCAAAATCCTCCACGTGGACACGTGCGACCAACTGCGCGGGCCGGCGCTGTCGAGTTTCCTCTGCGAGCATGGCGAGGGGCTGACGGAGCTGAATGTGTCGCACCTGTTCGGGATCAACGACGCGGTCATGGAGCCCATCGCGGCGCACCTGCGCCATCTGGAAGTGGTCAACATGTCGTACACGGACGTGACCGGGAACACGATCCGACGATTTGTGCAGGAGTCGATCGACACGACGCGGCGGTTGAAGCACGTCAATGTCAAGGGATGCGATTCGGCCTCGTGGGACTCGGTTTACTGGGGGCGCGAACAGGGGGTGCAGATCGTGAAGTGAGGGAAATTCACCATGGGAATATCGTCCGTGGGATTTGTTCATGGGCCTGGACTAATCCATCCATTGAACTTACATAGCCCCGGTCAGTGGATCACGCGATTGGAACCATACCCCGGTCCTTGCCTTCTTGGCTTTGAGAGAAGAAGGATTCAGGAAGCGGAGGATGCGACCGTGATGCCGGGGGTGCATGAACGCCGGCAGGGATGGCTTGCTTTACCTACAATATTTCAATCTATTTTTTGTTGAATATTATTTCTATTCTACTTATGTAACTTACCATCTATCTTTATTTTCAACCCCGCCCGGCTGTATACTCCGGAGTACTCCATACTCGGGCGAATGAACCGCCTCTAAGCGCGCCCCAGGAATCCATGGCCGGCCCGGGGAATCAGGCATTCCGATTGGTCAGCAGCCCTCTTATCGGCTCACCGCCTGGCCCGCACGTGTCTGGTTCCTGACCGATAAGTTTTATTTTTTTTTTTCTTTGCCTCGACTTGTTCCCCACTTCTTCTTCTTTCTCCTCATCCCCCCCGAGTTGACTTACTTTCGTTGATCTCGTCGGCCTCATGTCCACCTCCCTCCCTGGTAACCGGGACCTCCCGGCCTCTCAGTATGATCTGACGACTTACTGGGGTCGTGTGCGCCATGCGGCCGACATCTCCGATCCTCGGTATGCTTTGTGATGGTTGTTATGAGGTGAAATGATCGGCAATACTGACCTCCAGGCAGAACCCTCTTCGTCTCGTCGTCCGGCTTGGAACAGGCTAAGAACCTCATCTCCTCCTACAAGCAGAATCATGTACCCGTCATGACGCCGGACTTGTGGCGGGCCAAGAAGGTGGTCGACGCGACTCTGCACCCAGGTGTGTATATCAATCGGGGGTGATAAGGATATAGGGGGTGGCATAGATTGCGGTGCTAAATTATAATGCTAGATACCGGTAGTCCGGTCTTCCTCCCCTTCCGCATGTCGAGTTTCGTCCTGTCCAACTTGATCGTCACGGGCGGCATGCTCACGCCGGGTCTGCAAACCACGGGCACCCTGCTGTGGCAGATCGCGAACCAGTCGCTGAACGTCGCGATCAACAACGCCAACGCGAACAAATCGACCCCGCTGTCCATGTCGCAGATGGCCAAGTCATACCTGATGGCGGTGTCGGCCTCGTGCTCGGTGGCGCTGGGTCTCAACGCGCTCGTGCCCCGCCTGCGCGGCATCTCGCCCAACGCGAAGCTCATCATGGGCCGTCTGGTGCCGTTCGCGGCCGTGTCCAGCGCCAGCGCCCTCAACGTCTTCCTCATGCGCGGCGAGGAGATCCGCCAGGGCATCGACGTCTACCCGGTGCTGTCGGAGGCGGAGAAGAAGAAGCGCGAGGAGACGGGCGAGCCGCTGGAGAGTCTGGGCAAGAGCAAGAAGGCGGCGACGATCGCCGTCGGCGAGACGGCCATCAGCCGGGTGCTGAACGCCACGCCGATCATGGTGATCCCGCCGCTGGTGCTCGTGCGGCTGGAGAAGACGGCGTGGCTGCAGGCGCGGCCGCGCATGGTGCTGCCCCTCAACCTGGGGCTGATCCTGGCGACGTCGATCTTTGCGCTGCCGCTGGCGCTGGGCGCGTTCCCGCAGCGCCAGGCGATCGGGGCGTCGTCCCTGGAGGAGGAGTTCTGGAATAAGGGTGGAGTGAACGGACAGGTGGAGTTCAACCGGGGGATGTAATTTTTTCTTCCTCGCACTTCTGGCATTTCGGGGTTACATAGCATGATTAATTTGGATATAAGAGTGCATTAGAATAGAGATTCTCATCAATACCCATATTATATTTATACCACATCATTATTTGATTCTTTATTGAAACAATCCACATATAACAAGCAGATCTGGATAGAAAGACAGGATAAGTTCAACGCCAAGCGATGTACATCCTGAGGCCAGCACCGACATCATTCTCAATCTTATACTTCAATCCAGCGTCAATATTGACACCAATAATTACATGAGTTCCACCTGGAAACACGTTGAAAACACTTATCGTCCGCACAATCAATCCGCTGGTCTCCGCCCCGCCAGTCCGCCACACTCGGAGACTCCCGATGCGGGGCCAGTGGGAAAGTATAATACACATTGATCGCCCAGCAGTCGCATCAACATTCCAATCACTCGACTCGACTCCAGTCTTGCAATCGCACCGATCCCATACCCTGCATCTCAAACACAATGACATCCACACTCCCCCAACCATCATCCATCCCCTCCCTCCCCCAAGACCAACAGCTCCGCGTCCTCGACACGCTCTTCGAGCCTTCCCCAGAACTACACACGCTGATGACCCCCGTGTTATCCAACCAGCCCTTCGCCTCATATGACCGCCTGATCGACGCCGTGGGAGGCCGCATGTCGGCTCTCTCCGCCGAGAACTCGCCTACGGACAGGGACGTCCTGTTCGGTATTCTGGGGTCGCATCCTCGGTTGGGAAGGCCGAAGGTCGCGCAGGAACAGCTGAGCGAGCTGAGCCAGAAGGAACAGGCGCAGTTGAATGTCGGGGCGGAGGAGTTGGCGGAGAAGCTGAGGGGGATGAATGAGGAGTATGAGGGGAGGTTTCCGGGGTTGAGATTTGTGTATGTCTTTTTTTTTTTTTTTTTTTTTTCTTCTGCTAGTTCTTCTGCTTCTCCTTTTTATTTCTACTAATACTTCTGTGGGTAGAACATTCGTCAACGGTCGCAGTCGCGAGGTGATCATG